CTCCACTTTTGCTTTCTTAAAACGGTTTGTATGTGCGAATGTGCCTATAGGATTGCAGGATAACTTCATGCGCATACGCGATGTTGAATATTAGTGGAATGCAAGCGGGTGGTGACTTCACTTCGTACAGTACTGCGGGTCAGTACAGGTAAGGAATCCCGGAGAAAAGCTCACCGGAGAAAAGCTCACCGGAGAAAAGCTCACCGGAGATAAGCTCACCGGAGAAAAGCTCACCGCAAAACCGGCGGATGCGGAGAAAAGCTCACCGATTTTTTTTTGTTGTTGTTGTTTTTATGTGGAGGCTGTTGGATCATGCGTAACATATATCAATTTATTATCATTAAAGTTCGTCAGCTTTGTCAAAAAGAAAATGTCCTTTTTTGTATTATTTGCCAAGCTTATTAAGTATATTGCTCCCAAATTAATAACGGCGGGCCAGTGTTTTCTGCGGCTTACTCTCTAGGCAACTAAAGCCTAACTGAAAATTTTATGAACTGGAATAACATGAAAAAGTTCGAAAACTTATGTCTCCCTAAAGCCTAAAAATAAAAACTGTAAACACCGAAAATCCGAAAGTGCATGCGCAACAACGCGGTGCCTGAAATTCTCTTTGAAGCTTTTATTAACCTATGAAAACAGTATAAAACAGTCAGTAGGATATCGAGGCTTCTTTCTTCCGCGGTCATGCACGTTTTCTAGCCGTTCGTGCTGGTGTTTCCGCACGTTGCCTTTGTGTGATAGTGCCCTTCTAAGGTGAGTCACTCATGACTTTCAGAGCTGCACACTGGCACCTTTGTTACTCGTGACCTATATAAGAAATAGTCTTCTGTAAGGTAGCGAATAGGGCGAGTTGGTAAACGTTATACATGATGAAAACCGCTCAAACGACGACAGGACGAAGCTGTTCACGTAACTAAAGTTTTCTTAGTGAAATTAACAGAAAGAAAACAGCGTAGCCGACACTGATTGCATCAACAAATACCTACTTAACTATTAGGCACTACAGAATATTTAGAGCTGAAACGGTTCACACCCCGCTATTCATATTAGCTCACAAAGAACAAACTTCTTTATTTGACAGAGCTACCGACGGCGCATCCTCAGTTGTCAATAAATTGTTGTCTTTTTTACCGGTGTACGATGTTCTGATATCATTTTGGCGGCTTTATTAATATACAGAATGGGAGATTACTAATTTCTGAGGAATTAGTAAATATGCCCAATGACCTTCAAGAATATTACAAGAAAGAGGAAATTTTTTTTAATGAAGTGGCGAATGCGAATTCTGTTAAATTGCCACGTTTGACGCAGAATCAGCCAAGTCAAAAAAAAAAAAAAAATCGGTGAGCTTTTCTCCGCATCTGCCGGTTTTGTGGTGAGCTTTTCTCCGGTGAGCTTATCTCCGGTGAGCTTTTCTCCGGTGAGCTTTTCTCCGGTGAGCTTTTCTCCGCCGCCCACAGGTAAGAGATAAGAAGTTCCGAGTTTTCTTGCGTACTCAGGCGTATTAAGAAAAACAGTAATTGCAAAAAGTTATATTTTGTCTATGGACGCACGAAACAAACTTCCTGGCCAACAATACTAAAGTAAAGGCGCGAGCTCGATGTATGCATACTTATTGGTTGCTACAGCTTGTTGATTCGTACACAAGCAAGATCCCCGAGCTTCGCAGCGTCGAGATTCCCAGCACTGGCTTGTCCACATACCTCGAAACGCTAACAGAAAGGCTCAAGTACAAAAATACAACAAGCATGTGTTAAGACAAGCTATACGTCTCGGGCTTCTGCTAAAGCTTCGAGATCTAGTCATTTAGGTTAGTTTAGAGACCAAAAACGACACTCTCGGGCCCAGAAAACATGAGATAACGGCCGTTAATAGTGCACGCTCTGTGTATAGTCTCTTGTCGACGTGTCGATCGAAACCGAAACCATGCCACTCACCTCCATGGCCAACTAGTTCCCAGAGTGTAACGCGCGCCGTGTTGCATGCAGGGCTTTATGTAAGTACTCTATTCACGTAGCAAAAGATCTGTGGAAGCTCGCCGTCAGCACGCGCTCAGCAACCACGCACACAGATATGGCCGCCAGGGAATACTCCCTATACGGCAGGATGTGCTTTAAATATTTCAGGACAAAAATTATATATTATTACTTTGAAACAACGGCGACCAGTTGGCCTCTTCGACGAGTCCTCTGACGAATTGGCCTATTCGACGAATGGGCCGCCGACGAGTTGGCCGTCGACGAGCGGGCTTTAGACGAGTTGGCCTAGACCCGTATAAACATACAAAAGCAAGCTAATTCTTTTTTTTTTTTTTTTTTTGTCCGGAGTCAATTTTGTCTTAGCGCTCGATCCTGCTGTTTTGCCGACATCGACGCCTACGACGCTTGCCTTTCTCTCTTTTGTTTTTTGGCACAAGTTCGCCCCCATTAGACGTTTAGTTTCTTCAGATATTCACCGCCTCATCATTTGTCATTCGTGACAATATTCTGCTCCTTATAGATGGACTGCATAAAATCGCCCTGCGATGTTTTTCCTTTTTTTTTTTTTTTCGTTTTGTGTTTTGGGTGCTAATAACCCAGATTTGCGAAGCTGTATAATTGTCGTTGTCACTGACGTCGATACAAATTAGGCAATGCGGAAGTATCTTCGAAAGTAATTGAGTTACATTTCTAGGCATCTGTACTCGCCTCAAAATACTTTACAGTGAAAGTACCTTGAGTAGTATTTTAAATATACTTTATGAGGCAGGTATTTAGTAACTTAACTTAAATACTTTTATCGAGTATTTTGTCCAACACTGCTTTTCAGGTATCCCTCCCGTACACAACATTCTATGTAACATCGGATTAATAAGTGGCATTTAGTAGTTTCAGCACTTCTATTCTCGAGGTCCGAGGACAACTTTCCGAGGCACTGATGTGTACATGTAAAATGGGTCGTGCAACAATTTTTGCTTTCACTAAATACCGCTAGAACTAATTCTTGACGTTTATAACTTTCAAAAACACCCATTAGTTTTTCTTTCTGCGCAGTGGCAGACACATAAAAAAAGGAAAAAAACAGCTTCCCCCTCCTCAACTCTCAATTAGAACAAGCAGCCACGTGACCGCCGACGCTAATTATATGCCGTCAGTGTTCATCAGTCATGCGCTGGAGTTGGCAAAGCATAAAGCATGTGCTGAGCATCAGACATTGCTAGAGTTCGCGGCTATTCTCACCTTTGATTGAACACGAGCCATTACACGAATGCTGATGGTCAGGAACCCAAGAACTCAACTCGGGGGTCATGACAGTCGAGCACGTCACCCCCTCCGCTAAGCGTTCCGCAACGAAGAAGTTGCTACTGCGCCTGCGCGCCGATAGCCTTGACTGTGGAGTTCCCGCTATCGTAGCGGGTTGCGGAGGGCCTTGCGGGACGGCGAAAACGATCTACGAAAACTCCCTAATGTCATGTGAAGTCACGGTGCCAACAACGCTAGTGACGTTTTCAATTTAAACCGACTTGACGCAGTGACTACGTCACGTGACGTCGAGGGGCCACGTGACGTGAAATTACTTTGCAGCATGTCTTGACTTTACGACGTCACGTGGCGCATGATTAATCATAGTGCCCATCCAAAAGCTCTACGAAGATTCACAATACCTCATACCATTGCATTTGATCAATACATAAAAATACAGCTGCCAACTTTCAATCTCAAATATTCATTTTATGATACCAACAAAAAAGAAAAAATACCGTGAACCAAGATTTCGCTTCGATTCAGTTTACATTCGGCTAAAAATAGCGCTGAGAAGAGGGGCGGACTTGCACATTTTTCACCTCCTTGCTTTCCCCCCTCTCCTCCTCTTTTTCCTCCAATACCCTGAAAGAAAAACGTTCTGCAACTGTCGGTTGAACTCGTTGAAAAAAGAGACTGTTTCCTAAACGTCCGAAGAATCTACCAACGATTGAGATTGTTTCTCCAAATTTATCTCTTGAAAATTTAGTTCTCAGTGTTTAAAGTCAAGAACTTGCTTTTCGGATCAATTGAATCATTCAAACATACTCATTGTAAAACAACCTTTTTTTTCTTTTTTTAGGGGATAGATTTGTGGAACAAGTTTTCAGGGTCTGTTGTTGCTCTGCTCCCCATTCCTGAATTTGAATGTTTTCTTTACTTTGGAGAGCAGGATTATCACGTTTTATTTGTTTGCCCCTGCTGGAGAGGATGGGTTCCTTATAACATGTACTGTATAGCGTTTCTTTTGTTTTGCTTGTACTTTCCACTCCTGCTTTGGCACTAACAAGACTGGCACTGGCAGTATTGTTACATGAATAATAATAAAATTGTGGGCCCAAGTTCCGGCACACTTTTTCCGTCTAGTTTAGGAATGAGGCGATAAAAACGCAAAAACTGATTGACAGACATCTCAAAGCCCACTGGCATTTTGATAACTGTTTAACTCATTTGGCCTCAATACTGCATCTGCAACATGACCCATACAATCTATAATAGTTTATTAGCAGACTTACCGTGACGGTTTTCACATAGTGGCTGTTGAGTCTCATAAATACATAACACCCATGTAACTCTCACCCCTTTTTTTTTAGTATCTGTTCAAATTAAAATTAAACACCCTGTATTGGCTATTTTCATCGGGTGTTTTTGAACCTACCGCCAGGCGTTGTAAAAATCCGATTCGCTCAAGAAAGCAGACAAGCGAACCCGACAGGACAGCTTTCTGTTCCTGTAGGTGCCGTTGATTTCACAGAAGTCGCCAATATCTGTTGGGGTAAGGGCAAATGACAAAGCTTTCCAGCAATCAAAACCGAAACCACAAAGCAGAAATTGTGCGACAATAAATTATTCAGAACATCTTGGAATAGTTTATGCTGTGTTTCATTAGTTACACCATATGCATTATTTAGAGTACAAAAAAATGCAACGTAAACATCTGATGTCTCCCCTCCCTAAACAAAAGCTATCATGCGGGCAAGAAAGAACAAAAACCAAGGCTTAACCTTTTAAAAAAAAACAATTTATTAGCGACCCACCATTCTCTTCATGAAACTTAAGTTACTACTCCAACACATCCTCGCAGCGTGTGAATGACTGGAGATGCCAAGGCGACAGTTTGGCTTCCTCGTATGTACAACACAACCTCCTGGAAAGTCCGTCTCTTCCGTCTGCCGCAGCTTTCCATTGGATGGAACACCAAGGTTTGTGGAGAGTAGGAGGGGCCGATAGAAAACGGCCAGCAGACAGGCTGGAGCACAGAAAAGACCCTGGTTCCAACGGCCAAAGGGGTATTCGAACCACGGGACTTAAGAGCCTTACAGTTAGGGTTCGAATAGTCCTTGTGGTTAAGAGTTCAATAACCCTCGCTATTCGACCCCTAACCCTAGTTAGAATAACCCTAGTTATTCGACTCCTAAGCAATTCAAATAACCCTAGTTATTTCAGTCCTAACAAATTCGAATAGCCCTAGTCTTTCAAATTCGTAAAATTTGTAACAATGGCACCCCTAGATTTTACGAAAACATCACAGGCCGCTTGGGAAGCTGTGTCGTACTATATTAACCCTGTCACACAGGAAAATTTACGTCATTTCCAGCAAATGTCATTTCCATCATGAATGATATTCTTGAAGACCATGCCACACCCCATCTTTTAATATCATTAAATTTCATAATGATACGGTAATTCACTAGGATGAAATACTTTGGTACTGTATTGAAAAAAGAAAATGTGGTCTATCGGTTGACACCATTTTCAATAGCATTGAAACGTAATAGTATGCATATTTTACTGTGGCCGGCATCCATTCTAAAAGCTGTCTTCGGGTTTTACAGCAGTTGGAGTCAAATCCGAAGGATAATGCACATGTCCTTAGGGTTGTCGTCAGAATGTCGAGCACCGAGTTTGGATGGGAACCCGAGAAGAACAAGAATGGCTCTTTCTAATTACTCTAAGGTGCAGAAGTATCTCTTTGAAATTCTAATTTGAAATTCTAATTAACGACTGAATTCCAAAAAAACAAATAAATATCTAGTAACATATAAGAATAATATTTTGTTTGCATTTGTTGTTAATACAATTTTGCATGCATTTCTTCACTGCCCGTCGAGATTACTTCAGTTGGTCCGACTGCAACTGGGAATGGGTTACCCCGCGCTGATACGGTGGCAAATGCCATTTTCAATAAATATTACTCTATCTACTTTTAGTAGATAGATATTAAGATAAACCTCATTTGCTGGAAATTGCATTTTCCCTCGTGACAGGGGTATTATTAAACCCAACCCTTAGGAGATGCCACTGCACTAGAAAAAAAAAACACGGTAAAAGAATAAGAAAAACAACTTTAAACTAACGTTAGATCCGAATGTAGAGAAGGGAATAAGCGAAAGTTACCTTTCGTAGTCTGCCCATTTACTCAAGGGAGACCGCTGGCCCAGAAATGTTGCTGAAATATCATGCCACTTTCACTTTTAAGTGGCATAACCAGTCCAATTTTGCCCAGCATCAAAGAAAGAGTATTGCGAGCACTATGGAAAGTTTTGCACCGCTCGTGAAAAAGGCAACAAAAATGGGAGGTCGTTGAACGGGACAACAAACACACTTAAGTGACGACGATGACGTGGAAGAAATGATGAACACATTGGAAACGGGTTCCGCTCTCACTTGTGGATGTACGGTAGTACGCTGAAAGTTTCTCGGTCGTGCGGATGGGGCAAGTGTTGGGGGGGGAGAGAAAGTTGATGTCGGCTGGATTCCTGTTTGTTTAAACTCTATCACGCCGGGGGTAAAGAGCGAGCTGAAGACGTCCTCAAGAATCGTAGTCGTCTTCGTCTCCTTTCGAGGCGGCGCCGATGAGGCTCGGTGCAATGTTGTGTTTCTGGAGGAGGCTCGGCTGTAGCACATTGGGTGCGACGGGTGCGAACCTGGAAGGAGCCGATCGTTGCAGTTAAGGCCCATTCACACGCACGCGTTCGCTTAGGACCAAGTTCTTGGAACTTCTTACAACGAGACTACACACTGGCCCCATCTATGAGGTAACCCTGGAACTGCATTTCACGGGAGCGAAGGATTTGCAGTATTTGCGTGATCAAATGAAAGTACCACCTATGAAAAATGGTTGTTTTTGTCAGAAGATTTTGAGCCAAGAAAGAATGGGGGCAAATGTATGAAATTGCCAGGCGTTCCAGGACTACCCATAGATGGCACTGGTGCATTCTCTAGTACGAGATTTTAAGAAGTTTTAAGCCACATAGTCGTAGGCAGTCACAAGTGTCTGAACCAGCCTTTATTCACTGGCCTCACGATTCCCCGACTAGGAAACACTGCTTTGCTCTGCTCTATAAGGAGTATTCACTGGGCGCCATATTTGTGGGTGCTGTAGAGAGCGCATGCTCAGAACGAGCTCCCATTAATAGGCTGCTAAGACCGGCCATTTTGGCGGTGTGGAATGCACGTTGCAAAAGAACCCTGGAAGCTAGCCATCAGCACGTGCTCAGCAGTCACGCCCACAGCTATGGCCGCCAGTGAATACTTCCTATACAACCTATTGTATTTATTCGATTCTAGGCCGATAGTTTTTTTTAAATACCGATACATCAAACTCTAGGGTCGGCTTAGATTTCAGGATTTTGAAACACGCGCCAATTTCCAAGTAAAATTGAAGAAAGTGGCGCGCAGCTAGCGCTACCTAGAAAAGAAAGTATTGTAGCCATTACTAGCTGAGCCAGTAGCCACTTAAGTACACGGGCGGTGCCGCCATTTTGACCTGCATTGATAGTGGCCTGCGTGCGGCGTGGCGTTTTCTTTTTATCAACAGTGCAATGGCACAAAACACGCGGTGCCAATATAGTTCTGCTTTTAAAAAAAAAGTTGTTTCAGCCGTGGAGTTGTTGTCGAACTTTGAAGCCGGGCGGGACTTCAGCGTAAATTAAAGAAATGTCTGTCGTTGGAGGAGGCAACGGGAGAGGATATTTGCGTGCGCCGCAACGAGGATGGCATTCAACGGACCACGAATAGGCCGTCACCACGAAATGGAGATGGCATTGGCCAACTTCGTTCGGATGCAGCGAGCAGCTGCCTTTTCAGTAACAACGGAAGTGCTGCAGGCAGAAGCGAAGGAGCTTTCAAGGGAACGAGGCTTATCGCGGAACGACATCCCTGGAACTTTGATCGTGCGCTCCTTCAAAAAGTGCAGCATATCAAATGTGCTTGATGGTATTGAGGATAGCACACTGTTTGAAGATGACAGTGATAAACAAGTCAGCGACGAGGCTAGCAGCGATGATGACTCAGAATGAGCACGGCATCTTCATGTTCAATAAATGTCTTCTTTTTGTGAACGCTGTCCTTGCCTTTTCGTTCGGCCTCCATTCGAGGTAAGTTTTTTTGTTTTTTTTCCTGGCTTCGGACTTTCTAGGGTCGGCTTAGAATCGGGGCCGGCCTAGATTCGAATAAATATGGTATCTGCCGTACCGCAGAGCACGACACCAGAAGCTAGAAGGCCATCACAATCATCTCATTTGACACTTAACTCAGCTACCTCAATAGTGATGATAAGTAACAAGCATATTGCCGAAACGGAGTCAGACACACTAAGTAAGACGAACCGAGTAGTGAACAAATACTCCAAAATTCAACAACGGTGCCTTTAGAAATGCAACCAACTGGATCAAAGTCGTATGTTGAGCATTCGTGAGAAATTAGTTATAATAGTGTTCGGCTCTGCTCATATTCGATTTGCGGACCAAATTTTACCGTTTTCATGACCACAGTCCCCCCAGTGTACGTTAAGAAGTATTCACCAACGACTGTCTTTGGGGTCTGACCGGTCTTCTATTCCTGTCAGCGATAGACATACTTTTTCTGAGACTCCCAATCAAAATCGGGACATGCCGGAGCCTGCCTGGGGAAAGTTAATATAGACAGTCTGCCAGCAAACAATCCAAATAATATTGGGCCATCCGTGTAGCAGCCACAAGTGGAACTCACGGGGTGATGTGAGGGTAAGCAACCATGGCGGCGGGGTTCTTGTAAGCCGGCATCGCAGGCGCCACGTCGGTCGCATTTTCACTGCTCGCGTCGTCCGTTTCCTGAAAGCAACGGCCAAGAGGACAACCTCAATAATTCTTCGCTAAAAGACACTAAGCACTAGAGTGATTCTGGATTCGAGCAAAAGAAACACTCAAATTGTCCGCATGTGACCTTCAGGATCACAATCCCCAAAATTACCTTTCAGTTTCACGAGCAGTGAACCCGTATATAACTGTTTTCGAAAGAGCAATTAGGTTGTTTCTCTCAGTACGGTCAGTGCGTGACGAATTTCTGAGAGGGAGTGTGAAGTCATCAAAGAAACTCTCGGCATAGCTGCGCTATACCCGAGCTCTTGAGGTTCATATTTTAAAACATGAAATGCTTTTTAACGAAACCGGCAAACAACAAAATTTTGTCCATCCATCAATCCATTCGTGTATTTCGTTCTTAAACAAATACTGCAACAAGGATCTAGCGCCTATTTTATTGTCAAAATGCCAACCATGTTCTGGTCACACCACAGACACCAATTTTTTTGTTTGAAAAGATACCGAAACATTACTTAAAATGGACGAACCAATTACCAGATTGCACCTAGTGGGTTTTCCCAAAGTTTTTCGAATCTCATTACAAGCCCCTTCCGACAAAAGCAGTACCGTTCCCCAAAGGTACGGCGCCGAGCTCCGAACGCGCCTAGGCTGTCAAACTTGACCAAACCGGATTTTTCTCCTTTCCCGTGCCTATTCGACTCCTGCAAGAAGTGGGAAGAGGGGAGTTTGAGGCGGAGGTGAGTCACTTTTTCGCCTCCACTGTCATTGCGGAACCAGTCATCGGCCAACGTCAACATCACCGAGTGGCAAAGCTCACAACCGCTCCAGCCTTCCTGTAGACTTGCCCGTAAAGGTAAACATGACGTCACGAACGCGTCGAAGGCGCCGGATCTCCCGAGATGCATGCACTCTCCGATGGCTGCTCTTCTAGCGCTCACTGGAGTTGGCCGTTCAGAACGAAAAATATAGCCATCTACTCAAAATACAAATATGCGATTGTCATTAGCAGATTTCGCTGATCATGTTTTACTTAATTTCTGAATGTGGGAGGTCTATTTCAGTTTTCATTTAAGTATTTCTTTAAATTTAGTGGGGAAATTGTTGACATGTGATGCCAGGATATCGCACGGCACCACAACTTTACAACTTGACATCGGGCCACGTAACAAGAAGCCATGTGAAATTTTCCAAAAAAACTTAGTGGAAAATTGCCAACATGTAACTTGATGGCTTGCGAAATTTAGCTGCTAAATTTAGTAACAACAGCGATGTCACGCAACTTGACGTCACATGTCGTCGTGGTACCACAAGACAACATGACTTGACACCGCCATAGCTCCTCAACCTGTTTTGCACTAAAAAAAAATGAAATATATACAGTGTGTTTAGAGGCAACAAAGACAAACTTGACCGCACTTACGGGGGAGTATGTTGCGTCCGGTTAGCTATTGCTTTTGCTTGTTTTTGAGGACCCGCAGAGAGTAGTAAATACCTAAAAAGTCTCACCGCCGAGGACTAACTGCGGTACCTCCTTAAAGTTACTTCTGTGGAATCGACATGCCTTCCTCATCCCTCGGGTGAAAAGGAAGAGCCCTTGTTCTTCAAAGAAATAACATATCTGCCGAAGGTGTCGTGGCCACACCTTCATGACTACATGACTACCTACTTAAGCCGCCTGGTCCACATACCCGAGAATGACTTCAAGGGACACAGAAACCCCCCAAATTACTTTTTTTTTATTTTTTGCCAAGCGATTTAATATGGTTGCAGAAGACTACCCAATCAATATTTTGCTGCAGTGTCATGTATATGTTTAATAAAGCGAAAAAACTCGACTGCTCAAAATCGAAACACAAGCATGGCCAGAAGTCACAAGGCTACACACAGCTGCATTTTTTTTCCTCTTCTTTTCCGGTTTCTGAAGCAGACGACGATGATGACGAAATTGCGTGAACTGTTTGTCATGCGATTGTTTCACACTCATGTCCCTTCCACTTGATGTTCTGTGCTTGATGATTGATTGGCCGGTACCATGAACGACAGTTACAAGGTAGCGACCCCACATCCGTCGCAACATTGGTCCGTCGTGTGCCGCCATCTTGTCGTCCAGCCCGCGGTACATCACCATATTGAGAATGGTGTGTACACTTCATGTAATCTGTGCAACATTGTTTTTTTTTTCGATCAACGTATTTGCACCTTTTTGGAGGTCACAAAAAAGAGTTCATATTCTTTTCTATTTTTAATACTGAATGTGTGTCTTAGATAACCCACGAGTTTGAATATATTTGTTACACATAGTTCGAACGCCACGAGACCACGAAAACGAGAGTGAGCGTGACTGACACAGGACCATTCTCGATTGGCTGTTTTCAGACGGAAAGAAAACTAATTTCAAACCACTGATTCTTCTCCTTGTAGTTGGGGTCTTATAGGTCACGTTATGAAAACCTCAGCAAGCATAAATATTCTGTCAGTGTCCCTTTCAAATGTATGAGTTCTTAAACGCGTCCAACTACTTCGTGAACGGCAAGGCATCGGCCATAGGCACCTGGCTCCCCCAGGTGCCCAAGATACGAGCCAAGCTTCCTGCAGGGGTCGCCGAGCTGGGTCTTGATTTTAGTAGACAATTGTCCAAAAAATTTTATTATGCTTCCTACAGTGATTCTCTGTAATGCACAATTTCCTAATGCTTTGACTTGTTTGCTTTGGTATTAAATTTTTCTTTCCCAGAGCACCGTGCCACCCTGCATTTATTCGTGCCGTAATGGTCCGGTTGGCACCTACTGTTGTACGGAGACGGTCGGCCAAGGCGCCACCCGCTGGCACCGCTTCGCTGGCACCAACTGCTATTGCTGCCATTCTGCGATCACCCAGGCTCAATAGCTTCGGTGGTGTCACTCGACATAATCGAAAGAACTTCACTCGTGACATCTTGTTCGTGCCGGTGCACATCGAAAACTTGGAGCACGACACTGGGGCATTTTTAGAGCGTAGCTCTCACGCAATTGCTCGCTAGGGAACCAAGAGTCGTTGCACACACCCCCAAACACAAGGTAAACTAGAAGTATTACTCTTCCCAGGCCATGGCTGCAGGAAGCGGTGCAAACACCATGTATACAAGAAAGCTACAACAAAGAATTTACTATGATCTGGTATTTTCGTTTTTTATCGACTATGCTAGTGATGAACAGAGCACATTGTTATCTAACATAATGAGTCCAGTCTGTCCTGCATGCTCCAAATGTCCTCACTGCATTATGCGAAGCTCCAAAAGTCTACCCAACAGTGGTCCAAAAAACTATGAAACATATCCTGAAGCAAACAAGAACCCTTGAGATTATAAAAGCGCAAACTAGAAAAAAAGTAAAGGACAGTTCAGGGTGCCGATGAAACACTCACGTCATCCAGATATCCATCCTCTTCGTCCTCCGCACTGTCCGTCTCTTCTGCCATCGAATGGCTTGGCCCGGCGGCGTCGCTGTTCCCGTTTTTGCTCCTCTTCCGTACGCTGCAACGACGTGAAAAAGTTCCACCGTTCCCCATCTTCTGTTGTCCTTCTGGGTCCAAACAATCATCCCTGCAACGCGTCTCCGACCGGTGTGTCTACCGCATCCAAAGAAGCGGTCCCTCGATTTCCGTCCGACGATGTCATAAAAGTGCCACGCCGTCGCCGGCAGCGATCTTGGCAATGTCGCAGCGGCGGTGGTGATTGTGGCAGACGCCTGGTCTGCTGCGGGTTGCTCTCCAGCTAGGCAGTCAACAGAAGGTTCCACAGCCGGGAGTTTGGACGCAGTGACGCAGCAAAATTTGCGTTCTCTCTTCCTTTTTTCAAAAACTTCTACATTCGACCGCCAGAACTGCGACGTCCGACATCATAACACTCCGGACTTTTGCGACGTCCTGTGTCACCACTTCTGTACATACCGGTCAGAGACGCATTCCAGGTGAGGTAGTCCAAACTGGCCTCCTCACGAGGCTTGCGGCAGCGCTCTTGCACGAACGTTCTTTCGGTCGCAACGAGGAAGCAACGGCTCTAATATAATCATTTTAGACGGACTAACAATGAGCATCCTAAACAGAACAGGCACCTATACGGGTGCTTATCAAGAATACCCACTGAATAAGGTAAGCGAGTTTGTGATCAGCAGAAAGATGACTGATGCATGTATCTTACTTATCAGATGCCAGATAGTATGTAGTGTGGAGCGCCTATACTTGGCACCAACCTTTTTTTTTGTGCTACGTGGTCGGGGCTAGGTACCGTAAAATATGGCAGAAGCGCTCACTTCGCACGAGCACCAACTATTAACATTTCCCGAACTTGGGAATTCCGCAAATTATACGTCAAGTGCCCAACCCCTCCAAATTGCCGGCATCAGCCTAAGATATTCGCCCCTCTTCCGGTGGTCATGAGACCGCCAGCAGCGATGACGGAGAAATCGCGCAAAAATAAATGCGCTTCCTTAGACTGCGTTCACCCCGTCTTTGAGGCTCTTCATTGGCTGCCATCTCGGCTTTTTCTGATTTAACCGAAGAAGCATCCATGTCTAGATTAACCAAGTTTTTGGCGAAAGCAGGGTGGGCATTTCCCCGGTATTTTACGGTAGTTCCTGCGGCGCTCAATGGCCATCATAGCTACTTTTGCGAGCACGTGGCTTCGCGCGAGAGCGCGTGCAAATGAGACACGAGACGAAGCAACATACTCTCCCAGCGATTCGGGGCTGCGGCATCGTGGAAAATACGCCGGCTTCGACAAAGGGGCACTGACGAGTTAACTCCGAGCGTAGACACGTCAGTTAAAACTGGTTCACAGATCTATGCTCGAGTGTCACTGAATATTTTGTGCCCTCTTATGACGAGAAAACACGCCGCCACACTGGCACCATCTATGAAGTAGCCAGGCCCCGGGACACTTCCAATCCATGTACAGTCGCCGGCCATATGAGCTACCCCGGCCGAACGCCAACCGGATCAGCGAAAATCCCGCACGCGGCGCGTCGAGCGTTGCTGCGTTTCGGAAGCCGGGCTATTGGGACAAAACCATTCAGTTATCAAAGGGGTAGACGCATAGCTTTTATCAAGATTCCAGCCTTTCGAAGGGTGAATCACAAAAATATGGCCGATTAGAATTGCCGTCTTCGGGTATTGGCTCCAAGTGTTCGGAGATGATGTTATAACTGCTGATAAACTGGAGCTTGCTTTAGGCGTAGATAAAGCAGCAGTGTTCGATCGATGCTTACAAATTTAAACACCCTATGTTTGATATAATATTAGGCATGGCAACAATGATCCCTCAGCAAGCGAGAAGTGGCCGACCAGGAAGCCATTTGTAAAATCATAGTGTAGAGAGTCACCCTTGGCGAAGCAACACACTACTGAGCGCAGAACAATAGAGTCTCCTCGATAAAACGCGTTCGTGAAAAGTGCCTGAATCTTTCTGCTGCTTCGAAGCAAATAATTTTTTTGTTATTTATAGCATACCCTTATAAATTAAATAAATCTTGTCATTGTCTAGTCTATGTTTAAGAAAGATTGTAAGAAAGGGGGGGCTTGTGCATAGGATTACTCTTCTGGTAGGAACTATATAAAATGACAAACCGGTTTTTAAATAAAAAAAGTAGCAAATAACACGTCAGAGGTATTATGCAGTGAAGAATTTCGATAAGCCGTCTGCATTTACCTACAACCAGAAGCAGGATTGTAATAGTCCGTGCTTCAGATTCACGTTCCAAAATGTGGAAACTTCCTGCTTCCACCCCTTTGATAACGGAATGGTTTGGTCCCGATAGCCCGACTCCCAGAACGCGGCAACGCTCGACGTGCCGCGTGCAAGATTTTCGCTGCTCCGGTCACCGTTAGGCCGGGGGAGCTCATATGGCCGGCGACTATACAACTAGAATGATGCCAGTACTTGCAAGATCAAGCTTATATGTACTATCTACAACAAGTGTAACATTGCCAGAATTATTTTGAGCTATACGCGGATGGGACCCGTTCCAGAGCCACCCGATAGATGGCGCCAGTGTGTTCTCACGTCTGCAGTAACTGTATATGGTCCCCTCCATACTCTTATCACAAGCGGTACAGCGGCAGGTATTGCAACGTCTTTTGCTGCCATTTCGAAAAAAATCTTTCGTGCACCGTCGGCACAAGACGCCAGACAGCCCGGTCAGACGGGCGTGGGAGGCACACCGGTTCCGCGACAACCCACTCACCCGACGAGCTTCGGCCGCCCGACGAGGGACGGCCCCTCGTACGCCTCCTCGTCGCCCTGCACGTCCGGAACGGCCAGGACCAACTCCTTGAGGAAGAGCAGGCGCTCGTCCGCCAGGATGCAGGCTTTCCTGCAAGCGCCGTCACCCCCTCCGTCGCTCAGTCGACCGAACGTCTGCTTGCGCGGAAATGCCTTTGACGTCTTTAGCCGTCTCTAGAGCCACTCCACAAACTACCCTTACCACTTGCACGTCGTACGAAAGGCAGTGCACAAACACTGTCTGCAGACTGCCTTTCAGTCTCGTCACACCAGTCCTACAAGAACTGTCTGTAGACGAATTCGAAGCATACACACGTACGAAGCAGACGTGCTATGAACGTGCCCGAGCCATGTCAACGGATACTTCCGCCTTCGTGTCTGCAGCCAACGCCACATCTTTTGTCTGATGTACGAGTGGCACGACTGCAGCCATAGACTGTCGGCCCTCTATTCCCCGACTTCCTCGCAGACACCGCCGTTTCGGTGCCTAGAGCGGGGCAATCGGCGACAGTTCCTATTATAAAAAATGCGACTTTCTGAGCTCTAGGTACGGTGTCGGGAAGGTCAAGCGATGTCGTTTCGCTCTGCCGTGGGCTGTTCTAACGTTTCTGAAGGACGGAGAAGAGTAACCTGCAATCTCAAATACAACGTCGGAGGATCGCCAACGACGATTTGGAGCACCAAGATGGCCAAAGTATCGAAACTCCGATTTTGTGGCTCTAGCCGTCCCTACAGAAGAAGTTTGCACGGCATGTCGCTCGTGGAAGTTGAGAGTGCAATCGCAATCGGTAAAAAGATGCCGAGTCGGTGACATAATCCGTTCGTGGAGGGAAGACTTAAAGGGACACTGACGGGTATTTATGCTCGCCAAGGTTTTTATTTGTACATGACATACGAGAGCCCAACTACCCAGAACGCGATTTGCGGCTCGAAATTCAAGTTCTTTTCACTCAAAAACTGCCAATTGAGAACTGGCCGGTTTCACTCATGCTCACTCTCTCCTCCATGGTCACGTGCCGTTGTCTATGGTTTAGACACAACCACAAAATACAATCAAAGTCGTGGGTCATCGAGGGTGCACATTCAATATTCAAAAAATAAAAAAAATATGATACCCATTATTTATGGCTTTTAAGAAACTGCAAATATGTTGATTGAAAAAAAAAAAAGTTGCACAGCTGTGAGACTTCCTGGCAACTCCCTCCTTTTCAATATTTCTTCTTTCTCCCCACTCCTGTTTCGGTTTTGGCTTTGAGCAGTTTTGTTTTTTTACATTATTAAAAATATATGCGACGCTGTAGCAAAATATTGATTGGGTAGTCTTCCGACTCCATAATAATAGCCTGGAAAAAAATAAAAATATATTTTGGGGGGATGTCAGTGTCCTTTTAATGATGACATTGCATCTCTATCTCATAATTTCGGGAGTTCTCAGTTTCGGTTGATTTCGCTAGCTTTCACATAATGTGTCGGACGACTAAGCATTTGTCTAAAAGTTTTGAAAGAAAACCTACACAGCATTTTGGGAACCCTAGAATCCAAACTAAAACATGTCAAAATATTTTGGAATCATCTTCAGCACTCCTTTAGATTCACATCGTTAGACGGGAGATGAGATTCAATGCCACTGGTTACTGGAGCTTTTCTATAGTTATGTGGCTCCATATGCTAGGCTTTCGGGAAAACAGTTCCAATGTTTCCCTTTTCCTCAAAAAATTATGCCCTTCTCTATAAAAAAAAAAAAAGAACAAATTTTATACCAAACTATGTTTTCCTATATAAGAGCTATTGACAGAAGGATCACTGCATCCTGTACCTACAAAGCTCATCTTTTGATCAAAAATACTTCCAGCACAGGTGCCAAAGGATAAAAAGCCCCAAGAAATGAGTCAACATATTTGTACGAAGCATGAAACTTCCGCAACAGTCTCAGTATTTAATAGGCGAGATCTATAAAATAAGAAAAAACAAATTCAAGTATACACCTCTAATCCAGTTCGTTGAGTGTTTTCGTCTGCTAGAAAATAGCACAAAGCTAGATATTAAAAACTGCCAAAAATTCTGGATTGAAACTTGTTTTTATTTTTTGCTGCCTTTCAGCATTACCTTTGCTCTGAGGCAACATTCTTTGCACGGAGTGATGCTACTGCACACCCCTTTCTAAGCGGGACCCAAGAAAGATTATGAAATGAGGCTCATTGTTTAGTAGGTAGCATGGTAGGTAGCAGTAATGCAAAAAAAAAAAAAAATATTCTAGGACAATAGCGGTGAGTCACTCACAGGTGTGAAGTAGTGAGGGTCTTGGCGTTCCTCGAACAGGTGACGTCGCTCGCCCTCCGAACGAGGGATTCAACGAAAAGTTCGAGGGCTCGTGCTGTCAAAGTGATCACCACCAGTCAAGAAAAAACATCAACCGCCCAACAGTCATACACAAAAAGAACTAGAATGTGGCAGTGGATTCGTAGAGCCTAGATTTAAGAGAGGGAGCAACTCAAAACCATGGAGAGTGTTTGTATAATTCAATGGAGGACGCCTCATGTGCAGATTGGTCACACTGCGTTGTCGCATGGAGAGGAGAAAAGTGGGTGGAGAGGCAGAGACGCTTGCAGACGATCAATGCGTTTGTCACCTCCTCGCAGCTCATATTGCAAACGCAGCCCACAGACGACGTGACCCCAAGAGCATTTGGAAACGCTCTCAAATATAGCCACACTTTGCATTTGCCCCACTTGCTGGGGTCACCTGGTGGCAACAAGAGGAACTTTTGTATGGGGGACCTCTTGTATGCTTCCTCAACACTCATGTAAACGGATTTTAAATACCGCCACCTAGTGGAGTTAAGACAAGTGACAAAGAAGATTTCATGCATTCTACTTTCTTTTGAACGTGACTATAATCTCTTATTCACTTTTCAGCACATACGTGCAGGCAAACACCCAGAGACACGAAAAACATGCATGCAAACACTTCACAAACACATGCACAGCCACCCCACAACAAAGATACAAGCATAGGATGTGTGAAAAATGTGTAGTCAGAATCACAAATAAGCAAACTGAGTGACCGCATGGTTTTCACCACGGCATGCTAGGTTGGCGGTAGCAGGCGAAACTAACTGGCGACATGCCACGCACATTTATATGTGTGGGTGGTGTATTACGGTGTGGTAGCTTCAAACCAAATAACATGCTCGAAAAAAAAGAAGAAAGTAACAATAATAACCCCTGGAAAACCTATGCATTAATTGCATTAACATCAAGAAATAAGTATTTTTTTATTGTACATATCTAATTTTGCTTTATGCTTTCTAATAAAAAAAAAGAAGATAAACATTATTTTTGTTTAATTAGTGGTATTTTTCTTATACCACGTGGTTATCAAATAAACGTTAGGTGTTTTTATGATGGCGTCTGGACACTGAAGTGAATCTCCGCCAGTGCATCAAAGGGTACACTAGGATACTGCTACAGTGTTCTAGAAGGGGGAGTAGTGGCAAAAGCGAGGCCGTCAATGGGAGGCGCTGTGCCCGAAAACGCAGACGGTTGCCTGTGGCGCTGCAGTCGACTACTGGAGGAGAAAATGACTGCATCGGTTGCTTCCTCTTGCCTTAGCAGCCATCAGGTGCTCTTGGCGGACGCCGCTTGTCCAAAGGATTGAATTTGCTGATCACTCCAAAGCATTAACTGCTGAAGTGATGGCATTTTAAGTTGCCACTAGGGTGCACCTCTTTCTAAAATCACTCAATCGCGTCAGAGTGCAGAAGCATTAACGGCAAAACATCTAAAGCTCGATCAGTCTATCCACATAGCTTTTCCGTCCAGTTTTGTCATCAGAAGTATCTGTTACTTTCAGTACCTTCTGCAAATTTTACTTTTATAATTGTGCCATGCCCTTTTATGCTGTGCAACTAGTTGTATTATTTCCCTAAATACAAGTTTTTTTTTGTTTTTGTTATGGTGCATGCAAGGCAGAGCTTGCTGGCTCAATATAATTTTTATGATGAATCAAGCAATTTTCTTTAGCTGTTAAAAAGCGGAATTGTCGGAACTTTTCTTCCATATTTGTTTGGTCGTGTTCTTAGCAGCATTCATTTCGAAGTTGAAATAAATGTGTGTTTTTTTTGTGGTCAGGGTGAAAAAAAATCAGGGCAATTTTTTATCAAATAAATTAAATTTTTTTTAATTTGAATCAAACTTATATAAATTAAATCTCTTCAACTAGAAATTGGTGACTCTTTTATTACTAGATCTGTTTTTTTTTTCTTTTAATGGCTTGCTAATATAAATATTTTCTGCCTGATCATTATTGACTTCAAATACAAAACAAATACTCATGGGAAGCATACTGATGGGCAAACGGTAAATAAAAAATATTTTCAGTATTATTTTGGGGAAAGTGATTCAATTCATTATAGACAAATCGGCGAAACTTAAATCCCATAGCCAAATAGGTGTGATGTAAATATTTATTTAAATCAAGATTTAAATTATCCTGACTTTTATTATCCACCCTGTTACGGTATAATTAAATCAAAGCATGTAATAAAATTTATTGTTTTCTTGCTATGGCAAAACAAAAAGGAAGCGTTTTCATTGGGAGTCACCGCTGCAGATCAGTGGAATAAATATAAGAACGCAAACGTTAAGCAACTTCTGCATATGTGAACAGTGAGCAGCTAAGGAAACCAGGCATAGCTTGAATTTCTCTCCCCAGCTTGCAAGCCAGTTCGCCCGTAAAGAATGTGACACTAAAATAATTTTAGTGGATCAGCAGCTTTCATTTATCGGGCAGAAGTAAACGGAATAGAAATGCCAACCATGTTTTTCTCACTGCAACAATAAACTACTTATCACTGAACCCTCAATCTACGTCAGAATGGGAAGCCAGCCTTTGGGATCCGATTTCATAACTGAGCGTAAAAGCTTCAAAAATGCATGAGCGTGAATAGCATCTGCTTCTAGGAGTGGGCCATTTTTTCATTTAAAATTTCCGGACATTGCTCATAACTCATAACACCCAATTCTGAATCTCAACACCGTATCCAAATCTCTAGAGCTACACTCGGGTGGTGACTGAGCTGACAGAGCATTTGCCTACAGTTTCTTTTTGTTGTAGCAGCATAGGCGTGTGGTGTTTCAAGCTTGCTATTTGTGTCATGTTGATCCCCCCCAACATGTGTCATGTTGGGGGGGATCGGTGGCCGAGTGGTCTAGCGCACACCAGCTCGGAGCACGGGGAGCGAAAGCTCGCGCTGCAGAACCCAGGGATCCTGGGTTCGAGCCCCACCCCTGCCCGTTTCGATCTGGATGAGCATCGTACCGGCGTGCGGTCGTGTATCACTACTGTGTGATGCACGTTAAAGACCCCAGGCTAGCGGCTGTAACGCACTGGCTAAATTTTTTATCTACAGCTGGGAGACTCGCCACCCCTGTGAGGCAGACCAAGTTCTAGGCTGTATAAACACACACACAACCCCCCCAATTTGAACACAAAGAGACACATTGCCCCTGGACGACACCTTCCAAGCATCCGAAACACTTTTTCGTTCAGTCTGACAACCGCAGAGCTGATAAAATGATATATTAAATGGTGTGTTCATAAAAACATCACTAGATAGAGCAGTGAGCAAGTAGATGATGCCACATCTTTTCAGCGCCACTGCAGGGGGACACTACGCCAACGCCACACAGCGGCATCCAATTCTAAGGCCTCACAAGGGCACACCGAATTTGCCACTACACCCCTTCTAGAACAATGCAATACTGCCTCCTACATGAAGAGATCCGCCCGGCGTGACATCATCGATTAGTTCCACTTGTTGCCGCCAGTCGCACGACCACGCGCTCCGAATGAATGTGACTGGAACAGCAAAAGCATACCCCCACGATCACATGCAGTGGACTAGTAAGCGTTTTTAAGCGAGGACAAACAGATAAGCTTTATCCTGCAAAATAAAGAAAGATTACTTGGTAGCCTGCACAAGAAAAGAGGTTCAAGGATACATATTATGACAGGTACCGGCGCGGCGACTTTGCCGACTTCTTCATCCTTCTGCATTATCTTCTTGATCCTTGCCTGTGGTTTAAGGACAAAAAAAGAAAAAAAGAAGCACAACAGAGGAATTAGGGCAGATTAAAAACCAGAGCGCAGCTGCCATAAAAAAAAAAAAAAGGAAGCAAAATTCATTAAATAAAAACGTGGTGATCGATCGCTGATGGCCCCGCTTTTGTTTGCGCGCGCAAAGCGCTGCAGCAAGGATAAAAGCTGAACAAACAATTAAGAATTAAAAAAAAAAAAGCAGCTCGGTAAACGATAGGAGAGTCTCTTCGTTCCATAACGTTTTCGATAACGCTTTGCGTCAAATATGTTTTCCGCAAAAATTCAGATTTTGTTCGTTTTCTTTTCTTTTTTAACTTAGGTTTTGCTGCGACAAAATTCGATTGCATTGCCGTTGGCACTGCACTGCGACGCAGAAAACAAATTAAAAAAAAAAAAAAGAAGCAAAAAACTAGGTCGTCGACGGTACTCGAAGTGGACCAGGCTAGAAGCAGATACACACACGTAAGGACAACTAGCGCGCCTCGAGAAAAAAATACAAAAAAACCGGCCTAGTCTTTCACTGTCAGGCTTTCCAAGTTCCCAGCTGTGGGCTCGCGGACGTCCGATGCTTGCGTGCGTGAGCAAGGACATTTGAACAGGTCTAGAACATTCTGTCGCCGTGTAAACAAGGTAGCATTTTTTCGGGTGCCCCAAGGCTGAGTCTAGAGGCAGCCTGTTTCATTCAAATCGTGCTGCTGGACCTATTCTCCCGGCGAGGTGAGCTTTTAGGCAGGAGGGACGGGACTTACGGGCGGAAACCTGGCGTTGTATTTCTTCTTTTTGTTTGCCATTCGCTCGGTCGAACGGGACAATGTGCTTGGCGATCACAAACTCATGTCCGATTTTGTTTGCAAAACTACACAGCGTTTCTCAGTGGTTTTTTTTCTCCCCCCTACGCAAGCTTCGATTCCAACTCAAGGCAGTTTCGGCGATAGAGTGCTCCTGTAGCCGCAGTTGCGCACCCAATTTATCGTTGGGGGTTGAATTTGTTAAGTGCTATTAAAATTCGTATTGATTGCAATAAACATTTTATTTTGTTTTAATGCACTTTTTAATTTGTATTAAGCCGTTCTATTACTTCAAAATATTTTCTTAGCCCTCAAACTGCGGCGACTTGAATTAGGTTTCGGTTTCGACTTGCTTGTTGCGGCAACTTCAAGCTGCAGGGTACTGTAAATTGAAATTGAGAGTACCTCAGCCACACAACCTACTCTCATAAGCCAGCTAACTAAACTTGAAACAACATGCACGTCGCATTATTTTTTTATTAATTTTCAATAGTAATAAAGCTTTAAAAAAATACAGACAACCGCGCATGCGGAAGATTAGTTTAAATGCGATTTGGGCCTGGTGAAACCCCTATCCCCAATGCAAAACTCAGTCACAAAATCACTCACTATAACCCTCCCGATGCCTAGGCTCTACGAGCTAATAAATAGAATATCATAGACGCCACCAGTTTTAGTAAATATAAACACGGCCAACCACGACCACATAAAATCAGTGTGACACATATTGCATCGTTGTGGAACAAACTATCCACTGCACAGCACGCGAGAAACAAACCTAACCCCGACCAGCCAGTGAGAAGACACCTGTTAACTCTTCGCTCCGAGCCCACACCTTGAAGGCAAACTCATCGTCCATTGCCACACTGTCCAACTTGTCGGGCTGGCAGTTGCGGTACAGTTTCCCCGAATGCTGGTCGTACTCTTCGTTCACGGCGCAGTCCACAATAGTCTGACAGCCCTGCGAAGGCGTCCGGACCGCGAACAACGCAAACGGCAACAAGAGGACGACAAGGTACCACGGCAACTTCACGTGACGTCCCAAGTTCGTGTAGACCATACCAGGACTAGCAGCGTACGCCCTGACCCCGGTGCCCTTGAGTCGCCGGCTCAGCTCTCTCACGAACAGAACGTTGGCCAACTTGCTGTTGGCGTACGCCAGCTTCTTGTCGTAGTTTCCTTCGTCCATCACCATGTCGGGGACGCTGAGCTTGCCACGCTTGTACAGGCTGGAAGTGACCACCACGACCCTGCTGGGCTGAGAGTTCTTCAGTCGCTCCAGTAAAAGGTTGGTGAGCAGAAAGTGTCCCAAGTGGTTCACCCCCATCTGAAGCTCGAAGCCCTCCTTGGTCGTGGAGTAGGGACACTGGAAGACGCCGGCGTTGTTGATGAGGACGTCCACGTGCATCTCCGTTTTGAGGACGCCGTTCACGAACGCCCTGATGGAACTGAAGGACGCGAGGTCGAGGTGGCGCAGCGCAACCTTGTCGACGGAAGTGAGTTGGCGGATTTCGGTGGCTACTAGCAGGCCCCCGTCAATGTCTCGGCACGCGAGGATTACCTTGGCGCCTCGGAGCGCCAGCTCGATGGCCGTGGCTTTGCCCAGACCCGTGTTGGCGCCGGTGATGATCACCGTCTTGCCGACCATGGACCGTTTACTACGGCACCGGCCCCATGTGTAAACGCGCCACTTACGGGCGACGTAAGCGGTGACCAGGCCGGCTAAGATGCACCATGCCACACTCTGTACACCCATCGAAGCTGGTGGTTTACGCCGATTTCGTTGTCCGGTGCAGGGCGCTCAAATGCAGTGAGGAAGCTGAGGTCATCTTGCTCGCGCACCTCGCGCTAGCGTTCGCACCTGTGCAGCCGGGCTGGTCGGGCGCGGCACAGCATTCACTATAATCAACCGTCCATGTAGGTAACTCTTTTTGTACTACTCCGCCATGCTAATAAGTTTTATTACTATTCATTTTATTTCGCTATCTAGTTGCTAATTTTTAATTTAAATGTTTTTTTTTTGTTTTACTATATGTTTTATAAAATTGTTATATTTCAAAAAGTTGTGATGTACTCTTTCGTGTAGCGTATTCATAAGATCTTTCACCGTGCACCGGTTTTATGCTTGTCGCATGGTTGGAATTAGTAGTAACGTTTTAACCTTTTCTTTTTTCTTTTTTTTTTTAACTGTTTTTTAGTGTTCAAAGCACGTATGAAGTTGAACATTCCGTGATTCCGTGCTAAAACCACCGACGGAGCTGCGTGAATAAAGTCAGGTAAAGCCGTAGACATGTTCCCGTATCAGAGCATGCATGGCACATACGCGTGATCATCTAAACTTCTCTAAAACTTAACTTCCAGAAAAGCTGGGCTGCCTCCGCTGCCCCAAATTACGTCTTTTTTTTTCTTTTTTTTTTTCGTTTTTCAGGGCCAGCTGGCGAACAAACGCAAACAAGCCATCATAAGGCGTCTTATCTGCGTCTAGTGCGTACCTCTCATTTCGTTTTTTCGACAGAAGACGAAAGGAAAAGATGAACCTGAGACTTCGTGGATGTGTTTGCGTCGGTAGGGCAACTCAAAACTTCCTGTAGCCGTCGCGAGTACCATGCTAGCATGCTCAACGCCGCGATCTCCTGTGGCGAGACAAATCACTCGGGGCGTCCGTTTTGCGCAGGTCGGACTCTGCTTTCGACTTTCGGGGAGTCTAGGAGACGATCCTTGCTGCTGAGCCGTCGAAGCATGTCGTACAACTTCGAGACGCTTGCTGTTTCGACACCCGCCGACCATGTCTTTCACGTCGAGATAAACAGGCCGGAAAAAATGAACGCCATGAACGCCGCATTCTGGGAGTAAGTAGGGGAGTAATGTTTGGAGGTGGGCTAGTCGGTGATGCATTGTAAACATAGAAATAAAACAGCGCAAACGAACACAAGGACAAGTAGAAAGACAAGTAGGACAAGTGTCTGTGTCCCTTCTTCTACTTGTCCTTGTGTTCGTTTGCGCTGTTTTATTTCTATGTTTACAATAAGTAGGGGAATTGAAACACTCCTCGAGCATAAGGTATCTCTAAAGGGGGCAAGGAAACACGCCTGTATTACTTCTCTTTCACGATGGAACTTCTGTACTCTGCTTCAGGGAGTAGAGCAACAGATTTTCCAAGAGCAGTTTGCATTGAAGGAAATTTAATTCTGAGAACGCCGAGCTCTGGTTGGCTACGATTGGAAGAATAGGGGGTAGACCTCAAGGCAGCTAGCATTGAGGCCTACCCATTATACTTCCAATCAGAGCTAGGCTTTTTGACGTCACTGCAACCCTTGCTCAAGATGCAAACGAATTTACGCTCTGCATAAAGATAGTTAAATTCTGCATTTCTTTCTGTTAAGAATATAGAAGAATATAGATAAAAACTCTATAATTTTTTTTTATAGGTTGAAAGCCACAGATCTGAGTTATCAAACTTTTCTCATCAACCATAAACTGTGGGAAAGTCTGCTGCTTCAACGGTGCACATCCAATTTATCTCTTTCCAACAGAGAACTTCCGAAGTGCTTCCAGCAACTTCACAACGACAAGAAGTGCCGGGTCGTCGTCATCTCGGGTGCTGGCAAGATGTTTACCGCTGGTAAGATTGATTACATTGAAGGGACCATGAAGCAGAAGCCATGGCAGAGGGTGATTATGCCATTCCTCTTTCCCTGTGATGCCATACTGCTGCCAACACCCATATTATGGCACTTTTTGCAACATTGGAGACATTCCTTTTAATTAAAATGTTTTGACTTTTCGTTTTTTGTGGGGCTTCATTTGCTGTTTTCCTTTTTTTTTTTAGAATGTTTATACAATTATTTTTGTAAAATTCACCCACAAAAATTTAAGCAAACTGCCCAAACTTTTCTTTCTTTCCTTCTATCCATCTATCTGCAGCACGTCTGTGAATGAATTTATGTGTATGGTGAGTCAGCATGTTTCTCTGTGTGAGTTTGAGTGTGAATGAGTTCTGGTGAAACTCTGAGAGAGAGAGAAAGAGGACATTTCAGTTGTCCTCAATGCAGGCAACTACGGAAGACCAATGTGTCATGTGCTGCCATCTAATTACACCTCCCCTACGCATCGCAATCCGAGACTGAAACTTGTGGGGTTGCTCTACAATAATCGCCTCCTGATCGGTCTGTGCTTCGCTCGTCTCCGAATTAGTGACACTACACACCGAGAAGACAGTGAATGGGTTTACTGTACTTTCCAGTTGCCCGTCCCCGAGAGTTGTCACTCCATTCCCGCCGACCCTGGTTGTCGCCCGTCGTTCAGAGCTCGCATTCAGAGTCCGTGTCTAGGCCTGCGGATTGTCCTTCCCACGCCAGCGCTGCGTAGGCTAGCTGTCCCGGGCTATCACAGCCCGAGTCTCGCTGCAGAACCACTCCGGGATCATCATGGCCCAGGCCGGTACGGCCAGTGCTCGCCGTTCCCACCGCCGTCTTGCTCCAAACATCGCTGGTGGACCACTCCGGGGATCGCCATGAGCCAGACCAGCCAGACTCGCTCTGTCGTTCCTGCCTGACCCCTGCCTCGCACAGCACACTCTGTCTGGTGCCAGCTCGTTCCTCAGCGGCCGACCGCTTGTCATTTGCCCTCTACCCTGTAGTCTTCCATCCTTTTCTCCCATAAATTTGAAGGTCACTTAGCTTGCCTCTCAAAGAAAATCTCACCAAAAAACAGTCGCTAGTTGATGTGTGATTTCTCTGTCCCTTGCTGACGGCCCTAATATGGAGCTTCGTTTTTTTTTCACAGGGCTTGACTTCAAAAGCATGATGAACGAATTTATGCAACAGAACACTGGAAACGGTGAGGACCCAGACGTGGCGAGAAAGGCGCGCCACTTGTACAATGTGATCACCACCTTCCAGGGAACCTTCACTTCAATGGAGAAGGCAGGTCTCTCTTTCACCAAAGTGACAATTTAATGCCTCAATTATCTTTACTTGGTTAGTTTAAGCAGAGTCCATTGACGTAGATGGTTCTTAAGATTTATTTATAACGGTTTGAACACATATTGCTCTCACATTTGGAAAGAAAGCATTTCTGTGATAGATGACACCTCCACTCTTGCAGTACATTAATTTATTTATTTGGACATACTGCCAGCCGCCAGTTGCCTGCTAAGGCAGGGGTAAGATAACGCACAGGAAGCTCTTCACAATGAATCGTCGGCACCAATGGTCAGCACAATTCAGCTGTGACACAAAAAGGTAGCAACAGTGATTAATTTATAACTCTCATCTTTCGAGAAAGAGTGCCAATGACAAAACAAGAAATACATGATAAAACAATCTGCAATTGCTGCAAAAATAACTGTTCTATCATTACAGCGAATGATGATGTGATGGTTGCATTTATTACACATTTGGGTAAACTGCTTCAGTCATTGGTTGTCCGTGTGAAAAAGCTATTTCTTAAACAATCAGTTCTGCAGTAAGGGACCACAATAGTTTTCGAGTGCTTGTTGCACGTTTGCCTACTTGAGCTTTATTGCGTGTAATTTTGGAATGACATTCACGAGGAGTTGTTCACAATGTTATAAACAAGCTTAAGACGATTGATTTTTCAACGGGTTTCAAGATGTGGTATTTTTGATAAGTCGTAAAATTTTGTGATTGAGCTGTTCTGTATTTATTGTACACAAATCACAGTGCTTTCTTCTGCACCTAATAAATTTGGTCTATGTTAATTTTGGAAGTGGGTTCCCATACCACATCGACATATTCCAGTACAGGATTCACGGTAGTGCTGTACACTGTTAATTTTGTTTGTGGTGTGCAATGTCTGTGGTCGGTGACAGGTCAAGAACGAAGTGGGAGCTCCCTCCTCCCATCTCTTTCCACTTTAGCAGAGCAAGAGCTGGAGAGAAGGCAACCTCCTCCACCTTTTGCTCCACTGAAGTGGAAAGGGGTGGGAGGGAGCTTCCTCTTCGTTCTTGAACTGTCACCGACTATAAGTTTTCTTTTTAAGAACCGAAGTTTCCATTGCTTTCTGCACAATCCATGCTACATGACCTTTCCAGCTGAGTTTTGACGTGATTATAACACTGAGATATTTGTATTCATTAACAGTTACTAAGGGGTGATTGTTGTTGGCATATCTAAAATCTAGGGGAGTTTTCTTCTGTGTGATGCACATGTATACACATTTAGAATTGTTTAGTGACATCTGCCAATTCGTACACCATTGCTATATACTACTTAAACGGTTACTTAGCTTTATTTGATCGCCTCTCAAATCTATTTCTGAAGACAACACGCAGTCGTCCGTGTAAAACCAACATTTTATGCTATTATCGACAGTAAGATTGTTTATATAAACTAAAAAAAGCAAAATTCCGGGCACAGATCCCTGGGTTACTCCAGAAATTACCGGACAGTCGGGGAAATCACACTGCCGACCTCAACAAATTGGTGACAATTGCTTAAGTATGAATTCAACCACCACACGAGTCTCTTATTTCTCAGTAGAATTTAAGTTTGGTCAACAGCTTTTGATGTGGTACTCATTCAAAGGCTTTTGCGAAATCTAAAAAGATAACATCCATCTGGCCCCCGTTGTCGATAACATTAGCAAATTCATTCACAGTATGAAGAAGCTGCGTAACCGTCGAGAAGCCGTGCCTAAAACAATGCTGTTGATCAGATATGAAGCTATTTGCCTCAAAGTGAGTCATGAGATGCTTAAAAAAAAAAAATGTCCGAAACCTTACTGCAGGAACAAAGCAAAGAAACTGGTCTGTAATTAGACACTTGAAATCGGTCACCGGCTCTATGAATTGCCGTTTTCCACTGGTCTGGTACAGCAGCCAGTTCAAGCACATTACGGAATATAACAAAAATAAATTTAGAGCACCATTCAGCAGATCTTTTCAAGAATGCGTTAGGAACATTATCTGGACTGCTTGACTTTTTTGTGTTTAAATTTAGAAGTGCTTCGAAAATGCCTTCCTGTGACACCTGGACATCAGGTACTCCTATCGCATTCTGTGTATATTCCGGTAAACGTCTGTCATCAGTCGTAAATACTGACGAGAGATAATCAGTGTTTTAGTGATAACTGCTTTATCAACTATTTCTCTTCTGCAGTTCTCATTCTTGGTTATGTGTTGTCTCAAGCCCTGGAAATACCTCCAAAATTTAGCTGGATCATTAAGAAGGAAGTTTGGTCATTCGAATGTTATAGTACTCATTTTGGGATATTTTAATTAACGACTTAAGTTGAGTATGTGTAGCACAGCTACTTTTGTCTTGCTTATGCATGTTTTGTTAAGTATCTTTGCCTAGCGCTTTACTTGTAAACTCTTCCTTGTCACCCAAGGACTATATGTTTGGTGCTCTTTTTCCTGATTGGCACAAAATTCTCTATACACATGTTTACAGTTTCTTGGAAGAAACGCCATAGTTGGTTTATGTCACAGTTACTAGATGTAGATAAATCGGAAAAACTGTCGAAGGATAATCAAGATAATCTAAGATGCTTTCGTCTTGGGCTCTGTTATAATCTTTCACTTCCTTTACCGTATCGGATGGTCGATTGGGAGCAAAGCAGTGGTGTAGCCAGGAATTTTTTGGGGGGAGGGGGCTGAGGTGGCTGGGATGTCCATGACTTGGGGTGCAAAGAGGGGGAGGAGAGGTCAAGATGCATGTATATATTATAGAGTCTGCTGAATTTCAGGGGGTGCTGAAGCCCCATAAGCCTCCCCCCCCCTCCCCCGCCCCCCCCCCCCCTGGCTACGCCCATGAAACAAAGCCTGGACAGTCTAATACGATCGTGAGGTGATCTGATATTCCATCTACAATTGCACAGGGGTAGTCTTCAACACACAGATTATCAGAAACAAAGAACAAGTCAAAGAGTGATCTGGTAGTTTCTGTAACTCTCGTAGGACTCGTCATAATCTGAACAAGATTGCTCAAAAACATAGACTGGCCATTGTAGCTCAGCCTACGTTTGGAAGATTAAAGTCACCTAATAAAATTATATTTTTGTTGTATTTTGACTGTACATGCACAAAATCGTGTAAGTCATTTAGTACCTTAATGTCAGCACATGGTGGTCTGTAGACTACTCCTACCAGAATAGAGGAGGATATAAAAGATAATGTCACCCACACTGCTTCAGTGCATGTGGTATTACGCAGCAGAGAAAATTTTATTCCTTCTTTTATAATTATAGCCATCTCTCCCCCTTTGGAAGAGCGGTCTTTTCATACAATTTTGCGCTTTGGGGGATCGATTTCACAAACAGGAATATTAAGCCACTAAGCCAAGTTTCGGTTATCAACAATATGTCTGGATTAAAAGTAAGAAGAGTGCTTTCCAGGTTGATCGTTTTGCTAACAGTGCTCCTTACATTCAGGTTTATCACTCAAAGTTTTGTGTTAGCTGTACACTGTACGACTGTTACGATAATTTGTGTGTTTAAGCTGACAAATCTAAGGGGCTTGCATGTCGGTGCAACTCTGACGAGGCTTCAGCATCAACGGCCTTGCCCACCTTAAAGGGGCCGCCGAAATGGGGTCAGAAGACGCTTCCTTCGGGCCAAATGCCAGCTACAAACAACTTTTCGAGTTCTGAACCTTCAACAAACACATGTAACGAGGAGTAGGTATCATACTTCATTGGCAATTTTGTGCAAACAAAATTGTTGTTACTGTGCGCTCTGAAAACAACAGCCGACACATCGTCTGAGGAGGTGGACGGATGTAAGCACAACACGAATTTGCCTTACGGACAGGAGGCCGGGTTGCGGCACGCAACTTACTGCCGTGGTTGGAACCAATTAACGGTTCCGCTCATGGCCTTGGGTGTGCTGGCCTGCCTATGTCGACATCAGGCGATTTACTACTTCCACTTAACTTGCATCTCACTTTTTTTGGGGGGCTGAATATTTTTTATATTTAATCTTATAATTACTAAAAAATGTGTAGCGTAGACTGCATGAAGGTCTTTTTTCAAAATTGTGCCAGCAATTGTTCTACTAAGTAAAAATGAAAAAGTGCTTTTATTTTACCTCTCACTGTTGTTTAATACCTCCTCACCTGATATTGTTGCTGAAGTGAAATGAAACAAAGCTGTCTTAGTATTATTATCACATGCTATACGAAAGATGACTTCCTTCAGCCCTGCTTGCCTCTTAATGTGATGCTTGTATGGTTTGATTATTATGGTTGTGAGGCTTACACAGGGTCTCGGTGATAAGTTCCGCATTATATGCTGTTCTTGTGAAAGCCCTTTTATAACATAACTGCTCATGCTTCTTTCTTTTCTTTTTGGAACTGGATGTGTTTAGGAAAAAATATGGGACTTTTGGCTGGCATTTATTGCTGCAGACTATAGTTTGGAAACTGGCAGTTCTCAAAATGCATGTCATTGGTGTGTTACAGTGCAGCAAGCCTGTGATAGCAGCCGTTCACAACGGCTGCATCGGCGGTGGTGTTAACCTGATCACAGCTTGCGACATGCGCTACTGTACCAGTGATGCCTACTTCCAAATCAAGGTAATACCCCGTCGTTCCCCTCTGCCCTGCTATGATTAGCGTGGACTAAGCTGTCAATTCTAAGCCTGACTAGGTTAGCGTGGACAGCAAAGGCTTAGAGTGCATCAGGTTTAAGGTGGATACCCTTCCACGGTTTCCACTTTTTGCTCGTTTCCTCTTCCCATATGCTCTCCCTCCTTCGCCCCTCCCCTCCAAGCATGGAGCATGCAATGCTGTACCCTCCTCACTCCCTACCTCCTTTCTCTCATTTACTACTCTCACTGTTTGAGAGAGGGGAGGAAACTGGATTTTCTGCCTTGCAGAAGATTGATATCATTCATTAGCCTTCAAGCTCGTTCAAGGTCTCGCGTGCATGGTCCACAAAATCCTTCTTTAATGCAAATCCTTTGTTTATGGTTGGGTAAAAAGGCCCTTAGCGGACATTTAAAAAATGCAGCATGTCACCAAAAAAAATCGCAGAAAGCTTTCAGCGCAAAAATGAATGACGCTGGTGGTCCAGACTAGATGCCAAAGTTTTAGAACAATCAGAACTAATAATTATTCAAAATGGACAATTGGGCGAGTTGGTAAGAGTTCATAATTACTTACAGCGCGACTGGGACAAGGACAGAAAGAGGAGAAACACAGAAACACAGGACAAGCGCTGAACTAGCAACTGATTCTATTGAAAAGAAAAGACATCTGATGCTGCTGCTGCTCGTGCAGGCATGCCCCTCCGTGGCCCTGGCGCTTCTTCTTTCACTCGATGCGAAACCGGCCAAGTTATCCGAGATCCAAAAAGCCGATCTCGCTCTTCATCAAAGTCACTGTGGGCTGGCTCACACACAAGGATCCGGTTTTTGTTATGTGGTACGTCTCCATCATTTCTCGGGGTAGTTTGTGGTTGTGTCGGAACATCACTGTAGTCTTGTTAAACAGGGGTTGGCATCCGCAATCCCGGCAATGCATCGCGAGATTCGTGTGAGCAATTCCTTTCATAGAACTGTGGTGTTCTCGTAGTCTTGTGTTGAGGCAACGCCCAGTCTGTCCTATGTAGGCACGCCCGCAGGAAAACGGAATCTTGTAGACCACGCCTTCTATGCAAGTGACAAACTGCATTCCGTGTTTGATGCTGCAGCCGCTTTGAGACTTAGGATCGTTATTTCTCGCGCGTTTGTTGACTGCGGAGCACACAGAGCTGAGCTTCTGGCGGGCGGAAAAAACAACATTCACGTTGTATCTTGAGGCGACTTTCTTGAGTCCGTGGGAAAGGCGGTGGATGTACGGTATGACAAGGCAAGGACCGCATCCTGGTATGCTAGATCCTCCACGTGCCCCCCGGATTTACAAGTCATTTGCGGGTGGATGGTTCCGTCTCCGAGGCACTCCAGCAGGCTGTGTCGCATCTTGTGTTCGGAGTGGTGGCAGCAGGTCCGCTTTTTAAGGACTGCCTCCGTATCGCTTGTTCCCGGGGGCTTACTCACCCACAAGCATCCCGCCTTTTTCAAGAATGGTCAAGGACCACTGCCCAGGTTACTGAGTTTCTTTGGACTCAAGTGCGCCTTACACTGCCTCCCAAGAAGAGGACTAGGGCCAAAGAAGGTAACGTTGTCATCCTCGGGGATCTTCAAGTCCCAGACAGTCACCTAAAGATTTTGAAAAAAGGACCTAAGTTCTGCCTCGAGCCCATGCTCAGAAGAGTAGACAAGTTGGTCATGTCGAGATCCATCTCACGAGCAACACCGGAAGAGGAGAGACCAAGATGTGTTGCTGATTGTGTGGACGTCCTGTGGAGATCCGAAGGAGGGTGCCGAAGAACCAAAGGCCTCGAGCCCGTGATTGACTTTCTCGCGTCCAACAGCATGAACATAATGTTGTCCGACAAAGAAGGGTGCTTTGTCATCATGCCCGACAGCACGTTCTCCGAAAAAGCGACAACAGCCGTACTAAAAGACTTTAGAGCGGTCTCCGATCGTCCCGCCAAGGTGAAGGAATGCACCATCAAATTTCTTCACCAACTGAACCTGACCAGTGTTGCTGCAGGAGCAAAGAAAGGAAAAAACTTCACGTTAGACGTATTTTTCGCGGCAAAAACCCATAAACCAGGAGTCCCCTTTCGCACCATAGTGTCCGAGCGGAATTCTTGGTTACACGCAATTTCGGGCTTTTTGCAAAGGCACCTCGACTCCCTACATATTGTAGACCCAATGTGCGTCCCCAATTCCAAGGCGGTTGTTGACTTTCTAAATGTCAGTAACCCACACGGGTGCAGCGCGTTCAGCATCGACGTTGAAGAATTCCATGCCACACGACGACCTCATGGTTAGTGTCAAGGAGTGCATCACAGAACACAACGATGAAAGCGCCTTCAGGACCCGATGCGGGATTACGGTAGAAGACTTTCTCGAACTCCTGTCCGTGTATTTAAAGTCCACACTCATCGGATGGCAGGACAAGGTGTACATACAGAAGTCTGGCATATGCATAGGGTCTAGAGTAGCTCCTGTGCTCAGTAACATCTTCCTGGGCAAGATTGATCGGGATCTTGAACCCTGCTTGGAGAAAAACACCAAGAAAGTGTTTAGGTACGTAGACGATTATTTGGTGTTCGTTGAGAGGGCTAATTTCCAGAAAAAGCTTGACGATGTGCTGAAGATCTTCACGGAAAAAGGGCTAGGACTTCACTTCACCTATGAAGCCCCAAAACAGAACCTCATTCAGTTCCTGGATCTCCGCATCGAAGTGGGGGACGATCATGTTTGCTGGTGTTACAGTCCCAGAACAGCGAAGGCTCTTCTTAACTTTCAATCAGCCCACTCCAAACTCGTCAAACAAGGCATCGCATTTTCCTGTCTGAGGACTGCTCTAACAAGCACATGCATCCACAATTTGAATTCCAGCTTCATGTCCCAAATTCAACGGCTCAAGGATTCGGGATATCCTAATTCGGTCATTTCTTCAGCTTGCGAAAAAATCGTAAAACACCTTAAAACAGATCCCGCGATCGAGCAACGTGACCTCGAGCAGAGAGAGAAAACGAAAACCTCAGTCATACCGTACATCCACCGCCTTTCCCACGGACTCAAGAAAGTCGCCTCAAGATACAACGTGAATGTTGTTTTTTCCGCCCGCCAGAAGCTCAGCTCTGTGTGCTCCGCAGTCAACAAACGCGCGAGAAATAACGATCCTAAGTCTCAAAGCGGCTGCAGCATCAAACACGGAATGCAGTTTGTCGCCTGCATAGAAGGCGTGGTCTACAAGATTCCGTTTTCCTGCGGGCGTGCCTACATAGGACAGACTGGGCGTTGCCTCAACACAAGACTACGAGAACACCACAGTTCTATGAAAGGAATTGCTCACACGAATCTCGCGATGCATTGCCGGGATTGCGGATGCCAACCCCTGTTTAACAAGACTACAGTGATGTTCCGACACAACCACAAACTACCCCGAGAAATGATGGAGACGTACCACATAACAAAAACCGGATCCTTGTGTGTGAGCCAGCCCACAGTGACTTTGATGAAGAGTGAGATCGGCTTTTTGGATCTCGGATAACTTGGCCGGTTTCGTATCGAGTGAAAGAAGAAGCGCCAAGGCCACGGAGGGGCATGCCTGCACGAGCAGCAGCAGCATCAGATGTCTTTTCTTTTCAATAGAATCAGTTGCTAGTTCAGCGCTTGTCCTGTGTTTCTGTGTTTCTCCTCTTTCTGTCCTTGTCCCAGTCGCGCTGTAAGTAATTATGAATTATTCAAAAGTTGTGATTTTTTTTTTCAACTTTAATGGCGAAAAGAGGCTTGTTCTCAGTAACTAGCTTTTTGCAGTAAAAGCAACCTCGTAAATTTCTGGTGGGGGACACCCCGTAGAAAATGAATCCCGAACCCTTTTTTCAAGAGGGCTACCGTAACCCCCAACGACGCAGGAGGTTGAGCTGGGCCTGGCGGCAGACGTGGGAGTGCTCCAGCGGCTACCCCGGGTCATCGGGAACAGGAGCCTAGTGAGCGAGCTCGTCTTCACTGGACGCAGGATGGAGGCCGCCGAAGCCAGAGAGGTCAGTTGATCGTGCACTGCATATGTCCACCCACAAATGTCTAACCCTAAAGGCCCGCTCACACACTTGAATTTGCTTAGGACCAAGCTCTTGCAATCTCTTAGACGAAAAAGCACGCTGGCACCATCTATGTATCAGGAAAGTGCGAATGATGTGCTGCTCGACTGTATTAATACTCAGCGTTCCTCGTGGAAGGTGTATTTAAACCCTTAAAAATGTGTTCACCTATGTTTTATCAAAAAAAGAAAACAATTGAAAGTCTTTATCAGTTCTCTTAACTGAAATTTCACTAAACTGCATATATTCACTAGAATATTGAACAGCGTAGGGCACAGCATACATCGAGTCAAAAGTGTGAAATGCTATTTATAGAGTTATGTATATGGATATATACAAAGTGCATAACAGTTACGCTCCTGCCTTCCTCATTTTGAAAAAAAATCTAATTCTCATTTGCACCAGCGCTCTTAAAGCGCATGAAGTAACAAAGCTGTCCAGAGAGTCAGTGTTTTTTTTGCACTTCCTCTGTCACCGCTTGCTGCTGTGACGAAGCCATACCGCAACCGCATCGTTCACTGGCTTGAAATATCTCGTGCAGAGTCATTTCTTGCTGGAATTGAACGCAGTTTCTCTTTCAAGCTTCAACTCTTGCTTCACTATCGTTGACAACATCGACGATGGAATCCCATAGTCCTTCGCAACGTCCACTTGCCTTTGACCGTTGTCCAGATGCTGAAGGATTTTGAGCTTGTCTGATAGAGACAACCGTTTCCGTTTCGTCATACTTATTGCGAAAGTGGATGCACAAACTGCCATCCTGCCATTGTTACCCAAAACTAAGATGGCCGAACCGAACCGATGACAAAGAAAAAAGAGACACACCACATGGTTTGTTTTTATCTACTGCACCGTCTCTTTGTCTTGACAGCGCTATAAACGCCAGCTACGTTGATCTGATTGCAAAAATAATCCTGGGTCCACTGATCAAGTTCGTTGAACTGAACTATTCGCTATTCCGAGATTCGTTTTTCGTTCAAATTTTATCATGGAATGCATAGAAGAACTGCCGGGGATTTTTTTAAAGTTTTTTATTCTGAAATATTTGTTAAACCGACGTTCGCTCAAGTGAGAGTTTACTGTAGTGTGTTACAACGTTGTGCCGTCACAGTGACGTCTGATGGTGTGACGCTCTGTTTTTTGCGACTCCGTTTTTTGCCACTTTTGGACCCCTTTTGATGCTTGTGTGGATTGGGACTCTTAACACACTGATCCGAGCCTCGTTAAGAAATGCTGAACCTAGGGAAAACCAAAAAAAAATTCTACCTGGTTAGGATACGTGTGTTGAAATTTTGCCCAATATTTTTCGTATGATACAAATTTTTCAATTTGTGGGCGAAACCGAAATTGTACCCCTGTGGGATGATGACAAAAACATAAATGTTGGGCAAAAAAAATTTTTTTGCCCAATTTTTATGTTAACAATACGAATTATTTGATTTGCGGGCAAGACCGAAATTGTTCCCTCATGAGTCATGATGATAGCGTTATTCACATAGTGCGCGTTTGAGGTCCAGCAAACTCGGAGCGCACACTCTGTGGGTAATGCTATCATCATGATCCCACCGGGGGACAATTTCGGTTTCGCCCGCAAATCGAATAATTTGTATTGTTAACATAAATATTGGGCAAAAAAAGATTTTTTCTCTTAGTTTCAGTTTTTTTTTTTTAGGGCCTCCCCAGCCTAAATTGGGGGTCATTAGTTTTATATAAAAACCTTGTGGCAGTTACTAGGACCTCCTCGTGGAAGGGTCCACGAAATTTCGCCTTGCGATTTGAAGAATAAGGCGCATAAACATCTCAGGAAATTTTCGTATCACAGCTTACTCGATAAACGAGCAGTGACGTAACAAGATCAGGATGCCGTCTCCTTAGGGCGCTCTTTCATCCGCCCTCCTCGGCCCCACCTGTTGTCATCACATCGGTCACGTCGCGTCGCTCGATGCAATATTAGCAGCAACAGCACATCGAAAATGAGGACAAAGGGACAGGACACATAGGACTAACGCAGCATTGACTTACAACTCACGTTTCTTCTAGTTTTTTTGTAAGAAGCAAGATCATAGTACAAAGAAAACGAAAAAAAACACAAAAAAAACTGAAGAACTCTCTGGAAATCTGCACTCATCACATTGACTACTTCGCCAAGTAGACCAGTTCTTTGGCAGATAAAAAACCGGAAGGAGCACTGATACACTTTTCATCGAGCTGCACAATCTTCTCTGCCTCAGTTATTTCTCTAATTAGAGGGTCGCCACTCCGTGCCAATACAGTGAGTTTTGTGAACTGGCAATCACAGCCACAGTCTCCGCAATGAATCCCTAGATGGCTAGAGACGTTCTTGTTTGTGTTGCTATGATGCTCTTGCAGCCCATCGTGTAGAGACATGCTACATCTCGAGTACTTCCAGAGAGCCGCTCGATGTTGATAAGGAGGGGAACCGGAATAGGCGGGACGTCGCGATTAGTGGCCGTTGTTTTCTTGTTACGTCCCAGGTTTCATCGAGGGACGAAACAAAAATTTGTGTGTCAAAGTTTGAGCTTTCAAACTAATTTCCCGTTGAAATCTTAGTTATTTTGGCTCTATAATTTAGCGGCGTAATTGAAGGTCTCTAAAATTGCACGAGGCGTGAAGGCCTAGGATCACCATTTTTAGGCTGTAGAGGCCCTTTAAGTGGCCTTTAAGAATGTTTTCCTCGTCTTTTCCCCCAATTGTTTGCACCTGGCAGGCTGGCCTGGTGAGCCGCATCTTTCCCGACAAGGCTCAGATGCTGTCGGCGGCGGTGGCGGTGGCCAAGGAGATTGCTTCCAAGAGCCCTGTGGCCGTGCAGGGGAGCAAGGTCAACCTGGTCTTCTCCAGGGACCACGGCGTTGACGAGGCACTTCATTTCATGGTTGGTACCATAGACCCTTTCTGAAGTTTAGTCTGGCAACTTTTGTCCCTATCATCATCTCAGTGTATGGCATTTGGGCCTAACTAATGACGGCCTTCTTGAGGCTGATGAAGGAACAAGTTGAGGATACTTCCGACCTATGAGGCATGTATGTTTGAGATGTCAGTACAACACGACGCACAAATCAGATACAGCAGCTGCGTAAGCGTTTATTTCGGAGTGTGGTTCAATCCATTTCTTGGCACAGGTTTGGCTTGATGGCGGAAATTTAATGGAGGGGATTATGGGTTGCCGCTTTGCACTGGTCAGTTCTTATGTTCACATCATCAAAACTGAAACAAATAAAACGAGAGTTAGGAGGTGATTGGAGAACCAATTCTCATATGCCTTTGATGTGCGAAAGAGATGGTACTTAATGAAACACAGTTTGATGACCGCCATTAGTTTGTCGCGAGTGAAACTGCTTTTTGAGCCACCAGGTGGAACTGAATATTGAAAAGGTTCTATTGCACCTTTGCTTCGCTGGACTGATGGATAGGCATCTTCTACCTGACGTCACTTCCTGTCAGTCTCGAAGTCGAAACTTACATTGTCGTCTGCCATCTGTGCCTTGGCACCATGTTGGGGCATTGGAGGCAACAGTAGTGGTACTCTGTGTGGCTAAGGAAAAGCTAAGTAAAAACTTTGCTCCCCTGGTGTTTGCCTCGCTCGCTTTTGATGATAAAACAAATTGGTGATGAGCAACCGACGCAACGCAGGTCAGAACAAGCGTTAGATGTGTTTAACATCCTCGGACGGCACTTGAACGCCTCGCAAATGTGTCGTCAGATGGCAAAAATGCATTGTCTGCTAATTATTTTGCGGTGACTGACAAAAAACTTAGTGCCACTATCTATACGTAAAATCATTGGGATGGATATTCTGCTAAACTTGTCAGCACTGCAGCCAGTCCTCCAACTTTTTGACTGGCTACGCAAGTGAGGACAAGCTGCCGCACAAGTAATTTTGTCTGCTTTACTTGTCCTAATCAATCGCAAAGTGGTTTCCAACCTGTTACGAAGGTTAGTCCACAAATCCTTAGTTGGTACGAAGCTTTCCCGTGGAGATCATGCCAGCGTATTCGATACAGCCATTCATGGCGCCGGCAAACGGATGACTTGAGCATCGCCTTGTCCCGATTCCTAATGATTGCCGGAATAAAAAAACAATAGTACTGCTGGCCATAGCTCCATTTTGTCGTGACTTCTGCGGCTGGAGCAATTAATTACATTGCAACTGACTATTTTAAGCTTGAGTGAGCAGACAAACTACAGTAAAACCTCGTTATAACAAAGTTGAAGGAGCGATCATAATTATTTCGTTATAACCATTAGTTTGTTATAGCCAATGTCCATTTCTTCCCTAATAGCAAGCAAGGGGAATTATGATTGATTTGTTATATCCATTAGTTTGTTATATCCCATTTTGTTATAACGAGGTTTTACTGTATACCACAAACACGGCCCCAGAGTGCACAAAACATAGCATAATGCATAATGACGAATGCTTCTGACACGGATTCTGGTGGGTTTCGGCGATATTTCCGAACTGGAAGTTGCGTTGCATCATGGTCTTTTACAAGAACCCTATGCGGAGCGCAAGTTCATCAGTTTCTTTTGCAGGGGTTGTTGTGACATCAGATCACCGAGCTCTGTTTGGCTGAGATCGAAGGGTAGTGGGTAGACGTCAAGGCAGCTAGTATTCAGGTCTACCCACTATCCTTCCAATCAGAGCCAATCAAACTCGGCGTTCTGACGTCACTGCAACCCCTGCAATAGAAGCAGACAAACTTGCTCACTGTATAGATGAAAGGATATGGCTCAACTCTTTTAATCAGACAGTGACTTGCACCACCTAGCCAATGCTCTTATTTGGAACACCTTACTAATCTCTGATTAACTCTTTGTAGAGTCCAGTGTCATCTAGCTGCTGAAAATTGCAGTCTCACTTGGGTTTATTACGGCTAATTGAATACCATTTCGTCAAAGCATGTTTTAGAGAACTGGCACGGTTTTTCGAAGCACGGTTTAGAGAAATCAGAGCCTCAGTTTAGAGAAATGCCATTTATTGAAAAGTGGACACTATTTGAAAAGGCTTTTCTACTTCGCACGTGTATCACTGGTGTGTGTGTTAACCCAAGCGCCCCGCTGCGCTCCCGCCGCTTTGCGGCGGCAGTCTGTGGCGGCTCATTACAAAAATGTTAACTCACCTCACTTATCCGCACACGCCGCTTTGTGGCGGATGAATTCGCTGAGGCTTATCGCCATTTTCTCTAAAATGGGTTTCCCTATAAAGGAATTCGATAAACTGGGGTCGGTAAAATGGCGTTTGCTAAAACAAGCTTTTCTAAACCTCATGCCTCCGGTCTCACTTTTGCCATACTAATGGAAGTGTTTGTACTGTGAGCGTGTGTTCACTACCAAAACCTCCCAAACTATCTATTTTCGAAAACTGTGGATTTGTGCGTCGTATTGTGCTGATGCACACATTCCTTGTGTGTAAGCACAATTTCTTTCGTTTTTTGCGCGTCAGCACAATGTCTGTTGTAATTTTTTGTCTTTGTCTTTCTTCTAGGCCTGTTGGAATATGTCCATGCTGCAGTCTGAGGACGTTGTGAAATCTGTTATGGCGCTCATGGAGAAGGCAAAGGAGCCACCGAAGTTTGCAAACCTCTAATTTTTATCTACGTACATATGTATGAGAGAGTGCTAGACATCGGGTCACCTGGTCAATAAGGCTGACACCGGCACAGCACCTTGGTACTAGATGTTTTTGTACATGCCTATGGATCGTTGAAACAAAAATATATATTTAAAGAAAATAGGTTTCTGTCTTGTTTATTTGTTTCTTTTGCATAGAATGTATGGCTTTAATGTTGTATTGTATAGTCTCTTTCGCCCTATTTATCCCCATAGCTAGGTATTTGGTATGCCATTGTCCTACTTTAAACTTGGTCAAATTGTTCGAAATGAATAATCAGTTGGTCGTACCCAAGATGGTCGCATGAGAAAGTTGTTAAAGCTGGGCTGGCACACTAGCTGGTCCCAATCAACAAACTTAAAGGGACCATGAAATGAATTTTTGGCTGTGATAATTAAATGATATTAGATTGGGATTTTAAATGACGCATATCATTTAGTGAGCCAAAAGAAAGAGGGTACAAAGTCAAAAGCCTGCTTTTCGGTATGAAGCTCGTCAACAATCAATCCGTCGACGAATATTTGGATTCGCGTTCGTGGCCGGGTCCATATCATATGAGCGAATGACATTTTAGCGAACAGCGACATTTGAGTGAATCGGCATTTTAACGATGAACGGGGGCGCACGTTAACCCATCCCCCGCACTGCGCTTACGCCGCTTCGCAGCGACGGTCTGCGGCGGCTCATATCAAAAATGTGAACCCACTTGGCCCACCCAAAAACGCAACTTCGCAGCGTTTGAATATTCGCTAAGGTGTCATTCGGTGAAACGTTGTTCGCTAAAACGCCATTCAATCAAGTGAGTGCCTCACTTTGTGGCCAGTGAGTGCTGTGACGACAGTTATCATCGCTTGTGAATGACAAATTTTTTTGGTCTGCTTAAAAATTGGTGGAAGCTTGAGGTCATCCGGTTCATCGCATCTGGTGCCTAAGCACGTCACGACCACGTGGTTTCTCATTTCGCTTTTGAGTTGAGATTAAAGCTAAGGAAAAAAATGTTTAACAAATCATTTCGTTTTTTTAGCTTGATTAAGTTGGATTAGCTGATTTACATTCTTACTATTTCAACCAAGATGGCCCTGTAGTGACTGGGAGGATGTCAGAAAAACAGTTTCATGGAAGTTCGTGAAAGCCGTAGATTGAGCACTTCCCTCTAAACGACGAAATGAATCCCATCGCCAGCGTCATCGCTTTATGATGGCGAATGGCGACGGTTTTTGCGACGGAATGTTTGTGCGTGTTTACCATCCGTACCGTCTAGGATTTATTTCGTCGTAGCAACTGCACTACTTTTGCGTTCCACACCTCGGCGATGCCAGTCGCGCTGTTCGTCGTACCACGGCTTATCAGGTAAGGCGGAGAAACGCGAACCGATCTCAGTCGTTCAACTTGGCATTTGGTTTCGTTTGCCGGAAATACGCGCAATCTCAGCACGCAGCCCGGTTTCGACATGCCGGCAATCGTCTGCTAACGCTAACGACTTGTTTCTAAGCACGCCATTCTTCGCGTCGAAACAAGGCGCTGGCCTTATGTGAAAGAAGAAACGGGACGTGTCGATGAACGTGTTTAAGTATATTTTCACGGCTGGATACCAGTAGTTGCAGCTAGAACCGCTGAAAACTTTCACTGAGCGCAGCCACCGCCCAGTTAAGTTCGGCACGCTGCCCGCTCGGCATGGCTTCTGTTGTGCCGGTTTTTAAACGGTAGTATTGTGACGGAGAAATCCTAAAGCGGAGGTCTAAAGCGTCCGTGGAGTCGTGCGCCCTTCAAGGAAGTTGTGGAGAAAGCGTAACAAAGTGCGCGGCCTTGAAAAGATTTGCTGTTGCCGTTGCTCGGAATGGCTTCCGCCTCTAGTGCCAGCAACAAGTGCGGTTATCGTTACTAGTTACTGATTCTACTAGTTACCGCTAGTGTGAAATTTGTCTAAGGAAACGACTAAGTGATGAAGATTTCTTCGGAGCGGTCGGGTTGACCGTAAGTGCGGTGAAAAATGCCTAAAATATCGAGAAAAAAAAAGAAAAAAAAAATCAACGGCTGCACTTAATAAGTGTACACATCTGTGGAAGGTGTGCTTTTGGTCGTCGTTTTTACCTGTGAAATAAAAAACAATACCTCCTCTCTCGTAAAAAAAAAAAAGAAACAAAATTTTTGGTGTGGCCGGTTTGTTTATCGCAGATCGCGCGACAGCTATGTTTTCAGTGGTTCCTCAGAGGTGGGCTGATTTCAGCCCAACTTTATCTACTTAGTTTACCATACAGCATACAATACCATACGTCATATTCCCCAGTCGAGAACACCAGTAAACTGCACTGGGTTAAGCTAAGACACCGAATGAGTGACCTATGAATCAAACAAAACAGACGTTGTACAGGATGTGCGGGCCACTTCCGGCCGCCATGACAGGGGGACAGTAATACTTCCGGTTCTGCTATGTTTACCTTCTGTTTTGGAGCGTGTGCGCAATGACTCTTCGTGCGAGCAATTCCATGAGAGCTATGCTAGAAATGGGGTCAGACAGGAACAAGGAGCACTTGCCGTAGAATACTGTGCATCCGCCCATTACACACTAAGCGCCCGTTCCTAAATTCGTAACATCTGAGAAAATATGCACAGTACATCGATATAAAATTGATGACTGGACAAGCGCCCATCCCCCATTTTTTAGCGATTATCTCTAAATTTTGAGTGGGCGCTTGCCCGGTATTTTACAGTAGTTTGCGTTGCCCGGCATCCCATACTTGGTTAAAGAATGTCTTCACTTCCTTTCTGCCTTTTCTTCAACTGCTCCCCCCCATCCCACCCCACGCCACACACTTTGCAACTTGCCGTCCGGCCCCCTTCGTGTCGGCTTTGTGATGACTCGACCCGCCGCTGCAAAAGGTTGCCAACTCTTGCTTTAGACAGTGACAATTAAATTCAGTGGCACTTCTTTTTGTTTCAATGAGTCTTCCCAATGGACGATTGAGGACAACGCTTGACTCTGCTGCCCTTTTAGATGTGATGCCCGAGGATGCAGGTAGTTATATTCACGAAAAAGTAAAAGAAACACAAGCCCCGAGAACAGACAAAAAAGAAAAAGAATTTCGACTGAGGTTTGCAGTATTTCGGCGCTCCTTTTTTGGTCTATATGTGTTCAAAGGAGCAGTATCACATCGAACATACCAATATCTTGTTAAAAAAGCCTCGAAAAGGAATTTTAAAACAAATTAAAGGATTAGCAAAAAGCAATGTCGCTAACGCCTCGCTTGTAATGCCCGTCTAGGAACCTTGACAGCTAGTGACGGAGTTTGTCTCGCCTCCGGCCACGACGAGAGAAGAGGGCAGGAGGAACTCCCCTCTTTCCGAGAATGCCTTTTGTGTGTCGCAGAAGTCGCTATTGTCCCCCTACAAGATTATAGAAGATTAACCCGTCACTCAAAATTCGTACAAAAGCAGCTGCTTTGGTGGGTGGGACGACTAGGCTATCCTCTCGACGTCAGCCTCGCAGTAGCTTTGCTCGTCCCGAGACGACCTACGTCATGATTGCTTTGGATGTCACGTGGTTTCCGCTGGGCCTTCTCCGAGTGCTTGCCAGAGTGGGCCGTTTATAACGAAAAATACAGCCACCAGGCTCAAAATACAAATGTGTGATTGTCATTTATGGATATTGTGGATCATATTCAACCTATTTATGAACATGACGGGAATATTTCAAATTTCGTTGAAGTATCCCTTTAATGTTCGCGAGCCCTTTATTTTCGCAAATTTCGCAATTTGAAAATTTTGCAAAATTTGAAGGCACGCAAAAATTTTTGTTTTTAAGAGTTTTAATGCAGGCATCTGGAGTTCGCGAAATTTAGTGGCCGCGATTATGTCCTCTTTGATCGATTCGCGATAAATAGGAACCGCGAAAATAAAGGGTTTTACAGTATCTCAAATTGCACAGACTTTTTGCAAACCTTGAAATTTGGTTAAGCCCCCAGCACTGGGCTACATCAAACCCTGGCTGCCAGCAAACCCAAAGGTCATCGTGGGGATATCCCAGACTGCCTGGTAATAGTTACAAAAATGCAGAGGGGAAGAAAACGGAATTAAAGGGGCAAAGAAAACAAATATTTTTGTTTTCGTTTTTTGGCTAGGTGGCGCAAGCTTGCACCCATTATAAAGTATACAGCCGTTATTACCCATCCATCCAACTCTCTAAGACCACTAGATCAAAAGTTAACGAACAAATGTTGGCTAATTATCCAATTGATTTGTGACTGTTAACATGCATCGGATATGCCTGCTGCATCCAGTACATCATAACGGAACTTTGTGTGTATTAAAAACAACCGACCTGCTTTGCAGTTTTAGCTTATCTTCACCCAACCCGACAGCTAGTTAAAGGCACGTAGCCAAAGAAGAGGCCCATGGGGCCCGGGCCTCCCCCCGAAAACTTTCATTTTGCTGGGACCCCCCTCTCCCCCCCTCCCCCTCATACAGCATTTTGTCATGGGCGGGCCCCCCCGAAACAAAATTCTGGCTACGTGCCTGGCTAGTTACCTACCCTGATCTCTTACATGGTGGCTTTCTGTATGCCGTGCCCTTGCTGAACTGTAAGGGACCCCCGACTCGTACTTACCCCCTTCCATCTGGATATCAGTGCGAAGAGAGCAAGACTCGGCTGACGCCAGACGCGTGAAGGCATTGGTCCAGAGGTCGTGGCAAGGGCCAATCAGGAACCATGACAAGCCGCAGCCCTGACATCTGGAAGGATGCCCTCAACACCACCCTTGAAGAACCTTCTGACTCGGCCGGTAAGCGTGCAGTACACTGCAGATGAGAGTTGCAACCGCATCACGGTGTAAGATGCTTTTTAGGTGAGGACAGACAGCACCGCAAACAATGTGACGTGATCGACCCCTTTTCTCACGCACTCGTGCAGCTTATGGCGACAGCGGCTCTGCTAACCAAACAACGCAACTGAAAAAAAAAAAAAGGGGGGGGGGAAAAATGTTGTTGCCATGGCACTCAGGCACACATGCTTTCCGCTCTGTGCATCTGCTCTGACCTTGATGAACGCTGACTTGAACGCCGCACCGAAGATCTTTATGCTTCAATGCACTCATGAAACTGTTTTTGCCACCGTTGAGGCACGAAACTAGGGTAAATAACAAAAGCTTTGTCTAAGCAACATGCATGGTGCAAATGCCGAGGTTTACATGATGCTAGTACATAGGGTTGCCACCTTTCTTCGAAGGAAAAAGCGGCCATTCCGGGAGGGGGGGAGAGGGGGGCAGAAGGGGGGCTAGTTATGTGAGATTGAACTGATAAAAAGAAAGGTGCATTGTTGACAACCTTAATTGATACCCGTATTCAATTTATTTTAATACGAGCTTCCCAAAGTGATATCAATACCTAGATTTATGAATACATCCTAACACATGTAAATAGACAAATACATAACACTGAATTCAATAACATACATGATGCATACCATTTAGTCAAAATTAAAGGTCTGAAAACAGATCTCGCACTTCTCATCCTGTGCAGCAGGTGAAGAACCGATTATTGCAATTTATATAAAAATGGCTGCAAATTAAGTAATGGTTCGAGTAAAAATGGCTCTAAGACACTTAGCATGATGCTCAGTGTGTAGATTTCAAATGCAAATCAATTGTATTAAAAAGTTGCTGGTTCTGGAGATTTTGGTAGTGGACGCGGGTGTAGACAACGAGCACCGGCTCGAGCTTGACAGCTCATGGTCACTCGTGAATTCATGTAACGGGAGCATGTTTTCATACCTCTCGAAGAATGAATTACAAAAGGTCTGTCCCCGGATTCAAAGTGGTCTCTTGCTCGCCATTCTTTGATCTCGTTCTGCAAATCGCAAATACTCTCTACGTGCCACTCTAAATAGTAAACATGCCAGACATTTACGAAAATGTCTTTATTGCGGCCAAATAAAGAGTTCCACCTACTAGGACATTATTTCCAAAATTAACTTAAATGTATTTATAAATGCACCACCTTCCCCCCCCCCCCCCCCCCCCCCCCCCCCAAAAAAAAAAGACAAGTGACAGTTTGATATAGGCCTTTTTTTGTTACAAAAAAATTGCTGTGCCGGTCAAAAACCTGGTAGGGGGTAACCCTACAGGTACATCCAGAAAACAACTTTAAATACAAGCGTCATGTCTCCCCAGTGGCGTCACGCGGGGGGTGCAGACCGCTTCGAGTGCAGCGCTAGGGGGGTGTCGCGGCGGGCCACGAGAGCGGGGTGGGGGGCTTTTGTTTTGGGTGCTAAAAGTGGCATCAAATCCAAGTCGACTCATCTTGCATAGGCCTGAGGAACAATTCAGAAGTAAAGTTCTACTTATGACCACAATAATTTCAACACCCCCTATTGGGAAGCCTGCAAGAGTTATTGAAGCTTGTGTCTCATTCGTTGGAGGGGGAAAATCCCTAGGCCTGATTAGGTGAAAAAAAAAAGAGTGGTGACCCCTTTGCAAGTCTGACAGGCTGATAAGGAGAGTGACACAATGTCGGCGAAGATAACTTGAACGTATGTGTTTGGAGGCGTGGCACCACTGCGATAAAAGATCCTGCTGGGTACATCATGCTTCCGTCAGTCAAGGAGATTGCTGAATTGAGAGGGTGACGCAAAACGGAGTCCGGATGAAGAGTGGCGCCTTTGGGTGTGCGAACAGGTATGAATTTTAGAAGCGTAGGTGCGGAGAGTGTTGGGGGCATACCGTGTATTTTGCTAAGACTTCTTTTAATGACTGACTTAAGCTTGCATGTTTGACAGACATTGATGACGAAGAGGTAAGGTGAGAAAGGAGACCTGTAGTAGAATGAGGCATAATAAAAGGAAGCTAATTAAGGCTCGCAAAAGAAGAGTAAGTAATGACCGACCAATCACGTGCCAGATGATTAACAACATAACACAATTAAAAAAATTTTAAAAACTGGAGCCAGATTTAGACAATGTTTTAGCCCTGGAGAGTGGTGACAAGGAGGACAGCACAACAAAGATCTCCAAGCTGGATTTGATTTAACAAGAGTTTGTTTGTAGCCCATGAGATTCAGATGACGATAGTATCATACATTAATGAAATTATGATAAAGTTTACAAATGTATCTCACAAGTTCGCATGCAGTGCAGTCGAAAGCATGGATTCTGGAGCTTAATTTTACAGAATGCTTTGCTTTTTAGTACTTATCTGAAGAAAGTGCCTTTTTAGCCACAATCTTACACTCTTGTTTTTCACAACGCCGAGGAGAACCCAGGCTGTACCTCAAATTATCTCAAATTTCTTTCGGGGAATTTGAGGTAATGTGGATTATTTGGCAGCTTGCAGAGAAGCAGCTACAAGGTATATCCGCCAGAATCTTAATAAATATCTTGCGATAGGTTGATCTACTGTACCAAAGGTTGGGATAATCTGTCATTCTAATAATTCAAGTGTATTTATTTGAGTAATGGGAATTCTCCGTAAAGCTCTCATTCTATTAATATTTCTTATGTAAATGAATTAACAGTGATTAGCATATTGTAACAGAAATTGTTAGAAGAATGTCCAGACTAGGCATTTGCTCTAAATAGTGGTCTTACACATTTCATCATTTGACACTATGTGACGTCTTTGGACAGCATTTGACATAAGTCTCATCATCTGATTAATAAATTGAAGGACTTGCCATGCAGGGTAGTTAGCAGATTTTAGTTTATTATCCTGTTTATTGTAACAATTAACCATGTCAGTCTGGTCATTCGGACAATCACAAATTTACTTAGTGCTCCTTTAAAGGGCAACTCCGCTTAATTTTATTTTTTAAAAAACAATTCAGTCCTATTCAGTGTTACCTAGGAAGACCACACATCAAATATTACGACCTAGTTCTGTCTAAATGTTTCCTAGACTAAACGGTCCTGCAAACTTTTGTAACTCGCCAAGTTGCCAAAATCGGCTGACTCGAACGGGTGAATTGAGGTGCAACCAGCACCACAATCAAGGCTATGGTGTGGGCATAGTCATATTGAGCTAAATGTCGTCACCATTGTCCCTTTTTGTTTGTCTTTACTTCTCCGGGTAAGCGTAATGGGCGACGTCGGCAACATTCCCTCTTGTTGGCTAAAGTGGACCTCCGCTCCAAAGCCGGGTTGATTTAGCATGAACGCTTACAAGCAACTGCTTTTTTGGTCTTCGCTAAATAGAGTGCTCTCTCCGTCAAACAGCAAAACAAACAAGCAAACAATCCAAGGTAAATGGAGCAACATGGGTGGTTTCGCATTCTACCGGAGTGCACTCTAAACAATTAAGCTCCGAAACCGAAACACTAGTCACACTTGTGGTCGGGCTTTAAGGTTCAAAAGGGGTGGCACAAGGGACACTCGCTTTTAGAAGGCAAGGAATTAAAAAAAAAACTCAAAATAAAAAAAAATAAAAAACTTTTTTTTTTGAGGGCATGATGGGACAGATGTTTTGTTTAACAAGTTTATTTTACAAAATAAAAAGATTTTTGTGCTATATTTACATTGGGAGATGCAATTTAGGTGGAGGTCTTGGCACGCTTTCCACGCAATCCACAGATCGGTGGCCGCGGCCATGACTACTGGATTGGCTTGGCTGCTTGACCGAATATGCTAACAAGCCTAGTGTCTCCCTTTAGCGACGTCTGGTGCATCTAGCTTAGCGTCTGACACTGCCCGCTGGTCGTGAGAACAGATGCGCGGCAGCCTCTGGCATTGTCTGCTCTTCGACCACCGTGATAAGCGAGCGAGAGGACTAAGAAAATCAACAAAATAAATATGCAGTACATTCAAGCTTTTTTGTTCTTGTTCGTTTTTTGCATGGCATATCTGTGAGCAAGGTGAGTGAGCATCATAATGCTCAATTAAGACGTGACTTAAAAATATTCCCTTTGGCAGGCCAGGGGCACTGCAAAACTTGAGAGCTACTTGACTTTTGAAGCGAAGTGACAGGAACATATCTGGACAAACTCAATGCGTGCAAATCGTCCGATTGCCTCCAGCCAAATGGCTCGCAAACTTTTATTTGTGTACGCATCTTCTCAATATTGAAGCCATGTTTACAGTCATGATTGTTGTACAATTCACAGAGCAGTGGGGCCACTTTTTCTGGGAACTAACATCTCATTCAGCCTCAACACACGCAAATGAACAAATCAAGCCAGATCAAGCAACATAGTTCACATGGGATGCTAGGCTTAGGCCAGTCCTGCTACAAAAACAAGCACTTGCACAGCACTTGTGAAGGTGTATACTTTTGGCAGCTTGTTGGAAACTGCGTCGGTTGAGGAGATCTTCCTCTAAACACCTCGGTGAATGCAAAACAGTTCGCACTCATAAAAATAGACAAGTTGACGAGCTGCACTCGCTGAGCACTTTGCAGACGCCAGGACCCACATTTGTTATTTTTTCACATTGATGCAAAGAAGGCAATCTTGGGATACTTTCAAAAACAATAATGACCTTATCTAGATTATTTGTTTCTCAAGCATAAAAAAATTTAAAGACGTTTACAGATCTCTGTGATGCGAATTAGAGCGCAGCTCTTGAGGTTCTTTAATTCTGCGATGTACCGTTATGGGATGGTGCGCAGGAGGAGGAGGGGGGAGGGTACGGAGGACCCTCCCCTCCTTTTCCCCTCCTCCTCCTCCTCCATGACCTTTCTTCCTCCCACAGTTTCCCTGCTAAATTTAGCTGGAAAATTGACGCCACGTGACCTCAACATCAGTTCAGTTTCCCTGCTAAATTTAGCGGGAGAAATGACGTCACATGACTTAGTGTCACGTCACCTATGAACAAGTTCAGTTTCTCTGCTAGATTTAGGGTAAAAATTGACGTCACGTGACCTCAAAACCAATTCAATTCCCCGCTATATTTAGCAGGGAAACTGAATTGGTATTGAGGTCATGTGATGTCATTTTTACCGCTAAATTTATTGGGAAAATTGAATGCACAGTATTACATTGTGGGACACCACAGACCTACACATCAATTCAGTTTCTTCGCTAAATTTAGTGGGGAATTGAATTGGTGTATAGGTCTGTGGTGCCCCATAATGCAACGGGTGTGGTTGCGCTGACGGCGCCGCCGCAAAACATGGGAACAAGCGCCTAAGAGCTGCGCTCTAATATATTGTCAATAAAAATACTATTATGGCACAAAAAACAGTTTTACAATAATACAATCCACACGTCAGTTGTCTCTCCAACCAATGAGAGCCAAGAAATGAAGCGTAGTTGACTTCATTCCTAGCTGGACAAGGCCTAGGGCGGGCTACCTCCACCTGAATCGCATCTAACAACGTAAATATCGAAATTATTTTTTTTTCTTGTTTCTTGGAAAAAATGTTTAAAAATACTTCTGTCCCAAATAAGTCCTTTAGAGAAATATAATTTTTTTAATTTCAGTGTTTCTTTAAGGTATTGTGCCTGGAACGCATCTTTGACTGGTGTGTTTACTGCGCTTTACAAAGTGGTCCCTCAGTTTCCACCCGTCGACACCGTAGAGGAGTCGTGCTGTTGCCTGCAGCGGTCCTGGGGGTATCGCAGTGGCAGTGGTGGACTTGGCAGACGCCTATTCCGACACAGATCGCTCTTCAGATTGACAGTCTACGGAAGCTCCAGCTGCCAGGAGTTGAGACGCCACGACGACGGTGACACTCAGGCTCGCTCGCGCTTTTTGCTGGAACTTCTACGACCAACCACCCAGATCGCGACATCCGACATCCTGACACTCTGCTTTTCGTGACGTCATTTGTCGCCACTGGGGGACCACTTTCGATCCACAGGCGGAATAGGAGCCAGAAATGCGTCCCAGGCATACTTGAGGTAACAAAACTAAATGAAACGAAAATGTGTGCCGCAGCCGCGCGGACGGCATCGCAGCTGAGCGTGTTTGAGAGCGGCCTGGATGAGGAGACCATCCTGGTGGCCATGCGGGAGCTGCAGCGGGGGGCGGCAGACGGGGCCCCTCACCGGGAGGGGCCCGACAAGCACGGGGACGTCGAGGATGGCCCGCCGCCGGAGGAGGAGCCCGGTTGCGTGTATCTGGAGGGGTCGCGGCGCAAGGTGGACTTCATCCTGGTCTACTCCCCGGCCAAGAACCAGGCCGTCAGGGACATCTTCGAGGAAGAGCTGCTAAAGGCGGGGCTGCTGCTCGACTATGTGCCACAGGTGGGTGGTTCTGTTTCGGAGTGGAACACTTCTGTGTCTGGAATGCATCTCCCACTGGTGGGGCGAACATCCTGTGCTGCCGACACATCAGTGTCCCTGAAACGGCCTCAAGGTATGTCATGGAAGTCTATCATCGTGGTAACGTTGTGGCTCATTGTGATTGGGGTGGTTCGTCGTAGGAGCGGCTTCATGGAGGAAAAGCGAGCATCAGAGTCGCTGGAGCTGTAGTGTCCGTTAACTGGCCGGCCGCAAAGCAAGCATGTGCGGCCGTCTTTACCTCCTCTGTCGCATTATCGCCGGTGTCGAGCCAGTCTACCGTGTTCCCAATTTATTAGGTTGCACGGGGAAATTCAGTAGACAAAGCACTTCTCATCATTCATGAATGTGAAAACATCTACGTCAATGTTCCGCTCCCTTGTTTCGTCTGCAGCGAACTGGCATTGACTGCAGAGCGACGCGCTCTGCCGGCGAGGAGAGGGCACCTCTCCTTGCCGCTCTGACCTTAGACGGTTTGTGTTAGCGGCGTGCTGACGGACACGCAGCGCTATGGGGTGAGTGGTCGTTGAAACTGATGCGCAGAGGCCAATGGGAGCCTCGTCAACACACATCAGCCAATGGGACCGAAGCCGAAAATCCATCAGCTTTCCTCCACTCCTTTGGGATAAAAAATTTAGGTGGCGTTCGGCTAGGCTTTTCCCGTGGTTTCATAACTGGGAGCTGGCTTCACTTGGAGAAAGGATTTAAGGTGCCGTTTGGCGTGATTTCAAAACTGATGACGTTGGCTCGCTCCATGAGACAGTTAATGCTCTCGCATTAGAACACCAGTCAGATATAACTAATGCGGAGAACAAGTCGTCTGCTTCTTGCGCAGAGGTTGCAGTGACGTTGGAATGACGCTGAGCTTTGATTGAAAGAATAGTGGGTAGACCTCAATGCTAGAAGCCTTCAGGTCTACCCACTATTTTGTTCAATCAGCCAATAAGCGCTCTCCATTCTGACATCATCACCATTCCTGTACAAGGAGCAGAAGAACCTGCGCTCCCCATGTAGAAATGCTTCCAGTCCAGGCTGTGTTGTGGAACCGGAAATCGACTACGGCTAGAGCTGGAAATCTATTTTACCAGCCAAATTTCAGGCTGTTTCCACCCAGAAATGAATAAATTTCTTGCTGGAAACTAGATTTTTTCTCGTCTAGCTGGGAAACTTCCAGGTGGATCATGTACTTCCAAACTGGAATTTCTGATTTCCAGCATGAGCAGCATCCATTTCCAGCTGTAAACAGGATTTCCAGCTGCTGCTGTATAATTTAGCCGAGAATGCGGCTGGAAATCTTCATTTCCAGCTGGAAGCTGCAGCTTATTTTCATGTGGGTCCGCATAGCTATTGTGGAAGAGCCACTTTGCATTACGCTTGATTTTAAAAACAATCTTTGCTGTATTAGTTAAAATATAATTGCCTGTATGATAATTTCTGCTATTTTTTCCCCGGTATCCCATATGTGTGTGGTGCAAAATTGATATGAAGGTTGCAGTTACGCTGACCCAAAGTCGTGCATCCCAAAATGTTCCCGGGACACAGAAGGTGATAGCATTTCCCAAGATTGAAAATGGGCTTTGTCATAAGTCACCTCACCACTATATTCATTTGAGCTTTCCAAGCTGGTAAATGTGTTATCAGGTGGGCTCATGAATGTTTCTTATGGGGTCTTTAGTTAGTGTGCACAGTTTTTCATAGCTTTAAGGTAGAGTCACCTTCAACTCTTACTTCGAAAAAAATTTCCCACCTTGGTGTCCCTTCATTCAGATTATAATATGTTACCTTAAATCTATGAAACTTGCAGAAAGTTCTGATAGCCATTTTATGAAACTAGCAGAACCCTCCCCCCTCGTGGCACACAACTGGCAGGTGTCGAAAGCCTCGCAAGTCTGGCAGGAATCTGCTTTCTTGGGACTTACCATCCGTTCCTCTCTCCCCCAACAGAACCAAAGCGGACTGTGCTACATCAAGATCCACGCACCGTGGGACGTGCTCAGCTGTTTTGCGGAGATCATGCGTCTCAAGATGCCCGTCAAAGAGGTACCGACCCCTGCGCTCGTCTCCGACGGTTGGCCCGACCTCTCCACCGACCAACAGGAACCGTCTCCCCCGTGTCGACAGGGTCTTGTATGTTCGCCTTGGAGAGTGCGGGTGCCGTAACGAGAGTTAACTCCCCGAGTAACCGACTGTCTTTTGAGTTACCCCCTCTAACGATGGAGTGACTTTTCCCCGCTGGATTACCCCGATGGTATCGTGAAAGGATTATGACTTTGGCACCACTGCTACTCAGAATCCTCTCCTGGTTGTGAGTACCTGCATGAAGATGTCACACAAACCTCTCGAGTCTAATATTAAGTTTTGAACTTCACTTACTTTTTCTGGAGTTTTTGTTTTGAGAGTTGTCACTCTGCCTTTTGTAGTTGTTGCTGCAAAAGCTGGATGAAAATTGTCATGCAGAAGGCAGAAAAGTGACGACCCATTTTGGAGCTTGAAATACATTATCGAATTCGCAGCTCAGATGCATGTCACCCTAATAGCACGTAAGACATCTGGCCAAAACCAACTTGTTCCTAAAGGTTCTTCCCATTGAAACAACCTTATTGCTTGATGACAACTCATAAGGACCTACAGTAATCTCTCGTTATAACGAAGTCAACGGGACGGCAGAAAGATTCGAAAAAAGTGGTAATTCGATAAAAACGTAAGAGCCATAAAAAGAGTAACAGTAACCTTGAAAGTGCACAGGAACAGTGTGGAAGGCTTATAACAAATATATATTCAATGAAACAAACCTTGCTGATGAGCCAGGCTTACTGAAGCATGAAAAAAGACGGGAGATCAGTTTGCCGAGCGTTTTTGCCAGGCATCAAAAAAGTCTCCTCCAACTGCCTTGAGCACCGCATGAGGCTGTCATCGCCGCCACCACACTCCACCATGTTGTGAAGAGAACGAAGCATGTTTTGCGTTTCTCCAGTCGTGAGTACCTCTCGGAGTTCCTCATTCAACGGCTCTTCGTCTTTGCCCTGGCAACACACGAGGTCTACATTCACGGCATCCGTGACGGGAGTGACAATTAAAATGTCCGCATCCACAAGCGCAAACGAGTCAAAGTCGTTTTCGGGAGTTGCACCGACGATCTCGTGCACGGTTCTGTAAAGTTCGTTGCAGATCTCGGTGTCACTTGCTGGCACATCAAGTATGCACGCAGTCGGGAAGCCGTCGACAGCGTTGATGCCAGGATGTTGAATTCCTTGCGATTTCGAACTTCAGTCGACCACCTCTCTCCACCTCTCGGATCAGCTTGACTTCAGGGTCAAGCACTTCCATGCGGGCTTCGGCGGCGCAATCAGCAGTGAAGCAAGTTGCACGCAGCTACTGTACATGCTGCAGACGGGCTGTGCTGCCTTCGGAATGCGGAATACAATATCAAAGACGCTGCCTCGACGTACACGCGATCCGTAAATGCAGCGTAGACTCAAGCTGGAAAACTCGTGCTTTGCATTCGTCACGACCAAGTCGACCAAGTCAACCACAGTACAGCCAAAGCTACAGAGGAGAGGTTGTATCCTGAGCTGTTCAATAGGAAGGAAAGGAGGAACGGGAGAATCCCAGCACTTCTCTCTCGTTCCTCCTTTCTCTCCTTTTGAACAGGTTGGCATAAGCTCTCCTCTGTAGCTTTGGCTGTAGTAAACAGTTAGTGAAACAGAGTTTTTCTTTCTTTTATATTTATAGATCACTTGGGACGGTGCTTCCAAAGAGGTGGGCGCCGGTAGGGGATGTGCTTCCCTGACTTGGTTGCGACGAGGACCAGGCTGCGGGCACCGTGTGAACTTTGAAGTGTCCAAACTGTCACCCAACACGCTGCCGCATTTCTCTGCGCGCACAGAGCTCCCGAAGTGGCAATCTCCCGAACTTCTTTGCTCCCTTGACTTGACAAGTCGGTATCGAGGGGCAGGTGCAACGCAGCTCCTAAGAGGTGGATGCGGCATGCAAGGCACGTGCTCTGCAAATTTATAGCGGTGAAAGACGACAAACTTTTTACAGCTAATGGCTTTTTGCGCACATCTTGGAAGGGTTGCACTGGCTTACATACTGTACTTTCGGCGGATCGTCCTTCGTATCAAGCATCTCCGGCCGTCGATACACTTCGAATAATCCGGTCCAAAATGCATGCATTGGGATCGGGATCGCGTCAAACTTAGAACAATACGATAATTCGTAAGGATCGTCCTTCGTCATAAGCATGTCCGGCTGTCGATACACTTCTAATAATCTGGTTCAAAATGCATGCGTTGCGATCGGGACCGCGTCAAACTTCGAAAAATGCGATAACTCATAAAAAGCGATCTTGTTATAACGAGGGATTACTGTATTAGTCACTGTCACGTGGTCAGTTTTGAACACTCATTAATATTAGCAGACTAGGATGAATTTGCACTTCCCAGTGCAATTTGTTTTTCTCTCAGTTTTTCTCACTTTATATACTGTAAACGACTTAATTTTCGCAAGGACCTTAATTTCACGAATCGCCTAGATTTGCGAAAGATAGGTCCCGCGGATATGTTTTCCTATGGTAGAAAATACATAGCATACCACCCCGGTTCTGAAAAATTCGAAACCCGCGAATAATTCCAATTTTTCGGCTTTGGCTTGATTTGCGAAAACTCGACCCCCTCAAAAATTAAGTCTTTTGCAGTTTATAGCCCAGCTTTCTAGCGTTTTGTATGGATTTGTGCCAAAATGCCTGCAAGTTTGTACACCCCCTATCTAAAAGTAGTTTCCTTCCACTGTCAAGTGGAAACCAACATCTAGTGTCTGTTGTTAGTGGAAAGACAACTATAACCCCGAGTGTCTCAATAGGGCGGTTTTACGGGTTATATCTTTAGTGCCACAACAAACCACATTAGCAAAACATTGCCAACGCATGTTTTCTAATTCTGTCGAAGCTCATTCTCGCCACAATCAGCTCGTGTTTGATTCTTTCAAACACTGGCACTTCAAGCCGGCATTGGAGCTGATCACTCAAATGTCGGCTTGAAGCGAGACGAGCCGACATTTGAGTGATTAGCTCCTTGGCAGTTATACAGGGTGCGCAGAGGTAAACAAAGACGGACATGACCGAACTTCAGGGGGAGCACATTGCTTCCGGTTGGCTATTGTTTTTGCTTGTCTTGGATGACCGACAGTGAGTAGTGCATACTTCAGAAGTCTCACCGCCAAGGGCCGACTGCGGTACCTCCTGAGATTTAATTATACGGGACCGGCATGCCTTCCTGATCTCTTGGACGAAAAGAAAGACCACTTGTTTTTAAAAAAAATAACATAAGTGTGAAAGGCATTAGGGGGGCATCTTCACGACTACCTATTCGAGTCGCCTGGACCCGAGAACTCGAGAATGACTGAAACCTACATGTCCTTAAATGGCGATGGGCACCTACCCCCAGGCGCCGAAGATATGCGTCGAGCTTCCCCACAGGGGCACTGAGTCGCATCTTAGTTCTGGCAGACAATCTACCGAGAGATTTTATTACGCTTTCCTTAAATGCGATGCAAGTCTGTAATGTACTATCGGGGAAAAATGAAATGCGAACAGAGGAGCGCTGGCTCGCGGTACAGGCTGCGCCGCCTGGAAGTGAGCCTAGGGGTGAGGATGTGTGGCCAACTTCGATGTGTATACGCCCTTCACTCGGCGCTTCCCAAACTTCGGCAGTGCGCCTCGCAGTGCACTAAAAGCTGTCATTGCTATCTTTGCCTGCTCGGCGCGTGCAGCGAGCTTCTTTGCACCGCATGCGCTGAGCCAGCAAAGATAGCGGTGATAGCTTTCAGCGCACTAAGAGGTGCACTGCCAAAGCTTGGGGAGCGCAGAGCAAGGGCCGTGAACACGTCGGAGTAGGCCACGGACCCTCGCCCCAAGGCTCACTTCCAGGCGGCGCAGCCTGTACTGCGAGCCACGCGCTCCTCTATTCGCATTTCATTTTTTTCGATAGTACAATTTAATAATGCTTTGACTTCCGCTTCAATATTTAAGGGTTTTTTTTAAAAGCGCCGTGTCACCTCACATTTCTACGTGCCATAATGGCCATATTGGCACCTGCTGTTGACTGGTTGTACCGAGATGGTCGAGGCACCGTAGACGTCGTAGCCTCTCCTTTCTCACGTTGCGCCATCTGTCGGCAGCACATCAAAGTAGGCAAGCACCATCTGCTTAGCTGTAACAACCTAGTTCAGCGACGTCAAGCGTTCTTCGTCTCGAGAAAATTGAAAGAACTTCACTCATGACTTTTTGTTTGTGTTGGTGCGCATGACCATGCAAAAGCAAGACACTGAGGCATTTCTGGAGCATAGCTCTCACACACTTGCTCGCTAATGAACCAAGGGCCGTCGCGCACCCACCCAAACACAGGTAAACGTAGGAGAACCGGAAGTATTTCTCTCCGCCTGTCATGGTGGCAGAAAGTGGCGCAATCACCCTGTATAATTGATGATACGACGGATTGATTAGATACACGCAAACTAATGTGGACAATGCCAAAAGAAGTTCACCAGCATACCTGCAGATGACTACTGGAACTGGAAAAGGGGTGTTGGTCAAACCGCCCTATTGCTTGGTTGCGTTTGCTTTGTTGCGTTTGCTGTGGCGGGGGCATGCTCTACTAATTGCCTGGTGTGTGGTGTTGCAGTGGAGCTTGAGGATACAGGAGCGGAATGCAATGCTGGACTGTGACACAGTAAGCACGCTTCTCCGGGGCCGTGGCGGGAGGGTGGTGCCAATGGTCATTCCTTCTCTCAACAGGTGGAAGTGGCCAGGAAAGGTCGACGAAGTCACAAGCAGTTTGCGGTCACCTTCTCTATGTCCAAGGAATACTTGTGAGTATACCTGCCCAAAATTCTCGGCTAGAAATTGTGTCCCCTTAACTGGAAGGCAGCTCCACTCTCTCTTTTTTGGAGCTGGTAAGTATGAACTCATTCTAGGTAAACACCACATATTCTGAATTTTGTCGAGTCACTAAAAAGGCTACCGCAGGGGATGAATTTAACACGACTGCGACATTGGCGTTCAGCTGGGACTCGCGTTCTCGCTGCTTGAATGTGATTTTCTGCCAAACGCAGACGCAGCACTCGTGTCCAATCTGTATCCTGCGGTGACCTCTTTTGGTGACGCAGCACTAATGCTTTTTTTATGTAGGAGGTGCTGCAAGTATGGCCGCAGTTGGCTTGAAAGGCATGTCTCCCTCGGTGAATGAATATGGGTCCAGTTGTGCAAGCTAATAGAAAGATAGTAGAAATATGAGTTCTTTCCCACAGAATATACGAAGAGTGGACTCTTAACACGATTTGGCACTTACATGCTCGACCATGTGACCTGCAATACTGGCATTTCACTTACCATATAACGCCAAGCGTGCAGCCATGTTACATTAAGCACCCAGCTGCTATTTATTAAATGTTTGAAAACTAAGCAAAGGACGTATTGAGCGCCCACCACATGCTTTTGAGCCTATCTAGCTGATGGAGATGGCTCCTCCTCGTCGGCCACTTTTCCGTGCACCTTGGTGCAAAGCGGTGAAGCCCACCCTATGATCTTCCGGCATGTTCTTGGACCTGACAAAGGAACAGTTATTTGCTATGTGATGTCAACCACCGCACTCCTTTTGTACCATGCGCAGTGGGGGTTGTGTATCAGATCCCCTTCAGATGTGGTAGGGTGTACATTGGACAAACGGGGAGGTGCGTGAACGAGAAAGCGAGGGAGCATTCCCTTTCTCTCCGTTCCTTCCCCGCTGGCCACTTAGCGGTACGTTGCAGTAGGTGCGGCTGCGTACCTGTTTTTCATGACTTGACGATCTTGGCGCGCAATAAAAGTAAGACCGCCAGGGAGGTTGAAGAGGCTTTTTTCATTTTATCTAAAGGGGAAGGGCATTGTGTGAGCGCACCGTCGGTGCACTTGGGGGATGATGAGGTCCTTTTTATCAGGGAGAATGGCAGGCATGTGTGAGGGTGATGACGTGGTAGAAATCCTGTCGGTTGGGTTGTATAATTTTTTGTGTATTTATTGGTTCTTTCCTATGCTCTCTGTTTATTTTTCTGGTTCGCCTGAAAATAAAACTTTAGTTGACAGTCAGCACTTTGTCCGTGCACTTCTTTCACTTGTCCTTTGTTCAATTTTTTTGCGCTGTTTTCACGTTTGACAATGTTAAACCAACTAGCCCAACTTACCGCCTTGTTGCCCATCCCCCAGTTTTTTAAGATTATCTTCAAATTTCGGGTGGGAGCTTGCTCTGCATTTTACGATAGTTGTTTTAAGGCCTAACTATAAAAATAAATAAATAAAACGAGGCTTGAGGTGACTTGCCAGAAGAAAAAGGTGCTGCAGTTGAGATGTACTATCGGGGAAAAATGAAATGCAAACAGAGGAGCACGTGGCTCGCAGTACAGGCTGCGCGGCCTGGAAGTGAGCCTTGGGGCGAGGGCGCGTGGCCTACTCCGATGTGTTTTTGCCTTTCGCTCGGCGCTCCCCAAGCTTCGGCATTGCGCCTCTTAGTGCGCTGAAAACCATCACCGCTATCATTGCTCGCTCGGCTGGTGCGGCGTGAGGAAGCTCGCCGCTAGTAGCAGCCACGCGCTCTTCTGTTCGCATTTCATTTTTCCCCAATAGTGGCCATGATCATATACATCTCTCTGTTGGTTTATATCTTTAGTTAAAGTTGTTTCTCGATTTGAATGTCGAAAGATGCTGCAAACTCCGGGACGCGCAACTTGTGCAGGTTCGACATTCCGCCGTGTAAGGAGGACTTCTTCAGCTCTGCCCAGCGTGCCCAGATCGTGCACTTCATCCTGCAGCGCAAGTCGTTCTCGCGCAAGCGGGCCCACAAGAAGTATGACTTTGGGGTGAGCCGTCTGCTGGCAGACGGGGTGTACCTGGCAGCCTTCCCCCTACACGAGGGCAGCTCGGACTCCAAGGGGGAGGGCTCCCCCAGGGCACAGCTGCGGAAGCAGTGGGCGTCCCTCCTCGCCCTCTTCAGGGGGCAGCCGCTCGACCACATACGGTGAGGTGGCGTGGCCTCTCGTGACCCCGACACTTTTATAATCCCGACACCTTCGTGACCCCGACAATTCCATGACCCTGATACATCCATAACCCTGACACCTCCTTAACCCCAACACCACTAAACCCCGACACCTAGCTCCGTGACGTCGACATCTCCGTAACCCAAGCACCTCTGAAACGCTCGCAGCTCTGTAATATGGATTGGGCTAGTTGGTTCATTGTGATCTGGAAAACTTAAAAGCGCAAGGAACACGGACGAGAAAGAGACAGATAGAACAGGGTCTGGTGCTAACTTTTGGCTCATTTAATCAAGGCAATCAACCCAGCATACATGCTTGAACACTCTTCCCTATCTTGCCAACCACCCTGTGCAAGAGTGTTCATGCATGTGTGCTGGGTTGATTGCCTCTATTATATCAGTCGAAAGTTAGCACCAGTCCATGTTGTATGTGTCTCCCCCGTCCGTGTTTTTTTCGCTTCTAAGTCCTCGAGTTCAGTAATAGCCTGTTCACACAGTAGCGTTTATGATCAGGATATGATTGCAAGTTACAACAGCAGCCAAGTGATGTGAACAAATATAATCAAACGCTGCTGTGAATGGAGGATTACTCGAACATCACGAAAATAGAAAGCGCAAATTTTTTTCTTTCTTTAATTCTCAATCTTTTTAGATCATTTCGCTCCTTTCTCAAAAATATTTGTCGCTTTTAACGTTTGGGTTTTTTATGTCTTCGTCTTTGTCCTCTCCCGAATTAAAACGTCAGTTGAGAGTAAGTGCTGGTCCTGTGTAGTCTTCCACTTGTCCTTGTCTTTCGTGCTTTCTCTTTTCGTGATGTTTAAGCAACTAGGCCAAAAAATTATTATATTACTCGACACTTCCATAACTCAAGTGCCTCCATAAAACCTTGTAACCTACTCACCTCCGCAACCTATGCTTCCGTAATTCAAACAACTCTGTGACTAACCGCTCTGCAGCTCAAACAGCTCTGTAACTGTGACACCTTCATCACTCTGACACCTTTCTTCAAAAAACACTAAAATCAGAAGAAAAAAATTTTTTTTTAAGGGTATAGATGGGACCTTATTTGTTTTTCATAATTTTTCTACAAAAAAAAAAATATATATATATATATGGTGCAATATTTACGTTTATATGCACTTTAGGAGGAGGTCACGGCCCGTTCTAAGCCTTGCCACAAATCAATGGCCCCGCCCATTACCACTGGGTTGGCTTGGCTGCTCGGCCGAATATACCTGGAAGCCGGTGTGTTAGTCTAGAAGTCTAAAGGCCCGTTCACACTCTTGCGACCGAGTACGACTGAGAGAGTCGAGATCTCTTACAACTTCTTAAATGTTTCTAGAATGAGGGAACACACTGACATTGTGGCGCCATCTATGCGGTGACCCTAGAACTGCATTTCACAAAAGCGAAGGTTTTGCGGGATTTCCGAGGTCAAATGTGCGTAATACCCATAGAAAGGCTCGTTTATAACATTGACAAAAGCTTTTCGAGCCAAAAAAGAAAGGATATTGCGCGAGAAATGAAAAAAAATATGCCAGACCGCCGAGTTTACACTGCTTCCCAATAGATGGCGCCAGTGTGTTCTCTGGTTTAAGAAGTTTTAAGGAACCCAGGTTTAAGAGGTCGCAAGCAGTCGCAAGAGTGTGAACGGGCCTTAACACTGCCTGCTAGTTGTACAAGCAGACGCACGGCAGCCTCCGGCATCGTCTGCTATTCCACTGCCGCCTGTCGTCTGCAATGCCCAGAAGCAGACATGAAAGCTGCGCGTCGATGTCCGTTTTCTTCTTTGCCTGCTATTCCACCCCTGTTTACAAACTTCTGCAGCGCTTCCAAGATGCGACCATGAAAGTAGCGTTGTAGCGTTTCATCACGCACAGGCCACAGTCCAATACAGGCGTCTGTCGGCGTATGTTAATCTGCAATAAAAGTGACCGAGTGCACTAAAAAAAATCAACGAATTAAATGTACAATCCTTTCAGCTTTTATGTTCTTGTTATTTCTTTTCGCTAAGCTTAGGCCAGTCCCACTACGAACCTAAGCACCCGCGTAGCGCTTCCGAAGGTGCGTACTTGCTACAGTTTTTGTTGCAAACTAGGTTGGTTGAGGAGATCTTATTCTAAACACCTCAATGTATACAGAATGACTCGCACTCATAAAAATAGACAAGCTTGACGAGCTGCACTTGTTGATCACTCCGCAGACGCCGGCAGCCATGTTTGTTATTGTTTGAAACCGAAGCGGAAGGGGATATTCTTGAAAACATAATGACTCTACCTGAATTATTTGTTTCTCAAACATAAAATTATTGTTAATTAAAATACTATTACGACATGGAGATACAATTTCACAACCAACATTTCACACATCAATCGTATCTCCAACCGAGCTGAGAAAAGGTACTTAGTTTTGTAAGCATCTTGGGGGGCCTAGAACAGGGCTGCTCCACCTAAATTGCATCTCACAATGTAAATATTGCTCATTTTCTTTCATGGAAAAATTTACAAAAGAAGTTGTGTCCCATTTAGGCCCTTCAAAAAAATACTTTTATTTCAGTTCCTTTTTAGGTCATACAGGTTAAGAAGTGCCAAGGCTAAGAAGGTTTTTGCTCTACTTGATTTGTTTATTTGTTTAGCACTTTAACATAATGGTTATGTGGACAGCGTAGTCCGTAAATTCGACGCTTCAGCCAAGCTTTAGGAGCGTAGCTCCGTGTCGCCTTCCGTGTGCCCCTGTTTTGAGACGATCACCACGCTCCCGAAACAGATTGTTTGTTTCCTCCGCTCAGGCGCTACTTTGGGGTCAAGGTCGGCCTGTACTTTGCCTGGCTGGGCTTCTACACGTACATGCTGATCCCGGCGTCCGTGGTGGGCCTCGCCTGCTTCCTCTATGGCGTGTTCACCCTGTCCTCGCACGTGCCGGTGCGGGAGATGTGCGCCGACCGGGGCAGCCTGCTCATGTGCCCGCTGTGCGACAACGGCTGCGAGTACTGGCGCCTGCAGGACAGCTGCACCCAGGCCAAGCTTAGCTACCTGTTTGACAACGGGGCCACGGTGTTCTTTGTGGTCTTTATGTCCGTCTGGGGTGCCGCCTTCCTGGAGCTGTGGAAGCGCTACTCGGCCAGGATCACCTACCAGTGGGACCTCTCCGGGTTCGACACTTTGGAGGTGGGCGACGGCACACCCGAGATCGAGTCGAGTACTAGAGTATGCCTCCCCAGTTGAATGCTTGGGTGTTCCACCAAGTAAAATACTAGGGTGTTTCACTGAGTCAAATACTAGGGTGTTTGACAGAGTCAAATACTAGTGTGTTTGACCGAGTCAAATTCTAGGGTGTTTGACCGAGTCAAATACTAAAGTGTTTCACTGAGTCGAATGCTAGTGTGTTTCACCCAGTCAAATACTAGGGTGTTTCAACGAATACTAGGGTATTTGATGAAGCCGTCTTTGTGGCTCCGAGGCAAAAACGCCGGCCTAAAGATCCCCAGGTGGCAAGTTCAAATAGGCGCGGTGGAAGTTTCTATAGCCATCCAACGTTGCGCTCAGCAACTGGGTACTGCAAAAGTGGGATTTCGCGTACGAGTAATGTTTAAAAACCAGTCTTTAAAACAGACGACACAATGATTCTCCCTTCGTCGTGCAGTTCTTGGCGGAACACGCCAGCGGCTGCCCTCTTTGCTCTCTTTGTGTGGCACAACGGACGGGAAGTCTCTATGTCCCTCTCCTCGCTGCAAAAGGGGAGAGAAAAACATTTTCCATTTTTCGCGTGCGCACGGCGACGGCGACAACGGATGAGGATGAAATCTCTGCGAAGTGTCACCCATAAAGCCATCGCTTCAAAAACATGACCCCTCTTCCCTCTAAAATATAAAAATAGTATGATCCAAACTGGAAACCGGAACAGGGACTTTTGTCGTGACCCATACGAACATAGACCCGTTGTTCTGAACGAACCTTGACGAGATAACCGGGGAACTCCCTTTAGTGCTCTCTCAAAAATATCTGCTCTCACAAAATTTATTTGCAAAATACTGTCGTTTGGCTTTTTATTTTGCCATATCATGACCTCGAAATTTTTAGTTTTCTGGATAAACCCGAATTGACAAAAATTTTACGGCGAGTTTTTATCAGTTTTTTGGATTTCTTCGAAAACATAGAATTCCACCTATAACATGACAGTCGAATACTTAGGTATTCAACGGAGTCAAAGCTAAAGTATTGTAAACTAGTACCTTATTTTCGTGAAAGGCTCCATTTTGTGACTTGAATGATATTGGAAAGAATTTATTACGTGAATATAACAACCTATTGTAATGAATACATAGCATGCTAAAAATCAAAGATTTTGTGCCCAGGAGATATTTATAAAATTCATACTTAAAAAATTCGCAAAATATTGAGTCAGCGAAAATAAAACCTTTTACAGTATTCAACCAAGTTGAATACTATACTTTGTTTCGCAATAACTTGGGGAAGTGTAAAGGCTCCGACCCCCGCGACCTCCACACGGAGCAAGGCACGGGACGACACTCCATGGTCGAGGCCACAGAGGCCTTGTTACCACCACAGCAACAGCGCCATCCTAGGCTTCTTTTTCTTTTAACGGCGACCTTCAAGAGGTTGTTTTTTTTTTTTTTTTTTCAGGTTCTTCCTAGCACAAAATGACGTCCTGAAGCAATTTCCTGCTTCAATTTTCTATATCCCTGGCGCGCATTGCAGGAGAATGCCCGGCCAGAGTACCTTGCCCGGCTGTCCAAGATCAAGAAGCGAGACATTGAACTCATTCAGCAGGACACGTCCAGCGATTCGGTGCCCTTCTGGAAAGTCAAGCTGCCCTACAGCATGCTGTCCTGCTCCGTCATCCTCCTCCTGGTAAGCCTGCGGGCCATTTGAACCAGCGTAGCTGGACACCCCTAGTCTCTTGTTAAGATTGCACGAGACTATGCTACATGCGTATGCGGGCTCAGACAGTCTGGTATATGTGCATCATGACCCCGGTGAAAATCAGTTCACCTGCAGTTGTATCATAGGTAACTGGTTCCAGCTGGGGGGAGCTCTAAAATTACCTTCATAATTCTGCTGCACGTAGACTGATTTTTACCCAAAATATTTTCTATAGACACAGAAATGCAGTCACAAAAGGATGCCTTTTCTCAAATGGAGTGAAGAAAAGTATGGTTGTCTGTTTAGATAGAAAGGTGGGTTCCTACAGGTAGGTGTGTATCCCTTGAGGTGCCAAAGATTGTACACCCCTGGTCTAGGTACAGTATGTATTTGGACAAAGTTTGGGTCTTAGTGTATGTTTAAGTGTATGCATTTCATTATGGCTTTATGTAGCTTGCTCCTCTGTCGGTGCTTGCTAGTGCAAGTTTAATAAAGACGGCACATTTAAGACTAGATAAAAGTAGAGCCACCAAATAGGCTACACTTAGTATGGACACTCGATCTCCCCGACTTTCTTCTGAATGCCACCATTTTTATGCCGAGTGCAGAGCGGTCGCAAGTGGCCGTCATTATGATTTGAAAATAAAACTTCTTGAACTTCAGATATACCATGTCGGGAAGCTCAGGCAACATCATTTGACTGTCTTGGACTGTTTTACATTTCAAGAGGTTTTGGTGCGATTTGAGGTAAAGCTTTCGACAGTTGTCAACAACGGTTTCAGCCACCAAGGCGGCTCAAGTGTCGTTTTTCTGAAGCATAGTTTATTTGTGCCTCTAGCTGGAAGGAATGAATGCCTTTGGTTGCAAGTTTTTTTTCAGGCTGGTGGCATAATTGACCGGCGGTTGCGATCATGCATTTCCCTCGAATTGAGGCTCTAGAGTGCAACAGTGAAACGACACACTCCAGAGCCTTAATGACAAGCTTAGAAGCGTAGCTCATCAGTGCCTGACATCGTAATATTTTATTAAAATATGTCCAAACGAGCCAAATTGGTTATTGGCCCAGATGGTCTTTCAGCAACTCGTAATATGCATTGACTTGTAAGAAAAATTGACCAATGCTGCGCAGGTGCTATTGGCGGTGGCAGCGGTGGTTGGAGTGATTGTGTACCGGATGTCTGTGAGAGCCACGCTGGCGCTGAGCAACGACGAGATGTCCAGCTTCATCCCTCTCATCACGTCCACCACGGCCGCCCTGCTCAATCTTCTCTGCATCCTTCTCTTCAACATGGTACGGTCGGGCATAGTTACTGCCATGATTCGCTCATTGCATGCCATCGCTTGTCATGGCACGGTTGTCACGACTAATTCTCGTTACAGGTCTACACACGTCTCGCCGTCTGCCTTACCGACATGGGTGAGTATGCCGATTGTGGCCGAGACCGGACCTGTGTGGGCAGTTCTGTGGTCGTTTGTCGGCCGAGGTACGAAGTAGATTTTTCCCGTTGTGCCAACCTCGAACAACATGCAATGTGGACTGTCAGGAATCGAGCACTGTCACAGCTCTTAGCTTCAGGCTAACGTCTGGTCCATTATGGTGAGGGCCGAGATTGTACCTGTATCGGCAGTTGTATGTCTTCTGTCGGCTGATGTTGGAACTATATTTTTCATGTAGTGCCAATCTAATGTGCAATGCTGACTGTCAGAAATTGGCATAGTCGCGCAGCTCTTAGCTTTTGCCTAACGTTGGGTCTGGGGGTCCCACAGCTCAGTTGTCGGCGCAATGTCGGGACAATGTCGGGTCAATGCTTTTCATAGCCGAAAGTCGATGCCACGTCAACTTTTGGTCTTGCCACTTTGATGGCTTTGAGAAATTTTCCTCTCACTTTGGAATAGTGTCGAGTCAATGCCGCGCTGTTAGCCGAATTCCATTTCTGCAGTGACTAGATGATAAAAGTTGCAATATTGGATTATTTTTCAGAAATGCCCCGCACCCAGACTGAGTACGACGACAGTCTGACCCTCAAGATGTATCTGCTGCAGTTTGTGAACTGCTATTCATCCATCTTCTACATTGCTTTCTTCAAGGGAAAGTGAGTTGTTACCGTAGCTTACGCTGCTTTCGTGTTACCTCTTGTACCAATGAGAACACGCTCGGAAAAACATTGAACGAAATCATTGTGAACTAAGGTGTTCTTATTCTTATTTCTTATTTGCATACTATTTTTTTTTGTAAATTGTTATAACTACTGGTTGAGGGCCACTAAAGACCTATACTTCGTTTCAGCTTCCGTCCGAGCGCAGCCAAAGGCTGAGAGACGGTTCGCAACTTCGAGAAGTGCATTCCTACGTACCACAAAATAGTCCGGAAAAGTTTTTTTTGTTTTTTTTAAATAACTGTTTTGTGCACAAGCTTGCACAATATTTCAGATGTGTACTGCTGAGAATGATTTGCAACTAAAGGAATTACCGTATTTATTCAAATATAAGATAAACTTTTTTTTTTTTTTTTTTCGGAAATTGTGATCAAACAATTTCGACCTACAGTTGCGACCAAATTTTGCGACCCTACCGGGGGCAGGGAGCTATCCAGTCACCTAGCAGGCGTTGCCGTAGAGCCGCACCGCTGCTTCTTGTTTTTCAAAAAGCTTTTGGTGCACGAAAATAACCGGAACAGCAGGAGCCGACAGCCCGCCCGCGGTAGCCGCGCCGCTCCCGCGCATCCCTCGGGCGTAGGGTTTCTTCATCGCACCTGTAGCGTTCCCCCGGCTGGGCAAGGGGGAAGGGGAGGGAGAGGAATGTGATGCGCCATGCACTTTGCCCTCCATCCTCGCAAACGCGCACAAAACAAAAAACAAACGGAGGTTACTTTTGTTTATTGCTTGAGGCGGCTCGGCTCGCGTGTTGCTTATGGCGACTCGACTCGCGGCGTTGCTTGCGTCTTTGTATTTTGCCTTTCGTCGCTTCGCCCGTCTCCACCTTCTTCCGTTTCTTCTTGTCGTAATTTTACAACGGTGTCAGTGAGGTATTGTTGCGAATTTGCGAGGATGTCTACCAAGCTGACGATGCTTCAGACGACGATGACATGCCCAGAAGTTCTGACGGTGATTAAGTTTTTGGCATTGCCCCGAGATTTAGCTGAGAGTGCTATAAATAAACGTTTGTTTCTTTCTTTTGCCCTAACTTTCCCCTGTTCAAAAAAAAAAAAAAAAGTTGACCTATATTTGAATTTTTTTTTTTTTTATTCTCGGTGTGTTCAATTAATAGGGGTCGACCTATTTTCGTGGCCGACCTATTTTCGAGTAAATACGGTAAATATTTGAAGATTATGTTTTTTATTAATATATGTAAATGCATGTGGTTTGGTGAAAACACATGCGCTGGCAAACATGGCTGCAGCGCTCGGTTTGTCTGCGTGATTTCGTTCCCGTAATCAGTAACGTTGCCCGTAGTGGCCGGATCATGTGCTTCGCTGCTTTCCTCACCGAGTCGTTTCAAAACGTCCTGTCGCAAAGGCACGTTTGGGCGTCGGGCGCGAGAGGTCGTGATGAATGTCTACTTTCAAATTCAGCTGGAGACTCTGGCCACGTCGCTCCGGTACCGCAAATGCGTTGTAAACAAGAAAAGCGTCTGGCCCACTACAATTCACAGATAGGTGGCGAAATAACCTTCCGATCACATTGAACGCCGAGAAGCTGGTGGAAAGGACTGCGCCTTGAGCCCTGATATATCCAGACAATACAAGGAAACATCAGCGGCCAGGTCATTGGGCACCTTGCAATGTGTACTTACGTCTCGAAACTATGCCGAAATGCCATGTGAAGAGCTTGTGAGCAAGAACATGTGAAGAGCTTGGAGACAGACGCCAGCGGCCAGCCTACGTACTGACATCCCCTTTGACTAAATTTCAGGACATGAAAGGACACTTTTTAAACCTGTAGCAGACGATACCGTTGATACACCCGTAGCAGACGAAATACTCGGCGAGCGCAGGCAGCGCAGCGGAGTGGTACAGAGTGCAGGCGAGATCACGTGACCTATTGCCAGTGTGTGATTGGCTACGGCCACACATAGCTTTGGCTGCGCTTGGACAGAAGCTGAAACGAAGTATAGTTTTCGTGTCTTCAAACACATGCTAGCTTGCACCATTAAATTTGTTTATTCGTTGCTGAAAACAATTTATCAATCATTTGCATCTTGTTACAGCAGTAACGTGCTGTGTTTTTTTTTTGTTCAAACTTTTTTTAAATTTTTTAAGAAATGTGATTGTTAGTTTTGTGGTGTTTTATTAATTTTGATATTTGATGTGTAAAACTAATTAGTGCTGGTTATGAATCACAAATATAGTCAAATACGCATTTGAAGACGTCCAGGCAAACCAGAGTGGCATGAATTTGAGCCCTTTTTCTTTGCGTGGTTCTTCAAGTTGTAATGTCGCCCGCCGTCACATTAATGTTGACAAGTTTGCCTAGCTGTCTCTTCTCCACCATAGTCTTCTGTAGCTTCAGTTTCTTACGGAAATTTATTAACAAATAATTATTTTACGCACCGCAAAAGAGCATTCAAACGCATGTTTTTTTTTAATGTAATTTCGGGGCATATTCTCAGTTTGTGTGCAACGATTTCTGTTCTTAATATTGTCCTATCACTACCAAATTTATCATGCATGTACTTTAAAATATCTAGAAGGTTTGGTTGGAATTTATATATATTTTTTTTTAATTTATGAAAAATTCAGGAAATGTTTGTTAGCCCCTGGAAACAACATTTTTGCAATTTTTTATTTATTTGAAATGAAAAAAGCACCTCACACAATATTTATGTTGTTCATTGCACTCACTGGTTTACAAGAGTGAATTAGATTATTTAACTAGGTTTTTCTTAAAGGGAAGATGGGGCACTTCTGCATTTGAGAGAAAACACTTGAACTGCATTCATCTGGCCTTTAGAATAGCACATATCACAATTATGTTTCAATGTGACGCGCTGGAGAGCCATAAGGGCAATTTCAAAATAGGGCTGAAGCCCCGCCTCCTTAGCCTTGGGCAGCCTAAGGATCCGTCGATGACGTCACGTACAGGGACTGTCTTTCGCGTTCACTCGCATTTAACAATACTTGTGCAGCAAATAGTTTGGGTGCTCGGGTTCACGGGGTAAAAATACGCTATAATTCACTTCTAACTCATTTTTTTCAAGAAGCTCCATAGCTTCCCTTTAAGTGTATTGCCATGCCTCATGTACATAGGTCTGCACAGCGGGGGGGGAGAGAGAGGGAGAGGAGGAGGAGGAGGAGGAGGAGGAGGAGGAGGGAGGGAGGGAGGGAGGGAGGGGGAGGGAAGGGAAAGGAGGGAGGGAGGGAGGGGGTTCTATATTTGTTGTGTAACACAACAAATATAGAACCTTACTTAATTTGTATCTCTCTAGTCTCATTGAGGTCGGCCATAACACATGCCCCCCCCCCCCCCCCCACCCCCCCCTGCCCTGCGCACGCCTGTGCTAATGTGTGCACAGGAACATGGTTCTTTCTTCATGTACATTGCATCGAGAAACCAAAAAACAAGCTATATCAAATCTAGCACCAGGGTAATGAAGAGAAGATTAGGCACCATAAACTGTAAAAATTCCATTTCAGTATCAAAAATAATTTTTTACGAAATTTCCCTTGGCACGTGTTCTCTTAATGCTCTAATTGTTAAGATGCCTCATTGCAGATACTTTTAGTATGTTTATAATGTACCATTAGCGGTGCGTAAAAGTTGTTTTTCCCAATTATGAACAGTAAAGGGCAGGTACATTGGTATAGAGGTACCGGCATGTTCTACAGGCATGGAGGGCTTGCGACAGTACCGATACTGCAAAAGAGTTTCAAGAGTGTATAATACAGCCTCTGCAGTGCTGGTATGCTGCCATTGTGGCTGTGAACTGAGTTTTCTGCGTGGAATTTTGTTACAGGTTTGTAGGACGTCCTGGGAAGTACAACTTGTTCCTCAACTATCAGCAAGAGGAGGTGAGTATTTCTTCCTCCATGTATGACAAAAGTATGTAGTAAAACTCAGTGCCGAAATGAATACAGTTCGAAGAAGTACATGGTACACAAATTACCGACTGGCAACTGAAGCTTCTGATGAGAAAATTATAAGACGCTAGAAAGGAAACAATATCTAAAGTAGAACATATTTGCTATACCACCTGGGTCCCAAGAGCCCCATTCATTTGTCATTCATCAAACATAAGCAATCTAGCTGCTTTTTTCTTTATTTTCGGACAAATGAAGGGAGTTGCTAAGGGTTTGGCCACGGCAATAATAGCTCTTACAGTTACTCCAGAATGGCATCAATAAAAAAAAACAAAAAAACATAAACGCTTCAGTTTGTGCACTTGGCAGGTTCCCGATTGTGTTCCTGGAGTTAATATCAATAATAATAAGTCGCTGGCAGAGCCAACCAACTTGCCTTTGACTCTACCAACATCAAAAACGACTAGACGGTGGTTTTAAAAGCGCAAAGGACTAAGAAGAGAAGAAGGGGACAGGACAGAGCGCGCAGAGATCAAAAACGATGCTGTCAAGCGACCGATACTTTGAAACTTCAATATTTACAAACAAAACAATACGAATATCTGCGTGACCTCTTACCTCAAAAAAGTGGTTCCTAAGTGGGGGCCCACGAAGCCCAGCCTGATCAGTCGAGCCCGGCAAGAAAAGTTGTCTTTTCTCAGATTGAGAAGAAATATTCCAATGTTCGGGTGAGTTTTCTCGTATATATGTCAATAAGAGAAGTCTACTTCACACTATCCCTTAGTTATATCCATTTATTAAATCACTATCATAATTAACCTATACCTTCCCCTCACCACCAATGGGGTCATTTATCATCCCAGCCAATCTACAAGGGGATCGCGAAACATCACTGCCATTTCCTTAAAAGATGGCACACGCTTTCTTAAAGACATAGAACGGCAAGCGCTTCAAAGTTTGACAGATGCTCGCTTTAAACCAACGAGGACAAGGGCAGACGAGATTCAACTCCGCATCCATACGCAACGTCTCGGATCCAGAAGCTTCTTGAAACTGCCTTAGACCCAAGCCAACATCCAAGGGGGAAGATGTTGTCGGGAATCTTATAGCCGACCTTGTTGCACACAGTGTGGCGCCGGGGGCTGCTTCCTGGAGCTGTCGATCCAGCTGGCGATCATCATGGTGGGCAAGCAGGCGTTTGGGGCCCTCTCGGAGCTGGCACTGCCCTACGCCATGCGGCTCTGGTCCCACCTGTCCCTGATCAGGGGCACCCCCAAGGACGCCCGTCTGCCCAAGGAGCCCTGGGAGAGGGACTACACCCTGCCCGACATGGGCACCACAGGGCTCTTCCAGGGTGAGCCAGAACCGTCGTGCACCTTGAGGGTATTTCTGCAGGGTGTTTCTGAGCGCTATTCAAAGTGTTTGGAAACTTTTCACAAAAGTGTCTTTAGGTGGTGCATATATCATACTCAAATGTTACGAGCGTAGGTTTCAGGAAAATGGCTAAAATGGTCCGTTTGACGCTGCTATACTCACAGATGGTACCCCACATGCTCAAATCCGCCGAATCTGCTTTCGGGTATTCACCTCATAGAAGCTTTCACGTTTTTGCTTTATGTCGCGCCGTCTGCCGTTTAACTCCATGTGCTTAGGAAAAGAATGGGATCGTGACATCCGACAACGCGACACTCTGGTTTTTGTGAGGTCACTTATTGCCTCTTCGGAACCACTTTTGATGCGTGGGCGGGATGGGACACTAAATGCACCAGGCGGAGATTCGTTCCAGACACCGTAGTAACACGCGTGAAACAAGTTTTTAGAGTTTTGCAGGATGCTCCCAGCTTTCTCCCTCCAAAAATGAAAGACTTACAACTCCCTGTAATGCCGAATTAGAGCGCAGCTCTTGAGGAGGGGGAGGAGGAGGAGGGGAGGGTATGGACGGGACAGTTTGCCCCTCCTCCTCATCCATACCCTTTCCTCCTCCCTCCTCATCTACTCCTCCCATGCTCCTCGCCTCCTCCCCCTCTTCTCCTCCCTCCCGCACGGTGCATTATGGAAAACGTCCCATACTGCAACGCGCACATCACCACGTTGCATTATGGGACATTTCCCATAATGCACCACGCAGTGACGCCGACGCGTTACGCCGACGGCGATGCTGCTCAAGCCGGAAACGGGCGCGTAAGAGCTGCGCTCTAAAAAAGAAAACTTAATTCCACTCCAAGATGTTTTTCTAAAAGCGCGCCGTATGCGGTATAAATTGTGCAACACGCTTGGAGGAGCACATAGTTTCCTCCGTAGTCTATCCACATTTGGGGCCATTCTGTGCTTGCAGAATACCTGGAGATGATCCTGCAGTATGGCTTTGTGACGGTGTTTGTGGCGGCGTTCCCGCTCGCCCCGCTGTTTGCCCTTCTGAACAACACGCTGGAGATCCGGCTGGACGCGCTGAAGCTCCTCGGCTCGTACCGGCGTCCCGTCGGGGTGCGGGTGCGCGACATCGGCATCTGGTACCGCATTATGGATTCCTTGGGCAAGCTGGCCGTCCTCACCAACGTGCGTGCACTGCCTAGCCCAGTTTCGCTTGTCGCCCCAATTCTCCGCAGGCACCCAACACCTCCGAGATAGCAAAGTGCCGAGTTTTTGGCACAAAGTGCAGGTCTCACGAATGCTGCGTCGGCACATTTCCGGCATTCTTGTTATTATCTCTAAATTCAAAATAGCTATTAAGAAATGGACAAGTGAAGGTTATGTCAAAACCAACTCAACTTTTTTTTTTTTTTTTTGCTGTTTGAGTTTTTTGGCATTCGTTTCACACCATCAAGCTTCCTGTAACCCGTCGGGAACAAGTTGCACGTATAACAGCATTTGACGTCATGTTTTCAGTATTACATTAAATCCTGTCGGTCCAAATCTAAATATTCTAAAAATCTAAAAAAAAAAAAAAAACGCATTTTCACGTGGTGAATGATTTTGATTGGGGCAAAGCTCTGGGGGTGCTGATACGCTGAGCCGCAGCATGCCGAGCTTTTTGTTCGTTTTCATCCATGTCAGAAAGAGAATGTGTGGTATGGAACGTGGTTATATACACATTTGAGCATTTGACCGCAGCGCCCTCTCGTCTATAAACGTTGAGCCAATGCATGCAAAGTTTAACACAATTATATACGCATTTGACCGCAGCGCCCTCTCCTGTATAGACGTTGAGCGGCTACATGAAACGTTTCATCCATGACATCCCCAGCTCTTGAGTTACTACCACATCTCAGAGCCCCCTACTCGTCCCGCAGTCGTGGCCCAGTGGTTAAGGCAATGGACTAGAAATCCGTTGGGGTCTCCCCACACAGGTTCAAATCCTGTCGACTGTGCAAACCTTTTTTCTTTTTTTAAGAAGACAGATGGGTTGGCAATCGATGTGAGCACGGACATTGGACAAGGCTGGACCCTAAGGAGCTTTGCCCCTAAAAAATTATTGCGATTAGATCAAATATGGTTTTATTACTTTGTTGAATGAATTTTGAGTATAATCAGTGGCTATAAAAATTTTTCTGAGCTTCCTTTTAAGGGTGCTTTGGAAAATATTTTGAGCTCTCTCAACTATGGTAGCAACATTTTTTTTAATGCCCGGACTTTACCCTTTTTGGCATGCTATTTAGTATCTCCAAACTCAGGATAATTGATGTGAAATTGGCAACTGAAGGAAATGCCATAACCAATGTTCCAATATAGCCTCATTTTTCGCTGCCGCGACGTCATTGGCAGGCAGGCAGGCTTGCAGTCGAGCACGCCGCCTAGAAAACAGCACAATCGTTTCGTGCTTCTGCGTGAATTTTTTGGAGTGAGCTTTCAACACATTTATTTGAAGCCATCAAACTTTTTGTAATCAGTTGGGAAGAGATTCTACAGCCAAAAGAGTGAACTCCTGCCTGCTGCTGGCCTCACTTTTCATTGTTGCCACTCTGAAAGAAAAAGAAACAATAAGAACTGAAATTAAAAGTTAAACAAGTTTGCAAAAAAAAATTATTATTTCCTCCTAACATACGGGTTTTTAGTGGAGCAATGTTTGTCGGTGTGTTCAACCTATCTTGAGGCAGATCGGGGACGGCGAAAGAAAGAATGCCGTAGCTCCCCTTTGAAAGTTGATGTGGCGGTGCAGGCAGTGATCATTGCCTTCACCTCGGACCTGGTTCCCCGGATGTACTACCGCTGGAAGGTGTCTCCCGAGGGGAGCCTGGAAGGCTTCGTGGACTTCAGCCTGTCCTACTTCGACGTCCGAGACTACGGGGAGAACGTGCGGCACGGCAACACCTCCGGGCTGCTCGGTGCTCGCTACTGCAGGTGGGTGCATGCTCATTCGCCACCATGCCCCTCGGTTTTCGTCGCATCCCGAGGCGTGCCTTTTTTTATTAAACGTAGTGAAGTAGAGACAAGAGCAGAATTCGGAAAATTGTAAGCACCAATGGTGGTGGCCTCGAGACATAGAACGAGAAAGAGAGCGACAAAAAAAAAAAAAGTGGAGAAGGAAAGCGGACAAACAGGTTAGGCGTGTTCCTTTTGCTGCAAAGAGTTGAAGTTGTTTGAGTGTTCGTCGACTTCATTTATTTTTATCTGACGCATGACACCGGTGTAATTATGCAAAATAAAGCTGAAAGAATGCTAGATACATTCCTTGCGAGCGACGTCTTCCTGCTTTGCGGATATTAAAGTGTCGTCAACAATATGGTTTTATCCAGACCGTCGATGTCGGTGTCTATGCCCCACCGTTCCGAAGCAGCCGGAATGCATGGGACCTTTCCCTCTGGATTATTACATTAAATGTCTGGTTAAGCGCATAGTATTTATGGGGCTAGCTCCTGGGTTTTTTGCGCCCATGCCTGGGATGTGGCCTTAATTGTGACGTTCCAATGTTCGCAACAGTCGGTCTCTGACTACGGTGCTGGAACGGTGACGAGTCCTCGGAGGGAAAGCACTCGAGTCATTGTTTTTCTTGCACGAGATTGCGACATCACGCGATACTGTGATTTTACGCGACATCGTGTGTTGACATTAGAGCTTTTTTAGAGAACCATTTTTGCACAAACGATACAATGCGATCAGCTCTCCGGTATGGGCAGCGCATGCACGAGGTCACTACTGCCTTATCGTAGTCCAATGTCTGAACCATAAGTTATGATTGGGTGGTTAAAGCGGCAGACATCAGAAGCGTCTTGACTCGTTTATAGAACGGCTGTTTCACTGCAGGAAAAGGCTTGCCGAAGCTTCAAACGTAAATGAAAGCATTTGTGGTAGTGCCTCGAAGAAATGTCATGGTGGCGGTGAGAGAATCAAGTAGAATTCACGACAAATGAAACAGAATGCACACGAAATGTGAATGAGACATTAACGCTTTCTTAGAATCATGTTCGTTTGTCTCGGTTTGTGGGGATGCGGATAGCTCAGTTGGTTGAAGTGCCGCTCTCCCATTTGGATGAAGGCGCTAATGACACGGGTTCAATCCCTATCCGGGATTTGCAGCGTGGAGTGAAGATAAGCTAGTCGGCTTCCTGCAAGCGCAGTTGACGTTGCACATCCACTTCACCCATCAACGCAAAGTCGAACATCCAGTCTCGTTATCAACAATTACCTCCTTTTTGGGTAGCCATGTCAAATACAAAAACTTTTTCTTAGTCTTTCTAGCCGAATAAAGCCAATTCGACTCAAATTCGAGTTTGTCAAAAGTTCCAGCACTATGATTGCCGAGAATATTGTTTGCTCCTTTAGCAGACAAACTGTTCAGTCACGGTGGTGACGCCGCCGCCACATTTATCGCTCCCATTCTAGCAAAATGATACAAAATAATTTGAGTTCCACAAATTTGGCTTGAGGCTATTGCTGGAGAAGGAAACTTTTTCCTTCAGTCCTGTGAAATTACCAAGCACTCGTCCCCCAAAAAAACATGCCCTCTCTTTACCCACTTTACAAAACCTTTGTGCATTTCCATTGCCAAAGGGCATGACCTGCACCGATTGTCTGCAAGTGCGGTTCTCTAAAAGCCATTTCATGGAAAATGATCAGTTCAAGCTCCCACCTCTCGATCCGAGGTACCAATCGTTTGGTCCATCAACCGTGTTTTATTCCAATTCCCTAAAGGTCACATGATCACACCCTTTTTCATGTTCATGTGACATCGAATGAGTCTGTGACGTCGTACCAGCTTCGTTCGGTTTACTTGCACCGGTGCAGAAAAGTGTAGGGTGGTGTACTTCCGGTCGTATCTCAATACACTTGCCGGAAGTACACTGCCTTACACTTTTCTGCACCAGTGCAGGAGGTGCAAGTAAATCGAACGAAGCTACTGTCATGCGACATAAAGTCAACATGGTCAGTTTCTCTGAAGAAGTGATGCGACCAGTAAGTTCAGTAGGTCCATTTGAACCACCGATCATGTCCAAGAAGTCAGATGACCTACCAGTCACATAAAGGCCCGTTCACATACAGTAATATTCCTCGTTATAACAAAGTCAACGTGACGACAAAAACATTCAATATAAGCGGTAATTCGATAAAAGCAATAGAGCCAAAAAAACAGTGCCAGCAGCCTTGAAGGCAGACGGGAACACTGCAGAACGTTCTGACCGTATTTTAATCAAACAAACCTTGGGTATGAACATCTCGCAAGAGCTTTACCGAATAAAAAAATAATAAAGTGGAGTTTGCCATTAATTCCATCCGGGCATCAGTCCTCCTCGAACTGTTCCAGGCATTGCAAGAACACTGTCACCACCGCCGCACTTCACTTTGTTTCGAAGCAGCCGTAGGATGTTTCGAGTCTCCGCAGTTGTCGGAGCCACTCAGACGTCATTTCGTGTTTACCCTGGTCGCACGCAAGGTCTACAATCGCAGCATCTGTGGCAGGAGCAATAACAAGAATGTCCGCATTGACAAGCGCGAACGAATCAAAGTTATCCTCGGTGGCTTTGCCAACATGTTTTCACACACTCCTATAGAGATTGTTGCAGCTGTGGAAACCGTGCGCCGGCTCGGCAAGCATGCTCGCGAGAGAAAATCCGACGTGCGTGAAGCAGTTGGTGATCTTTCGTCTTCGGATTCGGGCGCACTTTCTGCTTCGTAACAAACTTCTGGAACCCGTCCAATATGCCTCTCTTGTCCTGCAAGATAATGGATAGTGCCGAACAGCCGATGCTGGAACGATGAATTCTTTGGAGATTTCGGACTTGAGCTGGCCACTTTTCTCAACCTTGCAGATATAAGTGACTTTCGGTAAACACTCCCAATCTCCCATACGAATTGTGCGCGTGTACTATGCCGCAGGCGCGCACGTCGGGACCATTCTTTCTGTCTCCATTGCTTCCATGACTCGATTCTGACAGGAGTCTGGCAGCGTCGGCCGCGGACGCCGTGAGTAGCGTCAGAATGTTGACGCTGCTCCCGCTGTTCCCTGCCCACGTCGGTGCATTGGCATCGGAAGCTGTGCTCTGCCAGCTCTGCGCGCTCTGCCCTCCGTCACCCGTTTACTTATTTTCCCAGTTTGCAGTTTGCTTTGGTGGAGAAAGGGGGAGAGAGTCGGGGGATGCAAGGATCTTCATGCGCCTCCTTGTAGTCCTGCATGCTTTCAGCACCTAGACCTTCGTAATAAGCGTGTTCGGCAGCCGATACACTTCGAATAATCCGGTTAAAAAATGCATGCATTTCAGTTGGGACCACGTTGAACTTCAATAAAAGCGATAATTCGAAAAAAGCGACTTTGTTATAACGAGGGATTACTGTACTTGCGTTTGCTTTGGATTGTCTTGTTGCAATCTCTTACGATGAGAAAGCACACTCACATACTGGCGCCGTCTATGATGTGACCCTGGAACTCTGTTTCACTAGAGCGAAGGTTTTCCAGTATTTGCAAGAGCAAATGTATGTATTATTTGTGAGAAATAGATTGTTTATAACAAATTTGCCAAAAGTTTTTCGAACCAAAAAAGAATGATGCACGAAAAGGAAGCATACGGAAACCGCAAGTTTTTCATGGCTCCCCCATGGATGGCTCCAGTGTGTTCTCTCATCGTGAGAGGTCTTAAAGCACATGGTCGTATGTGTGTGAACTGCAGCCTCAACGTGTTTGTCGGGGAAAGTAAAACAAGCCCGGGTGTTGCGTGCAGGTATTCAGACCACCGGACACCACCCTGGGTGGAGAACCAGTACAAACGGACAGCCCAGTACTGGGAGATTCTTGTCTGGAAGTTTGCATTCGTGGTCATCTTTGAGGTGGGTACACTCTCCACCACACTTTGCCTGTCTGGTAACGTGTTTGAAAAAACTGCCAATTTGTAGCTTAGAAGTTGGCTCACCATATTCTGAACCGCACGACCGGTAGCTGGCTCACCAAATCCGTCGCAGCGACTGTAGTCCCATGCAACATCCAAATAGAAACTAAAGAGGGACTTGGAGCGAAAGTTCGTGCTGCAGAACCCTGTGATGATGCATTCAATTCCCACCCCTGCCCATTTCGACCTAAATGGGTGTCGTACCAGCGTGTGGTCATGTATCACTACTATGTGACTGTAAAAACACAAACATAATTTTTTTTTTTTTTTTTAATAGAAACGAGAACAGCATTCAAAGAACAGTACAGTACTGGTTTCCATACAGATGGGCATTGTACCGATGTGCAGTCGTGTCATCACTTTTGCAAGATGTATAATTAAACATTATATGCAGTAAGAAAAGTATACAAAGAACAGATGCTGTGGGCAGCATTTGGTATTTACGAGTTACCCTGACTGAAAAACATTTATTCCTGGCAATGAGCATTCATTTCTTCAGTTAGGCCAGGCACATTTCCAGTACATCTGATCTTCAAGTGCTGACGTTCGTACCATCAGCAAGGTCGCTTAAGCGTTTTCATTGTAATGTCACTGCTTATTGCCACCTTCTAAAATTGTAAAAAAGGTACCAAACACATTGGTACTGGTCTTGAATCTGTAGTTACCAAATGCACTTGGAAAAAAAAAATTATTTTTCTCACTGTTTTTTTTTTACCTAGACTGGTCATGAAAATTATCATTGACACAAATAGTTTGGTCAGTGGGTTATTTGATGTGGTATATTAGATGTTTCTTCCAGACTAATTCAGCCTGGAAGTAATATTGATGCACACGACCATGTAGAAAATCAGGCCATTGACACGACAGAAGGATTCACGGAGACCAGCAGTAATTCTGCTTTCATCCCACGCTGTAGGAAGATGTTCAAAATACCGACTAGAGATTATGCCCCCACAACTAGAAGAAACATGCACACCGCCATGAGCACGCTTAGAACTAGGGATGCCGCGAACCACCCTAGGTTCGAATTCGAAAGGTTTTGATATTTTCTAACCGAACTGATGTTCGATTTCGATTCAACATTTTCGACCGTAGGGAGTTTCAAAATCGAAAAATTCACAACTTTCCAAAAGCGTGGGGTTTCAAATTCAAAAAGTTTGAAGCTTTCACGGTTTCTAAAAGTTTGGGTTCGATTATTTCGAATATTTGTTTATTTGAAATTCGATAAATTCAAAGATTTTGAACTTCCCTAATTTGAAATTCGAAAGATTCGAATGTTTCACATTTCTTTGGATCTAAAATTCAAAAAATTCGAACGTTTCGAATTTTTAAAGGCATAAAGTTCGATAAATTCGAAGATTTCGAATTTTTTTCTACATAAAGTTCGAAGGTTTTGATTCTCTTTTAAGGCTAAATTCGAAAAAAGAAAAAGAAAAAAAAGAGAACTTTGAAGGTTTCCGATTTCTTTGAAGTCCAAGTGCACAAAGTTCGAAGTCCGGTTTTCAAGTTCCGTCACAGTTTCAGTTGCAAATAACGTTTTCATGCCTCACTGGTTTTCACGAAATCAGGTTTAGAAAAGTTTGGGTTTGATATTTAGACTGCGCGAAGTTGGTCAGGCAATTAAATGAGACGACGAGTGCCCCGGAAGTGCTGGAATATTTGTCAGTGCAGTGACGTGTAACAATAGATCAGTAATTGTGACCGCCAGCCCGGGGTGGTCATTAATGTGCATTACGAAGTAGTGATCCTACGAACGCACTGTTTAACGATACTCATCCAGTTCGAAACGGCCAGGGGCAGGCAGGTGGTTGAGGTTCAGAAAAACCTTGAAGTAATCTGGCAAACTGCCCCCTACCCCTTTGCACGCTGGTAGTAATCTGATCGAACGCCGCCCGAGTGACGCTGGCATATAGTAAGTTTAGTTTGTACATGATGCAAAATCCTGAGACTGGGAATGAAATTTGAAAGAAAAAGTGTAAGAAGACAGAAAAACGGGGACAAAACAACGTCTCAAACTCAACTCAGCTGAAAACTCAGCTCAGGACAACGTCTCAGACTCACAGTGATGTGATTGCTGCGCCAATTGCGCCAAACTGCGCCAAGGGGCTAACCCTGCTACATCCTGCTACATTTCGCCAAAATATGGCTAATCTGCGCCAAGCCTGCGCCAAAGGACCAATTTTGATCGCCTTTTAAAAACGAACCTAAACTGAGAACCGTGAGCTAGGCGGCACAAGACGCCGCCCGACACAAAGTACCCTGCATCAATCGTGTAATCGGTCTTGCATGATTTTTCCCGCCGTCTCGCGTTTCGCGCTCTTGTCGTCTCGGAAATCTCGCCTCGCGTCTTTTTTTCTTTATTCTTTTGTCCGGACGCTCCTACGTTAGTGTGCTGGGTGCCAGACATGCCGTCATACTGTGAAAGAAAACCATGTTTTTGCGCGGCGAGAGTTACTTTGTGAGCTTAAGCGCTCTCGCGACGTCGTGTGTTGCCGTCCCCACGTCGCTGCAGATATGGCGCTTTCTAAACTGAAACGCATCGACATTCCTGCTCTTGTTTAAATCATATGCTGCTGTACAAATCTCTCTAACTGAATCAATGCTTGGCGAAGTTTTGATTACCTAGGTTTCTCTCGGTGGGCTTTCTTTCGAGAGGGACCCCGGTACAGGAAAAATCTGCCGCGAAAAAAAGTTGGTAAAGAGAAGTGAGCTAAAGCAAAGAAGGCAATGTTCACACGCTGAACCCGCACACCGCGCTTGTTTGTTCGAGTTCAGTCTTTGCACAAAGCGCTCCAAGAGCTCTTTTGACCCTGATTCGCAATGTCTTGCATTGATACGCTAAGGTTCTTTTTTTTCTGTGTGTTTAGCTTGTACCTTGTTTGCCGGCCTGGCAAGCGCGCACCGCTGAACTGTTTTGAGTTGTATGCTGGACAGTTACATTTTGCATACTATTTTGGGAACCAGTTGGCGACGGAGCGGAGTGGCGTGGTCTTGGTTTCGGTCGAACAGCTGTTGTGTCCGCTCGTGTGACGAAGCACGTGTAACTGCAAGCCTGCCGAAGTTGCCCTCACGTGCATGTGAACATGATTGTACGAGAGGCACAAGCCAGGACGCTTGCAATCCATTGTTTTACGTTTGCTTACTTTTTATACAAATCTGCCACGTCGGAAACCAGTAAAACGATAGCAAGTGTTTTTTTTTTTTTCGGTATTGCTCGGCAACGCCTGCAGCACTGTATACTTGTGGGATGTCTCAGCAGCGAAAGCACAAGCAGCGAGTTCCGCCCAACACGTCACAACACAACGCAAAGTGCTCTTCGTTTGTCCAGCACTTAAAACAAATATTTATTTTTCTAAGAATATATATGCTCCAAAAGCCACTTTTTCTGCTCCGAAACACTGTTTTGGCTGCTCTAAAAGCCACTTTTGCTGCTCCAAAACACCGTCTTGGCTGCTCCAAAGTCCACATTTGCTGCTCCAAAACACTGTTTTGGCTGCTCCTTAAGGTGCTCCAAAATGGCTTCGGCCAATCACATCACTGGACTCAACTCAGCTGAGTTTGAGACGTCCTGTCCCCTTTTTTCTTTCTTCTTACACTATTTCTTGCGAATTTCATTCCCAGTCTCGGGATTTTGCATCATGATCAACATACACCAACTTGCCTGCACCTTGACAATTTTTTTGTTTGTAATTGCTTTGGAGGTTTATTTTCTGGGGCGGAAGAAACGCCGAGCAAAAAGCACAGAAGCTGACGCAACTTGAGGTCGAGGAGCGTTCTACCATACCAGTGGCGTCGTAAGAGGAGAAACGGGGGGGGGAGCTCCAGTCTCTTTCCCCCCCCCCCCCTTCCCTGATATCTCGGACCGTTAAAGAAAACATCACAGGGAAAGACGGCATGGTCGAGCTTATTCTAATCTGAAATTATTTATGCATATGTATAGCTACTGTTGCCCTCCACTGCATAAAAGATTGCGTAGATGGTCATTGTTAAGGCCGGTTCTCACATGCAGCGAAGCACTGATGTAACGCTGCTCACGTGCCGTCAGGTACTTATCGAATGCCATGAGCAACAGTTTTGATTGACGGTGCGATACAAAGCTGGTGAACGCTCCCATCGGCACATGCTTAGCACGAGGTCAGCGCTATGCTTGTAGTGCTCCGCTGCATGTGTGAACAGGCCTTTAGAAACTCGTCAGGAGGCACTACTCGTCACATGCTCGGTGGCTCGAAAGTTGAAAGCTATGTCTTTTCGACCTAGATAACAGTGCCATTGGTAAAAAATAATCAATAAATAAACATAGCAATAAATGCAAAAATAAAAAAGCTGGAGAGAAAAAAAAAACTATCAAGAACCCGCCGGAAATGTTGTATTCTTGCATATTGAGAGGCCCAGAACTATGAAACAAGTTTCTCCTACCAAAATGTGTACAGGCCAAAAGAAACATGTCTTAAAAGCGTAAAATGAGAAAAAAAGTTTTTTTTTTATGATGCGCTGAATTTGATTAATTTTAGAAATCTTCCCCCATCAGTTAACTTATTCCTCAATGTGAAAAAAACAATAAATACATGATTTCGTATTCTGCAGATGGTAATGATATGTACTATCCATGGTGTCAATTTAAATATGATACCCCAAACAATGTAGGCAAAAAAAATTACCAAGTTTAGGGCATAATTGTCCGTAGGTACATGTTTGAATATCTATTCGAAACTCGTCTTGAACAACAATCATCATATCTTAAGACGAAACTCGCCTAGGCTATATATAGATCATTCTTAAAAAGTTTAACATCTCTACCACAAATAGCTTCGACTATAGTGCGCTTCAAATATGGCACAAACGACAATTGTCAAAAACCCGTCGTCCTTCCTGGCTCCTTCAGGAATCTATTTTTCTAAAACCAAGCATGCCAGATGTTTGAAATAAACGGCATCGTCTTTCGCAAGGAATGCGGCACCCCATGTAAAATTGCGAAAAAAAAAAATTATGAATGTACTTCACTGCTTGAATCCAAATGAAATCGCCCGCCAGTCTTTCGAAGTTCGTCAAACTTTTGACTTTTCAGGAATCGAGAGTTCAACAATTTTCTAATTCTTTAGATCAATAAGTTCGAAAATTATTGAATTTCTTAGCGTAGAAAGTTCGAAAAGCTTCGAACTTTATAGTGCAAGAAGTTCAAAAGGTCGAAAATCATAGAATTTTTTAGTCTATAAAGTTCGAAAGTTCGACAAGCATCGAATTTTGCAGCGATACAAGTTTGAAAATTCGAAAAGTGTCAAACTTCCTAGTTCAATAAGTTCGAAAATTCGACTTCCGTCGAATTTCTTAATATGGAAAGTTCGAAAATTCAAAATCTTTCGAATCGCTTAATTCGATCATCGAAACTTCGATTCGAAAAAAGTTTGCGGCATCCCTACTTAGAACTGAAAGCAACATTTGTACTACTGTGTGCAACACACTTTGCTGTGGGTTGATAGGCAGTACGGTGCAAGCAGTGCAATGCATTTGTCCTTTGGTTTCAGAACCTGATTGCCACCCTGATGACCTTGATCCGCTGGGTCATTCCAGACGTGCCCAAGTCCATCCGCGAGAAGATCCGAGAGGATAATAAGCTCACCAACGAGATCATCATCCTGCAGGAGCTCAGAAGGCGACATGCCATAGACCCAGTCCCCGTCTGAGGCCCCACAATGCCCAGAGTAACGCCGGCATAATGCCAATGTAATGCCGGCTAAATTCCAAGGAGGCCTCGGTGGCGACGGGCCCCTTTTGCCACTGCCTTCGGCAAGCAAGTATGGGGCCAGAGACTTATGGGACGTGCCAAAGAGCTTCCTGCGTGCGATGAAACCTCTTCCTCAGGGAAAGCCCCAGTCAAACGGCACCGCCATGCTAAGCCACCAACTTCCTTGGTAGGAAGGCACATCACTTTCGCCTGGAGTCACTGGAAGTTGTCAGGGTATGGAACTTGTTCACACGGAAAGAATGAAAACACTGAAAATATACAAGAGACTGACACACACAATTCTTTCATGTATGGGCGGGAATGAAAGAAGTGTGTGTGTCTGTCCCTTGTATATTTTCAATGTTGTTATTCTTTCCGTGTGAACTGTAGTCCATCCAATGTGCTCTGCTACGTGTATGGAACTTGTATGGAACTTGTCATTGTGCTGCTGTTGTCCGAACCCTGCCTTTTCAGCCTTATATCAACAAGCACCACGGTCAGTGCTACTTGGACTTCGAAGATACAGCGACATGGAAGTTGTACGGCTTTCATACCATTTTTGTCATACTTGAGACGAGCCATCTGTGATGGGACAAAAGAAAAGAAATAGCATACCCCGAGATTATTTTAGTGTCTCTAGGTTTGTCTGTACATATATATATGCTAACTTTGCCGCTGGATCAAGTGTACAGTACTACTAACGTTTGTTCGATTTTCGAGCCTACTGAATCTCGCAGCATTGCGGCGTGCATCGAGGCTACATGCTTCTAAGTACATTACTGCATTATCCCTGGGTTTCTGTGCAATTCAAGCATGCCCGCTACCCGCCTTGCCAGCGACGTTAGTCTGCTTTTTCAAATGTTCCTTCGGAGGCTAGGCTATCGTGATCTTGTATCTGCCGTCGGCAGACGACACTCTCAATTGTTAACCTGCAGGCCAAATGTACTTGTAGCGCGTGTTTTTACTAAAACATTTTACGGGCTATCCCAAACATTTCTTACACCGTGAAGTCAGCTCAAAAAAGTGGAAGGAATGTTAAGTTTCTTCCACAACTGCGTTTTAGTGGTAATTTTTTTACTTCCCGAAACTCGCAAGCACCATCTATATTTATAAAAAAAAAAGAACTAGGTTGAAGGTTCCCATTTTCTAACGATTGGGACCGTTAAAAAATGCATCAATTTCTAAAGCTGCACTTTGGAATTCCACCAGGTGAATGCAACGACTTAAATGCAGCTCAGGGGAACCTTTTGGATTGGGTTGCCGACGTTTAGGGATCAATGGGTGCTGTGCGGGTAAGACACGTTTGTGATGTGCCATCCATGTATATACATGTACGGCCGTTGTCTAGTTATCAAAGCTTTATTCGTCGTTGCACCATTTCATTGTTGCGCAGTCTCCCGGCGCGAGGTCGGGATTGTTGTACGTGTTGTCTCGTGAATAAAGACGGTGCCATTGCATCCAAGAGTGTCCTAAAGCTTGATGGCGAACGAGGCACCGCAAGAACAGCCTTTCTCCGCCTGCGGATTCTGCACAATGCGGAACGAGGAGCGTATGAGCTCCTCGTGGTAATCGACGGTGGCGCCACGCAGCAGTTCTAGCGACGCCGCGTCCACGAGTACTCTTGCGCCATCGCGCTCGATCAAGGTGTCATCGGGATGCGGCGCTTGGGCGTCCAAGGTGAAGTTGTACTGGAAGCCAGAGCAGCCACCGCCTTCCACGGACACTCGCAGGGCCTGACCCCCCGTGGCCGTCTTGCGCAGCTTGTCTACGCAGGCGTCGGACAGGCGGAGCTGGTTCGTGTCCCCGCTGGACGCTGCCTGTACAATAGATCCTTTGAGTGCCATCTAGTGTCTGAAATATCAATCTAACCTTTTGTAAGCTAATGGAAATTTGTAGGCCAAAAGGAGACGTATGAAAATGAGTGTTTTATGGCATACAGGTTTTTTTTTTTTTTTTTTTTTTATTTCAATTTTGACGAGATGAAACTACTTCTTTGTACGAGGCGCTTGCCTAAAACCACAGTTCCTGTAAAACTCTTGATAAAATTTGTCACATCAAGCGGTTTGTGAGCAAAGTGTGTCGAAACAGAGTTATTAGACGCTAATCCGAAAGGAACCCTGACTCGGCACTTGTATTTAATAAGAGTTATCTGCAGATGCCGAAGGTGAGCATTTTTATGATTCGCATGGCACGCTCAAAGGTATAGCACACAGAAAGTCTCCTCACGCTGTTGTAGAACAAAGCAAAATAGTGGACTAGCATCGTGAGCACCCAGTCTTGCATTCCCTGCATCAAGGTCTGTCTTCTCCCTTCATCAGCCACCAAAAGGCTGCCATTAGCACGGACAAATGACATACACTCGAATGATGATAGTTATCAAAGTTGCCAGACTGATTATTGTGTGGGTCATGTCGGGAAACTATGAAAATGTTTCGAAAGCTTGAAAAAACGTTGGGGGAATTTAGTTAGTATCTACTGCTCACTTGGGATCACATCGCACATGGTTTATGGGCCTCATTTGTAATGCAAGCTGCAAGGAGGAGGCGCAAGCATCGATCGCCTGCAAGACTCTCCAGCCTTTGCTCAGCCTCTTCTCCTGCTATCCTCACAACCATGCGACAACACGCATATACTACATGCATCCAATCTGCACAGGAGGTGCCCGTCATTAAATTGCAAAAGCTTCCCCGAGTTGCTCCCTCACTTAAATCTAGGCTACCTAAATTCAGCATAAAGCCGGTAAGGAAATTAAGGAATGTATGGAAAGGCAGCCTAAAGCTCATGGGGAAACTAGGAAATATTGGGGGAATTTCAGAGAGATAGAACTTAGGGGTAAGGGACATTTGGGGACCTAGAGGTTGGGGCCGAAAGGTGGACACCGTTGGGCAAGGAACTAAAAATGCAACTAGACATGTATGCAGAGAGCAAGTCGTCTGCTTCTTGCGCAGCAGTTGCGGTGACGTCAGAACGACGCCGAGCTCTGATTCGCTTTGGTTGAAAGGATGGAGGGTAGACCTGAATTCTAGATGCCTTAAAGTCTACCCACTGTTTTTTTTTTTTTTTTCAGTCGGCCAATAAGAGTTTGGCGTTCTGACACAATCGAAACCCCTGTGCAAGCAGACGAACTTGCGCACTCTACTCAATTTTTGGGGCGCACAGCATTAGTAGAGCAGCACAGCAAAGTCTGATCGGATTTGGTTGTGGCCTTACCCTGTTGCGCCTTAGTTTACAATCCGGTTTTAATCAACGTTAATTTATAATTGTGATTTCTTGTACGCAGTAAAGGCACGTCAACGTAGAGGAGGAGCGGTGAAGGGAATGGTGTAATCCGATTAGCCCGAAAGTGGCAAATGCAGTTACCCTTGATTGCGTACTGGCGATGGTAGCGCGGATACAGCGCGCGTATCTCGCGAGCATCCCTCTCGAGTTCGATTGCGACTTATCCAAAACTTTGTTAGCAGCGAGCGAACACCGCTGCTAGGGATACTGCTAGTGTCGAAAGTCACGTCTGAGTCACGTAAGCCACCCAACCTCAGCCCAACCTGTACGCAGACGACTCGACAGCTGGGAGCCTGGGAGCTGCCATGTTTGCACTTTGCACTACCAGAAGCCACCGTGCGACCGTGCTGGAAGCCATAACTATAACCAAAAATTAGAAATTTGGAGGATTTCCATAACCCTATGAAAACACCTCGCTTGTTTTTTTTTCTTTACGTTTAAATAATATTTTGCCTGGTATTTTGATATATTTTAATTAATTAGTTTTCCCAACTCGCCGCCATGGATGTTCACCACGACAAAGTTCACCGCTTTCATTTCCCGCTTTTTCCCATCTCTCGTAAGCTGCAACCTCCTAAAATTGGCTGCATTTGATGGTATTTCTTTTTTTAAGAACTCCTGGACCAGAGAAATTGACTAAATTGACAGGCCCCTCACGCCACCTAGTGACGTAGAACAGTGGAAGTTACAAAATCCAACAAACAATAACAGAAGACAAAAGCAACGTTTTGCCGTTTGCCTGATTGGCCTGATTCGCTGCTCGAGGCTCGTTGTCTGGTGGTCCGCGCGTTTTGTGCACGGAAGGAACTTTTCATCGACTCTACGCGGATAGCTGATTTGCGCGTTACAACAGCGCGTGCGGGACGTTGTGTGCCGGTCTCGTCTCGCTTTCTGAGCTCGCGCAGGGAAGTGTCCACCATTGTTCCCGCTCACGGCGCATTCAGGGCCCCTGGCGTCAGATCGGTGAAACCCATGTGCTTCCCTTGGTGCTGATGTGTGTGTCTGTACGCGTTCTATGACACGCTTCTAGAAAAGAACGGGCGCTTTCGGTTAGAATGATTAGACAGAATAAACTCTATTTTACGCGCTCGGCAGACGTATTAAAGTAAGCAGGACCTCGTCAGGTATGGACATGTGGCAGCAGTGGAGTGCCGCGCAGCCGGTGATCCCAACGGCAGGACAGTCTTTTGTGCCCAACATCGGCGTCTTGGGAACGGTAGGATGGCCGGCGGCCGCCGCCGCCACAGCCACCCCTCAACCGGCAGCCGCGGTGTCCTACGCATGGCCGCAAGCGTGGACTGCCGCCGCGGCCACAGCGACAGGTGTGCCCGTGCCGCTAAACGCGGCAGCATCGCAAGGTGCCGTCCCGACGCCGCTGCAAGCCGATCCCGCCGCCGCCGCCGTCGCCGCCACCAACACCACCACCGCCGCGCAAGTGAACAGCGCAGCGCCCGCCGGCGCCCCAGGGAACGCGTCTGAAGCCCCGCCGGCAGCAGAGGTTGGTTCTTCGGGTCGAAAACCCGACCGCGATGCGCCCGAAATTTCGACTCCGAGGCGCTGTTCGGTTCGGTTCAATTCCTGAGCGCGCGCCAACGGGCTGCCATGAGCGAGGCTGCCCTAAACCTCGCTCGTTCGATTGTTTTCGTGCCACGAGTTCGAAAGTGGCCCTGCGTGCCGTTGCGGCGACGCCGAGCCGCTTTTGTGCCCATTTCTGAAGGGGAAACAAGGGAAATTGCGGTCAAAGTTCCCCAAGAAGACGAAAGTTGCGGGGGTGGTCGAATGAATACAGTGCGGTTGGGGTGCATTGGCTCGGCGCTCGCGCTATCTTCCTCCAAGGCCACCGTTTAAGTCCGGTGTGAACCGGGCGATCAAGATTCGATGAAAAGGACGTCCGCCTTCGAATTAAGCTACTGGAAAGGCATGAGTCTAGACGTAGTCAGCGGCACCAACCACATTCGAGCTTTTATTGCGCACTTATCATATAAAAGGGTCAACTTCCTTGCGCTCGCTGTCTTGCGGCCTAAGCGCATTCTGCGATCTCCAAGTAGTGTAGGGCGCTTCCTTCTCCCCTTTTGATTGATTGTCTGACACCTGTTGTGGGCTCACAGCAGTGATACCGCTCAACTTAGTGCCAGATCTAGTGGAATGTGAGGTCCAAGTGCTCAATTGTGCCTCATGCTTTTCCAAACATACCTGTTACCGGGCCTAGAACATTATTTTGTGGGCCAAATTCGTGCTGTGTTCATGTTCCAAACAGGACAGCTTATCTCGTAACAGTTGGCTCGTAATCTTTACTGATATACAAACTAAACTACCAGTGTGACTGAGTTTAGGCCCTTTTTGAAGCCGTTCCTTCTTGATTGTCACTTGTACCTATAAACTTTTCCGATGAAAGGTATTTGTTAATTGCATGAACAAATGCTTGTGGTCAGTACTTGCTAACCACAAGCAATGCTATGCCTCGTCATGTTTAACAACCACAAGATAGAATTTTAGTCTAGAATGAATGTGATCAGCTTGGATTCTGGTTGAAACAAACCTATCCACCTTGAGATTTTAGTATGACTTCATGTCTATGGTGAGCTGCAATACAAGTTACTTGAATGAAAGAAAAGGAACAGTAAGGTTGAGGACAGCATGGAACATCTTGCCCTCATCCTTTTTGTTGCTTTCCTTTTAACCAGCATGCTCTAATTCGTCAAGTACAACATGCCCTTAGTTTTGATACGGTTGTTGCTTGTGTATTTCTCTTTTGCACTGTTTGTGTGGCGCTCTACAGGATCCATGACATGCCACCGGCATGCTGCTGTCTCTGGGTATCGCAACACGAGATTATGGTTGAGTTCTCGGTGCACAGCACCAAAAATGCATAAGAGAGCTTTCTCAAGGGGTGCCATTCCCCGATAGCCTTACAGCGACCCCCAGAGCCACCGTCGTGACCTGTAGGGCGGAGACTCGCGATAGCATTTCGTGACGTCTCTCCCTACAGGATTCTGAACGTATGCAGCAGCTGAAGAACCAGGCCCAGGCGTGGCAGCAGGCCCAGCAGCAGGCCTGGCTCGCCTGGTCGCAGCAGTGGGCCGGATGGACGTCTGCTTACGAGGCCGCAGCCACCGGCCAAGCCGCAGCCGGTCAGCCCGGCACCCAGGGTCCCGGAGGAGTCCAGACCCCGGCGGGGACTCCGGCTGCAGCAGCAGCAGCTGCTCAGGCCGCCAATGCCCAGATGGCGCAACAGGTGGCCCAGATGGCCGCAGCGCAGAGTGCCGTAGCAGTGCCGATGGCGGGCGCTCCGGCAGCGGATGCAGATGACGTGGAGTTTGAGCGGCAGTTCAAGGAGTGGGAGAAAAGCTTTGACCAGTGGCTCACACAGAACCGGGAGCATCCGGACAAGGAGGCCTTTGCACGCTACGAGGGCCAGTGGAAGCAGTGGCGGCAGCAGTTGCTGGACCGCCGGCAAGAGATGCGTCGGCAGAAGGGTGGGTGTTCGTCGTCCTTTTTATTTCCTGCCGTCTTCTTGTGCAGCAGAAGGATGCTCTGTCCTGCAGAAACTGTGGCTGTTGAAGAACCCAGCTGCCTAAGAATGCTGCACATGCTTGAGTGAACCGAGGTTCAGCAGGCTGAACTTTTCATCTGTGTTGCAGCTGATGAGGGCTAAGATTACAGAATGAGTGGTTGGAAACAATAAAAGTGCACAGAGTCGTAGAGAGAGAGGGAAATTGGTTTCTTACTGTGGTGGCTACATAAAGCAGGGCGTGACATCTGCGCCAATTGTGCCATTTTGATACGAACCAAATGTTCTGGGCCTAGTTGCGCCAAAACGCAAAATCTGTTGAAATTGCGCCACTCTCCGCCAAAGCAACTCAAATAGAAAAAAAAAAAAAAGTTTGCGGCGACACTAGACTTAGCGGTAAATGAGAGCTTGGTTGGCAACATTCAATCTCGGCATAGTAAGGTACACAACCCGGGCACAGAGTGGCGCAAGCAACCGTTGGATTCGAAGATTTCAGCTGTAGTACTCTTCTATGCCTATGATACGTGGTCTTTTCCCGATTTTCCTACTACTTTCCGCTGTCATCTGTGACTGCATGCTAATCGTGCGCTGTCGCGCGGTCTTGCTGTCTGGTCGAGGGAGGTATGAGGCACAGGCTATCAAGATGAGCAAACCTAAGTACTATTTCTTTCGTTTTAAGAGTAAATCTTTTCTTAAAAGTGCTATTGAGCGCCTCCATTGTGTAATTGTTTATTCCTGTCCGTAATCTCGTCAAAATGGACGGCGTTGTCGCCCTGAGTACTTTCGGTTATCACACACATGCTTCCAGTGCGTGAGCAATCAAATGAATTGGTCACACCCGTATTTAGCGTGCATGTGGTGTGTGACCAATTCACTATTTACCTTGTGACTCACTTTTGGGGTGCGTTTTTTTCTATCTGCACGTGCTTCCTACGAGGGTTCAATCAATATCTGGTTGTAGTAATTCATGCTTCCCTGTTCATGCTTTCGAATCGCTGCTTTAAAAAGTTTTGCACTACAATTGCGCTTTGGCACCAGTCCGTATAAGCTTGAGGTACCTGGTGCCCCCCTAGCGTTGCAGCAAGCCTGTGTTTCCTGTCGTCATCTATGTGCATGAAACTCGCGTTTACCTTTTTTTTTTTTATATATATATATATATATATATATATTTTATCTTGATGCGTATCGGTGCTGATGACTTATCCGAACCATGGTGGACAAAAATAATGATCAAAAAAGAAATATCTGATTTATGTGATTTATATCAGATTTTTATGATTTAAATTGCTGATAAGCTGCTCTAACATTTTCTGCTCCTAACCTGCTCCAAACTGTAGACTTTTGTGCTTCAAAGTTGCTCCAAAATGCATAAACTGCTGCTCTAAAACGAGAATTTTGGGCTCCAAAGCTGCTCCAAAATCTAGATTTTTCTGCTCCAAAAATTGCTCCAGAACCTGTTTCACCTGTCTCACCCCTGATAAAGTTAACATGCTGTGGTGACCTCTAAATGCTGGAATAGGTAATGCTTGAGTTGATTAGGTTGGTTGTTGCATGTGTGCATTGTTTTTAAAAGGGGCTCATAGCATGTGAAAATGGTTGGATTCATGTGGGAGTGAGTTTGTTTTCGTTAAGAAATGATGAATTGGCTGAATTACTGTACTTCTTAAACATATTAGAAGAACCTAAGCTACAAGCTGCCATGTCTTATACAGTCTGTGGACTGCACAGGTGCAAGTTCTCAGCAGGCATGATTAAACATGAGGCACACTCGTGTTGTTTTATGTTTACTTGCCCTCAAGGTAGCGTAAAAGGCCACCTTTTCTCATACTTACAGCTACTTAACCTTCATTATTCTAACAATTCAGTTCTGTTGTTTAATTAATAGGGTGATACTACCTTTTGTCTTCATTACAGTAGATAGCCAGTTAAGTCATGTTTGCAGATGAATATGGGACTTGCATATGAAAATCAGTCTGCTGTTGGTTTTCAATTTGTTCAGAGGGACAAATCAACGTATGTGAATGTCCTAAATTTTCTGTGCAGGACTAACGCAGCAGACGCCTGCCACACAGGCAGGCTCGGCAGTGACCCCAGGACACGCTGCCCTCCAGGCTGGTTCTCCCGCCATGCAGCAAGCCATGGCCCAGCAAGTTGCGCTCCAGGCCATGAGCCAACAAGCCATGGGCCAGCAGGCCATGGCACAACAAGCCATGGCACAACAAGCCATGAACCAACAAGCTATGAACCAACAAGCCATGAACCAGCAAGTCATGAACCAGCAAGCTATGAACCAGCAGGCAATGGCACAGCAAGCAATGGCGCAGCAGGCTATGGCCCAGCATGCTATGAACCAGCAGGGCATGGGGCAACAGGGGATGGGGCAGCAGTCCATGAACCAGCATCCGATGGGGCAGCATTCCATGGGGCAGCATTCCATGGGGCAGCATCCCATGGGGCAACACCCAATGGGACAGCATCCCATGGGTCAACACGGCATGGGGCAGCATCCCATGGGCCAGCAGTCGATGGGGCAGCATCCAATGGGCCAGATGGGACAGCACCAGATGGGGCAGCACCAGATGGGGCAGCACCAGATGGGGCAACACCAGATGGGGCAGCACCCAATGGGACAGCAGGGCATGGAAGAGCGGCCGATGGGACAGCATGGCATGGAACGGGATGCCATGGAACAGCACGGGATGGACCAGTTCCCTCAGCACCGGCCCGACGGGATGTACAGACCGGGGCAGCGTGGGCCGATGGAGGGAGACATGCCTTTCTCGGGCAGGGGGCCGGAGGGACGCTTCCCGGGACACTCAAGGGGCCCCTCGCGAGGCTTCCCTGGGGGACCCTCCAGGGGAGGCCCCCCGATGAGGGGAGGGCCCCACATGATGGGCGGGCCGCCGAGGGGGGGCTCGACTATGGGTGGTCCCTCCATGGGTGGGGGTCCCCCTAGGGGCGGTCCGCCCATGGGTGGCCCTCAGAGAGGGGGGCCACCGATGGGAGGGCCCCCTAGGGGCGGGCCCCAGAGAGGAGGGCCTCCAATGGCCGGGTCCCCCAGGGGGGGACCACCCATGGGCGGGTCCCCCAGGGGAGGGCCTGTGATGGGAGGGCCTCCGATGGGAGGGCCTCCGATGGGAGGGGGGCCTCAGAGAGGCGGACCCCCTATGAGGGGCGGTCCTCCGATGAGGGGGGGTCCCCCGACAAGGGGCGGTCCCGGGGGCAGGGGCGGTCCCCCAATGAGAGGCGGGCCCCCAGGTTCTCCGCGGGGGGGCAGGCCCTTCGGCGGTCCGGGCCGCGGCGACCACTTTGGGCCCCCCTTGGGCGACCGGCCCCCCGAAGAAAAGGGGGACGAGTTTGGGCGCGAGGAGTTTGACCACCCGGACAGCGAGAGGTTCGAGGCGCCCCACGAGGAGTTCGGGGGTCCTCCCCGCAACGACTTTGGTGGCCCCAACCCGGACAAGTTCGGTCCCCCCCGTGGCGACAAGTTTGGCCCCTCGCCGGACGAGGACTTCCGGGACCCGCGGGACGACTTTGACGCGCCCCACAAGGAGTTTGCGGGCCCCCCCCATGGGGAATTTGGAGGGCCGCCCCGACAGCAGCAGCAGTCGCCGTATGTCTGGCGCAGCCCTCACGTGAGTAATCTCTTCTAGTGCTCAATCCCATTGGAGGAGGCCATCATGTCAGCTTCTTTGCTAGGCTTATAGTCACTGTCTGGATGAGAACGTTTGGGAGGTATTAAGCACGAGCTTCCTTTTTTGGATAACGTCAGCTCGGTATCTTCGAGCAGGCACACACTGCCAATCCATGGGCAAAGGCAATAAGTGCGTGCTAGAGGCAGAGCATCAGAAAGAGGTGCCGTTGTGATGATAGTAGAATGCAAAGTCAACTTGCATTAATTCGACTTGTTTCATTTGACCCTGTTCAAAGGTCCTGGCAAAACCATACATTTCTATAGAAAAAGAACTCGTTATTTCATTTTGATCTTGAAATATAAAATATTTGCTAATTCTACCTAGAGAGAACCGGCGGTGGGCAAATTACAAACGATTGGCCGTATGCGACACGCAAAATCGGGCCTTTTTTTTTTTTTTAGTTACGCAGTGGGCAAGTTACAAGCGTGCTCGGCCACACTTGTTAGGGGAAAACCCTTTCATATTTTTAAGCACACGCCAAATTGCAAAGAGAAAAAAAAAAAAAAAAAAAGCGCATGTTGAGACACAGCACGCTGCCTGGTCTCAACACAAAACAACCATTGCAACACCGCTGCAGGGCAGGGAGCGCAGCTCCACAGCAGTGGCGGCAGCGCCGGTCACCACTGTCTCCTCCGTACCAAACGCATGAAGGACATATGCAGCTGCTCATTATAAAAACGTTAGCCCATCCGATCTAAAGGGCCCTATATTCAGAATTTTGCACAAATCTTTTAATTCAATCTTCGGATAATTCAACCCAATTTCGGGTGTCCCATAGAGGTCGAATATTTAACCAAAAGTCGACTGAAATCCCATCAGCAGTGAGCTCGGGGCAGTACCTGACTGGGGGGGTTGTGAAGGGCGTTTATTTTATTCTTTTTGGCATCGAGTTTGATCACTTGAGGTTCTTTACATCCCAGAATGAATAGGTGATAGGTTTTGAACCGACTGACCTCGTGATTTCGTGCATTGTCGTGGTGATGGACGACTTCGCAACGCGATGTGTGTGGTTTGTGCTAGGCCCGGTCCACTAGCATCGGTCTTATTCGCAAACCAGGAGAGGTGTACGCTTTGCGCTCAACACGTCCTGCGCTTGCCGGTGTTTGTTGGCATGTTTCAGCTTGTGTACTGAAACAAGAGTTATCGCGCAGGCAAGCTGATGCAGTTACTGCATAAGAAAAAAAGAACGGAGACATGGGACATGCAGCAAGGGAAGACAGGAAAACGAGCTCGTGTAATTTCTTTTTCTTGAGGTCTTGGGACGTGTAGTTGTGGAGGGGTGGTGCTTTGCGCACCATGATTGGAATAGGCATTTCATAAAGGTGTCTCAACTTTTTTAAGCTCAAATTTGTATATTAAAATTTTTAGGGTGTGCTAGTGTGTTTATTTAAAGTGCAAGAGACAGATGAGAGTATGAAAACTAATAACCTCACAAATCTACTAAAATTTTTAGGGCGGGCTAGTCTGTTTAACACATTGAATATGTAAAGTGCAAGAGAGCCTGAAGAAGACTGGGAAGAAATTATGTGCAATGAAATGATACAGTGCACTACCGGAGATGCCTAGGGTCATTTTAGGGCTTACGCGAGAGAATGGGAACGCAAGATGTAGCAGAGCCCCTCATTTTCATGCCTAGAATATTATATATGTACCCAGTGATGTGATTGCTGCGCCAATTGCGCCAAACTGCACCAAGGAGCGAACCCTGCTACATCCTGCTACATTTTGCCAAAATATGGGTAAACTGCGCCAAGCCTGCGCCAAAAGATCAATTTTGGTCGTCTTTCAAAACCGAAACTAAACTGAGTACCGTAACTTAGCCTGCATGAGCTAGGTAGCACAAGCGGCCGCCCAACGTAAAGTACCTTGTATCAATCGTCTGTGCAGTCTTGCATAGTTTTTCCCGCCACCTCTCGTTTCACGCTCTCGTCGTTCATGTGTCTCGTCTACACCGTAGTCTCGTCTCGCGTCTTTTTAAAAACAATTTCAACGATAGACGTGGGCGTATGTTGACGCTTTAGTGCTTCAGTCGTTGTACAAAGCGCTCCAAGTACATTTTTGACCCTGACTCGCGATGTATTGTTTTGACCTGACTCGCTCAGGTTCTTTTTCTCTGTGTGTTTAGCTTGTACCTCGCCTGCTGGCCTGGCAAGCACTTGCCGGTGGACTGTTTTTGTCGTATGCTGGACAATTACATTTTGCATACAATTTTGGGAACCAGTTGGCGACGGAGCGGAGTGGCATGGTGTCTGTTTCGATCAAACAGCCATCTCCGCTCGCGCGACGAAGCACGTGCAAATGCAAGCCTGCCGAAGTTGCCCTCATGTGCATGCGAACATGACTGCACGACAGAGGCACCAGCCGGGACACTTGCAACCCGTTGTTTTACGTTTGCTTACTTTTGACGAAAATCTGGCACGTCGGGAACCAGTTAAACGGTGCAAGTGGCTTTTCGGAATCGCTTGGCAACGGCCACAGCACTGTTCACTTGTGGGATGTCTCAATGTCTCTTTGGAGACATTGAAAGTGGGAATTCATTACTAGTCAAAGGCAAAGCGAGGCTTGCAGCAGCCTTGTATTAAAAAGTTTCGAAACGCAAAAAGAAAAGCACCTTTGTCTTGTGTACAATTTCGCATTGCACTGCAGTAGTTACGTGTTTCATCAGTCAGAGACTGCTTCCATTTATTATATTATATAACTGCGGTAATCAACCTACTAGCTTATTTACTAATAGACCAGCTTATTTACTAATAACGTGGCCATTTTCAATTAAATTTTATTATGTGCAGTTTGGTTCTTATTTATCAATAACGGTACATATATATGTATAATTTAACCGAAGCATTGCAAAATGTGTCATGTCATTGGCATTTCAGTTACATGTTGAAAGACACCCAAGTGGTTGAACTTGACAATAATTTGTTTATTGCAGCGACTGAAGTGCCCTTTGTTCGTCCAGCACTTAAAACAAATATTTTTATTTTTCTAAGAATATCTGCTCCAAAAACCACTTTTGCTGCTCCGAAACACTGTTCTGGCTGCTCCAAAAGCAACTTTTGTTGCTCCAAAACACCGTTTTGGCTGCTCCAAAAGGTGCTCCAAAACGGCTTAGGCCAATCACATCACTGTGTACCTTAATTTCCTGATTGATAAATCTTCATCCCAGTTCTTTTTTATTTCTCTCTTTTGTTAGCCTACTACTGCTGTATTTGCACGTAGTGCATGATAGTTTCACTAGTAGTTGCCGCATACCTGGCACTGCCCCACACACTGTGTCGCATGATGGTACATTCATAGCCGTTTGTTCTCGGCATGACGTTGCATCGCGCAAAGCGCAACCCGTCGATGGATGTACATGGCTGAACCCCTTTAATCTGGCAGTAGCTCGAATGCCACCTGGCACCATCTGGTGAACCTATAATGATCTAATGTCTCGCAACATAAGAAATGCAGCAGAATATTCCAGTACGAGCTTTCTACCTTTTATAACACAGTCGTGAGCTCACGCAGTCAAAGCACAATGGGAGGCAACGAGCGAGTACTGGAGCCGGAGCTTCCTTGGCAGGTCCCATGTTAACGACCGATTATATTTACAAACAGGAGGACCGTCTCTTTCTAGTTTTTTTGGGGGACAAGTCTGGTAAGGTCGCAGCTGGGGCTTAAGAGACATTCATGGACAGCCCCTAAACATAATAAAAAATAGCTCTCTCGGACATTTTACAAAGGCATTGAAATGCATATTCTTTATCGGCCTCTTCGCGCTCCTTTTTTTTTCAGGCAGAGTGTGAAGGGTTCACTGCGAGGGTTTTGTGCATATATAAAGACTTTGCAGGCCACTGTGACACTTCACTAACTCCTATCCGTATCCTTTACACTTATACACAACTCATGTTCATAGTTTTATCCCATCACCTGCTGCTAGAGCTCTTTCTTCTCTCTAACCCTTTTTTGGCAATAGTTTATGTACTTGGTGCATTGTAGCCCTAGATGCTTTTGCACTACCAAAGCCCAATCAATCAATCTGTCACTGTGAAGCACGACATATGGCGCCTTATGATGTCATGGTGTCACGTGACATTGCTGAAGTTCTATGATTAGTATGCATTTAGAACGCCTTTGGGGTGGCGTCACGTGACGTAACGTCATCAAGGCTTTATCCGCAGGCTCAAAATCCCTAAGAGGTGGCCCTATAAGTGCTATACTTTTAAAGACTCGGCATACCTCCTTCCTAGAGATCCATAGGCCAGGCAAAGCATCGGCCTGTCAGTCCCCGCAATTTGATGGAGGCTTATTGCTTAGGAGACGCTTTGTAACTGGAATTTCGGTTGCACGTCAGAAGATCCCTAGGTGGTCGTAGTGAATCCTTAGTTCTCTGACGGGGCGTGCCAGGTGCCTTCCTTTGGTTTGGTACGTAAAACCCCCAGATCTGACTTTCCCGGTGTATGAACTTCCGCATAGCTCGTCCACTTGTTCCCAACAAGGCGCTGACGTTTTTTCTCTGCGGCTGTTTTTTGCCAGCGTCCCCCGGGCCCCAGAGGTCCCTGGCGTGGGGGCCGTCCCCCGATGCGCGGCGGTCTTGGCCCCCCATCACAGTTCGAGCACCGGCCGGAGTCCCCCTGGGCACCTCCCCCCGATGGAGCGAGGGGCGGGGTTCACAGAGGTGGCTGGGGCGGACCCATGGGCCCCCGGCCGGACTGGCAGCCCCCCCCGGAGAAGCGCTGGAGGGGGCCTGATGAGGGACGCCCCAACGGGGAGCCCCCGTCTGACGACCTCGACGAGGGGGTGAGCAACGGGATGTTTACGGGGTCCCTTGGGGTGCCACGCCCGAGCATGTAACTGTATCTAGGCTGTCAGGTTTTTTTTACGTGTTGCAGCACATGCAAACAAGCAACAAAAACAACTTTTTCTTTTTTTCGTTGCATTTTTCAAACAAGCAACAAAAACAACTTTTTCTTTTTTTCGTTGCATTTTTAAATAATGTTTTTTTTTTTTTTTTTTTTTTTTTTTTTTGTTTAGGCGATTTCTGTTTTAGTGTGCTACCTCGTTGTTGCAGAATGTCAGAAAACGAGGAAGTTAAGTGTAAGTGGCCGAGGTGCCGCTACATAGAACCATTCCTCGAAAAGTACAATACGAGAAAAATGCCCTAGGTTAGTGGCATGCAGACATCAATTAACCATTTGCTCATAGAGCAGTGTGTCTTTGAAAAATAAATACCAAAATTTGTGTATGGCTTGCGGGTCAAAGGAAAAAAGGCGGTCAGAGAGTTAATGCTGCTCGGTTGGAATGTTGGTAGAGTTTCACCGAATGAGTGAAACACTATACCCCATTCACCTCCAAGCTGACAGTGCGGTGGAAGCTATGCGCCCGTTGGATAAGTCATACGTCTAGCTTTTGTCACGTGATCCTGCCGCTGCCCCTACTCACGAGCAAAGAGTGGGGTCGGGTGATGAAAGGTCAGCTGTTGACTGGTCCAGCGAGCTCACAGCTCCCACCGCACCATCAACTTCGGTGTGAACGGAGTATACCAGTTTTCGGAGGTGTTAATGATAGTACAATGCTAAGAGCTTGTCAATTGCAAGTTTTCGCTCTACCTCATTCAAACATTTGATGCATTTTTTCTTCATGAAAGCAGCAGCACTTAAAATTGGCAGCTAAATATTTCAAAGGTTATGGCACTACTCGGTAGGAACCATTTTTTTTTTTAACCCCTTAACCGTTTTGGATGAGCCTAGCTTATCAACGTGGAGCCGTCCTTAAACTGCCGTTCAGGACGTGTATTGCTTGTCTGCCTTCCCCGGTTCATGCACTCACCCATTTTAAACGAACCAGGCTTGCTCATTATTAAGCTTGAAGCTGTGCCAACAGATGGCAACACTGAATTTTTTACAATTTTGCTCCCGTTTATGGCTTGATACTTGATTATGAAGGTAACAAATGTAATTTTGAAGAGCCCTATAGACCTTTTCTACGTGGGCGCCGCCATCTTGAATTGGGGAACTTCTGGTATGCGGGAAAACATTGAAGGTGAACATTTCGGCAGACGTCTGCCTGGTTGGGTTAAATGTTATAAATGAACAAAGGGCAAACGCCAACCAATCCCTAAAAATCGTAGGGTCCCAACGTTTCGGTGCCGGCTCGGAACCTTCTTCAGGGGGGCTATTTAAAGGAGAAGCAACTTCTTTCTTTTCTTCTGCGGTGAACGTAGCGCAGTATCTTCGTGTTTTTTTGTTTTTTTTTTGTGTGGCAAGAGCAAAACATTGTTTTGCTCTTGCCACACCACTGGGTGAAGCTTACATTTCAATCTCGACTGTCCATCACTCTTGTTTTGCCTCTTTTATATACTTTTGTTTCACTTGTTCCAGGTTGTAATGCCTCGCCTTATCTTCATCTCACATATTGGATTTGTCAACTAACGTGGTTGGGGATGAGGGTGAACGAAAAAGGTCTAAAGGCATATACCGAACGAAATATTTTTGCCTCCACATAGCATTTGCAGTTTTTGCTAACTACACATTCAATCAAGAAGATATCTGAGAAGACAGTTTGTACCTCTAAACCTCTCATGGAAAGCATTGACAGAATGTGGCGCATTGTAACATCGCTCGAAGGTACGGTTAATTTTTGGTAGCTGAGCAATGTTTTTACAGCAATTCAAAAGCTGACAAGGATTGAAGGGAGCGCCCAAGATCATATTGAATCGTCGTAAGTTTTGGCATTGGTGCATGACTCAATGCTTGATTGTCCTTCCCGCAAGGCTGAAGGCCCGTTCACACATGCAGCGCAGCACTAAAGATAGCACGAAGTCGTCGCTCGTGTCAGTGTTGTCTCGGCACCGAGTTAGCTCTGCAATGCGTGTGTGCAAACAAGAAGAGGCCGAGTCACGCGTGGCGCAGCGCCATTACAGCACTGCCATAGCGTGAAGTCAGCGCCGTGCCCATGGCGCCGCGTTACCGCCGCACCGTGCGTGCGAGCGGGACTTTAGCATTCCCGCTTTTCCGCTTCAGGGACCGGATGGCTTGGACGCCTCCGAAGAGCCCCAGCCCCCTCCCGGATTCGGAGAGCCCAAGGACGGGGACGAGCCCAAGTCGGAGCCCAAGTCGGAGCCCCCTACCCCGGATAAGAAGCCCCCGGTCTCGGAAAGCGCTGCCGATGCCGCCCCGGCTTCCAAGGGGCCCAAGGACGGACCCGGGGACAAGGGGGAGCAGGCCCCCCCCAGAGGCCCCCCCAAGAGGGAGCCCACCCCCGAAGTGGACGTGAGGCCCCCCGACATCCTCCGCTCTATTGCACTTGTACAGTCGCTGAAGGGAGGAAAACTGTGGGGACGAGCTTCAGTCGTCTCGCCTCCTGCTTTTGATGGCGGCGTCTCGAGCACGCGCGCACGTCCAAAGCACGGCAAAAGGCGACGAGCACTTACTGGGTGCTGGGCATTGGAAAGGCACGCCCCGCTGCTCTCGTTCCGTCGGCAACCCCCGAGACGTCGCGGCGGTGCCCTCTTAAGATTTCCGTCCAAGACGTCGCGACCGGGATTCGCCTTGCCGTGGCGCCGCGCAATGTGATCCTGTGGCTGTGCAACGTCAGTTGCAACCGACATATTCGATTGTGATTGCAGAAATAGCGACGAAAGCTTCGGGTCGTCGCAATCTTGAACCAACACCACCAAAGTTGGCAGCCTGATGCTACCCTTGTCTCCCTCGATGAGCGCGGAATTAATTCTACTGAAGACATCGCTGCATGCGTTTGACCACTTGTTGAAAGCTGACCACAGAAGCGCTCTTGGTCGAGCACGTCGCCGACAGTGGTTCATAGGATGTCAAAGTCCTCAGGTTAGCTTTTAGTGGTGCTGCGTGCAGCACAAAGTTTGGAAGTGTGCCTGCAGCACACTTCCAAAATTTGAATTTCAAGAGAACAACTTGACGGCAAAATTAGGTTGTTCAATACCAGACCAGCTAGAACACCACTTCCTATTTTCTGTTTCATGTTGGTCCACAAATGGTGAAAATAATCCCTGGAGAAGGGGAACAAGGGGGACAAAGGACAAACACAAATCTCCAAACACCTAGCTCTGTTTGGAGATTTGTGTTTCTCCTTTGTCTCTCTTGCTCCCCTTCAGGGATTATTATTGTCATTCTCGTTCAGCTCGCTTGCACCTTTGCATTATCATCATATTTGCCCACTTTTTTTTCAAGCTTAAAGACCGACGACCAGTTCGCGCTTTCCACTTTCCCCCCCTCTTCCTCCTCTCCCCCTTTCTACCCTGTCCACCGTTGCCTGTTTCCTCCTCCCCCAGGGTGAGGAGGATCTTCTGCCTTGCAGAATCTCGGGTCTGGTCGTCGGCCTTTAAGTTGCTTCTATGCTTTACCGGCTAGCCTCTTCGCTCTAAATGGTGTATTGCCAAAGAAAAAGGCTCTAAAAGCAGTTGCTTTTAGAGTCTTAGAACCTAAATGCTCAAGGGAATGTTCAGACTATCTCTGCAGCATTGCATCTGAACTCTGTCATTAACGTTTCATAAGTGTCGCACGTTACTCCTTTCTGGGCATTTCTTCTTTTACACCGTACGATTCTCAAGGTGTCGTGCTCCACTCTCACGGGCGTACTGTCCCGTTTTCCTCATTACGGTTTTCCGACAACGCCTGGCTTCAACTTGGTTCTTCTCATCTGTGCAGGACTCGTTTGCTGAAGACCACTGGGACGGCTTTGAAGAGGGTGGGCCGTGGCCCCCACCAGAGGAGGGTCCCTTCGGCAGGCCGTGGGGGCCAGGACCCCCCAGGGGCATGCCCATGCGCAGACCCCCTAGAGGCTTCCCCATGCACAGACCCCCCAGGGGGTTCCCACCGGGGGTGAGTCGCCGCTTTTACCGCTCCTAGTTGTCATGCGTTTGGGACTCTGGTGGAAAGAAAATTAGCCGCCGAAGACGCTGGCGGTAACGGCAGTATGTTCAAATGCCAGATTTGTGCTACCCAGTTGTAGTTTGATAGGTAGGGGGCTGAGCACCAAGAATTGTTGTATTGCTTAAACGCATCGTTTTTCAACGTCCAGTGCATGCACACACTTGTAGACGCCTGCCAGAGCCGTAAATGTAGAGAGTTTGGCCATTCGTTGGGAAGTATAGGAGACGAATGAGGAGGCGCCATTGGCCAAAAGCGGGCTGGGCGTGTTCCAGGGCGTCTTCAGAAATTCGAATGTGACCAACCAGAAGCCGGAAATAATACCCTGGCGGTGGTCGCGAGAAACAAACCTGATAACTGCATTGCAGTAACTCTCAATGGCTGAAAATATGGTACACGTGATGTTTCAATCACGTTAATCCAAAATGATGGTGGAAGGGATCGACTAGCGGAACGATCGACATGATCCGTACGCCAAGCGCCCAGGGCCGGGAATCTGCCGTCTGAACGATCACACTCTGTCTGCGCAAAAAAAGAGTTGCGCGGCGCATTCGTTTCTTACATCTTTCTGCATGATCATGATCAAAACAACACATGCACCCTATTTTCAACCACGAAGAGTTACTACACGTCACTCTTACGCGTTTATTAAAACCATATACGAACATAGACTTTTGATCAGAACTGTTTGCCGCTACCACCGCTAGGGGATTCTTTTCGGCTTCTGGTTGGTCAAGAGAGCATGCCAAGCCCTCTTTCCGAGTCAGACGCACGCCCTGGCTCTGCCCGCACCTCCCATTGACCAAACTCTCTCAATACACGGCTCTGACGCCTGCTTTCACGCCTCGAAAGCGGCGTAGCTGAGAGCATTGAAGGATCCGTTTGGTGATTCCCATAGTCGGTGACAGGTTAAGAACTCAGGGGAAGCTCCTCCCACCTCTCTCCACCAGCATTTGCTCTGCTAAAGTGGAAAGTGGTGAGAGGAACTTCCTTCTTAATCTCATATTGAGACATTAAGTTTCTAGTTTTGACGTTTACAGTTTTCGGATCTTCATTAATTTTCTTTTTTCTTGCGTAGTAAAGTGGCGATGTTCGAAGCAATAATTAGCAATTTTGAATTGCCCTTCTCGAGTTACCCGGACGTGATGAAGTCACAACGATCATCCCCACTTCCGTCTCCAGATGGATCCAGGACCCCGTGGACCAATGCGCGGAGGTCCCGCTCCCCGGGGGCCCCCTCCGATGGAGTGGGACGTGAGGAAGCCCTTCCCGCCGGACTGGGGCCGCGGCCGCAGACCCCCTCCCCCCGGCTGGGGCCCCCCCCGGAGCCCCCACCACGGGCCGCCGGGCCCCCCCGAGTGGGACCGTCCCCCCAGGTACCCCCCCTCGCCTCGATTCTCGTTCCTCGCCCTTTGATACCTGTCCCTTGATTCGCCGGAACACTCAACTTTACAACCACTAGGGATGCTCTAAAGCTGCGCTCTGAGTATCTGCACTCTGGAGGCTGGTTCACATACTTGCGACTGCTTAGCACCGTGCGCTTTAAAATCTCTTCAAATCTCTCGTGACGAGAGAACGCATTAGCACCATCTATTGGTTGGGCGTAAAACACTTCCAGTTTCTTTAAATTTCTTTCCTCGCAGCATTCTTTCTTTTTTAGCTCGAAAAGTTTTGGCAATGTTACAAACTACCATTTCTCGTAGATTGTATTTACGCTTGATCTTACAAATAGCGCAAGATATTTGCTCTGTTGAAACACAGGTTCAGGGTCTGGCGCGTTCTCCGCGGTGTCAGCGTGTTCTCTCGTAAAAGATTGCAAAATCTCGATTCTAAACAAACGCAACTGTGTGAACGGACCTTGACCCTGCTGTTTGACGCCGCTACGACGATCGCTCGTTTCTTGGCCTTCGTGACATCTTTGGTCACCTAATGGTTGTGAAATGCGTCTTCTTTAGTGTTAGGAGACCACGACAGTATAGTGTGGCCCTGCCGCTGACTATTTTAATGTGTGGGGCGACGGCAAAGCACCTCCTACATTTTTCGTGGGGCAGATTAAGGAGAGCCGGCGACAGCACGGACAAACTAAGCTACAGTGCAGCTGAGCAGACATTGCTCCGAACCATAGCTGCAGTCGGTAAAAGGAAGTTGTAAGATACTTTTTAGTTGGGGAAACGCTGCGACATGATCTACCAGATAAATCCCTATTAACACTCACCCGAGTAGCCTATGCCGACGGCGTCTCCTCGAGCTAAATGGCGCAACTGAGGCAAAAGGGAAAAAAAGGGTCTGTTATGTCACTTCGGCATTTGCACTTTTCCCTCGGCACGTCTGCTCTGACGTCGTCGGACGCTGGCTAGAACGCTGCGTCACAAATCTCTTTGCTTCGACGCATTTAGAAAATGGTTCTTTCTGCCGTCGAGGTACGAAACTCGAGTCAAGGACAAAGCTGCGTCTAAGCAACATGCTTACTGCCAGGCCAAGCTCTACATGACACGACACATACAAGAAACAACCTTAAAAACAAGCGTGTCTCCCATAGAGAGGCGTGAGAAACTGGGCCGGCGAAAGGCTACCGCTGGCCGTTTATCAGAGGGTCGTCCGGCGGTGCTTCCTGCAAACGAGGCGAGGACAGGACCTTATCTGGCAGCTGCGACACAAGCTGCAAGCATACCTATATATGTGTTAAACCGTGCTGGGGACTTTAGTTACGCTTGCTCCTATCGTTGCTTTCGGCGTTGTTGCCCGGCAAAGTGCAGCTTTGTGACGCACGAGCCCGTGTGCACCTTGCTTTCACTTCAGGTTCCCTGGGGGACCCGGAGGTGACTGGGACCACTGGCCGCCCCCTTGGTGAGTGGGCCTGACCCCCCGGTACGACACACCCTTTGGATTCCCTCTTTCCCTCGCCAAGGGCATGCGGAGGGGCCCACGGGTGCTGGGGACAGCCTGGCTGCGGTCCTCGTTTACTTTTGATGCTAGCTGTAGTGCAGAGATGAACCGTAGCGGTTCTGCATCTTTTTAAGCAATTTTTGGAGACTGTTTGCGTGGGTACGAGTTGGAGGGTTTTCACCGACCCTTGGCGGCTAGAATTATGCCCGTTCTGCTTTGAGTAAGCCAGTTTGGTGTGTCGAGTCTCGAGTCCTTATCTTGGAGCACCGAACCGCAGGAGGTAGGGACAGATTATCAGCGAGTTTTGTGGTGATGGAAAACGGTCCCCTGGCTGGTTTTTGCTGTAGGCAGCTTATCTACTTGACCCCCCATTTGTGAAGCGGGGTCTTCGGCTAGCTAAGCCCCACAACATTTGAGTCTAGCAAGTTGCCGTGTCGGTACGCACGAAGCCTCTCTGCGGCGGTCGGCCACTTTGGGAGATGTGGGGGACCAGGCCGAGCCCCGAGTGAAATGTTCGTGCCCCCTGTCTCCCCCGTGCCTGCAGGCCCGAGGAACCTCGCGGACCCCCGCCAGAACCGACGTGGGAGCCCGAAGTGATTGACTACGGCCACCGGCCCGCGGAGGTTCCCGCCGGAGGAGGTAATGGCGCCAGACCCAACTAGGCTTCTGCGGACGCCAAATAAAGGGCCTCGGGCACTGTGGCCAGCTTTCCTGTGTGCTCGAGAAGGGGCGCGGGGGTCCCCCGCACAGGCGGGACCCCCGGCCCCAAAATGGGGGGGGGGGGGAGGGGTCTCGTGGGGAGGGACCGTATGGGAGTTTCGTTCGTCGGAGCGTCCTAGAACGTCGGGTGTGGTGGGGGAAGCACTCCCTGGCAGTCGTAGCGGCGGCAGAATAACGGTTCCTGCGATTTCTCGCAAAGTAAAGGCAGATTCACACATTTGCTTTTGCTTAGGACCGAGTTTTTGCGATCTCTTACGACGAGAGAACACGTTGGTGCCCTCTATGAGGTGGCCGTGGAACTTTGCTAGAATGAAGGTTTTGTGGTGTTTGAGATCAAGAGTATGTGCTACCTATGAGAAGTGGTTCACGTTTTCAAATTTCAATTGAGCCAAGAAAAGATAATATTACGCAAACAATGTAGAAAATATTAGTAATTGCCAATTGTTCTACAGCTACCCGATAGATGGTACCAGTGTGTTGTCTTGTAAGAGATTTTAATAGGTTTTAAGGCACGAGGTCCAAAGAAGTTGCGTCGGAACCAGCCTTTAGCAGTTGCAGCATATCGGTCCCTTACAAAGTAACTTTGACGTGAGGCGTTTGTGACTCATTGGAATTGAAACGGGGGAAACAGTGAAATTAAGCCAGCGCTCTCATTTGCTCGTTGAAAGCGATCGACCCTCTTTACACCCCAGAGCTTTCTCGCGTGCTATACGACAGATCTGCAATACACCATTGCTAGATAGTGGACAGTTCCTCGTTAAGGTGCTTAGATTAAGGCGCCAGTAGCACGGGGCCAGTCACTTTTCTGCGCTATTCCTAGTATGTGTCGTTGAAGAAAGCGAGAGTCAGCTCTCTTCTCGAGGCCTCGACTAGGGGTGGTCCGGAACATGGTCTTTCGAACGAATTTTCGTCCTCGGTTTCGGGGCATGCCCGTTTGTGGGCGGCGGTGCGAACAAAGCTCAAGCAGGGCCATACGCTCGCTGCCGAGTGTGGGACTGTGCAGATTAATGTTCGACGTTGCGGATTGTTGCGTGCAAGTCTGGGGTGTAAGGAGTCTTCGTTGGGGCAGCTAGGTGTATGAGCCAGTTACGTGCTTTTCCCGCCACATTGCCTCGGTGTTTTAGGGGACCACTCTTGCACCTCCGGTGGGCATTGTGTTGCCCACATCGCCCACTGGAGCTAGCGCATAAGAAGGCATCGTCGGTCGGCTTCGTGCAAGACGACCTGGCACTAGAAGGGACCTCCAGACTTATACACGGTGCTAGAGAGAGGGAACGACCTCCTCGCACCAGAATTGGAATGGGGCAGATCCGGGAACTGTCAACTAGATGGCACGGTCGCAGTGCTGGATCTTTTCCGTTGCCTACCGGAGGCCAGCGCGGGTTGCAGCTGGGGCGCGAGTGCTGCATCAACGTTAGGCTGTGCCAAATGTTGCACTCCTGTTTTAACTGTGACCCGCTCTGGTCTACGGTAGGTAACGGAGAAGGCACTAGGGCCTTGTTTGGAGGTGTTGGAACTATGGTGCGGAGGGCGGTAAAAGGTGCACCAAAATTTAATGATTGGGGGTGGGAAGGGGGCAACGAGATGTTAAGTCCCGGTAGACGAGGCTTTAGCTTTGGCACTCGGTTCATTACTTGAGAAGAAGGCATTGTCTCGTAGAACGCACTTTCTTGACAACATCTTAAAAGCTGGAACAATCTGGATTTATCGAGCTTCCTTCAACTTCTAGATAAACTTATTCCAAAGAATTTTCTGGGATTCTCAAATAGGAGGCTTATTGTTTTACAAAGTTAGCTTGCTCTTTCCCGAGGGTGCAGTCAACTTACAGAACTTCCTTTTTGAAAGCTACAGAGTTCCAAGCTATTCACAAAGCTCTTAAGACTATGCATAGGCAATAATCAATGCCAACTTTTTTCTTTGGCCTGTTCAACTTGCTAAATAAAACCTGCTGGAAAGTTTAAATCAAGTGAAACAGAGCTCAGTATTTAGTAATATTGGCATTGTGGCATAATGAGGCTCATTGCAGTATAAATATCTGAACTGAAATTTTTCTTCCCCTAAGGAATTCTCGTGGCCAAATATTTTAACTTTTTTAGCCGCAGCTTTATTCCAGAATTAAGTGGCCCATTTTAAACATGTTCCAGCTATGAGGTTAAATCACAGTGCAAAGCAGAACGTAAAACTAAATTTCCAACTTCTAAACTAACTAAGATATTCTTGTTCAGGGTATGTTTTCTTATTCCCCATAGAATTAATAAGAATTTTATTGTATTTTGTATTCACTTCAAATCATTGAGCCCATCAAAGCCTATGAGGCTTGTATGACAAAGCAGTTTTATTGAGGCTTCAAACCTTTTTAGCTCAAGCATTTTAAAGTTTGTTGCGTTACAAAAGCAAGGCAGTAGTGCAGCCTCCATAGAATAAATAATTTAAACAAAGGATTAAGATGGAAGGGAACAGCACATAACTAGAATGCTGGATCTTGTCAACAAAACACTACTTACAGGCAGAGTGCCTTTGGGGGCCACCCGAAGTAGAGAATAAAGGGACCATGCAACAGTTTTTGAAGTAGTGGTTGCATCTAAGAAACTGAAAGTTTGAGAAACTGATAGAGCACTAAACAAGTAACCTCCCTTATTTTCATGCATTTTCTATTTACCTAGATGTATGAGGTGCTTCTTTATGCATTAAAAGACCAATTTTCAATACTGATATATTCTTCAAAGTTCAGGAAATCAACTGAAGCTGACAATAATGTTGTGCCGCTGAACCCAGGGTGTACCTTGTAGGCTAATTTGATTAGCTGTAACGTATGGCTGCAGGTCACCCTAAACTGCACTCGTTTTATGCCAAACAATAGTTGGGATACTTCAACTAAAATTGAAGTTGTTGCATGGTGCCTTAGGGCCTATTGTTGCTGCGAGGGAAGTTGCAGAAACAGATGTAACTGGTATTCATTACTAGTTGGCAAACATGGGACTACTGCCAGCCCTGCCATAAACAAAGCATGCGACAAAACGGTTCTTTCGCAGCAACAAAGGCATTGAATGGGCGAGACATTTGTAAGCGAATATCCATACAAAGTAGAGTCTCCGTGTTGGCTTCTCAGAAGCTTGTACTTGTCTGAAATAAACAAATACCGGGAGGAAGAAGTCTCCCTGTGTGTGTACGAATTGCAAATTTCTGTTGTGGAGTTCTGGTGAAAAGCATGTCCGACCCAAAACACCTTGAACCAAGGTTGGGCCTTTAGATTAATGTTTGAATTAGGCAAGTGGGGTTGGGCAATTCCAGTTTATGTGCAGCTTGGTTGTTAATGGTAGCACGCTTAATTATTGCTCCGGTGGTATAGTAGCGTTTGCTAGCTAAGCTAAAGACCAAAGTCTCATAAGCTCGTTTGTCTAAAGTTCTATTTGCAAATGAAAAAATTACAGTTTAAAGGGTTTGGAGGACAATAACTGACCACCAGGCTTAGCATAGAGTCGGCTGATGTAAGCAAAATGTCGCATCAACTGTAGTTGCCCTCCCTTTGTCTTAGAAATGGCGACGAAGCTGAAGTGTCAGCTCGTCGATTATTACTGTCCGAGATGCCAAGTTGCAAATAAACTTGTTTTAGGCTAAGACAAAAAAAGAAAGATGGAAGTCATCTTTAGAATGAGTAAGGCAATAAAAAATGCTCCCAATGCAAGACTGTAGTGTCAATTCTTTATCACACGCTGAACTCTCGATAACTGAAGCGATACTAGCTTTAACGGTAAGCAGAGACTAGTTAACTAGTAGGCCTTGGGTGGTGTGCAGCTCTTGGAAGCTAGGCGATCGGTTTGCTTGTTGACGCTCGAAAACGAGATAATTGCAGGAAAAAGCTCTGTTTGTGGATCATTGTGTTGGAAGGTGAACAATACGATTTAAGTGGTTCAGAGATTAAAGAGTTGCATATGTGATTACACTTGTGTCGAGTTAAAACTACTTAATTGCAATGATATAAAGTAAACAAGCACCACCAGGTTCTCTGAGTAACTGAGAGTCTTGTCTTAATGTCTAACAAATAAATTTGACATTGGTAAAGTTTTACTTAGCTTGGAAGCTGTGTTGAAAACGTGTTAGCTAGTGCGTGTGCCACAGTTCGTAGACATTGCTCTAAGGTGGTCCAGTTGCATAGTAGTGCCATGTGTCAAATGGTGGCTGGTGAAAAGAAATGCGATCTGCAACCCGAAAAGGAAGAAACCAAAATGGCACACATGCAGGAAATGTAAGAGTAGTGTTCGTGATCTGGCTTTATGTAAGCATCTTCGGCATCCAAAGGTACCGGATAGTTTACAAAACGTAAGTCACTCTGGTCGGGTGGAACCAACGATTGGATGAGACGTGAATGTAGTCAACATGCCCAATGAAGGTATTTAATTCTGCTTAAAATTAATGTTTTAGAATAAACTTAATGTAGACCCATCTGAATAGTGTTTTAAACATGCTGTAATTGTCTTTAATGTTATAAAATGGTGTAACTGAAGTGTAAATGGATTAATTAAAATGTAGGATAATGTTTTGCCCAATTACGTAAAAAAATACATTACAGGATGTACTAAATAGATTTAATACAATAATATACTTGAGTGGATAATATAATATACTTTGAGATGATTTAATATGTTACCAATAAAAATAGTTTGATGTACATTTAGTTCTAAATTCATTTTTATTATTGCAATATTTTTAAATGTAGGGTTTTATGCAAATTTATTGCTCACTTAATTTTGAACTAGAGAATGCATATAATACGTAAAACGAAAATATGCAATTTAAAATTAAGGTCTAAACTTTTGCTTTGTCGTAAATGGGCAGTTGACAATAGTAATCGGTTATTGCCACATATGGGCAATTAATTATGGTTTGTAGCCGCTGGTGTAATAGAGTATTTGGTAAATGGTAGGTAGCTAATATATACCATAAGGTATGCAATGGTTGAATAAGGCATATACGACTATTTACCACGTTAAAGTAACCAAAGATTAATAGACTAATATTGCACGAGTGAAAGCTTCATGGTAGATCTATGCTTGATTGAATGCTAGCACAGCAAAAAATAATCCGCCAGATCCTTGTAACGGGAGTAACACAGGTAAATGAAGCACTTTCGGGAGTACCAAGGATGCTCTAAACAATGGCCAATGTTTCACGTCATCCTGAACCCTTTTTAAGGGGGGCTGTGAGACTTCCACGATACTGGACTAATGATAATGCAATCGAGTAGTCCTGTTACTGAAAGGACCGTTTTCACAATAACATCGCTCTCCTTAGAGGAGTGTTCTCACAGGCAGAATTAGTTATATGTCTTGTGAACTGATTGGACTGGTCAGTGTTTGAAAGGCATTTTGGGTTTCCTTTGAAGGGCTTCTAGTGGATGCACTAGCTATTTCGCAGAACCTTGTATAGCTCGCACTGCTCCTTAGACAAGAGGCCTTGAAATGCCCGGCCAAATGAACCAGACTACTTTGGTTCAATCATGACTCAAAAAATTACGTTGGAGAGGTCGCGCACGTTGAATGGATCCTAATGGCTACAGCAACAGGGCCCTCTGGTAGTAATTGCTCCATGCGAGTAGCCTCCAACAATGGCGTGGTACCGTGTGGTTTTGGTTCATTGTAGGCTACTGGTTCGTACTGGGCTATGCTGATCCATTCCGGTTTATGCTAGCTTAAACCGGTTTGTACCGGTCTGTAAATAGGAGCATCTCTCTCTGTTCCCCAGCCAAGTTTGAATCGTTCGACTATGGCCATGGTAGGACCGAAGAGACCAAGCCCGAACGCAAAGGTATGTACTTTCTTCAGCCATACTTAGCAGACGGTGCACTTTGTACAGAAAGCACTCCATAGTTGCCCCGTGGCTGGCGTAGAATAATGTTCCGTACTAACTGTTACGGACGACTCTCCGTAGTTTGGTGCAAGACGTTGTGTTAGGTTCACGAGCGTCTTAAAAGCGCAAAAATATTTCGGAGAATCAATGTTGGTCGTCCCTGTCGGTGTTGCCTATGGTGGGGCTACTCTATGGCACGTGCCCTTGTCATCTCTTGTGCCACCATGATCACTTCACTTCAAAGCTGCGGATGAAGTGCAGGCTAGATGTCTAGCTGTCCTCGGACTGTCTAACCGTAAACACATGCTGGGGACGTAGTTTGAAAGTTTGCAGCATCTAGCCTTCTGTTACAAATGAATTCCATCGTGCCTTCTGATTACTAGGCACTCGGCCATTTTCACGCTAGTTCTATCTGTGAATAAAGTGGAGAAAGGCTACAAACACTTTTTTTAGCACAGCCTCATTGGTGCCCTTTGTGCAGTGCTCGACTACGGGCACGGCGTGACGCACTCTTTGAGGCCGCCGATGCGATCTCCACACCTGGACGATCTTCCGCGACGTGGGTCCCCGCTGAGGCCCTCTGCCGAAGGGTGAGCACAGTCTACCCACAACAGGGTTGACTCGGCCCTGCCGCGGCCTTTGTATGTTGTACACTGTTCATCTGCGGCAGCTCGGGTGACTTGCCCTTTTTGGTCGTGCTTTACGTCTCCTTTATTGGTTAGCTTTTAGAGTAGTGCATCCAAATGTAGTGCCATCGTTAGCGGCAGCTGTGCGGGAGTTTTCGAATAGCGTTTCTTCCCTGCTACCCGAAGTGCAAGCCTCTCGCACCCGCAACACCACTCTCCGTACACCCCTCGGCTGACAGTGCGGCGGGAGCTATGCACTTGCTGGACCTGTCGGCCGCCTCCCTTTCGTCGCCTGACCCCACTCCTCGTGCGTGGGTATGGGCAGGAGTGATATCACATGTCCAGAGGTAAAAATATATGACTAGTTCAACGTGCACCTGGCATCCCACGACCTGTCAGCTTGGGGGTGGACGGAGTGTGCCAAGATGCGGTTGCAGCTTTCATTGTGCATGCAAAATGCGGTAATTTTGATCCTGAATAACGTTTGTTTGTATAGGAGAGTTGACGAGAGCGGTCGACCGGTCGTGTCCGCTCGCGTCGCCTTGGCAGGAGCGCTCTCATGCCGACTTTCTCCGTGAGCCACAAGAAACACGAGTCCGATGCGGACACCTTGTCAGCATTTGGCTGGAGGCTATGTCCTGACCAATAGACTAGTGCCACTAAATAAGCTACGCTTCAGAGTAACGACACTTGGCCATATTGTGGCTTAAAATCATGGTTGCCAGTTATCTGAAGCTTTATCTGAAATCACAGGAAATGCTTTTCCGCCCTCGACAAATGTTTAAACCGTTCGCGACAGAGCAAAGCAATATTACATTACCTTCCTAACACCGAATCTAATGCTGAGGAAGTCGCACTTTTGAATCACGACGATCGGCTGTTGCGTCTGTTCTGCATACGAGCCAAAATGGCGGCGCCCACAACAATGTCGGGGAACAGAGTGCCGATACTCTAAGCGCAGCTTATTTAGTGGCTCTACAATAGACCATTTGCTAAATCCCATAAGCGCCCCAGCCCGCACTCCAGGAATCGTGGGAGTGGTGTTCCTTCAGCTCCCTAGTGATCAAAAGTTTTGACCAATTCCATGGTTACGCAGTTTTAGTGTGATTCGGAGCCACCTTAAACAAGCGTTGTATAGAGCCCAGGGACCTGTCATATCACTTCTAACATTGTCAGCGTTTTTTAATCTGTGCATGCAATCCACCTTTCAACCTGGCTAAGCTGCAGAAATCTCTTGCAGTATTATCATTCTCATGATCGTTGTTTTAGCAGGAATTGCTTAAAAATCCGAGAATTCACAACAACCGAAACCAGGATTTAGCTCGGAGTCAGCAGGGCTGTTTATAGCATTTTTAGCGTGTCTAACTTAATATCAGCATCTTTGAAGCAGTACGAGAATGCGGGAGCACTTTGCACTCCGCTTTGCACTCCGTTGAGTGCGAAGTGCACTGAACGGAGTATGCCGAGCATTTCTTGCATGCTGCTACGTGGATGCCAGATCGAGTTTGCAAGGCATTTATTTGACACCTTGAAACAGCTAGCTTGTAATTAGTTGGGAACAGATTGAACAGTCAAATGGGTGAACCCCTGCCTGCGCTGGCATCACTTTTTCACTGTTGCCAACAAACTTTTTTTTTTTTAAATGGTGAGGACAAAACTTGTAACTTCAATAACTTTGCAAAAGATGAAAAATTAATTTTGGCCTAATGTTTAAGTTATTAGTCCATTAATGTCTGTTAGTGTGGTCAATTGTGAGGCAAATCGGGAACCGTGAAGACAACACTGTATGTCGACTTTGAAGACGTTCTGATTGCCGGTGCCCTGGATGGTTTCAGGCCGAGGTCGCGAGAGGCGAGTCCGCCCGTGCCCGTGGGGCCCAAGCCGGTCCTCGTGGAGGACCTTCTAGACCTGCCGGGGCGGGAGTCTCGTCCCCCGCTGCTGTGCGTGCTCGTCCGGGGGCCCCCCGGGTGCGGCAAGTCGCGCCTGGCTCGGCTGATGAAGGAGCGGGAGGCCCAGGCGGCCGGTGGGGTGCCCCCCCGCGTCCTCTGCCTCGACGACTACTTCATGCAGGAGGTGGAAGTGAACGACCTCGACCCGGACACCGGGAAGAAGGTCAAGCGCAGGGTGGGTCTTCCGAGGGCCTACTTTGTCGGTTTTATTTTCATCCGGGATATGTTTTACGAGTGGTCTTCTACGAGAGACTTGTAAGGAACTTGTGTTGTGAGCGAGCGACACACTGGGAGCATTGCGCAATCCAATTTTTCCGCCATATTTAGTGGGGAGATCGACGCCGTGACGTGACGTGACGTCACATGGCCTAAATACCGATCCGGTTTTAGTTGTGTGACCTGACGTCACGTGACCAATGAGGTAGTTAAATTTCTCCGCTACATTTAGCCGGAGAAAAGAAGATAAGCCAAGAAAGCTTTTATAAATAAATCTTTAAAAGATTAAAAGTGTGTGTGGTTTGTGCAAGACAAATTGTGCGCTCCCTGGTCCCTGTCAGCATATTTATTATGCACTGCTATCAGTCTTCAACAGGGACCAAGTTTGCGCAAAAAGAGCGTCCTTCATAAACTTTTCTCTGTTGCCCGTGGAGGCGTTGCCGCTGGTGGCTCTAGGAGCGCCGTTCTCGTGCACGGCGTTCCCCGAGCTTTGCGGAAGAGCGTAGGGCACTCTTCCGCAGTAGATTCAAGAGCATTGGCTCTGACCGTGGTGACCCCCGTCGTTTTCCGCGGCAGGAGTTCCGCTATGAGTACGAGGCGGAGATGGAGGAGGCGTACTGTGGCAGCCTGCTCAAGTCGTTCCGCAAGACGGTGGACGGCCGCCTCTTCCCCTTCCTGCTGGTGGACGCTGTGATGTCCCAGGCTCGCCAGCTCGAGCAGTTTGCGGGCTACGCCAAGGCACAGGGCTTTCAGGTAGGGCTAGCCCCCAGGCCGACCGAAGCCTCAGAACATACAAGGCATAGTGTAGTGGCTGTGTAACCCCGACGTAGTATGCGTTAGTCTCAACTCTACTTCCTTAAGTGGAAGAAAAGAAGCAGGATACATCATCTTGTCCTGGCAAAGACCAGTGCATCTATGCGTTGGTCAGTCCTTGCCACTGACAAGGGCTCGATGTGTTTATGAAATGGCAATTATTGAGTGTCTCGCGTGGTTGCTGGATGTCTTGTAAGAACCACATTTTGCACAACGTCTCACTGCGCCACCATTTTTGTTCCCGAGAAGAATGGACACGGTGCTGCATCGGAGCGTAACGGTACCGCCACCTGTGCAGGTTTATGTGGCACAGCCAGGGTCTATGGATGCGGAAGAGTGCCACAAGCGTAACATTCACGGCCGGTCTCTCAAGGACATCACTCGGGTAAGGAGCAGTTGCTACCCGGCAGTCCAGGTCGTTGTCGTGGGCACGCCTCGTCTACCCTGAAATTCGTGTGCCGCTAAACGTTTGTTGCTGAACGTTTCACCTGCGGCGTCGGCCCTGACAAGAAAAGAGGCTTTGAGCACGAGCGGGGTAGCTTTAGATAGTTGTGGCAAGCCTCACATAGCGGGGATGCTTCACTGACCAGGATCACTATGGCTGCCGAGGATCGGTACGGCTTAATAAAAACTCGTCTTACCATGGGCTGCTGCTGTTATGGCAAGTGCCTGTGGGAAAGCTATCAAATTAATGATTTTTCGATTTTACAAAGCTGATTGCATGTTTGGTTCAAAGAAATTGGCAACCAACATGATAGCAATCTGCATAAGATAATCTTGTTGCAGTGCTTACTGTAGTTTATTGTAAAGGCCCATTCACACACTTGCAACCGAGTACGACCGAGAGAGAGACGAGACCTGTTGAAACGTCTTAAAATTTCCTAGGGTGAGAAAACACACTGGCATGCTGGCGCCATCTATGCAGTGACCCTGGAACTGCATTTCACAAGAGCGAAGGTTTTGCGGGATTTCCGGGGTCAAATGGGCTTAATACCTATGACAAAGGCTCGTTTATAATGTTGAAAAAAGTTTTTCGAGCCAAGAAAGAAAGAATAATGCGCGAGAAAAATAGAAAATATGCCGGATCACCAAGTTTGCACTGCTATCCAATAGATGGCGCCAGTGTGTCCTCTCGTCGTAAGAAATAATAAGAGGTTCCAAGGCACAAGGTTCTAAGAGGTTGCAAGTGCGTGAACGGGCCTTAAGGCGAGACAGTGGCTCAAAACTGAACTATTTTATTTTTGCAGCTATTCTAATGAAAATCATTGTGCATATGTGTTTCTTCTTCCTCCATTCAAATATGAAATCAGTTTTAGAAAATCTCAATTAGTTTTCAAGTTATAAAAATAGCATTGCCTAATTTGGTAATTTCTTACAAATCGTTAAGGCCATTTCCAACAAAAAAATGTTTTTTATTAATGTAGAAACATAGCTAAAGGTCTGCCATGCATTATAAAGCTATTTAAATTTTCACAAAATTACATTATTATATAAAAATTGGTTAATTATGCCAATTATGACATTAATGAGGTCACATTATTTATCATAATTTTTTTTGGCACTCTAGACTGTAAAAAAAATAGCTTTACTCCATAGTCCAATCCTTTCTGAATAAAACGGTATCAAAATTTCCAAAATGCTTTGATAAAAACCTCATGAAAACTCCCGTAAGGCTAAGCATGTTTACAAAAAACACGAAGATGAGAAAATCGAAGTTAAAGTTTTAACATTGAACGTAGAAAATTGTGAAGAATGATAAACAATAATTGCCATCAAGGTGTAGTGTAAGTCTTCCTGAACAACTTGACATAAAAAATGACGTAATCCATTCATGGGAACATTAGAAAAAAATATGAAAGAAGTAAAGAATAAGTGAAATGTTGATAAAATCACATTGGGAGGAAATGGGTTCTCCAAAAATATTTTGTTTTTATTGGTATATCTGTGATTTTTTGCATAGGCATGGAGTTTACTATGCTGATTCCATAACTGCAACCAGATTTCAGTATTTCTTCTTCGTCAAAAGTTATAAACAATATAAATTATTAATTAGCTCATTTCAGCATGGGTTTTAAAAAAGCCTTATTAAAATTTTAATGCAAAAAAGGTATCAATTGCTTCCTAAAGAAATGCCATACAAGCTAAAGCTAATTTTATTTCTTTAGCACAATATAATCATGTAAAAGTATTAAAGTGAACAGAAGTCATATAATAGAGGCTATAAGAATGTCTAATAATGAAATGTCAGTTCTATATACCTAAAAAATATCATAATAAAAGTAGCTATAGCTTGCAGTCTAGTTCATTACAAAAATATTGTATAGAGTTTATGAAAATCGATTGAGCGCAAGTGAGTCAAAAGCCTATGCTGAAAAAAACAAAGCTGGGATAATAGACTTCGAAATTTGGATATGCATAAGTAAAACGACTTGTGGCATCGACGAAGCGGAAGGTTCTCGTCGATGCGGAGGTCTAAGCACGTCTTCCTTTTCTATTTAGTCTCTGCGTGTTGACTTTCAAACCGGTGTCCCCAACCATCGAAATGCGCAGAACGAAACAAAGAACAATGACGCAGGAAAAAGCAAATCTAAACAAAGAGGAGGTATTAAAATATTTACACGAACGATGCAAAGAAGACAGGGAACATACAAACTACTAGGAACCACAAAGAAAACACTGAAGTTATCGATATAGAAACTGGAGAAATCCGAATGTAACGTGCGTCCCGAGCGGCAAAGCGATGGAAAGCAGACAACGCGGGAGCCCGCGGAGCGACTTGGACGTCGTGCCGGGGAAGCCAGGAGAGGAGGTGTGCGTCTCGACCAATGAGAGAGTTGCGCCTCGGAGGAGCGCGCGCTTTGCCTTATCAGCGCCTTTCTAGCGCCGGTGACGGCCTTTCGTCCGGCATCGATGACGCCACGGCCTTGAGGGGTACGCTGCTTTGGAGCGCTGGAAAAGTAAGCGCGGGAAACCAGCTTTCGAACAAGACCAAGATGGCTGCAACCGGTTGAGCCATTGCGGAGCTCAGACAGCTTGAACTTTGTTGACATTTCAGAGTTTAGGCTTCAAGTCGGGTCTGTGAACGCTTACAAATTGTCATTATTTTCCTATTTAGAGATTGAATTGAGCAGTTATATTTTGTGAGGACATACTCTTGACTATATAGACCTCAAAACCGTGAATTTCGAAAAATGGCATTTTTCGCGATTTTTTGATATCTTAAGACCTGCGTCTCCCCTTAAGAACTGCATCTTTCATGAACAGAGTAAATGCCTGTCAGCAAAAATCATATTTTTGTACATGGCTTACAGTGTGTGTCAGCAAACTGACCTAAATGTAACAAACAAATATGCCCGTATTAGTGGGAGGCAGCTGGGGAAAAATATATTAAAGATAAGCATTTCTTTAAACTGGATTTAATAGGAAAAAAAAATGATTGGTTCACAATTAGTGAACCTCAATATTTTACTGGCTGATACTAGTGTAAGAAAGGTTACAGTAACTAACAGCTCATCCTAACTTGCAGCGCTACTGGGACAAGGACAGACAGAGGAGAAATCTCAGTGCTTGTCTTGTGCTTTCTCCTCTGTCTGTCCTTGTCCCAGTCGCGCTGCAAGTTATGATGAACTCTTACCTACTCGCCCAGTTGTTCATTTAACTAACCGCTGTTACGTTTCCACTTGGTAGCAATGATCGGCTCTGCCCTTTGTACGAGCAGTAACTTGCTCCACCTGGGTCACAAACGGGGCGACCGACTCTCGCCGTTGCTTGCAGATTATCAAGTCGTGGGAGCCCACGCCAAGGCAGTATCCAACCCTAGACGTGACGTCTCTACTAGCGGAGCTCAGCCCAAATGTAAGTAAATATTACAGCATTGTTACCTAGAGTTAACCCTATGCGCCTTGGGTACCGAAACTCAGCATCATTCTAAGTAAATATATTTCTATTGCCATCGATCTCTCTCTCCGATCGGGCAGTTTTGGAAACAGGCTCACACAAATGAACCCCACGCTCAGTTCTTTGCGGCTTGCAAGCGATGCCGCACATTGCAGTAACTTACAGACCGCAAATAAACCGTCGAAACAAACTGTTCAGTCATTTTATTTATGGTCATAGTAAGGGGAATGGTGTGTTCTGGGGATATCGGCCACCTTAGTTCATCCATTGACGACGGCCAAAGAGAATGGCCGTGCTTGTTTTGCATGGCTGCAAAGGCAGCGTGAAACGGGAACATACCGTGTGCTGCCTCAAGCTCGTCGTGTCGTATGTTAACTACGTTCTGCAGGGAAACGGCACGGAGGACGCTGCCACTGAGGACCAGTCGCAAGAAGACACAACCCAGGAGGATAATGAGGACGAAGACGAGGATGTGAGTTGAGCGTGCTTAGGTTCCTTCCGTCGGTGTAGTTTTGCCCGGTGCCTTCTAGAACGCCGATGAATGCTGGTCTAATCGTTTCTAGCTGCGCTTTCAACGTTTTGTTTATCATGAGTCGTCCTTTTTCTTGACGAATGCTCGCGTGTCATTTGCTTCTTTCTCAGAGCAACGATGAAGAATGGCTGGTAAGTTCTTAGGCAAAAAGTTGCATTTGTCATTTGAGTAATGGGCACAGGGGCGTCATTGTTTCTTCTTTCAACAGATATATATAGGGTGTTATCAATGCTGGGCTTTCCTGAAAGACACCGTATAGCACTATATACAGTAAACTCTCACTTGAGCGAACTTCAAGGGGCTTAAGGAAATAGTTTACTTTAACTGAAAGTTCACTAAATTGAATATATTCACTAGAATATGGAACAGCATAGGGCATAGCATACATTGAGTCAAAAGTGTGAAATGCAATTAATGGGAGTCATGTATACATCGATATATACAAAGTGCATAACAGTTACATTCCTGCCTTTCTTATTTTGAAAAAAATCAAATTCTCATTTGCACCGGCGCTCTTAAAGCGCATGAAGTAACAAAGCTGTCCAGAGAGTCTATATTTTTTTGCACTTCCTCTGGCACAGCTTGTTGCTGTGACGAAGCCATACCGCAACGACATCATCCACTGGCTTGAAATATCCCGTGCAGAGTCGTTTCCTGTTGGGATTGAACGCAGTTTCTCTTTCAAGCTTCAACTCTTGCTTCACTATCGTTGACAACATCGACGGTGGAATCCCATAGTCCTTCGCAACGTCCACTTGCCTTTGACCGTTGTCCAGACGCTGAAGGATTTTGAGGTTGTCTGACAGAGACAACCACTTTCGTTTCGTCATACTCATTGCGAAAGTAGGAGCACAAACTGCCATCCTGCCATTGTTACTCAGAACTAAGATGGCCGAACGAAACCGGTGACAAATAAAGACACATTACGGGGTTTGTTTTCGTCTACCGCACCGCCGCTTTGCCTCGGTGGTGCTGTAAACGGCAGCGATGATACGCCACCGCTGCAGAGGTGGCGACGGCGGGGTGGCGGGCATTGGCTACTCTAACACTGCAGAGCACAAAACTTCGTTGAACTGATTGCAAAAACAATCCTGGGTCCACCGATCAAGCTCGTTTAACTGAAATATTCGCTATTTCGAAATTTGTTTTTCATTTAACTGAAATATTTTTGCATAAAATCCGTAAAAAAAACGCCAAGGATTTATTTTAAATTCGTTTTTCTGAAATATTTGTTAAACTGTTGTTCGCTCAAGTGAGAGTTTACTGTACATGGGCTACCTCCTACCACCCCTCCCCATAAAAGAGCTAGAAATGGAAAGAGGGAGCAAAGTTGGGCAGTTATTATCAGATCCGATTTGGTAGAATTACAAGTTTGTGGCTTTGAAAGGCATTCCGACCGGATGAGTGCGTGCAGGCAAGTGCCATTCAAGGTCATGTGCTCTCGTGCTTGTAGCCTTTACCATGCACTGTTACTACCATGGATGGAGGGCTATCTTGTCCCTCGTGATTAGATCTTAGCTTCAGTTTCTCTGTCCTGCTTCAGGTGCACAAGCCAAGTCGGTGGGAGCTGACGGATGGCGGAACAGCATGCACGGGCGAGAGGCTATGTGAGACACGTTTTTTCTCTAGAGTTCTAGGAAACTTTCCTTCATCTTTTTTGTTCTAGAGGGCCCCCTCACGTAAGTATGAGTGTGCTAAAATTACTTGCAGACGGTTGTGGTTTAAACATTGTTGCTATTCCTTCGATGAAAACTTTCCGTCCTGCCATAGTACATGGTGCATCCTCTTCGGTTATTCGTGATTGAATAAAACAGAATCTAGACTGACCTGCGTATGAACAAAGACGTGCATCTGCTCTGTCATAGAGTAAACAAACTACAATTTCTCAAGGGGTCATAAAGCATGCATGTTGCATTAATGGGTAGATTTTAGCATATGAACAAAGACGTGCATCTGCTCTGTCATAGAGTAAACGAACTACAATTTCTCAAGGGGTCCTAAAGCATGCATGTTGCATTAATGGGTAGATCTTAGGCATCAAAGAGAGCAAGATTTGACCGGTAAGAAAAAGTATGGGATTAATGCATCATCCACGAGACTTGCGTGTGCACGGACACCGGTAATGACTGCCTACGCGACTCAGAGTTTGGGGTTACAACCCAAACTTTTTTAAGTCATTTGAGGAGCCATAGGCGACAACTAGTCGCAAGTTTTACAGCAGTAAAAAGGTTTAAACAATGTGACCCACCCTTCGCCGAGAAGGCCGTGCCTGGTCGAGCACCTTCCAGAGTTCGGGGCTCGAGTCTTCCACCACGTTACACTTAGAGCTGCTCTTTTTAAGCGGAGACAGAAAGCAGCCACTGGAGTCTACTAACTTTTGGTGCATGTTATGCGCAGTACGGCTGGATGGTCTGAGCAGTCAACGCCTCAAACATACCTCTCTGGACGACTACCTCCAGTTGCCGGATGACTACGAGGAGCGACAAAGCCAGCCAGGAAAGAAGAGGGTACGTGCCTCCTAGCGACCTCTCGCGAGGGGCAAGGGGGGCACTTACCCCCCTCCCCCCCCCCTCAGTTCTCAGAATGGGCGGGCAAGGCATGTGTTTTGCCCCCCCCCCCCCCCCCCCCCCCCCCTGCCTGAAACAGTCGCCACTGGGCAGGGCAAACACTGGCCGTCGGCGCCCAAGGTATACCAAGCGAACCACCCCCCGGGCCTGGGGGGGGGGGGGGGTTCTGGTTTGCCCCCTCACTCAGATCCAAGTTGGTTTGCCACTGCCTGTAGATGAACTAGAGCTCGGTTTACGATTTCTGCTAGTGGCGAGTCGGAGGCATAAGACCCTCAATGTCAATTCAGTCTTACATTTATTGGGTTCTCAAACTTCTCAATCTCGAGTAACTCCACAAAGTTCCTAGGAACCCAGAAGCACAAGAAGCACGGCGGTCGTCGTGCCAAGCAAGACTGCAACCGCTCGTCATAAAGTACTGGAGAAGCAGTGCATCTGACTCTATCGTTTCAACTACAGTCGGTGACAAGTTAAGTAGGAAGTGGTAGCTCCTCCCACCCCTTTCCACTTCAGCAAAGCGAACGGTGGAGAGGAGGTCGCCTCCTCTCCACCTTTTGGTTTGCTGAAGTGGAAAGAAGTGTGAGGAGCTTTCACTTCCTTCTTGGAGACTTGTCACCGGCTATAGAACCACTGAGTAAGTATCACTTGAAGCATTCGCCCTCCGTTCCCCGATTTTCGTTTGCACGCCGCCATCTCGTGCATACAAAGTGTGATTGGCAATCATTAAAATTCGAAAATACACATTTTACAACTTCAGATACTTCCGTCATGGACTGTTTGAACTTCTCACCATTTTGGATAAAGCTTATGGCAACCACTAATTTAGGCACCATGATAAGCCAATGTGTCATTAAAGAGACACTGACAGGGCATTTCTGCTTGCCAAGGTCTTGTAGCATGAGCTACACTGGCCGAGGTTGAGCAGTTTCGCATGGCTCCCAAAGAGCCGTGCTGCGCAAGCGCGAGGAGCAGTGACAGCGCACAGCTGGCGCGCTGGAGCCGCGCGCGCGCCTGGCCGGTCTGCGCATTTTAGAGGAGCGACGTCATACTTGTGGGCCATCAAACATGTGGGCAGACGCTCTGGCGCCGCTGTGTGCCCAGCCGTGCGCCTCCGTTGCGCAGTAGCCAAGTCTGACGCTGCACCGGAGCCGCTTGATAGCGCCTCTCATTTTGTGTGCATAAGCTCACACTACGTATATCCTGGCATAGCCGAGCTAAGCCACCACAATTTTTTTATTTGTATGTGACATATGAGAGCCGAACTGCCCAGAATACAACTTGCGGCTTGAAATTTGTCTTCTTTGCGCCCGAAAACCACCGATCGTGAACCAGCTGGGAAAACCGCCGATCGTGAACCAGCCGGTTTGAGTCACGCTCACTCTCTTCTCCGTGGTCACGTGCTGTTTTCTATGGTTTAGACACAACCACCAAAGATAAACTTGTGGGCCATCGAAAGCACACACTCAATATTAAAAATAAAAAATTGTGATGGCCATTTTATTGGCTTCTAAAAAGCTGCAAATACGTTGATTGAAAAGAAAATGTTGCTCAGCCACACGGCTTTTGGCAACACTATCCTCCTCTATATTTCTTCTTCCTCCCCAGTCCAAATTCGGTTTCAAGCAGCTGAGTTTTTTTTTTTTTTTACTTTATTAAAAATATGTGACGCTGTAGCAAAATAGTCACTGGGTAGTCTTCTGACATCACAATAAATCATCTAACAAAAATTATTACAAAATTTTTGGGGGTGTCAGTGTCGCTTTAAATCTGTGACTTAGTTTATTTGATGGCTGTAGTTGTAGCCGCGGCAGGTGTTGACCCGCAGCCCAACTGTCTCTGCTTGCAGGTACGCTGGGCCGACATTGAGGAGAGCAAGCAGCAGAAGCGCATGCGGGACATTGGCTTCGTGGTGGGCCAGACGGACTGGTCCAAGTTCACAGACCCCAGTCAAGCCGAGAAGGCACTCACACGCACCAAGTACATCTGAGGGGGGAGGCCCCCCTTTTTTAGAAGGACACCCATAAAGGACGTTTATCTCTCATCGCTCGTCTGGCTCCATCCATGGCTGCGTCATATCAGGCTCTCGATCAGGGCGTGCACGGACGAACTCGGCTCAGCTACCGAACTGTCTCGCCGGGTCGCCTGCCCGGCCAAGTGCTCGGTCGCCGACCTCCCAATCCGTCTGTCAGTCGTCCGCGGATCAACTACCAACTTCTCAGTCTGTCTGCCGACTGCCTGCTGGACTATCGGCTCGGCTACCAACGACGCGTTGTGCGAGGCGTGTCTACTGTGGGTCGTCTGCTCCATTGCAGGCTTGGCTGCCGACCTCCGAATCTGCGTGTTGGTCATCCGTTTTGTTGGTGACTCGACTACGGACTTGCCCTTCTGTTTGCTCGTTGCTTGCTGGACTTCCGGCTCGACAGCCAACTCTTCTTCGGACCCGGTCATTGGCTCGTCAACCGACTCTGACCCGTCGTCTCGCGTGCTACTCGTTGTCTGCCTAGCCACACGCTTGGCTGTCGCCTTACTGGTTTGTCTGCTGGCCATACGCTTTGCCGCTGGTTTGGCAACAGACTCCTTTGTCTGTCTGCTGGCTGCCTGTCGAACCACCGGCTCGTCTTCTGACCCAGCCATTGGCTCATCGCCCGACCCCGTCGTCTGCTCTCCCAGCAATTGTGCAATGCGTCGCTTCTTGCTGTTCAGAACGAGCGTGAACTTGGAGTACAGCTCGCTCTCCATGTTTTCCTTGACGCGAGCGCATCGGTCCAGCTGATCCAACGCGCGGTCGTGGTCGCGTCTCAGTCGATCCAACTGACCCGTCGTTCGCGCCAGTCTCGCCTCGGCATCTTGGACCGCACGTACTGCGCCCGCGAAGACCGCCATCACGGAGCGGTTTGCATCTTCGTGAACGCGGAGGAGTTCGGCGGAACCGAGCTTCCGACGCGGACCTCCCCGCTGGTCGTCCAAGATCTGTTTCCAGCTGAAACGCAACGCCTCGTCGTCAACAACGTCGACGCTGTACTCGAATCGGGCCCCTGTTCCCGTGGTGAGAGCACTGCGCGTTAGAGGACGGACTTGAACGGGCTGACGTGAAGCGTTCGCGTCGCCCTTGAAGCAACGGCTGCCATCCGTTAGCATCAGCGTGTACATGTCTTCTTCAAGAGCGGTGGTCAGCAGGACGTAGTCGACTCCGCCGGCTTGCACTCTTTGAAGAAATTCTGACTGCGGTTGGATGGGAGGCGGCGACTCGTCGCGACGAACGACCACGAGAGCTTCCTCGGAGAAGCCGTCATCTTCACTCATGTTTGAAGTTCAGTGCAGCACTCGCCCACTCGCCGGCAAACCGCCGACCACTCGGAACGATGTGATCGACTGGATGAAGTGCGGCTTGTTTTAGCCTCGGGTTGTGAGGCAGATTAATAAATGGAGTGGGGATAACGTTCTTTAGTTGGTGGCGCGATGTTTTAAAACGTGTAGATAGCTTTCTGGCGTTTCGGCGGCTGTGGCAGACCAACGACCAACTCCTTGGAGCCTTGCCTTGGAGACCAAACCACAGTTTGCATGACGTATGGCTATGGCGTCTGATTGCCTCCATCAATTCACTCACTTGAATTGGGAGGTAGTTTGCACCGCCTAGGTTTTGGTGACTACAAAAAAGAAAAAAACAAGCGGTTTAATTTGCTGTCGTGTTTTTAAAAAGCGACGATCTAATCAACTGTTTTGGAATGTAATAAAAACAATTCTATTTTGCAACGATTGTGCAAAACTTTACTACGAAAGAAAAGGGTGGGGGCGTATCATGGCGTCGCATGTAACTACCAATTCGCAATAAATGCGTACATCTAGCCTATCAAAGAAGGCACATGGTGCGCGAGGAGGCGAAGGAGAGCGAGAGCAGCGCAGGAGCTGCAGGAGCTACGGAGCTACGTACGTTCGGAGTACGGAGATACGTACAGTCGGGGACAAAAGTCTCCAGGACACGCGAGCTGCGACTGAAGCGCACTGCTCTGCCATCTGCCGGCAGGTCGCCTGGTTTCGAGATCACACGAAAGCGCATGCGCGTCCTACTGTGTCTGCAAACTAGACCTGTGCGCCGGTCAGAAATCGCCGGCGGCGGCGCGCCGGTGTTTGTACCTTCGGCGGCGGCGTGTTGACGGCGCGGGGATCAACGGAACGGCGGCGGCGTGGCGCGGAAGAGGGAGGGGAGGAGGGGGGTGTAAATTAGAGAGTGAGGAGGAGAGAGAAAGGAGTCGTTTGAATTTGGCAAACAAGATGCAAATAACCATAAAAAGGAACACACTTTTTATTTTATTTTTTTTTTTCTGTGAAGAGTGCGTCCGTTAGAAGAATCAGGTACTTCGGCGTCTTGTTTATTCTCGTTTGTAATAGAATATGTCGCCGGCTGGCAGCCGCGGCGCAAGATCCTTCGCAAGATGAGGACCGACGACAACAGGTATTTTATCACCGCGTTCCACCTCACCACGCGCTTGTCGCACGCCCCGTGCCTAACAAGTCGACCGAGCACGTCCTTCGATTTATAGAACTCGTACTCTCATTTGATACGCCGCAAGCCGTCATCACCGACAACGACAGGGTCCTAACCTCTCCTTCGGCTTCGCGGTACTTCGCCGACAGGCACATTCAGAGCATCCCTAACAGTACTTTACGTCCCCGAAGCCATCGGCTTTGTCGAACGCGTCAACGGAAAAATCCTTCCATGTCTGCGCGAAAGAACGTCAACGGCGACATCGACCATTGGAGCGATTATCTCCAGGCAACCAGCTTTCAAGTGAACCAGCAGCCGTACGCCGGACTCCAGACATCACCGTTCGAACTCCTGTTCAACTTTGTCCCACGTCGAGCAATAGAATTATCCCCGCTTCCCGACGAGGTCGGCGACGTCCGCTCGAACTGCGACGCTGCAAACGCGAACCTCGCTTACCTTCACGGCATGAAGCGTTCCTACGATGCAAAATATCGACCATGCTCCATACAGGGTCAGGGACAGGGTATGGTACACGAACGGCGTTCCTTCCTCAAAACTTGGCCTGCTTTTCCATGGACACTTAATTCATCACCAACGTGAACAATCAAACCTACACCATTTCCGGGTTTACCCCGCAAGGCACACCGGATTGCCGCCAAGCTGCTGCACGATAGCTCTTTTCTTTCTTTCTTTTTTTTTTTCTTTTTTTTTTGTTTCACGAACAACCTGCAGCGATTGACGTCGATTTCAACCAACTCGCCTTGCTCCGCAGCAGATCTTCCGATTACAAGCGCATCACGCCGACGCTGCCCTCCACGATGGCTAGACGTATATAACAGAGGATCATGACAACATCTACAAAATGTGCGAGGGTGCAAGGATTTTGAGCTCGGGAGTGTAATCAAATACTCTGGCGGCAAAGACCGGTAAGGAGAGCCTCCCCGACTCGACCGGATGGGGGCTCGACTTCGACCCCCGATGCTGGATCCCGGCGTGGAAACGAGAAAGAAGGACCCCCAGAAACACGATGTGACAGGAACAAGCCAGGCGTGTGGATCAAAATAAAATACGTTTGGAAGAAGCCTGAAAAACAGACGCGAATATAGCCCTTTTGTATCAAATTATTTCACAAAAATTGCATTAAATCGTTTTGCGGTCTACAAAACCGTTCATTCCGTTATAACACTTTAAAAACACAGGCGAGCTGGTGAAGAACTTCCATAGTAACGGGAGACACGAAACGATAAAAATAACGCACAAGACAACAAGTCTCAAACACAGGTTTTATACCCGTTTTCACATCAAGAACTCTAGTAAAAAGAGTCCGACTCCTTGCGAACCATTACTAAATTCCACCTTTATCTGAAGAATTAAGATATATGTAGCTGGATTCTACTATATATGTTATCAAGACGTACACGTTGCAGTGCCAAAATCATCGCTTTTTTCTCCGACAACCAAATCTCGTAAGACTTCACGTCGCGTATACGAACATCTTTGTTTCATGTATGTGCTCTCCCCCCCTGTAATGCCTTCGGGCCCTGAGGGTACTTTGATGAATAAATAAAAAAATAAATAGTTTATTTGAACAAGGAACGCTCTTATATATACGTCAAGGCCAAAAAGAACTCTTTAAAAAAAAGGGTATCACCATACACCCTTTTGTCCCATATAACGCACCCCAAAACTTTAGTTTGACGCACAGCGCACAGACGGCCACACGTTTTACAAGGGGCTTGATAACGGAGCGATATAACTGATTAAATAGCTAAAGTACGTATCAAAGACCACAGAAAGAAAACACTGATGTTTCGCAGCAGGGCCAAGAAAACCCCGATTATTTTTTTGTTTTGTTTTTGTAGTCAGTAAAACGTACATTAGCTATTTTAATAAGTTGTACCACACGGCTATCAAGCCTCTCGTGAAAGTTAGTACCGTCAGATCGACGTCTGAAGTTTTGGGGTGTCTTATATGGGACAAAGGGTGTAAGAATACACCCTTTTTTTAGAGTGTAGGTCACTGAAAGCCGGACATTCAGGCAGATCCAAAAGATTCATGGTCACACTAACCTGTTACCCAGACGACCCCGCTTGATGACTGACCAGCCATATATGCGATAACAGACAACTCCATCAGAACCCTTACTAATATATGATACACGCGTGACGAGATGTCCCTACAGCGTGCAATTCGCCAAAACGTGTGTCCGTGAAACGTGTGCCCATGAAATGTTGTCTGCGATAATTAATTCCACGAAACGAGTTTCGACGAAATGACAAGGTCCCTACACCCCTCCTGCCTGAAAAGTTACATCTGGGTTCTTATGTTTTTTTCTGGCGCCCCTGAAGACCACCAGAAAGGGGGTTGACCTTTCTAATTTGTGCTGAGCTTTGAAAACTAAATTTACACCGATCGCCACTGATATAAAGTTATGAGAGATTCCATGGTAGTAAGGCACACACACGACATTCTTCACAGCCGGTTTTTCCACAGGAGCCGGATTAAACCTTCACTTGAGCACAACTCTGACAATTACATCATTGTGATGGCCCGCTTCCAAACGACGCATCTTTTGCAACTCAACTACCTCACCAACCCAAAACATACGGGATTCTTTACAAGCGTTATCCATCGCAGACGCAATTACACCACTCTTAACTATTTTCAAGTGACAACTCTCAGCTGCCAACAGAGGCTTGGCTGATTCCTAGCCGTACATCCAGCATAGGCCCTTTTCCGTGTGCAACAGTATGTCTATAAGTACTTAATTTGACTGTTGCGATGGCAGGGTTTTGCGGTCCAATCGACAAGGACCGCACAACCGTGTCAACGTGTACATAAGTCTCGTTTTAAAAAAAAAATCTCGGACAACACTGGAGCAATTCACGACCCGATACACACACCCTGTTTTTGAATAAAAAGAGAACCATCAAAGTCTACGGCAGTGGACTCTAAATGAAACTCCAGAATGCTGATAAAACTATCTACATCAATCCCATTGGCAGACTGCAGCTTCACTAGATTATCATCACACCACCTCCTGACCCTTATGAACAGCTCGGACTTATCCATAAAGTAACGTAAGTCCTTGATGTCTACAGTTGTCACATCGCACCTTCTCCCATGATGCGGATTCAATATTTCAATCAATTGCTCAGAGTATTTGAGTGAGAATGGGCTGTTGCTCCACTCCTGTCAGGCATTTCTAGATAAGAACCGACAACACCTTCTGCCAAACTCAATTTTCGTTCACAACCATTTGAACAATTACACCAGGATGGGATTGTTACAGTTGTGCTCAAGGTGTAAGGAACGTACGTTTAATCCGGCTCCTGTGGGAAAAACCGGCTGTAAGGAATGCTGTGTGTGTGCCTTACTACCATGGAATCTCTCATAACTTTATATCAGTGGCAGAGAGGTTCGGTGTAAATTTAGCTTTTAAAGCTCAGCACAAATTAGAAAGGTTAACCTCCTTTTCGGGGTAGTCCTCAGGGGTGCCAGAATAAAACACGTGCACAACACGTGCCGGAACTATGGCGTCCGCCTCAATTATCTCTCTAACAGTCTTATCTGTGTGCCTAGCGAGAACAGTGGAGGAAGCAAATAATGGTTTGCACCTGCTGTCATGCGTGGTTTCAATTGACTTTGCAGAAAAAGAGATAGCGTAATTGCAGTCCGCGGCGGGGCCACGGATTGGTTGCGATGTGATGTGGTGACGCAGTGTGTATCTACGCTGAGGCGCTTGGATTAAATCAGTTGAAAGTAAGCGCTCTGTGGTGTTCTTCCTCTGTCTATGTCTTAAAGCGCAATCATATTTTCTCACGCACAATACACACTCACCCAACAATCAGCAATGGCAGGAGAGTTCTGAGGGAGACCATGCGTATTTTGACCTCTGGTAATTGAGTAAGCACACCGTCCTTTGCAATGGACAGTGATGTGAAGCGTTTTTTTGTGTCTGTTTTCTCAGAATTGTAAGGGCTGTGCTGGAGCTGGAGTTGCCTGTTATCGCATGTGGCTGGTCAGCCCTCAAGCGAGGTCATCAGGGTGGGTCCATATCACATGAGCGAATGACGTCGACGTTTTAGCGAATAACGGGGGCGCGCGTTAACCCATCCGCCGCGCTCCGCTTTCGCCGCTTCGCGGCGACAGTCTGCGGCGGCTGATTACAAAAACGTAAACCCATTTGGCCCACCTGAAAACGCCTCTTCGCGGCGTCCGAGTATTCGCTGAAGTGTCATTCGGTGAAACGTGGGCGTTCGCTAAAACGTCATTCTATCAAGTGAGTGCCTCCCTCAGGGTGGCTGGTTGGTGTAAATCATTTAGATATGTCTGAATCATGAATCATGTGGGTTCTGTCTGAGTGTCCGGCTCTCGGTGACCTAGTGAAGGGGAGGTGTCTCTTTTATGGTGGTGAGGGTTTTGAGGTATATGTAACAACGTTCGTTGTTCAAATAACCTACAGACGGTGTTTGAGACTTGTTGCTTTGTCCGTTTTTTTTTGTTTTTTTTGTTCTGTGTCTCCGTTTTTTATGGAACTTCTACATCTATTGATTACAGGATTACTATTACAGGAGTAAAAATGAAAGGCAAAACAATCTATTCATTTTTTATGCATAATATAGTAGGTAAAACTCATATAGAAGCAGCAAAAAAAAAACACCAATACCCCCCCCCCCCTAAAAAAAAGAAAAAAAAAAAAAGAAAAGGAAAATGGCGGCGCCGGCGGCGCGCCGGATTTATTGTGCGGCGGCGGCGGCGGCGTTCTGGATCTGGGGATCCCGGCGGCGGCGCAGGGCGGCGAGAGTAAAACAGGCGGCGGCGGCGGCGCGGCGCGGCGGCGCACAGGTCTACGTGCAAACATGTCTGTTTTCCCGCCCTTCTGCGGTGCGGCGCCTAACTCGGAATCGGGCGCGTGGTACCGCCTCGGAGATAGCGCTGGCGGCTGACGGGCGTCTGCTACGCATTCCGAAACTGGAGATACCGCCTGCGTCATTGCGCCGCATTTCGCTTTGTCAGAGCGCACCGGCTTTTGAGCCTGTTCAGACTCAACTTGGCTGATATTTTTTTGCAGCGTGTACTTTCTACATGCTATCACTTTAAAACTGATGTATGCATTTCTCAGGAACCCCAATACGCTCACAGTGGCGTCTGGTAAAAGCCAAGAGCTCAGTCGCTGAAAGTAGCTGCGGGGCATGTGTTCAGGAATAAAGGCGGGAGAGAAAAACAAGTGCGAGTAATTTATTCGCAAAAAAATAATTGTTAGGTCAGTTGAGGTAAATAATTATTGGAGAGCCACGACTAATGCGCAGTGAAATTTCCCTCAGCGGCAATCACTTGTTGTAGTCGCCGTGGCATCGATTCATAGAGCCGTGCAACCAGCTCCGGACGCGCACGCAGTACGTTCCATTCTTCGCTCACTGCTTCCCACAAGGACTCAGCGGACGCGCGACTGAGATGTCGTTTTGCGAGATTTCTTTTCATCGTGCCCCAGATATTTTCAATGGGGTGGCAGTCAGCACCGTTTGTTGGCCACTCAAGCTGGTGTATGCTGGAAGCTTCCAGCATCGCGCTGACTTTGCGCGCCTTGTGCACGGGGCTTCGGTCCTGCTGCAGGAAGAAGCAGCCGTCGGGGAATGGTCCGTCCAGGACGTAGAGAACGAGCGTGTTCTCAATGATGTCGCAGTAAGCTTCGGCATTAAACCGGCCGTCAATTCTGACGAGCGGGCCTAGACCTTCCTTACTTATTGCCCCCCACACAGCAATTGCGCATCGGCCACTTGACAGCACGCTCTGCATATATTCTGGACGGTATCTGTAAAAAAAGAAATGCATCAAGAGTCACATGTGCGCAAAATAATGCACGCTAAAAAAAAAGTGGAGTGTATACAGAAATGAATTTTACCCAGGTTCTTCCCGAACCTTTTGCATAGAATTCCAGTTTTTATTTTGAATTAAGCCTAATTAGTATCTATATAACGCTAGCTATCTAACTCTTTAAATATTGTCTTTAGAGCCTAAATGTCACGTGAAAAGATAAAAAGCGCCTTGAGAAACATCCGCAACGTGATACGTTTTCATGCTTCTATTATTCAGCCTGGAAAGAAAGCCCGCGTATATTGAAATAGAGTGTAATAAGGCGTGTGCGTTGCAACGTGGTATTTTTTATATATTCCACGGGCTTTTTCAAAAGCCAGGAAAAAAACAGGCAAACCGTTTCACCCTTCATGCAGACACCTATTCGGGGTGTCCCTCAAAGCGCTCGACAGCTTTTCGATTGACCATTTCAGATCCCAATACATTATTTAAACTGTTAGCTAATTAGTCCTAATGAAATAATTATTTCGGATGCAAAAAATACTGCACTCTTGTAAGGCGCGTGCGAAGAACATACGGCGTCTTTAATTCACTAAAACCGTTCTCCTTTAAAAAAAAATGGGTGGTTCTTTGGGACAGCCGGTGCTCACACAGCTGGGTCTAACAAGCAAGCAGCTCGTAACACTCATTAGACGTAATTTACGCTACTAGATTCCAGGAGAGTTTCACACATTGCTGTAAACGACTGTATTTTTCCGGGCTCAATTTTTGGCGAATTCTACAATGCCCTGGTTTCCAGAAATATTTGGCCGGCACAAATATCGCGGTTGAGAGGGCTATGCTAGGTTTTATAAGCGCTGCGTAATGGGGCGATTAATTGTTCGCATTTCTTTTCCAAATAGCGAAAATTATACTAGGACCAAACTTAACCAGATTAGAAAAACTGTACCGTAACGAGTCATGACACAGCAAAATTACCCCGTGCATTAGAATGCCACAACCCTTGCTAGAACTAAAGAAGCCGCTCCAACCGACGCCAGTGATACTCTACATTCTGCAGCTATGCAGATCACAAATAAAATATTCCGTTGTTATTTTCGAGCCGGGAGTTCGTTTTAGTTTAATATTTATTAGAAGCGTTACAGGCGGAGTATACACACTGGATATTTTTGTTTTAATTAATACAAATATTGTACAGTAATGTTTCTCATTTCTCGTTTTAAAAGAACACATTTTCTTTCGGGAGTTTCGATGCACGCTCTTTTTACCTGCAATTCATTGGGCGCCAAACGCGCCGCTTTTGGTCCCACCTCGTTGAAAAAGTGGACTCGTCAGTGAATATCACTTCGGACCACTCGGTTACCGTCCAGTGCTCCAGGGCCCTTGCAAAGGAGAGTCTCTCCCGGCGCTGTGCATCCGTGAGGTAGGGCTTTTGAGCAGCCACGCAGTTTTTCATCCCTGCTTCCACCAGTCGCCTTCGGATAGTCTTACTGGAGAGGTTCAGGGAGAGTTCCTGTGGGATTTCTTTTGCTGTCATAAAAGGGTCCGTAACAGCTGCGGCAAAATCAGCCGGTCTTCTTCATCTGTGGCCCTAGGACGGCCGGAGCGAGGAGCGTCCACAAGTCGACAGTCATCGTCACGGAAGGCCTTAATCACACGGGTCACAGTCCATTTCGAACGACCAGTGCTTCGGGCGATCTTCCTTTGCGGAACTCCCTCAATAAAACGACGTGCGATTAAACGCCGTTCCTCGATGGGGACCGAATGAGACATCTTTATTAAAGTCTGGGTCCCGATTCAGGAACATGCTACTATACGTATACTGTATATCGCTGGCCAATAGTCAGTCAGGTTCTTAATATGCAGTGATTTTACTTTCTTTCTTTATATTGTTATTATTAGGGCGCGGGCGCGCTTACTGACATGGCACCTATAAAGGAAGAGGTCACGGCAGCTCAGCTCAACTGAGCGATAAGCTCAACTGGTTATAAAGCAAGGTGCGCTGACACGGCGAAATGCGGAGCAATGACGCAGGCGGTATCTCCAGTTTCGGGATGTGTAGCAGACGCCCGTCAGCCGCCAGCGCTATCTCCGAGGCGGTACCACGCGCCCGATTCCGAGTTAGGTGCCGCGCCGCAGAAGAGCGGGAAAACAGACACGTTTGCAGACACCGTAGGACGCGCATGCGCTTTCGTGTGATCTCGAAACCAGGCGACCTGCCGGCAGATGGCAGAGCAGTGCGTTTCAGTCGCAGCTCGCGTGTCCTGGAGACTTTTGTCCCCGACTGTACGTTCGTGCGGTTCGTGCACTGCACTCTCTTGCGTTTTTCCGTGTTTCGGCCTTTCCGTTGCTTTCCGTGAATACCGGCGACGGCAGATGCGGAGTGCGTCATGCGTGGACCGCCTGTCGGCGCGCCTCACGTCACTTGTGAGCGCCCTTCCAGGCAGCTGCCGCGCTGCCGTTCCCCGGCCGTAGTGGCCGGAGCTCCTTCGAGCAGGATGTGGGGTCCCGGCCGAAATGACAGCGGCGCTGAACGAAGCGCGGACCGTTTCGATGAATGACGCGCTGCCGCCGTCGACGACGCCGGATCGGCCCTGTGTGTCCCCTCCGCTGGATTCGGACGGCGACGTTCCCGCTTCGTCGGGGTACGTGGTGCACAGTTTAAATCGGGGGCACGCCAGGGGTCACAACTTCACAGCACGGGGTGTCTCAATGTTGTGTTTCGTTATGGCATCTATGGGCTGCTAAAGTGGATAATACCTCGTGTTTTTTTCTCTGCGACAGGCGCGGTGAAGGGTATTTCGGAGTTCAGTGTTTCGCCAGTTTCACGGTGATTATTGACAGTGTCACGACTCGCGAGTCGGTTTTAGGACAGCGGTGACGCAACTTGGCAGCGGCCGTGAATGAAAATCTGCGTGTCGCATGTTGCGACTTGTGGATGGGAGAAACCAAAACGTCGCAGACCCATGAGATACCTCAAACGAGCCGTCACTTGTTGGAGCGTTTAATCGGAGTCTGCACGTTGGGGAAGGGAGAAACGTGGTTTCTTCAAGCGTTATACTTTTGTAGCAAGTGCCCATATATATCTGAAACAATCCTTAAATTCCTACCAAAATGTTTTCCGGCCAGGCTGAAGTTGTTTTCGTTTCTGTTTTTACACTTGTCAACATGGGATGCGCAAAACCCTGTGTTGTACGAACTCTGGGGGCAAGATAATCAACAGTGGTAACAAAAGTAACGTTTGAGGAACTTTGTGGAGTGCATTTGTGCTTACATACTTTCAGCAATCGGTAAAGAGGGAGGGGGTCACGGGCATATTTGAATATAGTTGTCTTGAACGGTGCAAGATTTCTACAGGACACTTTTTCTGCTCTGCAAGACACTTCTTTGAGGTCATCTAGTCTCACTTTAAAGGCCCGTTCACTCTCTTGCGACCTCTTAGAACTGGGTGCCTTAAAACTTCTTACAACCAGAGGATACACTGGCGCCATCTATTGGGTAGTAGTGTAAACTTGGCAGTCCGGCATATTTTCTATTTCTCTCGCGCATTATCCTTTCTTTCTTAGCTCGAAAAACTTTTGTCGACGTTCTAAACGAGCCTTTCTTATAGGTATTACACACATTTTACTTCGGAAATCCCACAAAACCTTCGCTCTTGTGAAATGCAGTTCCAGGGTCACCGCATAGATGGCGCCAGAATGCCAGTGTGTTCCCTCGTCCAAAGAAATTTTAAGAATTTTTAACAGATCTCGTCTCTCTCGGTCATACTCAGTTGCAAGAGTGTGAACAGGCCTTTACCCAAAATATCTTGAAGCGTCTTTAGGTGTCTTGTAGTTCAGTTAATTAATCCACGTCTTGGTTCGCAGCTAAGACATCCAAAAGGCCTCTACTAGTAAACTTATCTGAGATATATGCAAGGCAGGTGTATACATATATAACTCAAAAGAATGTCATAACTTCTGCTACCATTCGATTGGCGACTCCAGCGAAATTGACGCCGCATAGCGGCAACGCCGAGAAGCTCAAGAGAGGAGGCCGTTACGACTCCGTCGTCTGCTATTGCTGTTTGGTTCTCGTGGGCAGCATAGAAACAAACATTTTTCCAGTAATTATTTTTATGCTTCCGCCGTGACATTCTTACGCAGACTAGAAGACAGTTTCTATCGTCGAAAAATCGCTTTGCTTTCATATGTAACACTAATTGATTTTGCGCTGCAGTACAAGACATTTGTGGTGGTCCGCATCCTGAACAACAAAAACGACCTCCTTTCGTCCACCATTTTGCCTGACCAGCGCACCGCCTATAGTTTGCTGGAGTCACAAATACTCCTAAAGTACAAAAAATACATATCCAGGATAAGTTAGTTACGTACAGTGCTTCTAGCTTAAAAACATACATTCCAGAGGAAAAATACCATCCCACGTAAAACTGCCCCCTAAACATAGATGAATACCAAGTTCTATATTTCTTAACCCTGCGTTTTTCTCCTCCGCTATGAATCGGATCCCTCAATAACTTTGTATGAGATTAAATAGAACTCTTAGACCAAGTCTTTGAAATGTACATGCAATCAATATGCACACCATTGTTACAAAGTGTCATCCTGTGGATGATCTTCTTAACTCAGGGGAGGTCACGCACAGATAGCATGTATACATCTTGGCTGTCTTGTTGACAACAAGACATCTCTTAAAATATTTTGTTGTTCAAAAATGGGTTCATTAGCTGAACTACAAGTCTTTTACAATAAGGTCTAGGGTTATATAGTGCCTCGCCAAGAGGTCTACCAGAAGGTTTGCACATCTTGCCAAGACGTTTGATTGGAGCCTTGGATGTTCAGTGGGTAAAACATGCAGGTTGACCTTTAACTTCTTAACCGAGCCTCATAGATTCGAAGAAACACGCTTGTTGGAAAAGGTTCCCGAATTCTCTTCAGCATTTGTCTTGAGGTGGCCTTATTGTCTTGTACCTGATCCACAGGAGGCAACAGGATGGTTCGGCGGAGTCGACAGCGAGTCTGTCATCACCAGCACTGCAGGTAAGACAAAACTGGCATCGCGGAGTACGGCAAAGCTTACAACATCAACTTTTGTTTTGCGCAGAGTGCGTCTTCACCAGAACCAACTGATCGGAGCGGCAGCGGTGCCCTGGCATCCTTACTGGGGCACGACGGGGTGCCATGCTGTCCGGCCTTCACGCAAGCCTTCCTGCAAAGCATTCTATCAAGCGTGGACAGCCGCGACCCAGGTATTTGTGCCACTGACATGTGTTCACTCATAATTACGTCTGGCTTTTAGAAGTATCTGATCATTAAATGGTATGGAACGCCGCATGTGGCAAGTCTTGAGCATCCTCTCTCCGCAGCCAGTAAGGTTGCGACATTTGTCAATAAGAACACCCAAGAACGAAGCACGAACATAGGTCACGCCCTGCTTTTCTTAAGTCCTCGGTGACCGGCTCAGTATCATAATGTCTTGGTTTGTCCAATGGTCATTGTCGTAGGTTCGTGGGGATGTTGTGTCATAAATAATGAGAACGAGACCGTTGGCTTTGAGAATTGTTTAAACAAAGAAGATATAAAGAAAACTATATACAGCAATGGTATTAGCAAAGGTTCTACAAAAATATTTAGAACAGCGATATCAGTAGACGTTACACACGCGGCTTTCACAGTTCTTAATGACAATAGAAAAATGTTCGTCATACGTTGGGTCTTGGAGTCTTCTGTCGTTGTGAAGGTGGAGATGGTTAAGCGGGCGGAGTGTTGGGTTCAGGGTCTTCAGAAGTCCGGACGAACCCAGCGAGGGCGAAGGGCAGGCTGACGAGTCTCTGAGTTCCCGGCCTTGTGGAACCAGGACACACTCAGCAGGAGCGGTGGCCAGGCCAGCGCATTCTTGAGTTCCCGGCCTAGTCGAACCGGGACGAACTTAACAGTCAGCCAGCTCCCCGGACCGCTTGTCTTCTTCTACCTCTTTTCGTTCTTTTTCGCTCGTGCCTTTTCTCCGGCCGTCGACGGTATATCTCGTGGCACGCGGGGCCACGTCATGGCGAAAACATCTGTAGCCCGGTGATGGTTCTCAGCCGCGCACATCACAGTCATGCTCGCGACTCCAGCAGAATAGATGGCATCATGTAATTGAAACTAAAGCTGAAAAAGTAGCCACACTGCTGCCTCAGTACGACCACAGCAAAAACGAATGCCACCTGGTGATTAAAACATGGCGCCTCTAGAAGAGAATTGGGAACGCCTCTTTGTTTGGGACCCCCAGAATGCCACATCTTTTTTGGTGAAAGTTTCAGTGTAAGCTTATCCTTTGTTTAAAAGCTCAGACTACAAGAGCGCACAATACTTCTTTTTGCACCTTTATTTGGCATTGGTTAGATTGCTGAATAGAGAGTAGTGCAGTAGATTATCATTGCTGACCATTTTCTTCAATCGCTTTTGTGTGCTCAGTGGCTTTGGCTTTTGTCATAGTTGGGCTGGGACTTTTTTTTATTTATTTACCTTTTGAAGTTGTTTTACAGCAGTGCTCTTAAGGGCTAGTTTCCCCAGGATCGTGTCCCCCGCAAAGAAATGTCGACACAAAACTCTGGTTGCCGCCGTTGCTCATAGATGGTGGTAGCTGTCCAGAGTGTTGTGTTTGCCGGTTGTTCGCTTGCCGCCGTCGCTCATAGATAGTGCAACCTTTCGAGCCTTTCCAATCTGGCTTGCCGACTTGTCATTACTTCATTCCCACCATAATACAGTTTCGCTGGTCTTCCTTCTTCACCAAAGTAGAAAGGCTAAAATATATATATATTTTTTTTTTGCCTTTTTTTTCCCCCTTAGTGGTGTCGTGTGCCTGGACAGAAACCCTTTTGGACGTGGTGGAGCTCTTGCCCAGGGATACTCTCAGACAGGAGGCAAGTGACCATTTCTTCTCCTCTTAAGTCGCAATTTAGAATGCCATCACATCAAAAGAAGTTAAAAAAAATAAATTGGGGTGTGTGTATGTTTGTACAGCCTAAACTTGGTATGCCTCAACGAACAGCTTGTCTCTCAGCTGTAGATCTGTAGATAAGAAATTTAGCCAGTGCAGTACAGGCACGTAGCCAGGATTTTATTTCGGGGGGGGGGGCCCATGACCCAGTCGAACCGGTTCGACCCAGTCGAACCCCGAAAGTTCGACCTAAAAATCCGGTTCGACAAAAGTTCGCGACACCCCTAATGATGACGATGTGGATGCCCGTGACGTCATCAGTGACGATGACATCATCGGGGGGTCACGCGACATCGGCGGGGGTCACGTGACCTCGAGGAGGGGGTCACGTGACCTCGGGAAGTCACGTGACTTCAGGGGGGTCACGTGCCCCCCCACGAGGTCACGTGACCCTGGTGGGGGGCTCGCACAGTGCATTATGGGACATTTCCCATGATGCACCGCGCGGTTACGCCGACGCCGCTCAAGCCGGAAACGGGCCCCTAAGAGCTGCGCTCTAAAATTTCCCCGCTAAGTCTAGCGGAAAAATTTCCCTGCTAAATCTAGCAGAAAAAATTTCCCCGCTAAATCTAGCGGAAAAAATTTCCCCGCTAAGTCTAGCGGAAAATATTTCCCCGCTAAATCTAGCGGAAAAAATTTCGCCGCTAAATCTAGCGGGAAAAGTTTCCCGCTAAATCTAAATCTAGCAGGAAAATTTCCCCGCTATACCTAGCGGAAAAATTTCCCCGCTAAATCTAGCAGAAAAAATTTCCCCGCTAAGTCTAGCGGGAAAATTTCCCTGCTAAATCTAGCGGAACATATTTCCCCGCTAAATCTAGCGGAAAAATTTCTCTGGGGGGTCACGTGACCCCCGTGGTCACGTGACACCCTTAAGGTCACGTGACCTTGGGGAGGGGTTCATGTGACCCCACCAAGGTCACGTGACTTCAGGTCACGTGGCCCCCCCCCCTCCCCCCCTGGAACACGTAAACCTCACTACCCTTCCCTCCTCCTCCTCAAGAGCTGCGCTCTAATTCGGCGTTAGAGGGAGTTGTAAACGGCTTTCACTTTTTTTTTAACCTACTAAATGCCCTTTGTGAATCTAGTCCTTGTCTACCTGAAATTAACTACCATCCTCGCACATTGTTGTTAGACAATGCGCTGGGGGAGCGAGTTCCTGCATGTCATTTCAATCACGCTGTCTTCTTCATCACCTATCAGTGCAGTCGCTCTGCAATCTGCCGATTACGCTTGGTGGCTGACATGCGTTGCCCGGTTCCTGCCTTTTATCTTTTTTAATGGTCCCACTCTTTGTTTTAGAGCTTGAGTTCTCAAACTGGGTTCCTAGTAACACAGGGGTTCCCCAAAGCACCTTCATGGGTTGCCCAAAGCATGTTAATGGGTTCCCCAAAGCACCTTCATAGGTTCTCCAAGCTTTTCTTAACCTCCCCTGCCCCTGAGTAAAGTGTTTTCTCAGGTTAACTCGAGCAGATCTAATCCATCCATTGGTGCATGACTATAAGCCAAGCACTCTCTAGCACATTCAATACCATTTACAAGCTCTGTAGGCTCTTAAACTGCTTTACTGCATCAATGTCGAGACCAGGAGCGGTTCCTTGGCTATCAGTCGAGGGAGGTAATGGTTCCTTAAGATCAAGAAGTTTCAGGACTGCTGTTCTTGAGAAAATATGGTTTTTATACTGTATTTTTGGCTCTGAATCAGTCTGATCTTAGTGCACTGCTGAGGCAAAATATGGGAAGACTGCAGGGGTCTAGTGCTGGTGCTGAGCTTGCCACGTTTTTGCAGATTTTGACGCTGGCAGTGCAGAAGGCGCAGTCGTCGCAGCCCAATGCATCACGTCTGCTCAGCTGCCGCCTGCTCGGGAAGATCTGCATCCGCCTCGAACCGTACACGTAGGCCATGCCAAATGAAAACTCAAATATTAACGCAGTAACTATAGCTTCTATCGGTGGTCTACGTCAATGCAAGGATGCCATTTCTTTGTGTATTTTTCAGAAGAGAGAATAAGAGGAAAATCGCTAGTGTGGAATATAAGTAGAACCCGTTTGTCATCACTAGGGGGCTGGATAGTGCATTGAGCATGCACATGCTTGGTCAAGAAAGTCTTGCGTATTTAGACTAAAAAGGCCCCTTTGAAGATTTGTTTGTGTTACAAATTCAGCCATAAAACCACGCTTTCAGAAAAAGAGAATGAGAAGTAGCATGTGTATTGTTTTCTTGAGATAGCTGACTTCTGCCATGATGCTCCTTATGTAATTTAAGCAGAGGTATGCAAATGTCAAGTGTTTTATCGTTAATGGAATACAAATGTGAAAATTTGTCTGCAAATAGGATTGGAAAATTTTCAAATATTAATATTTTTTGTTTATTGTGAATTGAGCATGGGTACTTTAACAAATGATGGCTGGAAATCTTTTCTAGATTGCTTAGTTATAAAAAAGAACAGATTTATTAGATTAAAAAAAACATTTTACATACTTGTATCAAGAATGCAAAAATGTTCCAAAAGCCAGGTTGATTCATGATTAAATATGGTTACTCTGGCCTAACACAGTGAAAATGGTAACAAAAAGGTTTGGACGTTTCGCTACCTATGCAGGTGGCATCTTGGGTACATTCTGACACAACTGAGTCGAGCAATCAACCAGTTACTATTTATCACAATATCATGATAAATAGTAACTCTTTGACTGCCCACCTCAGTTGTGTCAGTATGTACTGAAGGTGCCACCTGCATAGGTAGCGAAACGTCCAAACCTGTCTGTTACCATTTTTGTGTTAAGCCAGAGTAAACATTTTAATCTTGTATCAAGAAGAAAAAAAAAAGCCCTTATAAGATAAGTTGCTTAAACATAATATAACATGGCAAGCAAACCAGTGACTACCTTATTTATTTGAAGGTAGCATTATTTTTCCGGCACTGCCTTTAAAGTTGTTTCAAGTTATTTTTAACGAGAAGAGTGACCTACAACAGGGAGCAAAATTTTCAAGACCATTGAGCCAACTGAGATGCTCCGACACGTTAGCCGTTTTTCCTAGCACGCTGGTGCAAAGCAGTGCAGCTTCGCACGAGAAATTGGTGAATTCTGAAGACATTTATTTAAAATTATTTATATTCGCAAAACTCTAATAGTTTGATCCGCAAGAGTGTGCTGCGAGTCGAATTGAATATCAAACACTATTCATGTAATATTTTTATAATTTTTTGTTTACTGTCAGGTGCCTGTTTTCATACATTGAAATTAAAAATGCAGCTATTAGCTCTGCACAACAATCAGGTTTAGTCCGAATTTCGCTATTCTCGCTTTGCACTCGTTTGTTGGGCATCTGAAAATGCCCAACACCACCTATTCTGTGTCTTGCTGTGTTTCCCCAGCCGTCTTTAGTAGACAATATATTTTTGAGGTGCATTTTTTTTTTGGTTTGTAATAACATCTTCTAAGACCAAACGAGGAACTTTGGCTTTAACCCCTTAAGTGCCACATTTTTTCTCCCAAAAGTACCCTAAAAGTGCCATATTTTTTTTTTATTTTGAATTTTTATTTTTTTAGTATTACACATATAATTTGAAAAGTTTATTACAAAAAACTCAGCGGCGGCGAAAAAAATATTTCCCAACTAGTACGAGTGCTGCCATCTATGATCAGCGCCGCAAAACTACACAGATGAGCCTTGCTCGTCCGTGGAATTGAGGGTTACCGAAAAAACCACTGGACGAGCTGAGCTCATCCATGGCATTTTAGCCCAAAAATGGCCGACGAGCTTAGCTCATCCAAGGCACTTAAGGGGTTAATTCCACTTTTCGTCGGTGCCAAGTAATCCTTGCGTGCTTGTGCCCTCTGCCCTGCAGCGTGAAGAAGGAAGTTCTGCCTGTGGTCCAGGCCTTGTGTCAGGACCTGGACGCAAAAGTGCGTGCCGCCATGTGCCTTCACCTCGATGCACTCACCAGGGCCATTGGGTGAGGCTGCATCTCTCACTCTCTCTCACCCACGGTGGGTACCTAGAGGTGCTGATAAGCTAATAAAGGCCCACTGATGAGCAAACTTTATAAATTTTTACCTAAAAATTATATTTTATTCCACAAATAAATCAAGACAGGGATGCTTTCAGCTTAGCTTTCAAGAAATTATTGGAGTTCCGAATTGCAACATAATCACAAGCAAACATCGGTACTTCGTTAGCATTAATCGGCCCAATATTGGCAATATATTGGGGTTGACAGGTCCAATATTATGGCCATCGAATAAATTTAGAGAGGAAAGCTTTGTTTTAATAAATTATGTACAATGAAAAGTTTTTGCTGATGTTAGTGATTTAGAGTAAATTAGTAATGGCACCCTTTCGCTGCAAATGCAAGAACAATTACTCGTTAAACTCAGAATTTTACTGATTACACAGGATGCCCTAAAGATGCTTCATCACACTTTTTCGTGCTAGTGATGTGATGGACTTCACATCTGTGCTGACAAGATATTCACCTCTGTTTTCTTTATCTTTTATGCTTGAGTGTTCGTTAAAGGCCTATTCACACACTTGCGTTTGCTTAGGGCCGAGCTCTTAGTCTTTCCCGATGAGGGAACACACCAGCACGCTTGCACCATCTACGAGGTGACCCTGGAACTACATTTGACTAGAGCAAAGATTTTTCTGTATTTGCGAGGCTAAATGTAATAACAATAATAATAATGTATTTATTTCCCATTCTGGTTGATACAAAAAGGGAGGACGTCGGGACAAAAAGCTGCGGTTGCAGCTTGACGAGGTCCTGGCGCCCTAACACACTTTGGCGGGAAAGCAGCATTGGAAACACAACGAAAACACAAAAATGGACACTAAAACACAATAACGACTATTCACATTGTTGCACTCAGCTTGAATGCATCAAAACAAATATTTTTATATTTTATAAAATAGAAAAAAGTTTCACCACAGATACAAAAACTCCAGGCACAAGAGGCAAAAATTATGCTGTCTGTAATATGATTTTTGCCAACATCCGATTTGATGTCCCATAGATGCTGATACCATTGGCTTCGAGTTTATTAAGTAAAGATGGTAATGCGTATTTTAATGATGTAAAGCCGTAATTCGTACGAGGTATTGAAACGCTCCAAATTTCGCCGTGACGTGCGACATATTTATGGTCTAGTTTTGCTAAGCCCGACAGTGCGAAAAGGAAAGAAATATTATGTTTTAATGCCATATTATACATCACCAGCAGGCGAAATTGGTACAAGTGGTCAATAGGAATGACGTGTTTAAGAAAAAGCTCCCGAGAAGGGTGCAAGAAGGGTACATTTGCGATGATTCGAAGAACCCTCTTTTGGGTTAGCAGTAGTTTAGTTATATTTTGTATCGTTGTTTGGCCCCAAACTAAATGGCAATACACGTAGTGAGTGTAAATCAAAGAATAATATAAAAGTAATTTAACACCTGTTGGAAAGACATCCCGATTCTTACAAAGGAGACCAATAGATTTACGAACTTTTTGATGTATATAATCAACGTGCTCATTCCATGACAACGATTCAGTGAAATAAACGCCCAATATTTTTACCGACTTTACCACTTGAAGTGTTGAAGACCCTAAAGTTATTTGAAGCAAATTAGGTACTTGTCTATTTCGTGGTCGAAATAACACACATTTAGTTTTTTCCGCGTTTATTTTTAGCCCGTTTACTTTCGTCCACAAGTCGATGTTTGAAAGGACTCTTATTGCCGTGCTCTCTATTTCATCCGCTGTGTGGCCCTTAATAAAAATAGTTGTGTCGTCAGCATAAGAAACAAGGTTTGCCTGTGGTACACTATTTTCAATATCATTAATAAAAATAATAAATAAGAGTGGCCCGAGCACACTACCCTGAGGTACTCCGGTTTCAATTTTTTGAGTGGTTGAAATATAGTTGTTAATGGTAACGAATTGTGTACGGTACTGCAGGTAAGATCTAAATAAATTCAGAGCAGTTCCACGAATACCATAGCGCTCTAACTTGTCCAGCAATATTGTGTGATTAATTAAGTCAAACGCTTTCGAAAAATCGATATATATACCCAAAATAAGTTCCTTGTTTTCAAAGCTTTCAATGATCTGCTGTTTTTGTACTAAGAGCGCTGATTCTGTTGACCGGTGCTTACGAAAGCCATGCTGACTATTAGAAATGACAGAATGTCTCTCTAGGTAGGAATAAAGTCTCTGATGAATTATTTTCTCAAGACCCTTTGAGAATATGGATAACAATGAAATAGGTCTATAATTTTTAAACACATTTTTATCGCCACCTTTATACAAAGTGACCACCTTAGCGCGCTGCATTGCTTTAGGAAAAACACCGGAAGAAAGCGATAGATTAAATATATACGTTAACACAGGTGTCACAATATCGACGACATACTTAATCGGTTTGATATTGAAATCATTTACGTCCTGACTTTTGCAGTTTTTTAGGTTTTTAAAAACCGCGAGAACTTCACACTCATCTGTCGGACTCATAAAAAAAGAATTTTCGAAATTACGATGGATATAACCACAAGCATCGGGTCCACCTTGAGGCAGATCTACATCACTTGATTGGTTCACTAGGTAACTGTTAAAAGCATTCGCCAGAGCGCAGCCACACAGTTGAACATCTCCCCAGATTATTTTATCTAATGTTTGACATTCACGGTTTGGATGCAATACATTGTTTACCCTTTCCCAAAGAACACGTGAATCTTTGTTATCATCTCTAGTGAATAGACTTGTAAAGTATTCAGATTTCGCACGCCTTTGTAAACCAGTTAATTTATTACGATACCTCTTGAAAGCTTTGAGGTCTTCGGAGTCCCTTGTTTTTAAGAAGCGCTGGTACATGTTGTTTTTCTCACGTATTTTATGCAATAACTCCCTCGTCATCCAAGGCTTACGTATTTTTTTACACAAGTTGACGGTTCTGTAAGGAAAGCACTCATCGTACAATTTTTTAAATGTTTGTAAAAAATATTCATATGCACGGTTGACATCTGTCTCCGAGTAAAGGGTGTCCCAATTTACTGAGGATAAAACATCTCTAAAGACCGCCATTGTTGCGTCTGTAACATTTTGCCTTTTAAAAGTTTTTCGTTTTGCTCTGTTTTTTGTTTTGTGTAACTTTTTTATTAACATAAATATTGGTAGGTGATCGCTAATATCGGCGCCAATGACATCAGCAGCTATGGAAGAGACATCATAATTCGTAACAAAGAAATCAATTAAGGTAGAGGTGGAGTCCGTAATTCTCGTCGCTTCAGTCGCAATATAGTCAAACCCATTTACTTCAATGACCTGTACTAAGTCCCGTTGCGCTGTTGTGTTTACGAGCATGTTGATGTTAAAATCCCCACCAAGAAAAAGAACATATCGGTTCTCTGCTACAAAGTTACAAAAAGTGTCAAAGAAGGAAACAAACTTAGATACATCTCCAGATGGGGGCCGATACACAACAGCGAAAACATAATCCTTGTGGGAGACACACAAGAACTCAAAGTCATCCGTAATTTGAGTGAACTCAGATATAGGTTCGCACTCCAAGCCATTATGTATGAGCAGAGACACCCCACCACCTCTTCTTTGTTCCCTACAAAGCGAATAATGCTTATATTGCGGCAGACTAAAAACATCCGAGTCGTCTTTATACCACGTCTCTGACAACATGATAACATGAAAAGAAAAGCCGAGACAATCAAATAGTGTATCAAGCTCGTCAAGTTTTGATTTCGCGGATCGTACATTCAAGTGAAAGAAAGAAAAATCAACAGGTTGCTCCGCTGCGGCAAAGTTCGCAAAGTCATTGGGCGAGATAACCATCATAAACTAAAAAACAAAGTATGCTCACTCGAAAGAGCTAACGACCAAGAGCACGCAAGTCATCTTCACTCGAGATAACATGTGCTGGCATCCTTTCCCCCTGTCGTACAAGCACTTTTCCATTTTTGTACCAGACAAACCTATAGTGGCTTACTTTCGCCCACTCCCTCGCCTGCCACAGCAAGGTCCTTCCCTGTTTGGTCATGTTCTTTGTGATGTACAAGTGACCAGAGCCAGACGAGTGGTTTAGAACTCTCTTTTTGCTCAGCCAAGCGTCTCTGGTTTCTTGCCTTGCGAAGCTCACTATGATACCTCTCGTCTTCCCTGGCTTTGAAGGTAACCTGTGCACCGCAGACACCTCTTCAGTTTTTAGTTCCTCGACCCCGAGTTTCGAAGCCACACTCTTTACGACGCTTAAGAGGTCTTCCCCTTCCGTCTCGAGGACACCATGTATCTCAATGTTTTTTCGTCGGCTACGCCACTCAAGCTCATTTAGTTCCGACCTCAGCTCCCGCACTTCGTTCGCTGCGTCTGCTCTTTCTATTTTGTCAACCCGCTTTTTTAGGTCCTTGATATCATTCTCTTGTTCATTAAGACGATGCAAAATGTCGTCGTACTGGTCAGAGATCATCTGAACCGTATGTTTGATACCCTGGACTGTTTCCTTCAACAACAGCAAGGTGTCAAGTTTCCGGTTCATATCCATAAGCAAGATTGCCACGTTCATGCTTGTCCCCGTATTTTCACGCGCACCCCCTGACCTCGTTGTTGGTGACATGCAGTTGGGACATTTCCAGCTCTTTTTCAGGTCCTCCCCCTTCTCTTTAAACACCACTGCCGTGACACCTGAGCACGCACCCAAATGAAATGAATTATTGCATTCACAACATGACAAGAAACAACCCTCCCCGGGTAACTCAGCGTGACATTCATTGCAATTGTTCATGTTCTTTGTTCTAAATGAAGGTGGCACAGATCTAAAAAGTACTACCAGAGAGCACCTTGGCGACAGCGGCAGAAACCTCCCGTAGGAAAGTACATAGAAAAACGGACCAACCTGTAGAAGTATGTTGGAAGAAAAAACTGGAGTCAGCGTTGTGTTCGGCCGTCAGCCGCTGCCGCCAAAGTGTGAATGAACACGAAGCGCGCTGCTGGTTGCAGCCAGGGCGTTGTTGTAGATGCCGCTGTCGTCGTCCAATAGCGTCCGTGATAGCGGCATGAAACTCGGTCGCTGAAGATAGTACCGGCCCGAGCGCTCCCCAGATTATCTGTAGAAGTACGTTGGAAGAAAAAACTGGAGTCAGCGTTGTGTTGGCCGTCAGCCGCTGCCGCCAAAGTGTACCTACTATCTATGAGAAAAGACCATTTATAACATTTTAAAACATTTTTTTTTCGAGCCAAGAAAGATAGAATCATGCGCGTCGAGCCAAAAAAAAAAAAAAAGAATGATGCACGAAAAAAAAAAAAAAAAAAAAGAGGAAATATACGGAATCGCCAAGTGTTCCACCTGACAGATGGTGCCATTGTATTCTCTTGAAAGAGATATTAAGTGGTTTCAAGGCACGCAATCGTAAGCAGTCGCATGTGTGCTTACCGGCCTGAAGTTGTGTCTTGTGCCCAGCTTGGAAGCCACCAAGGCGGCCATCCTGCCAGCCCTGGTGGAATTGGCGAGCGATGGCGAGTGCTCCGTGCGGCTGGCCGCCCTCAACGCCATGGTGCGCATGTTGGCGCTCCTAGACGATGGTGAGTGCGCACGACACACATTTTTTCCAGCCTGCCCTCTCGGTAAGAATGTTTGCGTGGTGTCTACCAATCGGGAAGACCTGGAATTTTCTGAGAATTTTGAAGCATCTGGAAAAGTCGGGGTAGTCGTCAAAAAAATTGGTTAAGTCAGGGAAAATTACCAACATGGGAGGCGCAGCGACGTACGACGAACCGGTGGGGTGTGGCATGGATGGCCTTTGCGCCGAGTAACAGTTGCTTGAGGCGCCGCTATGCAGCGTAAGCTTCCGCCCAATTCACCGGTTAAAATGGGGACAGCTCGAATGGACTGCAATCCCATCCTCAGTATTTTCTTCCTTTGTAACAGTTCGGGAACTTAATCGAAATATTTGACTATTACCGGGAAAAGCTGAAAATTTGAACGAAGCAATTTGGTAGGCACCCTGTAATCTAAACTTTCGCTGCGATTCTTTGTGGTGTTTTGATTGGTTCCCTGTTGGCACCTAGGTGAATGTTCAAGCTTGTTCCTCCACCTGATTGGTGGACCCAACGTCCATGCAGTTGAGTGCAGAAGCAAACTGTAATTGATAACGAATAATGGACTATGATCTTCGCAGTTTGTGACATGCTACCGCGAAAAGGTGGTTCGGCGCACTTTCCGAAAACCGTAAATGAGGTGGGGTGGAAAATCTTTCACCTTTTTACAAACTTCGGGGGACGAAGTAATCCACAAGGGGCACAAAAGTGGTATTTGGGGAGCTGAATAGACTTTTTTTGCCTGTGGTTGCTGCATGTACTTTTTCTTGATATGGTGATTGCTATTGCTGTGGTATCATTGTTGTAAAACTTAATTGTTAGTGTCATTTGTTAGACATAATCAAATTCCGCTATTTTCACTGGTTTACAAGCCTGCGAATTCCTATGACCGAGTGTCTTGTGATCTCTTATGACGAGAGAACACATTGGCGCTATCTGTCGGGCAACCTAAAACACGCAATTTCCTGACTTTTTCTCTTTGCACATCATTCTTTTTTTATTGACTCTAAACTTTTGACAATGTTATAATTTCTCATGGATACTATGCACATTTGATGCTGCAAATACAGAGAAACCTTTGTTCTAGTGAACTGCAGTTCCAGGGTCATTTCGTAGATGCCGTCAGCATTCGTTCGCTCATCGTAAGAGACTACAACAAATGGGTCATAAGCAAACGCAAGTCTCAACGGGCCTTAAAAAATCCCTGAAAAGAACAAAAAAATTTTTGTACACAGTGGTTGGGACACGCAAATCAAGAAATTAATTTTGCACGAAAAAAAATATTTTGTAGAGCAATATTGACAGCGCGAGATGCGATTTAGTTGGTAGTCACCTCCTTTCCACTTGTTTTCTCTCGGCATTTCAGGCGCGTGGAGGAGAGGTGAATCAGCTTGGCTATCGCTTTGAGATGGAGAGAGTGTATGATCATTCCGTGACGTCATGGACTTTGCGCGCAGAATTTGAAATAAATCTTGCGCAATCACTATTCTTCTAAAAAAATGTTTTTTTTTCACATAAAATTAATTTTTTGATACTTGTATCCCAACTAAACTGTTTAGAAAAAAGAAAAATTTTCTTCTTTGATTTAGGTTTTTTTTTAAAGGGTTACCCAACTGTTTTTTGAGCTACCCAGATAAATCACATTTTCTGAATACCCGGACTTCAGTCTTCACTGTATGCTATTTATTCCCTCAGAATCGCCAAAAAGATAGCTACTGAGAAAACCGTAAGTGAAGACTATGCCAAAACCAACATTCAAATTTCCGCACGCTCTCCAGTGGTGTGACGTCACAAATGGTACAGACTTTCAGGTCGTGCAGGTAGTCTCAAACAGAGTTTGTTTTTCTGTGCTTCTCAGTGAATTAGCTTCCAAGCATTCCTTTCCCACCATCAAAAGTCTTGTAATCAGTTGGGAATGTAGTTTACTGCCTACTTCATACCATTTCTGTCGTCATACTTCAGTGTTGCCAGTAGGGGCTCTCGGTTTGTGAAACGCAGTGAGAATGAAATTAAATAATTCAATAACGTTGCGAAATCTTTTTTTTTTTTTTTTTCACACAGTTTATTGGCATGTTGAGCCGATTTTGAGGCAAATTGGCAACCATAAAAATTTGCTGGAGTTCCTCTTTAAAGGGGCCCTGAGGAGATGTCTGAGATTGCCTAAATATGACTATAACTCACCCTGCTGGCTCTAAGCATCCTAGAAAATCCTAAATTATGACAATATTCGACCGATTTTCGTATTGAGGTCATCTCGGTCTATGGGAGGATCACATTCCGAAACCAGATCCGCCGTCAGCCAGTTGCAAGCGAAGGATCCTCGCGTCTCCAACCGTTGGACGTTGCGGAGTGATATCTCGAATGCACACGGCTCGTCGCCCGGACAGCGTGGACACCCAGACTTTGACGGGTTTTTTTTAGTCAGTTATACTGTCATAGCCGACAAAGTCAATCGTGGACTCGCTGATGATGATGGATCGCAAAGCATGCTTGGTAGTCACTTGCTTTGCAGGCAGAATCTGCACAAGGAAGACTGATGCACAAGGAAGACTGAATATGCTCTCGAGCAAGAGTGCTCGAGGGCATATTTTGTATACTCCGTTCATCCTTAAGCTGAGACTGCAACCAGTGCCATAAGCACGAGAGCTCAAGGTCTCTGCTTTGAAGCGTTCTTTTGCGAAACGAGCGTTCGCGCTAGAAATGCATGCTTTAAAGCCAGGAGTGCGGGCTAGCGCGTTTGTAGTGTTGGCTGCAGTCTTGGCTTAAGGGTGAACGGAGTATAGCAGACGACTGGACACATCACTCACGCAGCAGGCAAAAATAGAACTTAATGCACTGTTTTTGGAACAATTATCGCAGTATTATATTCTCTCTTCATGAAAGTTTAACATTTGTCTTATACTCCTATTTTCTCTTATCATCTGCAAAAGCATACTCACTTTGTAATAACAGCATTCGCAATCACCACGAAATGTTGCGTTTTCATTGGTCACATGTCGTTCTGGCTGCCGTAGCCTGAGATGACCTCATTGCGTTGCTATCTTTGATTGCTTTTTTAATGGGGAAATCAGCCGCGCATGTTCGTGATTTATGAATTTCTAGGGTGCTTGGAGCCCGCAGAGAGGGTTATTGCCATATTTGGGCGATCTAAGAAACCTCTTCTGGGCCCCTTTAAGTGTCTGCCTGTTGCAGAGTTGGACGTGATGGTTGTCATGCAGAGACGTGTGGGAGTACGCTGGTTCCGCTGGTGTGCAAGTACGCCGAGCGGGCGAGGGGAGCTGAAGATGCCACACTACCAGCACTAGCGTCATTGCTTGGCCGACTTTGTCTGGGACTTTCGGGTAATTTTATTCTACACCCACGACACCGCTGATTACACCCATGACACCGCCACCAGAGCCGTATATAGAGATTCCATTCATTGGGAAATATAGGAGGCAAATAAAAAGGCGCCATTGGCCAAAAGTGGGCTGGGCATGTTCCAGGGAGTCTCCACAAATCCGAATGTGGCCAACCAGAAGCCACGAATAATACTCTGTGGTGATCGCGAGAAACAAAATCCATAAGTGCATCGGAGTTACTCTCGGTGACTGAAAATATGGTGCATGTGATGTTTATGCAAAATCGTGGTGGAAGATGTATAAAGATATAGAAGATGTAAAAATCGTCCTTAACTAGCAGAGCAGAGATCAACATAATCCATTCGCCAGGTGCCGAGGTTCGGGCATCTGCTGTACGAGCGGTCAGACTCCGTCCAAAGAAAACAGAATTTCAGCAGTACATTCGTTTCTTACACCACATACTCCATATTTTCAACCATGAAGGGTTACTACATTTAACTCTTACGCACTTATTAAAACTGTTTCTCGCTACCAATGCTAGGAGATTATTTTAGGCTTCTGGTTGGCCGAGAGAGCATGTTTAGCCCTCTATCTGCGTCTGATGCACGCCCTGGCTCTGCCAGTTCCTACCATTGACCAAACTCTCCCTATATGTGGCTCTGACTGCCACGACAGATGTTGCTTTTTTGTAGTGTGTCCTCACATGGAGGAAACATACTCAACAACAAAAGCCGTCCTTCAATAAAAGTTTGGCAAAAGAAAAAAATATTTGGAAATATTCTTTCTAATATTACAATTTATGTCAGAATTTGATTTGTATACACCCCATCAATAAACTTCTGAAAGCTTTGAATATTTGCACCTGTCAAGTAATTTGCAAGCTTACAAAGCATGTACTTCTTTTGCCAGGGACTCTGACCAAGGAGCAACACAGGTGGTTTTTGGATCTGTATCGTAGGCTGGCCACTTTGGGCTTGAACAGACACAACTCGGTAAGGGCACTCCAACCTCTGGTTCAGGCTGGCATGATAAGTAGGCAGCATAGTGTTGGAAACCATTATCGAACAGAGCATAAAGGCACAAGTGAGCTGGTGCATACTGAACATTTTGAAGCAACTCGGAAAGGAAATGCGAAAGTTGACACCATCAGAAGAGAAGGAGAATGTCTCAATGAGTTGTTCTTCTCTGCTCTTGGTGTCAACATTCGTGTTTCCTCAGTGTGGGGTTGCTTCAAAATGTTTAGTGTAGTCCATTATGTTTCATGGTCATTTGTCACCAACAGCGGTTTGCTGTTAATGACAGCTTTGATGACTTGTACTGTACATTTAATAATGTCTTTAATGCTGTTGTCCCCCAGTCTTTTTGTTTACCGGCCATTTGGCAACTGTATTCCGTATCGCCGTGACAAACGGTGCAGGTTGCCCCAGACAATTCAGTCCAGAAAGAATGTCACGTGACTTCCCGTCGTTCATAGTGCTTTGTATGATTATCAGTCACGTTGCCTAAGTTGGTAGTAACTTGCCTGAAAACTAAGATGCTTCGTAATGTTTCACTAATCCCATCCTCAGATGAAATAAGGTAGTGCGAGCATTATGCACTATAATCCGAAAGGTCAACTTTGCTGTCGTCTTAACGTTTACTGGTTTTAGTGATTTCTAAAGTCTTGGTAGCAGGAGGTACTCGACACAGAAAGAAACTGGAGAAAGTGGTTCTTAATAGAATCTTGGCACATACAAAATACAAGCAGCAATCTGAACCGATCCACTGGAATGCTTCCAAGCAGCTATATACACGGGCTAAAGTGCGCCACAGACAGAAACAGAAGAAGAAAACAAAGCTAAGAGAGAAGAGAAGAAAACGACGACAGGACCTTTGGGCCCGTATACAGTCGCCCGTGAACAAGGAGCCGAGCTGGCTTCGAAACGTCGGGCACATTCAAGAAATTGGTTAGATATCGAACTTGCAAAAAACTGTCCACCAGTTCGATATAGTGGGTAATTCTATATAAAAGTTCTGATGAATCTGACAACAAACAAGCACGCCGCATTTGGAAAAGTTGTATACTCTCAAAGAAGCGTCTGTATGTCATGAGCCACGCTCACAGCGGCTATTCAGTGGCCGCTTCACCGTTTTTCAAGGTCCCACCGGCTCACCCTCTCCCCGCTTCCTCCGTAAAAGAGATTATTTTTTTCTCCTGGGCAGTCAACGCGGCCGCCCAAAAGAAGAAAAAAAAAACAGCTTTCTCTGCAAGCTGGCTTTCCCCCAACAGTTTTGCCGAGTTGGGAAAAAGCCGGCTTGCAGAGCTAAACGGCGCTCTTGGCAGTTCAATCTATCGGGAGACGCTGCAATTTTTGTTCAATGTAACCGCATTTTTCGCTATGCATTTTATTGCAGCTCCTAGTCTGTTCACAAGTAGTTTGATACAAGGGATGGTTAGAATTAATCGGGTTCGATATAATTGGGGTTGACTGTATGCACCCCTGTCGCAATAAGCACTTGCCTGCTAATTTTACAGTGATAGTTGTTATGGTCTCTTCCCATCACTGGAAACGATGTCCGCTGTCAGAATCGTTAGATGCTTGAAAAAGATTGCCGACCGCCGCACTGTTCTTGGGATTCGATCCTTGGTCCGCTGCGTGTGAAGCAGGCACGTCACTTCAGAGCTACGCCACACCTTTGAGAATCTGCTTTATTGGCATTTGATAAACTGTGCATACGAGTCTTGCGTAGCGCCCACTAGATGGCCACAGTTTCTGTGATATCACGATAGAAAATTCTTGATTGTTTCCGATTCCAAATTTAATCGGAGTTGATTGTTGAAATTAAAAGCTTCGGCTAGGTGGCGTAAGCCGCTGCCCCAATAAGTATGTTCGGCCATATCCATTCATCCCTCCGTCTGTCGTCGTATCATGCCACTTGTCCCGTCGTATTGCACCACCTGCGATGTTGCATCACTCCACCTGACCCAATGCCACCTGGAAGACAAGGCCTGCACCTTTCCCCCCCAACATCGTCGGTAGTTGATCATCGCAATGCCAGTTAGCTCGCATCAGCGAGGCTGCCAGCTGACTTTTCACGGTGTCTTGCAATGAGCGCAACGTTAGCACGCGGCGACGCCAACACAGACGCGTGGGCCGCAGTGATTCTCATCGGTCTTTAACTTGTTTGCCGCTTGGGACGGTTCGGGGATCCATCAATAACGACGTCATCGAGAGACTATGTCGTCAAGACTTCACAGTGCGTGAATGCGACGCCGATGCTCAACGACTTCGCCGTGACGTGTCGTAGCTATTGACGTGTCTGTACTGTGGATTCACACGGTACTGCTCAATTTTTAGACGTGAGAGTTGAGCGATGGACATATCGAGCACCACCCTGGACTTTTAAGCAGAGCTGGCGAACAGAGGTGCTTTTCTGCATTAGCCGCTTCTCCGAGCACACCGAAGGAAAGCAGCGAAGCTAATGCTGCACATACCAGTGCAAAGTAATTAAGCTTGCCCCGTGCACATGAGTTCAATGCAGTGAACCTCGCTCTGTGTGTGCCAGCGCAGAGCGGCGAGGCTCACCCTGCACTGCATGATTGGGGTTGGTATGCTATTGGGTGTTTGCTTTTGTTTCTATCTTCTCCACTATCATGTTTACTTGCTGTATCGTGCAGAGATAAAAGTTTCAGTTGTCTGTCAGCACTGTGTGCGTGTACAGTCGCCGACTGATTTTTCAGACTTGCAGGGACCGTAAAAATGCTTAAATAATAGAGCAGTCCAAAAAATCGGCAGATTAAAAAACTTGCCTTTATTACGTCTAAATAGGCTTAAAATAGCCATTGATAGTCCGTTGCTCAGTTTACGCCTCCGCTTGCTTTTGGCCGCTTTCTATTAGCTTGAGAATCGCAGACCTCTTTCGTAGCGTTATGGTCGAGTACTTTTCACTAGGGATGGGCGAATATTCGGTTATTACGAATAGCCAACCGAATTCTGTTCTATTCGGCATTTGTTTCGAATCGAATTTAAGTATTCAACAATGTTGAAATATTCGACAATATAGGATTATTCAACCTTTCTAAATACAGTCAAACCCGACTATATCGAGCCCGTTTACATCGAATTATTTCTTATATCAAACAATTTTTGTGCACAGTAATGTTACAGTGATATTATATAGCAAAAACTATGGTTGCATCGAACAAAAATGGCAGCCGCTACCGATATATCGAACTGCCAAGAGCGCCGTTTTGCTCTACAAGCTGGCTTTCCCCCAACGCGAGCCGCCGCATTGGGGGAAAGCCAGCTTGCAAAGCACGCTGGCTTTTTTTTTTTTTTCTTTTTTTCCGGGTTGCCGCGTCGGCCGCCTGGAAGAAAAGAAAATATCTCTTTTGCTGAAAGAGTGGAGGGAGGGTGCTCTGTGCTCCCTCTCCCACTCCGTCCGCAAAAGAGAATATTGTTTTTTTCTTCCAAATTAATGCGGCCCCCTAGAGGAAAAAAAAGAAAAAAAAAGCCAGCTTGCTTCGCTAGTTGGCTTCCCCCAACGCAGCCACCTGTTTTAGGGGAAAGCCAACTTGCAGAGCAAAAGTGGCGATCTGCAGGAGAAGGTGCTGCTGTTGGACGTGCTCCGTGCTCTCGGCATAGTTCGGCGCTAGTGCACGAATATAAAAGGCGGTGGCCTCAGCATTTTGGAGTCCGTCGATAGCGTAGAAGAATATTGTTATCGCGGATGCAATGAAGAAAAAGCAGCAGAAGATGCAAGACTACTTCATTGTGTAATATTTCAGCAGAAAGTGGATTTTTGAGATTCAAATTCATTAAAACTTTTATATCGAATTACGTGCTATATCAAACTGGTAGACTTTTTTTGCAAGTTCGATATAAACAGGTTTCATTTACTCTGGCTTGGATTTACGGCCAGGTGGTGCAAGCTTCCATCCGTTCTGTGCTACCGAACTCAATACACTTGAAATTAACAATTACAGTATATCTAATACCAAATAAGGGCAAATATAAAACTATAGTTTAAACATATCTTGTGGTATTTTTTGCTTGTACTATTCAAACTATTCGATTTGAAATTATTCGACCAAAATCACTATTCGCTTCAAATTTGATTCGGACCCAAAATCCTCTATTTGCCCATGCCTACTTTTCACGCTTCTTAGCAACACTTTGCAGCGGTGGAAGAACAGATGGGGCCAAGACGTCCAAGCCAGCATAGTCCGAAAACAATTCACCGATATGAGATGAGAGGCACGAGTCCATGACTGCAGAATGGCGAATGAATAAAGCAAAATGATAACAATGATTATGATGATGATGTGCAGCTAGAGAAAAAAGGCTGTAGCACGATGTCACATAGCGGTAGGACTTAGCAGTACTCAAGTATTGCTACCAAACCAAGCCAATTCTTGTGGAGCCAACATAGAATCTAAAATGGCGGTTTCTCGGTGGTGTTTCCCGCTTATCGCTCTTGACAATTCTGTCTGAAAAATTAAACTTTCAGACTTCAAACTGTCCGAAACACTGGTCGTGAATTCCACTATTTCCTTTTTTAGGTTCCTCTTTTAGGTCCGAAAAATCTGTCTGCGGCTGTACTTCTTCAACTTGTCTTCTGTCTTCTGACATGTTTTTTTTTTTTTTTTTTTTTACTTCAGTAACGGGGAGGCTTACTTTGTGCGCGCCGGTGCAAAGGAATGAGGCCTCTTCTACTGCATGTCTCTTTTACATATTTTCTCTCGAACCTAACAAGCGCCCAACCCCAAATCTTTTGGTGTGGGCACCTGCTCCATATTTTAAAGTAGTTTGTCTTTCTCCTTCATATTTCTCATGTCCAGCCTCAATTTGTACGCAGGTTTACGCGGAGGACTTGGAGCCAGTCCCAGAATCTTCACAGTTTGGGGCTGCGCAATGCCGCCATGCCTGCGCCCACAACTTTCCCGTGAGGATCTAGGCGCCACACTGAGCTTCTTTGCCCAGTGAATGCGAGCCTAACCTGCCTGTTTTATTTTAGGCAATGGTGCTTTACGTTGGCGTTCAGGACTTCGAATCACAGCTGCTCGGCTCCCTGGAGACTCTGTGCTCCGACCCCGAGCCGGCTGTGCGAGCAACCATGGCTGCCGGAATGCACCAGGTGTGAACATACATGCTTTCACTCCGCACGTAGCAACCCGCTCCAAACGCACTTCTTGTAAAATATTAAGAACCATGTCAGGAACAAGCCTATAAAGATACTTCCTTATACAGCATGCCCCTTTTTAATTCATACTGTTCCTTTCTTATTTAAAGAAATTACTTTTATTGTTATTGCAATCTGAATAATAAAAGTGTTAAATAAAAAGTCAAACGTTTTAGTTAATTAGTCAACTGATTGCTGCGGTATCCCTCATTGAATTGCGTTGAGCCTAAAAGCAAACAGTGAAGACGATCCCCCCTTTCTTTAAAATAGGTTGAAATTCAAAGCAAGCACTGGGCTTTCTGCCTCATTACGCTTGTTTCTCCACGCAACGTATAGGCACTGCAGGGAAGCCGACTTGTCCGCAACTTGTTTGACTTTTTTTTTTTGCTTAAAGATTTGTTTTAGTTTTATAGAAATTTGATCATGCTTACTTCTTAGCCGCACAATTCTATCAAGTATTGAAGGGTGCTTCGGAGCGAATTACTGCCGAGGCTCGCGCAGTCTGACCGTGGCTTAGTGCAGAAAAGGTGCTGTGGTAACCAAGATTTCAGTTGGACGTCAAAAGATCTCCAGGTGGTCGAAATGAATCCTCACTCCTCCACTGAAGTGTGCCAAATGCCCTTCGTTGGTGTGGCATGCAGTGGCGTAGCCAGGGGGAGGCTTATGGGGCTTGAGCCCTCCCCCCGAAATCCAGCCGACTCTATAATATGCACATTCATTTTGATCCCCCCCTCCATACCCCAAGTCATACATCCAGCCACTTCAACCCCCCCCCCCCCTTCTCCCCCTCTCTTAAAAAAAAAGAAAAAAATCCTGGGTGCATCATAGGCGACAAGTGAAAACCCCAAATTTGACTTTTGAATATTGAAGGGTGCTCTTTGGCGCGTTTGGTCCAAGTCTATCCTATGTGCAGGTGATTTCCCAACTTGAGGGGCATGGGGGCTGGCCCGGGCTGCTCCTGGGTCATCTGGTGTCGCTGCTGTGGGACGCGAGCTTGAACGTGCTCCAGGCCCTGGTGCCCAACCTTGAGGCCTGCCTAAGTGCGCTCGCAACCTCGCGCGGGCGCTGTCTTTGCCGAGGATGGTGCTGCACCGCCTGCGGTTCGGTGAGTCTCTTGGCGACTCCGACGAAATCGATGGCACCTAGCGGCTAAAACAGAAAGCTATGGCGGCAGGTTCGCCTGACCGTCTAAAGACGAAGTCATGAAAGTAGGTTCGAAAACACTTTATGAAAATCGTCAAGTTTGGACCAACCTCTCCTACAGCATGGACTGCCTCTTAATGGAAGCCCCTATCCCCAGAAATTTGCCCATTCTTTCGTCTGCACAGCCTTCATTGCATATGATGTCACGTACATCACGGTGTCACGTGACCTCTTAGTATCGCGTGACAACTTTACACTGTGGCATTGCGTCACAATACCGCGTGACATTGTGTCACATGACCCACTACTTGACATGACGTCGGGTAATCACATTGCAGTGCCGCATGGCAGAGTCGATTGACATAACGGTACGGGTTATCACCACTTGACATCCCACAACGCCGGGTCGCGCAATGGTGTGTTAGTGATGCCATCGTATCACGTGACATCGTGAAGTCACGTGACCATGTGATGCGACATCGTGGCATGCTTGAGCAGGCACACGAGCATGCACAGACCACCCCGATTCGGCACTCATAACTTTGTGCACATCATCCGCAAGCGCAGCTGGACCCATTGGCCGTGTTGGTTCTACTCCTCAGGAACAACAGCTGGTCTCTCTGCTGGACGCCTTGGAAGGCTGCGAAACTGCCCTGGGGGCAGGGCCTCGCTGGCGGTTGCACGCGTCTGTGCTGGGCGCCCTCTCCGCACTCTGCTACCCTCCCCTGCCTCGACAGCTTCACTCCCGGTTGGGATCCATGCTGCTCTCTCGCTCACGGAGCGCAGTGAGTTCTCGTTTTATTTTGGAGCCGCATGAGGGCTGGTCTCTGTAGACGAGGCGTAATTGTCGTGGGTACGCGACACCTGTCGGCACGACACTTTTGTGACATCATCTGTTGCCACTTAGGGACCACTTTCGATGCACGGCAGCGTAGTCATGGGACACAAAAACAAGAACCGAATATTTTGTTTTTGTCCAGAGGTAACTATGGTTGACTTACGTGGTAACTCTGGTTGACTTACGTGGTAACTGTAGTTGACTTACATTCAGAGGTAACTATGGTTGACATTTGCATCAATTGCATTCACAGTAACCGAAATTATGGGGACACGTGGACAACCGTAAGTCATGTTTGCCTCACAGAGCTACTTCTTGCATTGCGTGCCACATTGCACGAGGCAAACGCTTGTGCAGGTGACTTTATCGTTACTGGCAATTCAGCTGCTCTGAATGCAACCTACACGGCTGTCTCTTTCTTGTTCAGGATTGTATTTTACTTTGCATCTACAAATAAGCAAACGGAAGCAATTTTCAGAATCCCGAAGGTTACAGAGCTACTGTTGCAGAGTTCAGTCCGTTCTAAAAGGGAATAAATGTGCAATCTACGTAAATGGCATGTCGCTCCGAGGTAAGTTGTTACTCATGACCACGGTGTAAGATGTACACATGTGTGGACAGTCCGTGCGTCGCAGCTGGCTGATTAAGTCCTCTCCTTGCCTCGGTTGCAAGCATCCGGTGGCACACCAGGTGACTCTTCAACAATTGGCTAGTGGTTGCCTGTCGCAGGCCGTTTTCCAGACCCCTCTATGAAAGACATGCTTGTTTTTAAAGTTGTTTTCTGGGTGCACCAAGTCATGTAGAACTTGACACTTGCGCTATGCGTATTACTTAGACACAGCTTCATCATTGGCCATAGCTTTGTGTCTCAACGGCATCAAGAGCAGTTTTATGAATGCACTGAAGCAGAGAGGTCTCTGGCATGCTGTTCAAGCTAGAGTTTATTGGGTCGGAGTAGACACACTGAGTGGAAGGCACATGCGCAAAAGTGCCATAACAATGGTACTTTTTTTTTTTTCCTCAGTTGTGTTATCTGGCCAGTGGAGACACTGTCGGAACAGGCTACTGGAACGCGCGGCAATAAGTCTTTATCTGGTCAATCGCGTCACATAATTCACTGTGCTGTGTGTCCACACCTAAAGAGTGTCTTACGCTGTGCTCCTGACCAGGGTGCCCTGCCCTGCCGGCTGGCAGCCTCGCAGAGCCTCCTGGTGTGTTTGCGCCACTCTTCCTGCGAGGCGGACCGGGGACATTTGCTCCAAAGCATCCTGCAAGGTATGTCTCCAGTCCTTCTTCCAATTTAGTATAACAGAAAGAAAAGAGAGGTTGGATTGCCAACTGCCCAAAAGAGCCTTTTGCCAGGGGTCCTTCTTCAACCTTTTTTAGTTCGCGACCTTCTAGAGTAGCAGTTCTTACAAAGAGCATAGATATTTGGATGCCTCAGACAAAGAGTGTTTAGTGACACAGTGTACCCTAGTTTGTATTGATTTAGATTTTGCACTTTTACAAATTGACTGTTCCTACAACTTCTATACTATCTGCCACGACAGTGTATTTACATTTTTATATTTACAGCGGAGCTGTTAAGGGCTAGTTTCCCCAGGATCGTGTCCCCCGCAAAGAAATGAAGACACCAAACTCTGGACACCTACCGCCATCTGTGAGCGACGGCAGCAAATGACGTATCCGGTTGCCGTTTTCGCTTATAGATGGTGGCAGCCTTTACACTCTGGCTTGCGGACTTGCGGCCGGCCATTACTTTCTATTGTACAGCTCTGCTGGTCTTCCTTCTTCACCAGAGTGGAAAGGCTCAAGTTTTTTTTATTTACCTGGCCGTTTTATCAAAAAGTAGAAAGCTCATTTCGCTTCATTACAGTCATTGTTGGCCCAGATTATAATACGTCCAGCAAAACTGTTTCACCAACCCTCGTACCAAGCACCGCCCAAGGTCCGTACAGCACATTGACATCTGAATAGCTGCAGGGCACAGCAATTTTCGAGCATCTTATCATCTCTCCATAGCCAATAAGATTGCTACGTTAGCTGATAAGAATACCAAAGAGCAAATGGCGAAGCAAGAAGCATAAATGTAGTCAATCCCTGGATCTCTGTCGCTGACTCGAGACTTTTCCAAAAAAAGGCTTCTGGCCGGTTATATTTTTAGCATTTGTGCTCATGGCCCTTAATTTGCTCGCTTCGGGAAGCGACGAACTTGCACGTGCTGGGCTGTGGAAATTGCGCACTGGGCTGTGGATTTGTAACCTTTGGAAGGAATGGTATATAGGTCCCTGGATATTCGGTGGCTGGTGGGTTGCTGCAAGAGCCGGGGTCGCATTCTTGCAGAGCTGGGCTCTGGTCGAAGCTGTCGCAGCCGAATGCAGTTTGTGCGCCTGTGCGGTCAAGCGGTGCAGGTCCTACCCGAGGCGCTGTTCAAGAACCACTTCTTGGAAGCCTTGCTCAAGCTCTCTGGTGAGCTGCGGCCGTCTTTGACAGCATGGCAGCTGGCAACCTGAGTTGATGCTAGCATGATCAGACTGTGCTTGGTAGCGTATCTTTCTTTTTTGTTTTAGGCAGTATTACATAACGAAGAGTTAGTTGATCGGTTTGGGAGCGTGAGTAGCATTTATGCATTTACAATATCTCACATTCATTGAGCACGCAAGGCTAGAGATTGGAGCTGTCTATAAGAGGTTGTCTGGGATAAAGCAAGGAGTTTGTGGCAATTGGACAGCAACCCTGCAGTTGCGTTATTTGTTTCTAATAGTCGAGTTTGAGACCGTCATTTCTGGACACTACCCAGAAAAAACAATTTCTGCAAAAAAAAGTTGATTTTGAAAAATGGCATATTTACATCCACCAACATCTAGAGAGTATTCCCAGGAAGTTTCATTAGTTTACACTGCATAGTTAATTTTTTATAAATTATTTTCGGTCCACCGATGCTAAAGAAAAGGTAGAGGTTGGAGCACTTTGAACGCATTTTTCTCCATTCCACTTTTTGGCATAAATTTCACTCTAGGAAAACTATCGTTTTGTTATTACGCAACTTGGACTAATTTTTATGAGTGTTTCTGGGTTGAAATTTTAAGGGGAAGATAACTATGAGCTTGTATTTTTAATTTTTATCATTTGTCATGCTCAAGAACTAAAAGTTTGGACAAAGGGTGGAAACCTAAAAAACTGTATTTGTGTTTATGTGGCTTTTTTGTCGTAAAAGATGTTATAACATAGAAATATAGCTCCATAGTTATCTGCTCTGAACTGTCCTAATGGAATGTAACACATGAAAACAACAGATTTATAAGTAATTTCAAAACGATAGTTTTCCTAAACAGACATGCCCCCTTTCGTCTTTGAACGTTTGCAATTGTTTTTGTTCTTCACCCAGGTTAACAAAAATTGGCAGAAATGTTCTCAACATCAACGGAAACAAGCCCTGTAAATATAACTTAAATCAGACAAGTGGTTCAAAAATTTACTTTTTTGGGTAGTGTCCCCCCTTAAGCACATGTAGCTAATTTACAAAAAATAAGGGTTTGAACTTCATCTTAAATTTTCACTTTAAAGCATAGATTTTGAAGAGCCAAATGTACCTTTTCATGGGCTTCGTGTCATTGCAGTCATTGACAGTGAGAGAATTTGGTAGCATGACAGAGAGCGACAGATGTACGAGTTAATAGCATGCATTGCTCTACTCACAAACCTCGCATTCAATTCGAGACCTACAGGGCCGAGTGCAAGGGCGAAAACAATCTCCATATAACGACATGGGTATCAACTGTTCCCCTTGACACAATGAAATGAGGTTTTTCATGTCAGAAAAACTAGCCCCCATGTCGTACAGCAATTTCTAAATCAAGCACACTTTTTTTTTGCATATGCCGTAAGACACCGAGCAGGTGCCGAAATAAAATTAGAAAATTATATTGAAAAATTGGGGGATGGGCGCTTATTAGATCCGAGAACCGAAATGCAGAAGGTGCATGTGATAGGAAGCTTCACTGCTGGTTCACTGGCACGTGCGCATCGAGCTTCACTACTTTACACCAGCACATATGTGCGTGCATCAGGCTTCACTGCTTTGCACCGACGCGTTGGGAGAAGCGGCCGACACGGGTGAGCATCTTGGCTAGCTAGGTAGGCTGAGAAGTATGGAACGGGTACCTAATATGTCGTTTGCTTATTTTTAAAATATTTCAAAAGCAGCTGTTGGGTGCTTATTGTGACGTGGCCTCATGCCTGGTGTTTTACAGTATGGTCACTGAGAGCTTAAGAAACTCGTACGTTCCTGTTTCGTCTTTTGTTCTTGGGCATTCTTATCACTTCTATTTTGGTCCGACGCAGAAATAGTGTAGCACACTTTATGAAGCACATTGATTTATCCTAGACCTATCGATCTGTGGGCTCAAAATTAATGTCTGCATGCCTCCAACCTAGCATATTTTTCTCTCCAAGTATTCTTTTCGAGACGCATTACTGCTACGATTGGCACCCCGGCCTCACACCCTTGGCCACTGCTTTGAACTGACCTTAAATTAACCAGCATTTTTTTTTATTCGAAACTAGCCATTTTTAATTAATTTATTGCTAATTTTTAGATCTCGGTATTCTCCAAAAAGCGCAAGGTTGAACGACAGATTCACCTTCCCGGAACAACGAAGGAGCGAACCGATACGGAAGTTCCTAAACAGAACTTTCCACGTGCCGTCAATGGCGGTTGTTACGAGACTAAATGTTGCTTTACCCATAAAATCAAACCCGCAGCTCAGTCGGGAGAGGTAGGGAGCAAATGGAAACCTGCATGGGAGTGCCCCCCAGTATGAAGGGTTAAGCCGGTTAAGCTCTCGGCAACTGTAGTGTGTTGGGGATGGATGAGAGCGTCGTGGTGAGCGTGCAGACGTGCGGTTGTTTCAGGGGACCCCGTGGCCAATGTGCGCCTGCTGGTGTGCGGCTGCTTGCCCGGCGTCAAGGGGCTGCTGCGGCTACCCGAGGACGGGGCTGCCCTCGCAAGCCTCGAGGCTGCCGTCACACGACGCCTGACATCTGAAACGGACCGGGACGTGCTCGCCGCGCTGCAGCGCGTGAGTCTGAAGGCTGGTTGGGAATTCGCTACGAATTCCTGTGTCACGGGGAAGGATACAGCGATTTGTGGACGAAGCAAATTCGCGTTTTACGGTGCGAACGACCCGCGGAAACCCACCGAGAACTCGTATCTCACGGGAACAAACACCGCAAATTGCAAACTCAGCAGAATCGAATTTCAGGATGCAATATACACGCGCGACCTACTCGCGTGGAATCGAAATCGCGCTCGCAGATCGCAGACAAAAACTTGGGGATCCGCTACAAACTTTATGTCGCGGGAACGGATACCGGAAATTGCGGATGCAACTGATTCACATTTCACGGTGCAACATACATGCAAGAACAACTCGCGTGTTATTGGGGCCAATATCGCGCAATCAGATCGCGGTCAAAAATGCGGGAACTCGCTATGAATTCGCTTGTCACACGTGCCAGTACAGCAAATTGTGTGGTTGATGCGATTCCCGTCGTACATCCTGTGTCTTCCGACGGGGATCGAGGGGTGGGCAATGTTTCGGAATTTGTATGTTGCAGACATTTAGCCAGAAAAACGGGATGGGCGATCTCTCGGGAGCGTTCGTTTTCTTGGAACTTTACGGTAGATGAACTTTTGGAAATGTTTTAAAGGAGCATTTCTCATAGATTGTATAGATACGTTTGATTTCACAAATACCGCAAAGCCTTCGCTCTAGTGAAATGCAGTTTCAGGGTTACCTTGTAGATGGCACCGGCGTGCCAGTGTGTTCTCTTGTCGTTAGAGATCTAAACAACTCGGTCCTAAGCAAACGTAAATGTGGGAACAAACTTTTACCCCCAACCCCTTCCCCTCTCTAGGAGGGAACCTACGGCCACTGAATATTTTTTGAAGAGCGGTAGTAAACTCCACCATACAGGATGTTTCCAAGCGCAATTCAAACGTAAAAAAATTTGTATTAAGAAAAAAATGAACCGAGTGAAATCGGACTTTTTTAAAGGTGTCTTTAGGTAGCGTATTTATCCTACACAAATTCAATGAGTCCAGGTTTCAGGGAAAAAAAAAATTGAGCCCAGAAAAAACCTGTCCCTTCCCTATGCAGAGATTGAAAACGGCAAAATCGTCTGGTTACTGCATATAACACAACATGAACATGAAAGCTTCTTTGAAGATAATAGAAACAATGGGAAGAATACAAAAACACGATTGTTCTTCCCATAATTTATATTAATGCGAAAGCATTACCTTTCTCGTGGAGTGAGCTGACGTTATCAGTTTGAAGCACAAAAACGGCACCCATTTCCTTTGGTTCCATTGGCTGGCGCGCGTCGACGAGGCTCCCATGGGTCGCTGTGTGTCCATCAGCGTGCCGTTAACACGCAGCGTCCAAGGTCACCGTGCTCAGGGGCGCACAAGCTCTGGCCGGCGACGAAAAGTACACAGCAGACGAAAAAGGAAGCGGATGAGCGGCTTGCTTGCTTTCGCATTCACAACTCATAAGAAATGCTTAGGTGTACCTCAATCTTTTTTTATCCTTATCAGCTTGCTCTCCATTCCAAGTACTTCTTTGAGGTGAACACGGAAAAGCAGATCCAGGCGTATGTGATGCCATCCTAGAGTAGCAGCGTAAACCAAACTTTTTTTCTGTTTTCCAATTTCTGCATAGGAACAAACGGAGTTTTTTTTGCACCTAAATTTGGTTTTTTGAGACCTATACTCATGAAGTTTGGGTACAATAGACGCACCACCTAAAGGCACCTTGCGAAAAGTTTCAGTGCACCCCGTTTATTGGTTGATTTGTACAAAAATATTTTTGTACCCAAATAGCATTCAAAATGCATTCTGTATAAAGGGTGTTTTCAATCCGCACGCTCTCTCGAAAATTGGCCTGAAAGATTGACGCCTGCCGTTTTTCCCAAATCCTGAATATTCATCGAAGCTGTACTTTAGTGATGGGTTTTACCTCAGGAGAGCAAAGGTCGCATCTGATCCAAAGCAGGGGACTGCATCGTCTGCTTACTGCGCCTAACGGGAGATGCGCCATGAGCACGATCCTGGCTAACTCAATCGTCAGTGGCGACACCTACCGTTGACCCTGGCATCTACGTTGGTTTCATTTTGTGTAGAAAAACATCTATGCCTCGATACTTCACAAGAAAAATTACAGGAGGACTCTTAAGCTTCGCCTTTAAGATTGGAATGCGATAGCTAAACATATAAACCTCTGCTCTTTCCCCAACCTGCACAAGCATGTCTGCATGGGCTAATCAATAGCTTGGACAGCTCGCAACTGAAAGGTCGTAGGTTTGAATCCCGCCTCTGCCTAAAATTCTTCAAGTTTTTTCTTTAAGGCAAATGAAATATTTTATTAAGTGAAATCATCACTTTCATTCCACGCATGATGTCACGTTTCACGCGAGCATTGTGGGTTTTTTGAAATTCCCGCGCAAGGTCATGTGGCTGTGACGTTATGACCCTGTCAACCGATCAAGGTTTTCCGGACACCAACGCCGGCTTTTGTGCAACGCAACCTCCTTAAAGCTTTCGCTTTAATATGCATCTCTAAAATACAGCTTTGATAAAAATTTTAAATAACTACATGCAGGTGCCAATTTCAGTGCGAGCCTGGGGATTGAAAACAACCTGTTATATAAATGAAGGACGACAACCACACCCAAATCCCAAAATCGTATTAGTATATGGATGTAGTGAAGTCAGGTTGTGGTACATCATAGTACTAATAGTAATGTGATAGAATGGCGGGACATTGATTGTATATGCGAGCTTAATGGAAAATACTAAGGAACTAATGTGTTTTTGTGATATAGCTTCTAATATTGAACTAATGGCAAATTCCACTCGTCGTTTTGCCGCGCTCTGTGATTGGCTTTTTTGGAGCACGCTTCCGCCACCGGTCGTCTGGGATCAACCTGGATGTCTTTCGCTCGTCGTTTTGGAGCAGCACCGGCTCCGGACCTCGGTTAGGAGCGCCAAGATCTTGACCTGCCAATTTTCCCGGAGTCGAGCTAAAGTTGATCTTTGGGGACACGTGACTTGCTGCATCGCCGAGTATAACGGGAATGGCAGGCAACCGACACCGGCTCGGAGCATGCAGGCGCTTTCCGGAAATTACGCCCAACGCGGTGGGGAATGCCGGGAAGATGGTCGGCCACTCCCAGAGGCTTGTCGTCTTCCGCTGGTAGTCTGAGGCGCAGTGCCTCCGCGCAGACCGCATGCTTCATAGTGGATTTAAGCCAGTGATCCAAAACGACCAGTGGAATTCGCCATAAGTAGTAGTATCAAGTTAATACAAAGCTTTCAGCGGTAACTGAATGTGGCTCTCAATTGCTTACAGTTGCTCTAACCGCAGTAAATGTAGGACAGGCTTACCAGACGACTGGCTGCCATTAACAGCAGATTTGTTACGGCCATGTTAAAGGGACACTGACACCCCCCAAAAAAAAAAAATTTTATTTTTTGCCAGGCGCTTTATTATGGTGTCGGAGGACTACCCAATTAATATTTTGCAACAGAGTAGCGTATTTTTTTAATAAAGCCAAAAGACACAACTCCTTGAAACCGAAACCGAAACCCGACGGAGGTCGGAGAAGTGGAGAGAAGAGAGTGAGTGGCGGAAGTCACGTGGCTACACCCTACCGTGCGTTTTTTTTCTCCTCTCCGGTAGCAGACGACAGGACATGCGGCGTGCGATGGGGCGTGCGGGAACTGCTCGCCGTGCGATTTTTTTGCAGTTATGTTTGTTCCGCTCGTTGTTCTGTACTCCAAGATGAGTTGTTTTGTACATTGAGGAGTTGGAGATGAGTAGTGAGTGCCCGTGGTGAATTTCCATGATCGGCTCCGAAAAGAATACACCCAAGATGTTGCATGAAGAGCTGGCTCACATTTCCTGAATCCGAAAAAAAGTGGCATTGTGCGACAGAGTTTCCGAAAGATCAACGGGATCGGGACCAACGGCTGGCTGCAATTCCTGTAGAACATATACGGGCACCTCGGAAAGCGGACGTTACCTGATTTATATGCTCCTTGCATTTTGTGGAAAGTGATTACATTGAGCTCGCAGGTGTCAAAACGGAAACCCCCTTCCATTTAAATCAGCGAAGTATCGTCCACAACATTAGTTTGTTATTTTTTTGTTTGTTTCTTCAGTGATGATTGTAAAAAAAAATATATATATGTAAACATCGGAAAATGTTTGAAGAAAAACAAAATTAAGTTTCCTGGGGGATCGAACCCGGTCCTACCGCGTGTGAACCGGACGTCTTTCCCACTGAGATACTGGCGCATCGCTTTTCTGGTGGATCTCTTTCCTTAGTAACAATTCAGCCGGTAAACTGTAAGTTGGAAAGTTTGCTGTCGATTTTTCTCTAGCAAAAGCACTCCTGGGTCGAAGTCGGGAAGCACCACGCTTTGGGGACATTCGCACCTAGTAAAGAAATCGTACGCGTGCATATTGAACTCGAAGTAGACACGTCGTGCTTGACGTTTGCGCGAGCGATGTCTTCAGCCACGAGAAGGGATCGACGGCTCGGCGACGTCTTGGTGCAAATCGGCTTGGTGGCCGGGCGTGTCGTACGGGATGAATACCAATTCTTTTGATCAGTCCCAAATTTCTCTTTTAACGGTAGACAGAATTCGCCGGTACTGCGAGCGACAGTTCTGAAATAGTGGTCCCACGCCCGTCGTCCGCTGCCATCGCCGTCCCCGCGAGTCCCACGATACGCGAAACGACGAACGCACAGAATGCTTCGGGTTCACTGTGCAACTTTTTCTTTTCAATCAACGTATTTGCAGCTTTTTAACAGCCACAAAAAATGGGTTTCATATTTTTTTCTATTTTTAATAATGAGTGTGTGCCTTCAGTGACCCACGACTTTGATTAAATTTGGTGGTCGCATCGATACCTTAGAAAACGGCCCGTGACCGCGAAAAAGAGAGTGAGCGAGACTCGAACCGGCCAGTTCTTGATCGGCGGTTTTCGGGTGGAAAGAAACCAAATTTCGAGCCGCAAATTCTGTTCTGGGTAGTTGAGCTCTCATATGTCACGTAAAACTAAAAACCTCAGCGAGCATAAATACCCTGTCAGTGTCCCTTTAAGTCAGCGAACCAGATGAGCAGCTTTGTTTGGGCTGCAGCAGGTCTTGCGATATATGTTAGTGCCTGGTTAAAATCGAGTGATTCTAATTAACTTTGTGGTTACAATCTTGTTTTCTCTGTAGGCTATTGACGCCCTTGACCAGACGGAAGTGGCCAGTGGACCAGAAACTCTTCAAAGTGTGCCGTCTACGCCCGTCAAGAACTATGTGAGCTATCCAACCTTGCAATGTCCTTCTGAAGTTGTCGTGCGATTGTGGGAACCTGGACGTCTTGACTCCCATTTTATGTGGAATTACCTCTCTGTGAGTGACATTGAGTGAAATTTACCAGCAAACAAGTTTATATTCTGTTTGATGAGGTTTAATTATATCAGCATGTTATGTTATGCAAGATTTGGGAATTTTTCAGGAAACCTAACTTTCAAACCGATCAAGTGTGCAATTCCTTTCAACTTGCTCTTGGTGAAATGAGAAGGTTGCAATAAAAATGTTCCTATAAAAAGTTATTGATTTTTCCTAAAACTATCTATCACTGAATGGTGAATATTTGCCCAAAAATTAAGAATCGGAGAACTATTATTTCATATTTATTTTCCAAGAACAGGCTTTATTTTACAGCCATGATGAATCTGGTTGCAAATGGTTGACTGATGGGCCAGACAAAAAGTGGTTTCGTTTCTGGAACAACCTCTCTTGCGCTGTGTAACGGACCTGTAAAAGCTGCTCTTAATAAACTACCCTAGTTTACAGTTACCGTAAAATCCTGTAAGGACTCCTACCCATTTTGAAGAGGTAAATGGTAAAAAAATATTGGGTGGGTGATCTTTGGGAATGAGACAGCAAAAGTTGATAAAAAACGACCGATAATCACTTGCAGAGGCACAGATTAGCATTGCACCTCGCGATAAGCACGCAGGAACTCGCGAGTTCCCGTGTCATGGGAACTGGTACCGCAGAACATGAACGCAGCATATTTGCTTTTTACAGTGCACTAAGTACGCAGGAACTTGCTACAAACTCGCATGTCGCGGGAACCGATGTCGCAGATCACGGACGCAGCAGATTCGCGTTCCATGGTGTGATAAGCATGCAGGAACCTGCTACGAACTCTTATGTCACGGTAACCCATATCGCGCGTGTGGTTGATGTGATTCGAGTCAGACACCGTGTTATGAGCGACGGGAATCAGGGGTGAACAATGGTTTGGGATTTTTAGCCTATGGATATTTGGCCAGAAAAACGGGATGGGCAATTTCTCGAGGGAGGGCACCCTTACGGGATTTTACGGTAACTACTTGAACCGAAATGTAATTAATTAACTTACAAATAGTACATGTCAAATTACATTTAGAGTTACTCGGGAAGAAGACTAAGCTTGGAATTGTTGTTACTTTTAAGATATGTGACTTCAAGGTGAAATCTGATTGCTTAGGAATGGTTTATGTTTCGATGTAAAAAGGATGTTGGCATAGTTTTGCTTCGATTCATGCAAAGTTGATATTGAAAGTACCATAAAGTCGACAAAAAAAAAGTTTTTTTATTTAATAGTTTGCACCCAGTGCATATTACTGTAAAACAATCCCCCTACACAACAGACCTTGAAAACTGTGTTTTATTAGGGCACAATGAAGCTTATATCAGTCATCAATTATTATTAACACAATCAGTAATTCACACGATCTCTAATCAGTTGTTAAGCTTCATTGTAAATTAGGAAGTGTTTAATTACTCAAACTGAAATTAATTACAGTAAATTAAACACTTCTTATTAGTTAGTGTACAATTCTGGTGGTGTGTTTCTGTCACAGCTGCGGGGTGCCTACCCCTGGAGGGAATCTCGCCTTCCAAAGGCTGCGAGCCTACTCCCGAGGCGTGCTAAAAGCAGTCCCGAAAAGACTCCAACACGAGTCGACATGGAAAAGACTGTAGAGCCACGACTGTCAGCTGCTTCAGGGAGAGGCAGGAGCTTGCTGCGCGCCGATCGCGGTGAGACCATCTCTCTGTCTCTCGGAACAGGGTCATCACATTTAGCAATTGGTGGGTGACAACTTATTTTATCGTGTTTGTGTGCGAACTTTCGCTCGGTGATCTCATCACATTTAAGAATTTTTATATTTATATATTTCTCAAAGCAGTCCATCGGAAACTGGAACACTGCAGGCCTCAATTAAGTCGCTGTTTCTGGTGGCATTTGTCGGTGGTCAAGAGCCATTGTGACAAAACTAATGCAACGACTTTGCCTTTGACAATGCCTTTCGATGCAGACTTAGACAATTGCCACGACATACTGTATTTGCACAATTGTAAGTCAACCCCCCCCCCCACATTGCGCGTCAACAAAAAAAAAAAAAAAATACATAAAAGAAAAAATAAAAACTTAAAGGGCACATTTTACGGTGAACGTATGAGGACGGCAGGGCGTCCCTTTCAAAAGCCCGACCTCCAACGCGCGCTCTATGCCTTCTTGCATGCTTTGGCTGCGCATGCACACGCAAGGCACACAAGATGCCCAGGCGTTATCGAAACTAGGAAGCTCCCGCTGGAGGCAAGACAACTGAAGCTGCTCCCTGTCATTCTCGCTCTGTCTGCGACTAGAGACTACGACTCGTCTGGACTGATGCTGTCATTCCCGTCCTCATCACTGCTACATTCCCAAAGCGTGTCAGCAGCGGCGTCCAACGAAATCTCGCACTTCGCAAATGACCGCATGAACCGCATCTTCCATTTTTCCTCGGCGATCGCTTCGCACGCTACAGGTAGGGACCGATCGTGCCCTTCTGCGATGTGCGTTGCAAGCCTAACCTCCAACTCCGGAAGGCATTTAAACCTATCCAGAATTTGGCGCGCAGAAGCCTCTACAGTTAAGATCCTGCGCCGTTGCAGACGCCACTGGAGCACCACTTGCTTCGACGGGTTGAACTTGTGTCCAGCAGTGCAGTTGTGGGTTGCTTTTGAATGAAGAATGGCCGTAACGAGCACCGAAAACCTAAACTGCCCGGATCAGGCATGTCAACACAGAGAAACGTAGTTGGCACTCCAGCATGATTTTGACATTCAATCAAACAACGTGCGACTATGAATCATACGAAAAGAAGCAGCGAGGAGTCAGGCAGTTCCAATGGCCATTCTGGAGTGACTCTTGCAGCAGGTGTCACCACCTCCGGGAGTTGGGTGCTCCGTGCGCCGTTCACCGCCGTACATTTGGGCTAATTTGCGAATCGCCATCAGTGGTACTCGCTCGTGCTAATGAAAAAAAAAAAAATTTTTAAAAATCTTAAAATGAACGCACAAAATGGCGCAGTGCTACAGGTACAACTGGCTGAACTCTTGACAAGCCAAGGTGTTCTTGATATCACGATTGTTTTGTTTTTATCGGCAGAGGAATGCTTTGGTTCGTTTATAAGTCAAACCCCCTACTTCAGATTTTCAAAATTTGAAAAATTGGTTGACTTACATTCATGTAAATACAGTAGTACCACAACTTTACAATGTTTCATACATTGCATTTGTACCAGTAAAATGGGGTCCCGTAAGTAAGTAATGGGACAGGGTACACAAAGCTCTGTCCAGATATGATGGAGATTGCGAAAGCTTGCTTAGCACAGCTGGTGAAAACGAAAGGTAGACGGGCTTGTTTTAGGCAGTGATGGAAGTGCTGCGCCAATTGCGCCAAATTGCGCCAAGGACGCGATCCTGCTACATGTAGCGCCAAATTGTCATTTTACCGAAGAATTGCGCCATGCCTGCGCCGAGATGAGATGTAGCAATAAAAAAATAAAAATTGAAGTCTTATCAGAGCGCGTGGCGTTACCGCGGTATTTTCCGCGCCGCAACTTTTACGCAAACCGAAACTGCGAGGGCGCATTATCGTCATCATCGTTGAAAGGAACAGCGTTAGCAACATCTGAGACCAAAGCCGCAGAGGCTAAGCATCCCACTGAGCAGCCTATTTAAAAAAAAAAAAAAAAAAAGGCTGAGCTCGTGGATGTTTTTAATGTTGGCTCGCCCTGTTCCCGTGCGCTAGCTACCAGCGAGGTCAAAGCTAGCGCAAGCCCAATGCTCTGTGCATTCCTGACTCGCGCGTGGGCTCGTGCAGTGTGGGCACCGTTACGGGCTCCTTGCGCGCGCTTGTACAGGGGTGGAACGGCTGCGCCATTTGCACCATTTTGCGCCAGACGCATTTATCTGCGCCATCCTGCGCCATTTTGCGGAAACTGCGCCACAGCCAATACATCGCGCCATTGTGCTCCAATTCGCTGAACGTGCGCCCAATTTTGTTTTCATTTTGTCTTGGTTTCGGTTTTTATCGACTCGATTGGCAACAATGAGCGCGTTTAGCTTGGTCGGCCTTGCAATCCTTTGTTCTGTTTATTCTTCCTTTGTATCCCAATTCCCGAGTCGGAAGCGCGCGAAAAAACTCGGGGTTCCAATTCCAAGTGCTACACCACCTGCGACTGGATTGTTGTTCTTCAACCATAAACGGCTAAGCAAGTCGGCCGAGAAGAGGTAGAGCCGCTAAGCGTCAGATTACCTAAGGCTCTGCGGCCCGGGTTCCGGACGTCAGCCAGTTGAAAACACATTAGCAAACGATTCCTTTTAGTACTTCTTCGTTAGAAGTTGGAACCGCATTCATGCAAGATAAATCGTGATTTGATAGAACTGAAACGCAGTCCGATCCGAAACCTTGCCGGCCAGCAGCTCTCACGCGAGCGAAAGATCTTGCTTGACAAACCTTGCTCCTGCTTATCGCTAAGAACACGATAACTTCGTTAATCATAGTCTGCTGCTTCAATATTGAGTTATACAATAGTATAAACTCGGAATTTGTTGCCCTGTTCCTCCGCGCAACTGCACGTCCGTTTCTCACGCACGTCACGTGGTTCGCACATATAATTACCATCTCGAACAGGTGTGAGTTGTGCCATAAGCAGTGCTGGTTTGCATTTTGAGCAGCTGAAAGCCACTCAGAAAATATCAAGGACACTATCTGCAGAAACATATGGTACTTGCTTTTTGGTTCTCATTAAGGCTCACAAAGTTTCAAGTTTTCGCATCTGTTACACTGTTATCCCACCTACATAGGTCCCTAACCACCATCTGTGTTGTTCTTTTGTGCTGCTAAGCACAACTGAAATTGCTCCCGTGCTTGTCTAAAACACAAGCTGAAGTGCAATCAAAACTGATCTGAGCTGCTCCTAGCCTGCTCCAGAACATCGTTTTAGCTGCTCCCAACCTGCTCCAAAACAGCTGTTTCAGCTGCTCCCGTGGCTGCTCCCAAGTACATTTCATGAGTTCCACCCCTGTTGTAGTTTCGGCTGCGCTCCCACTTAAGCTGAAGCGAAGTATAGTTGAGTTGCACAAACTCTGGATGTAGTGCTGGTAAAGCCTCACCCTCCTTTTCGGAACACAAAGCACTGCGCGACTCGCGCGACTGCAGTGTCTGCTCCGCGGGTGTCGGTTCTCTGCAGCGCGTCGGTGCATGCCAAGAAGCGCACTCAACGGGTTAACTCGCCGTGATCCGATCGTGACTTCGCCTGCACGTCGAAAATGAATCGGAATTTTTGAAGCGAATATCAGATACCACAATATTTGAAGCCTCTGCCCGAAAGACAACTCTAATCTGAACTAAAACATTCCACAACAGTGAGGGTCGTTATATGCTGCTGCATATACTTTAAAAAAAGTGCAGGCTGATAAAACTAAATATCCTGTACCATCAGAACTCAGTGCGACATATTTAATTGTATTTTTTTTATCTGACTAGCAGATAAACTTTATTTTAAAAAAATGTTTTTTGTGTTTACTTTGTTGAATTTTCTATATCCTGTCTTAAAAAGGCGACAGGCGCTGTGTTCCAATAATAGAGATGGGCTTTATATAGCAATGCGGCATTATTTCATTTTCAAGTAATATGCCAACATATGCCGGACCCTGCTCCAGAAGGGCCACTACCTGCTCCAAAACAACATTTTGCTTGCTACAAGGCCTGCTCCAAAAGGTCAAATGGCACTTCCATCACTGTTTAGGGCAGCTTGTCAGATTTGTCGCCTCAATTGCAGTGGGATTGGCAACGGCAGATGCGAAGCTTCGCCGTCTTTCATTGGGCTGCCCCATCAAGCTTCAGGAGCCCAGGTGAGCAAATAGTACATCGAACGCATCCCATACCAACTACTACTTGCACGGTGCAATGCAATGCAGGGCTGGCTGGACTTGCGAGCAGGAAGCCGCATCGTCACCGTCATCGTCACTGTCTCGCAGCGAGCCAAACGGATTGCCACCGAGCAGAATACCCACGCCCCGCATTTCAAGGTCGGTTCAATAAGCCATCCTCGAAGCACCTCATACTCCCTTTCATACTTAGCATATAACACTGTCAAATCTACCGGTGCAAACACGGGGCTTCGCTTAGCATCTCAATTATACGAGAGCACGTAGAAATCGACTGCAAGTTGAAGCCTCACTCTCGTAAGCAGCAGCTTTAGCAGTCTTGTACACCAAGTATGAAACGGTGTACCCTATTTTTCTGTCTATATAAGTCATTAACCCCTTAAAGCAGACATGCAGCCATTTCCTTGAAAATGTGAGTAAGTAAGCTGCACTTACACTGGTAAGCAAGTTTGCATGTATTGCGATTTTGATATACTATGTTCAAGTGGGAGCTAGTTTCAATATTTCCACCAACGAATCAAACAAGAAAAATACCTCACCGGCAAATTTGACAGTTAAAGTTCATACTTATTTTTAAAAAGGGGAGTATAAGTTGCACTGTTGTACAAGATGCACAGACGTAAATTTTGGGAGGGAAATCTGATTTATGCTCCGGAAAACACAAAATCTGCATCTCCAGCTCGTTGCTCGCCTTCCCACGGTGGAAACGGGAAGCTCTCCAGTGAGGGTCCCCTGGTTCTCCTGTTGAGCTAGCACGGCGGAACTGCTCGTGATCTTGGCTCACGAAATGTCATTTCCTAATGCAAATAATTCTTCACTGTCCCAATGTAGTGCTGCAGGCAGTATGGGATTGTACCTTACTAGAAAGTTTATTATTGCGTATACATGAACTGAGCTCTTTTACGTCACGGCGCGGTGGTGGCGCGTCGGGCGCACTTGCGGTCTGGGGCTGTGGGCGGAAGTCGCCATGCAGGACGTGCAAGCATGCATTGTTTTTGAAGAAACCAGACAAAAACCTGCCTTCTTGTCAAAACGCTGCGACTAGGACTGTGCCAAAAGGCTCAGGAAAGGTTTGAACATCAGTTTTTGTGTGTTTCCTGCCTGCTCGGTTCGTCCGAGAATGTGGATAGGGGCCATGAAAAAAGAAAACCAGACACTGTCGGACTATGATTGCTTGTGCAGAAAGCAGTTTGGGTTGAATTCATAGATACTTATGGTTGTCAGATTTATTTGTTTTGTTCCAACATGAACGCGGGAGAACCGTAAGGTTGTACGGACGACCTGCAGACTACGTTCAGTGCATTTTCTAGTATGAACGGCCACCTGATCGTTTGAACTGTCGTCTGCTCTCAAACGTTTCTGCTTGTTGTCGTCTGCTCATTCAGACGACAACGACCTGTTGACCGAACGTCCGGTCATTGCGATAAGAAGCAAGTACAGGACTCAAAAGACTTTTAAGTTTGAAGGTTGGTTGGAACAAATAGGCTCGGTGTAAGGAGTAAATACAAACATACGTTGATAATCGTTACCAGTGGCCATCACCGACTTGTTATGCCTGATCCACTTGATCCGATTCTGCTCTGCTTGCGATTTTCAGTATCGACGTCGACCATCTCAGCTACGGTTCATGCTTTCACAGCCCAAGCGACGTTGTGGCTGAAAATAGCGAGCAGAATCTCATCATGCGAATCAGGCTTTAGCTTCCATTCTGCGGTGTCCCAATGGAATGAATCGCTGGATGCCACGTTATTCAAGCGAAGTTATGTGGCGTAACGAGCTTCAATAATCTAGCTGTGGCCGCTACAGTAGTCGGACATGGCCAGGAAGACTTGTATAATCAACAATTTCAACTTGAAAAAGAGCGCGAGGACCCGCACCGATGCCGACGGCATCGCATTCCAATGGTTTGTTGATGGGCTACGGCGAGCTTCTTGCCCGCGCTCCATCGCACATGCGCGGCACCGGTGGCGTCCGCTAGGGGTGCTCCGGTTTGTTTGTAAACATGAGTTGGTCTATACACCGTTTTCGAGTCCAGTCACTGCATTTGAGGCTAGCCTCAAACAAAAAAACAAGAACGAAACCTGTTCTTTTTTTATTTTGGGGCATTTGGTCTAGAAGGATTGGCGGCGAGTTTGGAAGCTTTGCAGATTGCCAAAAGTCGCGACTTTGATAGCACCAGATGCTTTACCCACAATTAATGTAATTTTACATGGATCTCTCAGATTAGCTAGAATGTTTTCATTATTTTTTACTATTTTATTTTATAACTTGTTAATTAAAAATGCTGTAGTTGGCACCAGTGATGATAACTGGCACATTTTTGATTGCCATACTTGTTTGCGTGTTTAAAATTGGGTCATAAGCAACTTTATATTAGAGCTTGAAAAACTATGTATTAAAATATCTTAATTGTATTCTTATTATTAATATAAATTGTGGCAATGTGGCAATAAACGCTGCAATCACAAAAATATGCTATTTAACCGTAAGTCTTTCCAGAAAGGTTTCATTTTGTTTCCATTTTAGCATATGAAAAACTGACATCATTATCAAGATAGACAAACAGTCAAACACTGGATGTAATATAAAGTCCTATGCGTCATGTGTTCCTTTAAAAAACAGTTCTGCTGTCTGACTCGCATTCCATCTGTGGGTTTTTGTAGTGGAACAGCGTTTCCTAATTAATATGTTTTGTGAACATATTCTTAACTCGTCACCTGTGGCAATATTTTGTAAAATTTGGATTGATTCTGTTATTCTTGTGCTGTGAATAATGTTAAAGCAATTAATCATCTAAGTATTAAAAAAAAATGAAAGCTGTTTACAACTCCCTGTAACACCGAATTAGAGCGCAGCTCTTGAGGAGGAGGAGGAGGGAAAGGTACTGAGGGTCATGTGTACTCGAAGGGGGGGGGGGGGGGGGGGGGGGGGGCTGTCACGTGACCTGGGGGGTCACGTGACCTGGGGGGGTGACCTGGGGGTCACTTGAGCCCCCAGGTCACGTGACTCCCCCAGAGAAAGTTTCCCACTAGATTTAGCGGGGAAATTTTCCCGTTAGATTTAGCGGGGAAATTTTTCTGCCAGATTTAGTGGGGAAATTTTTCCGCTAGATTTAGCAGGGAAATTTTTCCGCTAGATTTAGCGGGGAAATTCATCCATAATGCACCGCGCGGTTACGCCGACGGCGACGCTCAAGTCAGAGACGGGCGCCTAAGAGCTGCGCTCTAAAACATTAAAAGGCCCGCAGTTCAATATTTCACATGACAATTATCTGAGCAAGAAAAGGCAGCAAGAACGCACAAATATCGGCACTGATTTTTTTAACCAATAGAGTCGAACCCGGATATATCAAATTCAAAGGGGATCTTAATAATTCGATATATTGATAATTTGATATACAAAAATATGTTACTTAAAATATGTTAACTTAAACTCCAATTGAAATTTCCGCACGTCTCTGCTGATACCGAAGCCTCTGATACCTCTAAGAGCCGCGAAATGCACTAGAGCTTAGTTGGTATAGATCACAAACACCGCGGCGTTTAGCGGCGGTGTTTTCAAACAAGCGCCAACAACAAAACACACAAAAAAAAAAAAAAAGAAAGAAAGAACGGAAAAAGCGAGCCACATAAGAAAGAACACTTCATCCATATAATAAAGTTACGCAAGCAAGAAAAACAAACCTCACTAAATTCACGCAAGAGAAGCGACTGGCTGCTGTGCTTTGTTCGCTATATCAAGTGACCCCGCCATGACAGGCCATGGGAGTTCGATACAGAAAAACAACGCTCCTATACTTTTACTTTCACATGTGATGTTAAGGGGATGTTTGGACTCTTTGATATAAACAATAATTCGAAATACTCGGGTGTGATATAACTGGGCTCGACTGTACGATATTCTAGGTTACCTGTAAGGTGTATGAAAGTTCCTGTCTTTGAAGGGATACTGAGCTCTCCAAAATATTTTGAAGTGCCTCGATTGGACGCACATGTCACGAAATAAAGTTTTTGCAAACTTCTTTAGCTCACTAATTATGCCGTAAGACACATCATGAGTTATGAAAGAATCCGAAATTGACACTTATACAGAGAAATTAAATCCAAACTAGAGGTTAGTTTTGGTAAAAAATAAAACAGTCTCCTGGTGTAAATGTTACGCTAAGCACCGTTTTTGTTTTCAGGATAAAGAGGTGACCTGCGCTCATAACACTCTAAGCTTCCTCGTATAAGCAGGAATAATTTGTGTCGCTCAGGGCTCAGCAACTTGCACACCCAGCACGGATCTCCCACCCTCACTATAACCGCCATTTTGTAAATTAGTGGCACCACCTATAGTGAATGGGAGTCGCGAATTCAGACGTGTGGTTTCATCAACTGAGGTTTGTACGCTTTGCAGACGAAGACGACCCCAGTCGGAATGCCTGGAGCCTAGCTGACCGTCTCGGGAATTCATTGTGTACCTACAGACAAGCACGAGGGGCCGACTGGTGCTCAACTCGAGAAATGTGCTTCCTTTGCGAATGAATCTCGTATTATTTTTGTAGAAAGTTAAAACCAGTTGTGGAATGTTGGCCTTCTCTGTACCCTTTGTATTTTATCGACTCAGGTGGGGTGCAGGGTGGGCAGTCAGAAGAGAGTGATGTTTATTTTAAACATATTTTAAAAGTCAATAAAGAAGGAAATGTATGAACCAATGCCTATTCTTTAGCTGTGGATGCTTATTTTTAAATGAAGTGCCTTTTGTTTGCATGCATTGAAATATTTTTCAATGTGTTGCTTGGCAATTACAGCTCCTAGTGAACTGCACCATTGCAGGAAATGCTTGCAATATTACTAGCACACCGAGGGCTGCATGATGTCGGACGTACACAAATGTAATATCAGGCTTGTAGTTTTTCTAAAGTTAAATAAAATTAGCACTTAGGCTAACATATACATACCTTACCTAGGCTTCATTAAAATTTGATCCACACCTTGGGCAAGTATGACACTTTCACAATACTGGGCTCGTGCAATTTACCGTACCCATACTATCCTAAACAAATGCGGAAAAATGTGAGGCGGCATGCCGTGCTCGTAAATTGACCGAGGCTGTGTACACCAAACGTAAGCCGGTTCAAATGATGTAGGTCAGTTGACTGAGCTTGCCATTTCAGTCACTATACTCAGTTTCGTACCTAAACCTGGTTCACGCACTTGCGACCACTTGGGACAATGTGCCTTAAAACCTTGTCTTACGAGAGCACATGCTGGCACCACCTATCGGGTAACTTTAGAACCCTTGGCATTCCCGTACATTTCCTAGTTTTTTCGCGCATCGTTCTTGGCTCGAAAAGTATTAGACAATGTTATAAATAGGGTTCTGTGTGTTCGGTAAATACCGATAAACCTCGAAAGTTGACCCCCAGGCGGGTTTTATCCAAATCGGGAGAAAACCAAGAAACCCGAATTGAAGCTTTCCTTTGCCGAGAAAACCCCGAGCTTCCCGAGAAAAACATTTTTTAGTGCAGTTTTATTTTGTGTTTACTTCGAACGCAGCCACACTGAACTGTCTGCGAGCCTAGTTCTTGGGAAACCAGACTTCTTGTCTCGTTTCCTTCTTTTATCTGTACCGGAACATTGTCAGAGTATTCTGGGAACGAGCTTGTTCTTTGGAGGTTGGTGAATTCTATGCCCATGTCCCATTTCTTCGACGCAAGGCCCGATAAACGCCATCTTTTTTGTCGGACGCCAAAAAACACTGAATCTGTTGGAAAAAATAAATCTAGAAAAAAACGCCCCCCAATTTGAAGAAAAGTAAACCCCAGAAGACAAGGAACTCTAGTTAAATAAACAACCATTTCTCGTAGATCATACTCATATTTCATCTTGCAAATAACATAAAACTTTTATTCTAGTAAAACGCATTTCCAGGGTCACCTCATAGATGGCGCATTTTCTTGTAAGGGATCGCAAGAACTCGGTCCTAAGCAAAAGCAAGTGTGTGAACGGGCCTTTAGTGCGCAACGCCATGCAACCTGCCGACGCATGCGCCTTACTTCCCTCCAGGACCTCGTATTCACGGCGAGAGCGCTTGCAAAGAAACCACAAGATAGAGCCACATTTTCGTTCCAGCACCTTCGACAGCGTTATACACCAAGGACGAAATGCACACTTGGAGCATTTTAAGAATCGAGGTCCACGAGACTCTGAACGCTCGACCAGCGATTGAGTGCCGCATGGGGGCATTTATTGGGATCCTTCCGTTTCCCTACAAAGGTGCTGTACAAAATGGCATTGTGTTCGTTTTGTGTGTGTTTTCTGTACAAGGGAGTCGTGGTATGCTATGTACACGTGGCGGCCAGCTTGGACGATCGGGCCTCTCCGAGAGACAGGATGCCTTGAGCCGTCAGGATCTTGCCGTGGCGAGTCTTGAGGTGCCGCTTGTAGGTGTTCCTCGTTTTGAACCTGCAGCAGAAGACTGCCCTTCAGAAATGGTCGAAAGACTGCTAGAAGCTTTTTGCCGCAAAACTGGACTACCGTAAAGTATGATGTCCCCCCCCCAAAAAAAAATGTATGGTTTTTTTTTTGCGTTGCAAGACTAGACTATGCATTGCTAAATGCTCTGCCTCCACGCAAATGTAGCGCTAGCGGTCCAAACCAGATTCCAAAGCTTCAAAACTAATAGTTATCTTGTTCAAAAGTTACAAATGACTTTCGGATAATTTCAATGGAAAAATGGAGCCGTTCTTAAAAACTATTCATTGAGCCACTCTGCTCCATAAATGTATTAGACAGAGGGCTGCCAGTGTCCGATTGAAAATTTAAGAAAATCGCATACCTTTGAATAAGACAACGGTTAACTCCGACATTGATATGGATTGCTAGTGCTATGTTTGGGTGAAGATTGAGCATTTGGCAATGCCTAGTTTATTTTTGCAATAAAAAAAAAATGTTTTGGGGAGGAATTTTATGGCCCTTTTCTAGCAGCTATAGTTGGTGACAAGTTTGGAGGAAACTCCTCCCATCCCTTTTCACTTCAGCAAAGCGAATGCCAGAGAAGAGGTGCCTCCTCTCCAGTGTTCGCTCCGCTAAAATGGAAAGGGGTGGTAGGAGTTCCTCCTAGACTCTTAACCTGTTGCTAAATATAGGCAGGAATGACTTCGAACCACGTTTCTACATAATTTTGGTTAGTGGTGGAATGTGTCAGAAAGATGTTTTGGCCCTATCTATAGTGGCACCTTTTAATAGATCTTAGTTCCACATGTAGAAAGTTTTGCAAAAAACAGACATTGCATTATCTATGAAACCTAGGCAGAACTTCTCTTGTTGCACGTATGAAATCGCCTTAAACATCCACTCTCGGAAGGTTGAATCCATGCAACTTGGAATGTCTGCCCCTGTCTAATACATTATAGGGCAAGAGGTACAACAGAGTAAAGTGGTAATTATTGTGTTATTTTAGTCTCAATAAAGCAACAGTGATAATTATGTATGACTTACTGACAGCATTCAATTTATGCGGCCCACGGCCCACAAGCTCGTGACTGCAGATAAGGTGATTCCCCGCAACCTGTGCAAACTCCCTTGAGGTGTACCAAAGTTGCACTCTTTGGGGCCCTTTAGGGATGTCAAAGGTGAACACTTTAGAGAGTAGATTCCCTCTGTATATCAAAGCTACATCCTTCGGGGAATACTCCGTTAAGAGGTGTCAAAGTCTTTAGGGTGTTCATGCCCTCAATAGGTATTGAAGCCACCTTTTAAGGAGCATTCTCTAGGGGTGTCAAAGCACCCCTAGAGAATGCTTTTGAGGAGTATCTTCTTTAATGATGCCAAAACTGCATCCTTTCGGCGGTACATTTATCAAAGCCACACCTTCTAGGCAGCATTTCCAAGGGGTGCCAAGCTGCAACTTTATGGCAATACATTCCTTCAAGGCGTACCAAAAGGGAGTACAGTCTAAGCTCATTACAACACCTGGTTACAACAGACATTTGGATATACGGTAGCATACCGATTGTGAAGTTTGGTTGGTTTTCCTCTATGCACCATTGACTCAACTTCATATCTGCATTCAACATACTCCTTTTACAACAGGCCGAAATCTTGGTCAGAATCAAGGTCTGCTATAACAAGCCTAGACTACTCCCCTAAGGGGTGTCAAGGCTGCACCCTTTGGGAGTCCCAGAGGGGTGTCAAAGTCTCACCTCTGGCTGCAGTCTGTGCACTGGTAGGGGGTCTCCCCCGTGTGGCGTCTCAAGTGCTCCTTGAAGTGGGACGGGTGCCGGAAGTGACGGCCGCAGTCCTCGCATGCAAAGCGACTCTTGTTGTTGTGGATCAGCATGTGGTAGTTGAGGCTGTGCTGCCGAGTGAATGTCGCCTCGCAGATCTTGCAGTTGAACGGCTTGATGCCTGCACACGGAGTGGGTGCAGATTGACAGCTGCGGCAAACTTTCACTTCATCCAATCATATCAAAGCACGAAATGCATTTTAATGCAACACCTTCCCAAGCCCAAATTTTTGTCCGTCCGTCCATCTGTCTTTGCATTTCCCGCTAAATTTAACGGAGAGATTGACACATGACCTATATACTGAGTCAATTTCCCGCTAAATTCAAAGAGAAAATTGATGTCGCATGACATGAAGTCATGTGACTTATATGCCAATTCAGTTTCCCCATTAAATTTAGAGGGAAAATGGATGAAAATACAGGTTCTTCACTCTTTGAAATGACTGTTCAATACCTTATAAACAAACTGAAGCGGTCGCTCCTTAAACACAGATGCATTATAAAAGTGAAGATAAAGGTCACCACAACTTTTTTTACTGGAAAGATTGCAGGAAGATGACTCCACAATTATGAAAGGCTAGTTAATGCAAATCGGTTAAAAAAAAAATCAGAAGCTGAACCAAGGATAACAGTTACTTCTCAACATAATCTTGCAATATTGGTACACTTTTCCCGACACTTCACCGGCTCTCATAACTGACAGCGTAAAAATGTTCTGTGGCAGCCTAGCTTTCTGCCGCACCGCAGCTTCAAATATTGAGCGTCCTTGCGAGAATTCCTAGCATCCGGTTCCTTTCTGTTGCACCAAACGGTTGCAGCAACGTGGCCTCCCTCGGCATGTCAAAGCATGCCCCACAAAAGGCTCTCATGCACACGAGGGCGCGAACGTAGTGACTCTGGCAGCACCGAAGCGGTGCTTCGCTCACCTGCGTGACTCCGATAGTGATACATAAGTGTGGCCTGGGCGGTGAACACCTTTGTCTTGCAGATCTTGCACACCAGGGGGCCCCGCTCATCCTTGCGCTTGGCACGCAGGGCACGGATGTGCTTCAGGGCAAGGCGCTGGTGAAGGAGGAAAGAACTCTACAGATACACCCACAAAAAGAAAAAAAAACGCAGTTCACATTTTCAAACTGCACAACTAGCAGATGATTCCGGGAGATATTCGAGCCCTCGAGTGCATTCTTCGAAACAACTGGGGCAAGCTAAAAATTTTCGGAGTGATAACGGACGGCCTTAATTGCATATATGCTGAACAGAGACTCGAAAAGTAAGTGCAACGAGAGAGGTGGCACCGATAAGGCTGCTGATTTCACGCTTGGGGTTTCAAACCAGCCGGCCCTCTTAGGTAAGAGAACTGGCTGGCTGCATTTCCACCGCCTAGGGGAAAAGTACCCTCGCCATTACAAAATGGTGCAAGTTAAGAAAAAGCAAAACGCCAAACATCCAATCTGGTTTTCAAGCGATTTACAACCCAGCTAGCATAGGTAACCATTTTATCGGCAACCCACCGTAGATTGCTATGACCGAACTTACGACCAACGCCTCCTAGACAACGAGGACGTCAACCTGCCGGAGACCAGAGAGGAGCACGATTTGGACACGAGTGCTGCGTCCAGTCGGGACTCACATTCCCACCGACTGAGTTTCAGCTGAATGTTGACGCAGCACTCGTTTCCAATCTACACCGTGCCGGTGTATATACACAACCTACAGTAGGTGACAGAAAATATGTTATGTGAAGGCTGGTTCACACAAGCGACTGCATATGGCCGTGTGCCCTAAAACCTCTAGCAATCAACAAGAGAACACGCTGGTGATATCAATCGGGTAGCCACTTGGAAATTCTCTATATTTCCTAATCTTTCTTGGCTCGAAAATATTGTGACAATGTTATAAACGACCATTTGTCACAGATGTCATTTGGTCTCGCAGATATTGCAAAACCTTCCCTCTAAAAAAATGCAGTTTCAAGGTCGCCTCATAGATGGTGCCAGCATGCTAATGTGTTCTCTCGTCGTAAGTGATCGCATGAGCTCGGTCCTAAGCAAACGCAAGTGTGTGAATGGGCCTCAATAGGTGTCAGTAAGACGTAAACCCGAAATGAAGGAAAGCTTATCTCCCAGCTCAACGTACCCGCTCCACGTCTGTCTCGGCCGACGGTCTCGCGGTACGGCGCCCGTGTGGCCGCGACTTCGCCTTGGGATGCCGCTCCTCTTCGTTCTCCTCATCGTCGTCCTCCTCTTCCTCTTCCTCCTCCTCCTCTTCACCCTCCTCTTCCTCTTCCTCCTCTTCGTCTTCGTCGTCCTCGCTGGTGGACGCGCGGGCGCGTCGTCGCTGCCCCTCCCGTCTCCATCGTGGGTGGCGCACCGGATCCGCGACTTCGACCACCGACGACGTGTTTGGTAGCAACGGCACGTATACATAGGGAAAAGGGGGCGTGGCTATCACCGCCTGGCACGGCACGGGGCCCCTGCGTTCCGCTCGATCCCCGCACCACTCCTCCAGGTCGCTGCCCTCGTCCTCCTCGCAGGTCGTCCGCACTGTGCCCCAGTACGCATGGTCCATTCGCACCACTGCCGCACCTGGATGCTCCTCCCACTGCCGCTCAGACATTACGTCTCCGTTGCACGCCGAAGACGACTCCGAGCTGGAAGACGGCTTTGGCTTTGGCTTGCCCGGCTTTGCGGCCATCTTCCCGTCCGGCTTGCTGAGGATTTTCACCTGAAGCTTGGTGTGAGGCTTGGAGAGCAGCTTGGCGTTCGGCTTTGCCGGCTTCGAGTGCAGTTTGGAGTGGGGCTTGGTGTGCAGCTTGGCCTGTAGGTTCACCTGCGGCTTGGAGTGAGGCTTGGACTTGGGCTTGACCTGGCCGGGGGTGGCCGGGGGCTGCGGGTGCGGCGACTGATGGGGTCGACGCCGGTCGCCCTTGGTGCTCGCCAGCTGGGAGGGTCCTTTCTTCACTTGGCTGCGCTTGCGACGGCGAGTGCCGGTGTCGGTCCCTGGAATAGTATGTGACTCGGGCAATGAGGCCCCATAAGCTGTACATGAAAGGGTTCTGTTACTCTGCCGTGAACACGGTCAGAAGGTAATAACTTTTTCCACACCAGTCGGCTTTTCAATCATACGTACAAGGACTGTCTTATCGCGCTAATTTCTCATTCTGTCTAATAAAAATGACAGAACTCCAATAGTCACTACAGTTAATTAATTTCAGCATGAAACCAACCGGTTAATAATGTTACGGTTACAGGTCACAAATATAACGCGATGGGAAATATGCTGCAAAATGTCCATGCCACATTTGGCATTTTTTTTTGTTTGTTTTTTCCAATTCTTTGTTTTTGACACTTGTTTACTTTCTTCAGCAATAGGTATTTATTGAAAATACTGCTTTCCCTTAACCATAAAAAAGTTCACCAATAGACGATATGCGAAACTGTTTGGTGGTCTGGCAGCACTGTGCACACGGCCACCTTGGTAGCGTCAAGTACCTCGAGTTTCGGTTTCTCAGCATTTCCAGGGCATAGTCGCTCTGCCGCTAAGTGTGATTCGGAAACTTTACTGTTTTCTGGCTTTTGATCACCCTACTAAAAGTGTCTGAGGACGCTTTTAGTTCTTTTTTCGATGCGAATACGCATGAAGTCGTACCGTCTAGCGGTAGACTGCTCTATGCCAATACATCCGACTTGAGGTTAATTGTTTTTTGTTTTGTTTTTACTGTTACTGGCAAAAAATTTTTTTGGTGGAAAGCTATGTGTTCTTGTAAAGAAAACTACTCCCTGGGCAATATTTTTTAGGCACTGCAAAGAGCTCACATTTATTTCAGATAGCATTGACCTCAAGCACAGTTGATGGATGTTGCGCTATTAACGAAGATTTGCTGTACCCTGACAGAATAACTGCACTGACTTTCTCAAGACCACCCCCGAGCTTCTTTGCACTAAACAAAATTTTTACCTCGGCTGGGGCAAAAAGAAAGAAAAGGTGATTGTGAAATGCAGTGGGCACCGCCCGTGTTGACCGATTCAACATACACAACAAAAGCTTTTGCCACCGCCGACATAGAAGTTTTAGCCACTGCGATGAACCTAAGTCGAACGCCACGTTCAACGAAAAAGACAGCAAAATCCCACCTCTGTGAGTGTTGAGCAGACATGTTGTCTGTGTCTGTTGTGTTTTCTATTCTACATGAGCACACCTTAAATATTCAAGAATAATATATCAACATATTCTTCTGTTTAGTTTTAGAGGTCTTTTACAAACCTCGTTTATCGACGCCAGATCAAGTGTATAGAGATCGCTGCAAAGCAATGACATTGTTTTCAAAAAGTCAAATTTGGGGGTTTTACGTGCCAAACCAACGACGGGCATCTGGCACGCCCCAGCGGAAGACTGAGGATTAATTTGGACCACCTGGGGATGTTTTGACGTGCAATCGAAAGCTCGGTTACACGGTGCCTCCTCCACAATAAGCCTCCGTCAGATTGCGGGCACCTCGGCCGGGATTTGAGCCCACCACACGGGGATCCGTAGGCCAGCGCTCTCGCCTCGGAGCCACCGAGGCGGCTAATGAGATTGTTTTCCTTCTTTCCAAAGTAATTAATTTTGTTTAATATATGACATTAAAATGAGGACTATATGGTGCTTTCAGCTTTTGTTGTTCACTGTTAACCATACGCATCTCCAATTATGGTTGGTGGCATAGATTATTAAAACTGTCGTCTTTTTGCCTCACTTAACAGCCTTGGTCTCGTCCTCACACATTGAGCTGCTTGCGCATCAAGAAAAACGCAGGACGACACTACAACGTGTATAAAAGAGAGAAAATAGAAGTTCGGAAACAAATTTGGCACAACTTCGTGAAAAGAATACGGCACAGTTCAATAGTTGTAAATAGCTTCACGCCGTGCGATAACATCCGCACGTATTTTCGCATTGTCACCGATTGCTTTTGCCAAAAGCTGCGTCTCAAGTAAAAAAAGAAAAAAAAATTGTGAAACTTGTTTCACGTTTGTGTTCACATCACGGACGAATCAAAGGTGTACTGCTGTACTGCTGCATCCGCAGCGAAACGCAGCAACGCATTGCCGTCGCATCTCTCATATGAAGTGAGGTTGCTTGTTTACATGGGATCTTTGCCGGTCGGGTCACTGGCTTCGTTTTCTTGCCACTACCACGATGGCAGACGTAGCTCTCGGCGCGCTACTTGATGGCGCTCTACATTTCGCATATGGTCTGTTGATGGAGATGTTGAAAGCTCATTTTTGGTATTTTTTACCGTGATACACAAAGCTTAAAGTTGAAATGGTATTGCAAAATGCTCCACTACCTCAAAGGGTTAATACATCACAGCACATGTAAGTACACGAATACACAACACGAAACTTAATGACATACATAAATGTATACCATTTATTCAAACTTAAAGCTCCAAAAACAAATCTCGCACACTCATCTGTGCAGCAGGTGGAAAACCGATTATTGCTGTTCACATAAAAATGGCTGCGAATTAAATAATGCTTCAATTAAAAATGGCTCTAAGACGCTGAGCATGACGCTCGGCGAGCAGATTTTGAGCGTAAACGTATTATTTTCAAAAACTGCTAGTTCTGGATGTTTCGGTAGTGAATGCGGTTATAGACCACAAGGCTCGAGCACCGGCACGAGGCTATGGCTTGAAAGTTTATGGTCGCTCGTAAATTTGTGTAACTATGTTTTCATACCTCTCGAATCATGAATTACAAAAGGATTGTGTCCTTGAATTCAAAGTGATGTCTTGCTCGCCATTCTCTGATCTCCTTCGGTAAATTTTGAAGACTCTATGTGCTACGCTGAATCGTAAACGTGCCAGTATTTTTTACCAAAATTATGTCTTCTTTGCGGTTAAGTGAACAATTTCAGGGACCAGGACATCGTACACGAAATTAACTTAAAAATAGACAATGCACAAGCCTATAAACCCAATAATGTTCATGGTCTGAACTATAATTATAAACAGCCCCTACCCCCCCCCCCCCCTCTCTCCCAAAAAAAAATTGAAAAGGCTGGCAAATGACAGCTGGTTTTAGATGCAGACCGACAACCGGTCTCTTAGACAAAAAAACTGAATGTGCCGGTCAAAACCGGGCAGGTGGCAACCCTATCCGTCAATATTCAACGGCTCCAGCTGCTGCTCAAATATTCGCTTTGTCTCACCTTGCAACCTCTTTCTTCTCGCCTGGATTGGTTCTGCAGTGAATGGAACCTTGCCCAGACGCCCCGGAGCTGCGCAAAAGATGCGGTTTTACTTAAGACACATACCTATACGCTTGTTTCCACAGTATCTGTCTATTTGCAGATAATGAGTTGTGCTCATAAACAAGATTCGGTATACTTAGAAAAAAGTATGGTTATTCTTTGACGCAAATTTGGAGGTAGTTATTCGATAGTCTCTTAACAACTTTCTGACTATCGCAGCTTATTTACGATTTAAAAATTTCTTTGCTTCAATTTCTTTTTCATGTATGCATAGTACTGCAGTAGGAGAAATGCCCAGAATAATTAAACTAATTAACTGAAAGGATTAAATAAGCATAATTTTCTATGTTCATACTTTGGAAACAGACAATCATAAAATAAGATTGGAACACGATAGCGTTATCGGGCCCCATTCGCATCGCCTTCTCATTCACTGTGCAAGCGTGCCTTGCATGTCTGACTTGCAACCGAAGGGTCATGGATTCAAATCCCGCCTATAATTCTTCAAATTTTTCTTTAGAGAATCGATGCATTGATTTCTCTACTTTGCGCAAATACCGCTTAGAATGTATCCCTGACGTTAATGACCTGTGAACCACCCGTTCGTTTTTCACCCCATGCAATTGAAGTCGCAGAAAAAAGTTCCCCCCTCAACTCGCAGCCAGAACAAGCGGCCACGTGATCTCAAGCCGATTATATGCCGCCAATGTTGATCATAGCCACGCACTGGGGTTGGCAAGGCACAGGACACGCGCCGAGTTCCAAACATTGTTATAATTCGGCTATTGTCGTCATTGCAGCGATTGGACATGGGCCACTACCCGAATGCTTCTCGAGCTATCGATTATCATGAGCCCAAATAGGGTGCCCACGCATTTCTCGGGTTTAATCTATGAGCCGCATTCAGATATCGACACGGGGCAGTACTGTGACCACCCAGCTGTTTTGTGAAGGAGAGATTGAATGAAAATGCTCGCTTTGATCCTTGAAATTACACCGCAACAAAGGAGTTTCTGGGCCAGTGGCATTGCGTGCAAGTATCCTTGAGTCCCACTAGTGCCAGTAAGCTCGTGTAAAGTGAAAAACATTCTAATTAAATATTGTTGCACCGTCCCTTTAAGGCAAATGAATTACTTTATAAAGTGAAATAATTTGACACACGCGGCGACCTTTAATTTGCATTACATGTCATGTTTTAATCACTTTCATTCCACGCGTGACGTCACATTTCACGTGAGCGTTGTGGGTGGTTTGAAATTCCCGCGCGAGGTCATGTAGATGTGACGTCATGACCCTATCGACCAATCAGGATTTTCCCGTCACGCCACCGGCTCCAGCTTTTCTGCGACACACGCTCCTTAATGCTACTCTGTTAATAATTAAATCTTAGTGGAGCATTATATCTTATAGAGGTCGATAAACCAATTAGTGCCCATTGAGAGCACAGTAAATCTATGAGCTCTGTAACACTACCATATTTTACACTACAAGAGCCCCGGTTCTAGAATGCAGCACAGCACCGATTCAGTGCTGGGTAGAGCACCAGGCTTCCCTCCACTTGCCACTGAGTTTTACGCCTTACCCGCTGCAAAACTGCTGGAAACTGTCCCGAAGTGACACAGGGTCAATTACTACTTTAGCAGCGTCGATTTCTCAGTCACTGCCAAGTGCAGTGTTGTGTCCTGCACTATATTCAGTGCTTATTTAATGCTGAATATATAGTGCTGGACACAATGCTGCACTATACGCGCGGTCAGCTTTCTGTGGCAATCCGAAGAGAGGAGGAAAGCGCATCTACAGCGGTTGGTGCACCCTCTCCCCTAGCATTGACTGCATTGCTACAGAAAGCTGACCGTGAGTATAGCAGACGACACCAATAGTAAACGACGAAGAGGCTTTGCCTCTCCATCGTCTGCTATTGATGATCTGGATGTATGCTGCTTCCTGCACTATATTCAGTGCTAAGTTTAATTGTTGAATATAGGGCTGGACACAGTGCTGCACTAGCAGACGACACCAATAGTAGACGACGAAGCGGCAAAGGAACCATTGGCTTTCTGTGTCTGCTATTGACAATCCGGATGTCAGGCACCTTACCATTGGCCTCTGTCAGCAGCTTGGCAATGTGTGCTAACAGGTGAGCTTTCATCTGAAGACGGGCTCGATTCTCATTGCCGAAACTGGAAAAAGTCTCTGCACAGGCGCTCGGCATGAGGTAGCAGCGGTAGCTGAACGTACGTCGCATCTCGTTGCTCGTCAGCTCTGAGAACATGTCCAGGAGCATTCGATCCGACAGAATCCGGATCTGGTCAAGCGTTAAGGCATCCGCCTGAAGAGTCGCCTTGCGGAGCTACAGGGAGAAAAAGAGAGAAAGGAAAGGGATGGCTGTAATTGTTGTAAACAAAGGTTGAATTGGACATAACATAATACAGTGAGTCCCCCCTTATTATTATTATTATTACTATGAAATTAATATTTTAGAGTAATTTGAGAAACTGAAAGTATCATACTAGTGTTGTTACCTTGCATTCTTGGACTGAAATACAGAAGTCAAAACTACTAATGCATTTGTTAAAAAAAAGAACTTGCTGCTTTTTATTGTATTTCAATATAGCTCTTATTTATTTATTTTTATTTATTTACTCTAAGGACCCTTTCGGGCATTACATTGAGAAAAAGGGGGGGGGGGGGGGGCTTTTTTTTAATTATTCAAACAAAATTATTAATAATCTATGAAAGTGAAAAAAAAAAAAAACACACAATACAGTTAGCAGATAACAAAACAACAAAAACAAAATGCACACATAAAACTAGATAACAATAAAACACGACTGGATACGTTGTTAATTACACATTAGTTATTGAAGTGGTGAACATCTGGGCACAGGTGATCGACACACGCTTATTCAGCAGCAAGCTCTGTTCAGAATTGAGTAGTTTATTTCACAACACCGCGGAGAGAGAAAGGAGGAAAATGTCATGTGAGCCACCTATCGGTGGCTCATATGCCACCCTCCACGCAGCTTCCCCTTGTTGTTTTTTTGTTTTGTTTTGTTTTTTAGTTAAACGACATCGGTGACTAAAGGACAGGGAAAGCTGCCTTCAAGAACTCCGTTCCATTCAAGTTACGCTCCAATAGTGCATTTTTAAAAAAATACAATAGGTGCTGGGAACTTAAATTTGAGGCCGTCTGCTGGTGGGACGAAGTAAGCAGACGGATCGCGCCATACGAGACGCCGTCAGCGTACCTTCTGCGGTGGATCCTTGTGAAGGTTCGGGTCACTTTTGAGTGTCGCAGACGCCACTTCGGCAAGCATGTCCAATAGCGGGACAGAGCCGAACTCTCTGGCGCGGTTTCCCTCGTCCATTCCGGCGCCGTTCACCGCCTTGCGCGCGGTGCTGGGAATCATTGTTTTGAATGTGCAACCTGGTTTAAAAACACAAGATCGATTCAATGATTTCACAGCGATTGAAATATCGTTGACAGGATGTTAGATCGCGTCCATACGAGTGTCCCCCACCAAAATCAAAGGCATGTCCGACATCCGTACGCGCAGAACATGCGAACCAACTCCTCCCGAGAGAACAACAAATGTGCAGACGCGCCATGTCTTCTGCACGAAATTTTAGGCTTAGAAAACAAGCGACTTTAGGCCTAGCGTTCCATCGGCTGCTGATTACGGTTTCAGAGCAAAAACACACCACTCAAATTATATTTGTTTCCGGGTCGTCAATAGCGCAGACGAGGCCGCTCTTTTCGTTCCGTGCCTTTGCCGAACGGTGCAAACGCGGCCGGATCCAACTTTTGGGCGCTCTTTTTTCGGGGGAAAGCCTAGCAGTCGACACACAAAAACATTCCATGACGGAATGCGTTTACGCATGTACAAGGGCGCTAGATACTCCGAATAAAAGCCCCATGTGTTTGAGCATCTGTTGCGATCGCTAATCGTGCCGTCAAGCGTTGAAAAGGTGGGCATCGGAACGGTATTTTGTTAACGGTTTACCTAACAAACGACGCCATCGTCTGTCATGCTCGTCTGCTACCTCGGCGGTAGCCGCCGCGTTCTTTTTTGCCATCGACTGAAAGATTTACTACGAGAAAACGACATCCACGTACCTTTGAAAAGACGACGTTGTACGTAGATTCACATACCTCAAATCGGATCAACAATATTATGCTACATAGCGTTTAAAATGCAAGATTCCTCACACTATTTCTTTCCGGCGCAATGAATTATGGGAAACAATTTGACAGAAGAATTGTGGCGGCAGTCTGCGCTTTTGTTGTGACGAAATAACTCATTTAAATTTATTAGTCTAAAATTTATGAAAGAGGCTATATATTTATTCTGAATTTTTTTTATTCGCTTGTAACCATGTCATGATGTAAGATACGTAACATACAATTTAAAGACGATGAGTAAATCCTGTGTAAATCGAGTGAATCACATTCAGTTAAAAGCAGTACTGTCGTATCATTTTTTTTAAGGTAGACCATATTTGTTCCAAATGATAAGTAATTTTATACTTATAATTTGAGGTGTCTAATAAATAGTAAGAAACGTCCGTGTTTAGGCTGCGCGTTTCACACTCCATCAGCGCTTTTGTCGCGCCACATTCCAACCAGCGTTGAGATAACCATAATAGGAGCAGGCTTGTTTACGCTAGGCGGATTTCGATGTAAACCGAGCTATTCGTCGAGCAGGGGATTCCAAGCAGTGTTCCTGTCGTTGTGGCGTTGAAAATCGAAAACGCGGAAACGTTCGTAGTAAGCAGTAATGAACCGGAAAGCGAGTATTCTGGGCCGGGTTCAGCCCAGCTAGATATGACTCCGTCTTGTCGAATCAGGATGTGGGAAGTGTGAGCCAAGCCCACTACGGACGACTTCGATCATCTTGATATACCTTTTCTTTTTTTCTTTACGATCGCTGTCATTTAGTACAATTAGCGTCAGCCGAACTGGTTCTCATCAGGTATAGTCCGAGTTTCCCCGTACAGCGCTACGTCGAGCGTCAGAATTGTGGGTTAGCGTACGAAGCGAAGGCACGTACTCGACTGGACGGATGATACCTGCGTGGTTGTGAAACTTCTTCACTCCTACGGCATGACTTCGGTGTGGAAAAGGCTCCAGAGGGTGAACAAGCATGCGGCAAAGTTTCAGCTGGTCGCCTCCTACCGCGAACTCACCATCGCCGGCAGCAAAAAGTGGTACGCTGCCTTGTCCATGTGTGTTGCTCCATGGCTTCGTGTTTTTTTCTGTCTAGCACCTGCTAGGTTGGGTGTACCCGCGGTAGTGTGGGGTGCTGTGCCTTTCTGCAGTGTGGATTTGGTGCACATCGAGTCGATTTGCAGCCGTGTGATGCGGTGAAGGCGGTTTCATTCATTCGCGCGCGTGACCTGCCTGACAAGGTCGAGCTATATTTATAAACAGAGTGTGGCCACCGCGGGTCTTTTTGGGGGCTCTTTCAAGTTCGCTCCCCTTTATACAAACGTCAGAAATGTCTCGAGCCTGTAGGCTGAAAATTAGGGATAATGGTCCATTCTTGCTGCACCCACCTAATGTTTTCACCGCAGTGCACATTCTCCTTAAACCACACTGGTGCCAGAATGGTATTGTTAGTCTTTATACGCTTCCGCCGTGCTTGATGGCAGTGTTCTTAAAACCAGTGTCATTCCAATCGCCCCACCGTGACCTGGATGTGAAAAACATAGTGCAAAAAGTTGTATGTTATCGAAAAGAGGATTGGTAAAAAAAAAAAAATATGTGTTTGCTTTGAATAGTTACGTGGGTTGGATCCTGGATACAGGGCATTCCATGACCAAAGGCCCAAGCTGGTGTAGTCATTCTTTTCGAATCAGAGAAAAAGTCAAACTTTTGCACGGAGCTGGTCGTCATAATTGAGCAATTGAGCAACAGGTTTGTGGAAGCTCGCTGCAAACACTCACTCCAAAGCGGTGGTCAGAGAACTCACCATGTGATATCATCTTTATGTATGGAATTTCCAGCAAATAAGATGTGTCCACGAGCTACGTCGAGCATTGACGTCAGACCACGTGCTTGCATTTGCATTTTTGAGCTGCGCCGGATCATTTGACAAATGTTCCGACACGACGCAAGTTGGTTAAAACTTGCGGCTTGGACAAGTCTTGCTGCCCTCAAACTTCCTCGTGTTGCACAAATATAATGCAGAGGAATAATACACAATCATTGTATCGAGAAAAGTCGGAGAACATACTCAAAAAAGAGGTTGCGCAAAAGAAGAAAAAGAAAGCAAAAGCAGAAAGACTTTGGGAGGAAGCCTTACAGTTATGGACAGAGCTCTTAGTTTTTCTGAGGCTTCGGCTTCCTAGAACAGCTTAATTGTTAATAAGATGTCATCGGTTGTTCAATGGTTTTCGTAGTGCCCCGTTGTTGTAAAAAACTTCAGTGTGCAAAGAAATAATACTAATTGATTGTAACTGTTCCCAAAAGTCCTGTTAAGAAAAGTATGATCAGAAACTTGTGGATGACAAATAGATGCCTGTTCAGATAAAAAAAAAACGAAAAAAAAAAAAGCCCGAAAATACTTAAAAAAAGAAGAAAAAAAAAGAAGTGCAGCTGTTGAAGCATATGAACTACCTTGAAAATAATGCTCTCTTAGCATATTCATAGACTTCACTGGCGGGGATGGAGGTGATATAAATAGGGTTACCATATTCCTCAAGGTAGAAAACGGGACATCCCAAGGGGGGGGGGGGGGGGGGGGTGTTCAGTTGCATGCACTCATTTGGAAGGTCCTTCTTCGGGTCCTTCGTTGGTGTGGGCGTAGTTTGCCGACAACTGAAGTTTCCTAAGCGTGACTTTATCTTGCAAGACTCGGCTGTAAACGTCTGCGCACATATATATATATAAAAAGAATCATGTCCCGAAGACGGGACATGATTCTTTATTGGGACAAAAAGACAGGACGGCAGAAGCAGACCTCAAAAACGGGACTGTCCCGGCCAAAACGGGACGTCTGGTCACCCTAGATATAAAGGATATGAGAAGACAAAATAGGGAAAAAAATTGGAGCATGAGATTACTCTCTTCTTTTTTTTATAGGCTGCAATATAGTTGAACACTAAACAAATGTCATTGAGTGGAAAATAGAGAGTAAACAAATTAATTGCCTTGTCAGGTGACAACTGAAAAATGTTTTTTTCAGTTATATCCTTTTACTCTGTACCATTTTGAAACTTTCTTGGTGGGGGCTAAATTAGATTGTGTAATTAATTGAGTTATGTAATCTAATCCAAACAACTGCATTGAAATACAGTTGTTCCAGCTTTATTCAGTACATCAAGTTTCTACTCTAAAAAAAAGAAAACATTAAATTTTGTAAAAAGTGAATGTCAGTCTGCATTTAAAAATTATGCCAATTATGAGGTATGTGTCTTGCACAAGAAAGAAGCCCTTTATAGGTAGAATTCTCAGTTTTTGACAGATAAATTTTTGATATACAGTTCAGTGTAATGATTTGGCGTTTATCAGTATACGTAGATGTAAATTCAGTACACCAGATCATGAAAATACTGCATAAAAAATTAAACTCCAGAAGCAATTAAAGGTGGGTTACTATTAACATAAAAATATTTGTGGTTGGTCCCTCAGACCTTTCTGATAACTTACGCTCATAAAGGTGCCCCTATCGTGACCAGTGCTTACATCCCTATCAAGATGCCAAGAATATAGTATTAAAACAATGCTTACTCTCAAAAACAGTTAGTCGGTTGGTTTGGTGTCTTAATCTTTGTCCGTTGACTTGTCGAAAAAACATTCAGCTTGTGGTTATCTGTTTTTCTGGTCAATACTGAAAACCAGACACCCTAGCTTATATATGGCCTTCAGCTTACTAATTGTGGAACTGAAGTGATGGCTTCTCTACTTCCATTTGGCTCTGAATCATCTGGTCTTTACTAATGTCTTGCCACTTTTTTCACGCAGGCAACCCCACAAGGTGTCCGTCATATGGACGAGGCGGGGACGACGTGTTGCTTCCCAGGTGTGTATATGCGTATGTGTGTGTTTTGTTCTAACAGCGATAATTGTTGTGGGTTTTTCCCACTACTGAAAATGACGTCCGTTGTTGGTGTTGTAGTAGCTGTCGTTGTTGATCATGTTGTAGTTGGCGATGTAGGACATCCGTCGTCGATGTGGCCAAATCCTCGAAAAAGATTGCCTGCCGCCCACAGGAATCGAACCTGGGTCCGCTCTGTACGAAGTAGACGCGTTACCGTTGAGCTATGCCACGCCGTTAACAACCTGCTCGAGAATTTTTGTGGTACCCGATGCCCACTTCACACGCTTTCTGGAAGAAGAAAAATAGCCGATAACAAATTGCCATTGTAGCACTGTCAATGCCAAGAGCTTACGTGTTCCAGAACAAAATAAAAAAAAAAAAAGCATTCGGAACAAAAAATGGTTACATGTCTGCTTTGTTCCAAACGCTTTTGTTCACGCACCCCACAATGCATGAACGCGACACCAATTCCCATCAACTTCGCCGTTACTTGTTGCTGTGGCTGTACAGTAAATTAACCTTGGACAGCTCTTTTTTATATATATATATTTATTTATTTATTTATTTATTTATTTATGTATAGAAAAAAAATATATATATTTTTTGTAGCAACTCGCCTGCAGTGAGGGTTGCTCGTTCCAGGCTCACTTTTCCACAGTTTTGCCGACCATTGTACTTTTTCATTAGGAACCTTTTGTCTCGGGTCAAGCCACTCGCAACGCCGAGAAGGTGTGCCATGTTTTGGTTTTTTGCACGAAAACCGATGCTTGAGGTCGAGACTCGCTTTTATGATCTCGACGTTTGCCCCAGCCGCTTCTGTGCTCTGCTTGTTATCCGCAGTTCTTTGTGCATTCACATCTCTGTGCATAATAGAATTTTACGTTTGAAAGAGATCTTGCACGTCCACACTTAAAGGCTATCTGACAAGGTATTCGCGACTCCAGCAAAACGGACGCCGACAAGCGGGAAAACCGGGAACCAGTCGGTCCAGGTCGCTCCGCGCCCCGCCGCGTCTCTAATGGCTTTCGCGGAAACGTGCTGTCGGCGCAGGGGCGAACAATGTAATTTGACGAAGGTCCAAAAATTTCTTAAGTTTGCCTGAGTATTCATTAGTGTGGTGAAGCCTCAGTAGATTGTTTCTTTGCATCACGTGTTTGAAAGCCCATTTACTCCACAACAGACGGTCGCGTGCTTTCAATTTTTTGGATGAGGAGGAATCACGGAAAAACGTTTTGATTTCTCGTCTGTCTCTAATCACATTCAAAGTGACGACTGCTTGGTAACTGATAAGTGGTTTCTTTATAAGGATGTAGAACAGTGGACTGAGGTCGACAGACGAAGTGTTTCACTAGAGGGAACACCAATGTTGCAGTCAAGTGAATGGGAAGGTTCGATAGCTGCTTTCCTTGAGTTTGGTTGTGCTCGATTAGCTTCAAGTTAATTTGAGCCACTAACGCCGGCCGGTGCGTTGGCTATTCATCTTGGCGGCTTTTCGCCGAAAAAGACCACATTGAGGGAGTTGGGCTAATTTCGCAATTACTTGATTCAGAAAACCTGCTCGCTGCATATGATTAATGAGGGAAATTATCTGCTTTCAAAAGGTGGGGGACGCGTCTCGCGAATTTAGAAGCTGTCACGTCATTAAGATCTATCGCGCCTCCAATATTTATATTATAACCCCTGTCGAAGCTAGCAGCAATATACGTCTACATTGCTCAGGTTGACCGGCCACGAAAAATACTAATTTTATCCGTTCAGGTTTCGAAGTCAAGTTCAATGCAGAGAGGTCTGAGTGAATCTCCGATAAAGACTCTCCTCAGTTTGTCCGCATTCGTCTCCATTCTACCGGCTAGAACCATTTGGCTAAGTTTAAGTAGTATCTCTCTGTCTGTCAAATATACTTTTATTCAGCAGTTCACCTAATAGTTAGTCAACTAAGTTCATATTTCAACCCGAAGAATATACTAATATCGCTTTAGTGGGACGTAATATAATACATAGTCCGCATATTCGTCAAAATGACTTCTCGATTGCTACTATACTAAAACCTGAATTGAAATACGAGTATCAGCTGCTTAGTGAAGCGCCAGCGAGTTGACATGCTCCTTGGCTCAAGATGCGCTTGCTTAATTTTCGTAATTTTCCTGCAGCCTGCGTTCTTGACCGAGCACACGACTGGAGCTGTTTCTTGAAACGCGGACAGGCACAAAAGCTCAATTTCGCGGACAGATAAGTCGCATGGTAGAGGCATGCGAGTTAGCTAAAAATTACTCTCGGTGGAACAATTTTGTAGCCCTCGCCGCTTTCCTTAGATGATCAAAACTAATTAGAGTCTATTACCGCTTCTCCGGAGCCCATAGTTTCGGTTTTGATCGAAGTCTTCGAAACGAAAGTTTGACATGAAAAGAACAAAAAACATCGGCAAAACAAAACTATGCTCGGCAAGTTTATGCGCACCGGCTACACTTAATTGTCTCAGTTTAAATACCCATAAAATTGGGCATTCAACAAAAGAAAATTTGTTAAATTGAATGCGCCACCCATTCAGGCGGCCTGGCCGAGCCGACGCGACCTGGACTCAGCCGCCATGTTTGTTTGGTGGTGGCGCCCCCTATAGGTCGCTGGAGTCGCGAATTCGTGCATGCACAGATTTCTGCGGAAGCACAAGCTAAACGAACCCGACAACCAGAAAAATAGAAACTATTTGCGAGTCAAAATCTGACTTTCTTCCCCACAAAGACCATAAATTCGAGAGCAAAAGGGCCAGGGAATCGTTGAGAAGAAATAAGCCACCCGAGGCAGATCATCATTAACAAAAATAATAGAATCCATTAACATAATTGCTATGTCTACCGAAACATCAATAAGCACATTGATTACGGAACACTGAAATCCTTGGTAGCTGCAGGAAACAGAACAACCCAAGTGGCCTCTGGAGTCCTTAATTTCAGTTGCTTTTCTTAGCAAATGTGCGACCGTGCAGCGAAAAATGAATTGTAAGGTGTCTCGACTTCATACTCTAGTATTTCACGCAGAAAAATCGGTTAAGTTTTTGACGTGTCACAGCACATAAACGTGATTTCAGTAGTTTTCAGTAGGCAAGTTTTCTTTGTAAAATGAAACGAAACTGTGTCCTTCTTTCACAGCCCCGCTCTTGGGAGCCAACCATCCGGGACCCCTACCGTGGCCGGGTGGTGTGGCCCGTGCCGGAAAACGTGGAGGTGACGGTGACTCTCTTCCGGGACGCCCGCAGCACCACCTTTGAGGACAAGGACTGGAGTTTCGTTGTGGAAGACGTGAGTTTTCTCGTCTCGCTACGTCTCTGCGCAGTCACCGGGTGTTCGTGGAAGACCGGGACTCACCATATTTTCGGTTTTGTTTCCAAGGCGGTGACACCGACTTTCCCCAATATTGTGTGTAGGTTAAGGGGCAAGCTAATGAGGCAGTGCTTTCTGTTATTTGTTTTGAGTGCAGGAATTGCGTGTGACTATTTTCTGGGCCTAAATTAAAGTGTGGTAGGTACTTCTCAGGAACATTTGATTGTTCTTGTGGCGATTTTATACGCAAACATGCGAGGGCTCTGTGGATGACTCGCCATGTATTGATTTGACACCTGTTCTTCCTGCAACATTAATAATTCGATTCTGCTTTCTGTTCCCTCCTATAAATATCTTGGTGTTCATCTAGCCCATAACCTCTCCCGGAATATCCATGTCCAACATGTCACTAAAAGTGCCAATCAATTACTGGGCTATCTTAAAAGAAACTTTTTGCCAACTCCGGTGCTTTTAAAGCTTCTTTTATACAAAACTTTAGTTCACTCTAGACTGGAATATGCAGCCTCTATGTGGGACATTGGTATCACCCTTGCATCTGCTGTTGAGTCCATTCGGAATCGTTCTGCTCTTTTCATTCTTTTAAACTACCATCGCAAAGCCAGCGTCACCTCTATGAAAACATCTCTATCCTTACCTAGCCTCTCTTTTTGTAGAAAATTATCTCGTTTATGTCTTTTTCACAAGATTTATCGCTTTAATCCCACACTTTGTGAAACATTATGTATAGAGCCATCTTACATATCATCACAAACAAATCACCAGTTAAAGGTAAGTATCCCTCGTTGTAACACCTCCTCATTTAATGCCTCTTTTTTCCCCAAACATCAATAGATTGGAATCGCCTTCCCGCATGCATAGTCACAATAACTGACGCTGCTGATTTTAAAATTGTGATTACTAATTTTCCTGTTGTTCCTTGGTCATTGTTCCAACTTTTTCCCTTGCATGTTGTTATACTCGTATATTCTTTGTGTTAAAACTCACTTCTCTTTATAATGCCTTCGGGCCCTGAGAGAAATAAATGAAATGAAATGAAATCAAATGAAGTGAGATTGAAAGAGTTTGTATTTGGATGTCTAATCGAGGTGTCTTTTTTGAGATTTCGACTTGCAGTCGAATAAATAGGAAAGGGGACTTCCTTGTCCAGTAGCCTTGGGCATAGAAGCTAAATCCAAGAATGCTTCATAAGTTCTCTCAAACGTTGGTTATGTGCCCATTGTGCATTATTCCCCACTGCAGCTTGTATGGAAAGAGGCTTGTCATCTCTCTCATTGACAAGGATTTTAAGCCCTGCCAAAAAGAGTTTGCAGGCCAGAGTTCCAAACCGAAGAATGAGAGGTGGAAATACATTTTCACTAGCTGTTTTTGTGACAGGGAATTCATTGTCAAGGTCTGTAGACAGTAGCTTGCCAAATATATCAGACATGCTGGCCTTCTTTTATGAATTACGCTGACGAAAGTTGACCCTTGAAAGTGGTAAAATGGGAAAACTTGACGACGCGACGCAGGTCTTTAAACTTTTCATTTAATCGGTTTATCATTAGTAGTGTTGAAAGTCCAATGGGTGTTTAACTATTTCTTGTTCTAAATTATGCAGTACTTAGCAACTCAACATTGCCTGGTGGCCTGGGGAAAAAAGTGCTTATTTCATCACAAAAAAAAAGTTCAGGTGATTTTTTTTTGTTGGTTGTGTTGATAGCGATACAACAATATTTCTTGTGTCTGATGGATGTCTAGAATACTTCTAACCGAGGTCTGGCTTTTGAAGAGCCACCCGAACTCTGTTTCACGCATTGAGAAACCTCGTGATAAGATTCTCTATTTTGGGCAATAGACGTCTTTAGCTCGGTGCTGCTACCCTGTCTCCAGTTTCACTTGTGTGTAGCTTATGTTGAGTTTGTTTTTGAAACACAGCATGCATGTGCTTTTCTTAATGTAATAATGTGGACGGTGGTTTATTTTTATATGCCCAAACACGCGCATGAATTTTATTTTACATCTTGGCATTTCAATCCTTTGTTCGTACTCCAATGTGCCCACTCATGGAGCAATTTTGAAAGAAAAATAGGTAATAATCACGATGTTGCAATTTTCAAAAGTTCTGAAATCGTTTAATATAGTTTTTTTTTTTAAATGTAAGGGATAGATCCGAAGAAAGTCCCGGGCAGAGATATAGGATAGATGGATGGATAGATGTTAATGGCTATACTCTTTGTAACAGGCGGTAGCTTGCACTAAAAAGACAAACAGATGATTCCTCTCACCCTTCTAAGCCAATTTTCTCCCCCTAACTATCACCAGCCAGTGTGGAATATCACCACGATGACGTTCGAGAAATCGGGTAAAAAAACAAAAAAACATCACTCCCCTCCTCTTCCCCTCGACGAGGGAGTCGCCAATTTACCTCTGGTCAAACCTTTTCGGCGTTAACCCAGCGCCGGACCCACTGGGAGACAGGGTTGAGACTTTGGACCGGAGCCACGCGGGAGGGAGTCCCAACTTTTCTATGTCCCGCCTTTCCCCTGCTGTGCTAGTTAGTTGTGCATCATTCAATTTTCCCTACATAATTTTCACCAACCTTCTAATCGCATCTTTGTGACTGTAATCCTTCTCTGTTCCATCCTTCCATCATCGTCAGCAAATCCCAGGGCCCCAGCCAAATTCATTACCTTTTCAGGGAGGGCAGGGCAAAGCCCCGTGCACTTCAAAACCAAGTGCTCTAGTGTCTCGTTCTCATTATGGCAGGCGGAACATAATGTGTCTGTATCCTAAAATTTAGCACTGTACATCCTTGTCATCAAAGCTCCCGTTCTCGCCTCAAACACTAAAGAACTTCCCAGTGAATTGTCAAACAGTTTTTCTGCTTTTTTATATTCTGTTTTTGTGACCTGTACACTGTTAGAGTTGATTTTTCCTGCATTCTTTCCTCCCAGATTTTTCTTTCTGTCTCTTTCACCCCCTTCACTGAAGTTGTCTGCTCAGCCCTGTCACTAGTGTGTTGGTACTTAATGTAAGCTTTTGGGTTCAGTTTGTCCATTTTGTGTTTAAGGGGTGACACGACCCAGAAAAAACAATTTCTGCAAAAAGAGTTGATTTTGACAAATGTCATATTTACATCCACCAACATCCAGAGAGTATTCCCAGAAAGCTTCTTTAGTTTACACTGCATAATTAATTTTTCATAATTTTTTTTTGGTCCACCAATGCTAAAGAAAAGGTAGAGGTTGGAGCACTTCGAATGCATTTTTCTCCATTCCAATTTTTGGCAAAAATTTCACTTTAGGAAAACTATTGTTTTGTTATTACATAATTTGGATTCACTTTTAGAAGTTTTTCTGGGGTGAAATTTTAAGGGGAAGATAACTATGAGCTTGTATTTTTTTATTTTTGTCATTTTTTATGCTCAAGAACTAAACTTTTGGACAAAGGATGGAAATCTAAAAAACAGTATTTGTGTTTCTCTGGCTTTTCTGTCATGAAAGATGGTATAATATAGAAATATAGCTTCATAGTTATCTGCTCTGAACTGTCCTAAAGCAATATAACACATGAAAATGACAAATTTATAAGTAATTTCAAAACAATAGTTTTCCTACACAGACATGCCCACTTTCATCTTTGAACATTTGCAATTTTTTTGTACGTCACCCAGGTTAACAAAATTTGGCAGAAATGTTCTCAACGTTAACAGAAACAAACCCTGTAAATCTAATTTAAATAATCAAACGTTCACTTTTTTGGGAAGTGTTTAAACTTTTCATGTCTAAGTACTTGAATGCCTTCCGTGCCCACCGCATATCATTCATTTCAGTCAAAATTTGTTCAAATTTTAACTTACAAATTGCATCCCTGCTCTCAAAAGACACTCAGCCCATGTCCCCCTCTACTCCCTATTTGGTGTCTTTCCATGTGCTCCCAGTTGAACCTCTGATTTCATGCACAGTAAGTACCCCATTGCCAAAAGACAGTCCTGGTACCATCATTCCTTTCCATATACCTCTGACCACTTCATACCTATTATAGTTCCATAGTGCCTTGAGCTTCATAATAGATGAATTTCTTTTCTCTTTTCTAATTATATTATCCTAATGTTCCTCTAGATATTTCCTTCCCTCATTGAGCCAGACTCCCAGATATTTGTATTTTCCTACATGGTCTATTACAATGTCTTGTACCCACTGGGGTTCCCCTTTTTTGTCATTAAACACCTTTAGTCCAGGGTTGTCACTACTAAAACTGATGCCCAAGATGTCCCCTTCTTCTCCACATATTCGAGCTAGTTCCTGTAATGTATCCTGGTTATCTGCCATGAGTACTATGTCGTCCACACAGCTCAGTCCTGGTATTACCTGTACCACATATCTCCCTCCTTCCATGTAACTCACATCAAAAACTAAGTTGCTCTGCTCTATTTACTTTTCCATTTCACTGAGATATATCATCAAGAGAAGAGGTGACAGTGGACAGTCCTGCCTTAGCCCTCTTTTGATAGCTGCGGGTTGTGTAGTTTCTGCTTCCCATGTTATAACTACCTTGTTGTCTGTGTATTTGTCAAATTTATTTATTCTTTTTGGTCTCAATATTTAAGTTCCTTATTGCGCACAATTAAAATCACTTTAAGCATATTGAAATTTTAGGCAAATTTGCCATTGAAGCATTCATTCGGAGCAGATTCAGAACCTTTAGCTGGCAGGACTAAAAATTAGTCACACTAAGCTCCCTCAAGGTGCTTGCCTGCTTCTGATCAAGATGAGCGTAATATTACTTGTGTAGTATTATGCTCATCTCAAGGAAAGGAGCCCTATAACACATTCTGCATTAACAACATTTTAGTCGTTCATCTGAAGGCCCGTTTACTCAGTCTCACTCGCGTTGGCTTAGAACTAAACTCTTGCAATCTCTTGCCACGAGAGAACACGCTGGCGCCATCTATCAGGTTACCCTGGAACAGCATTTCACTAGAGTGAAGGTTTTACTTTATTTGCGAGGTCAAGTGTATGTACCATCTGTAAGAAATGGTCATTTATAACATTGCTGAAAGTTTTTTAAGCTAAAAAAAAAAAGAATGACATGCAAAAAAAAAAAGAAAATATGCAAAAACCAAAGGGGTCATACGGAATAGACGGCCAGGGTGTTCTCTCATCGTGAGTAACCCCGAGAGGTTTTACGGCACTCGGTCGAAAGGACTCGCAAGTGTGTGAAGCGGCCTATGGAGCAGATTCAAAGCCTTCAGCAGAAGCTCCGAATAATTATATAGATTGAGTTTCCTCAAGGCGCATGTCTTCTACTGATTGAGATTATGTTACATTACACTCTTTTCATGGAAATGACCCCTTTAACACACTCCGCATTAGAACCGGTCTAACCGTCCATCCGCAATCTTCGTAGGACTTGACGTGCAACCACGTTGTGCGACCCGCGTTGTGCAGATCTCTCCGCTGGGCAAGCGCCGGCACGTGGCAGTTGGCATTGTGAACGTGTCTGAGTTTGCCCGGGCGGAGGAGCCGAGCCAGATGGAGCTGGTGGTCAAGATGAAGCCCCTGTCGCCCAAGTGCCTCGAGGCCCATCTGGCACTCACCTTGTCCTGCAGCCTCATCAGGGAAGGGAAGGCCACGTAAGTACTGCCGTACACCTTTTCGACGCAGTACGTGTTTAACGAGTTGTTTTCCACGAGAGAATGGTCATCGACAAACGTTGTGACTGAGCGTCACAGACGAGTTACACACTGGGAGCGTTACTCGACGATTAATTTATATACAAAGCTTACAAAGGCCCATGTAAAGTCAACTATGAGGCCTCAGTGGGTCTTGAGTTCGGGTCGGGGCGGTGGCAGTCAAATACTGTAGCCACTGAGCTGCCTAACACAGCTACCGTAATAAAGTAAACTAACTTTCAATGTGCCAATAAAAAAATTGAAAAAAAAAAAAAAATTATAGTTCTAGGTTTTGTGACCTGTGAGACTTGCGATTGTAGGAAGAGGTGATGAACTAAAAAACGACTGTCCTCCCCAGTCAGCAATGTTCGCTTACCTTCCATCGTGGCTAAGTAACACCATTTCTGCTGAGCTCATGATTGGCCAGGGCCCTGCAATTACTAGGAGTTGGCTATCTTTAGGTGTTTTTGAAGAAATAGCAAATCGTGCCAAAAACAGGGGACGGGTTATCTTTTGGAGGAGGGGGATCTCTTGGGATATCATGGTACTTTGAAAGAGTAAATGATTTTATTTGCATGAAAATGTTCCAGCGAGAGCGGCACGTTTTTAATGTTTAAAATAATAAAGTAATAAATGAATTAAATAATAAAATACAATAACGTAAAAAAAAAATGAAGGAAAAAAAATATATATATACTAGAACGAATGAAACACTAGCACAAGCGACACAGGGAGGGTGGTTTGTGCGGGACACATTCTGTTGCCCCCGTCTTTGTCAGCACGACCGAGCCCGTGTAATTTTTGCGTTTACAAACACGAGCCGTCACTTGCCTCCCGAGAGACTTCCGGTCTCTCCGTTTCGGCGGGCTTTTCGAGCTCGTTTATTCCAAACGGCGAAGTTGGAGATCTAGCAGTGTCCTTCTGCTGCGCTATTCAACATACAGGAGGCGATAGCTCATCTGACTGAACTATTAAAGAAATCTTAGAGAAATCTCTCGCTAACTGGTTCTTCAGCGAAACACCTGGACAATTGGCAATTAAATGATTAAATGAATAAACAAGCTCTGGCGGGGATATTTTGTCCTCTTATTTTACCGGAAGTTGGCGGGAACGCAAAATGCAACGGTATCTTCTAGCAGCACTTGCGCGAAAAAGTTTCCATAGTCGCCGAGAGCTTAGGATGCGCAGGGTGTGGCAAGTGTCGAGCATCTTGTTGTCGCCCCGCAGCCAATGGGATTGCGCCATTATCCAGTAAGAACGTCAAGGAACGAATCACGAAGCAAGAAGTGTGGTTTCTGAACTTGTCTGTGACCGTAGTGTAGGGTGCGCCAGTGGCCTTTTGTTGCAACTCCGCTTCTAATCCAAAATGAGTCTCGGGCATTAATATTGCACTCATTTTTTTGTTTTTGTTCTGGAAAAAAGATTTTTCCGTAGCAGTCTACTAAAAAAAATACTTGGGAGGTGTTCATCGGTGTTTAGTGTCCCTTTCATGCTTGGTACGATAGGTAAAGGTTAACTATTGATACGAAAAAGACTGGCTAGGTGGTGCGAGCTGCCTCCCCATTTCAAAGGTTCAGCCGTACGCACCCAAACGGTTTATACGGTCTATCGCATAAATTCTGAAACAGGGTTCTAGGAACGCTCTTCGGAGTGCTTACGAGTTCCCCGAGCTCCCGAGAGGCCTCAGCCGTCCCCGCCCCTAAGTCGAGCGTTTCTCCGGTTTAAGCAAACTTTTATCGGATCTGAGCCACCCATTGCTGCATAACTGAGAGCCAAACATCTCCCCCCCCCATCCCAGTACGCACATTATTATTTACGTGATCGGTAGTCTCGTTTACCATTTTATTTGTGTCCACCCCAGGACCGGGAGGGGTTTTTTGGTCGATAACTGGGGCGGATCCTCGAGGTAGGAAGTTTCGATGACGCTCGGTCTATTGCAGGGATGGCAAAGACGGGAAAAAAACGTGGCCAATGTGCCGACATCGGGGGTCCCAAGTCATCAAACAAGAAACAGGGCAACGGGAAAGATGACGAAAGAAAGTGGACGATAGGGCGCGTCCATTTTGCGGCGACGAGTTGAAATTTTTTTAGCGCTTGTTGGGTTTATTTACTTTTATACAACACGCGTTGCCAATGTTTTGCCACAGAGTAAGCTAGAAAAGAGCTAGATACAGACCTTACGGGCGATATTTTGTGATTCATTTGCGTACATCAGGCGCCGATGGCGATACGGGCCTTTCTGGGCCGCCTCCCGGGCCCACCGACGTCCGCATCTGTGCCCCGCCGTTCCCAAGTGGCCCAAATGCGTAAAACCTTTTCCTCGAGAAAGAAAAAAAAATTAGTGTATTGGAAACACTAAGAGGTTAGCCAAGCTTAAAGGAGGGGTGCAATGATTTTAAGATTAAAAGGATGTGCATCTCGTCGTTTTTGCGTTGTTTATCGTGTCCCGGAGGATAGAGAAAACATCTTCTTTAATAAAAAATGTTGCGATTCTGCTGCATAATCGCAAAGCAAAAGTCTAGCTTTTTCCCCCACCTGCAGCCGTAAGTGGCAGCCGAAGGAACTACGGCAAAAAGATAATGTGACCTCGGTCAGTTCTAAGTTGCAGCATAACGCCCACTAATGTCAGTAGGGAGAGGGAGAGGAAGCGTCCTCCGAGAGAGCTCACGGGAAGCTACACGGCACCCCGAATTATGTCGCTAGGAGGGTGACTGGGTGTGGCCCTGAAGACTGGGAATGAGTTGGGGGTGCCAGAAATGGCAATCTTTATCTTTTTTTTTTACAACAACTAGGACGTGCAGGTGGAATTTGTTTTCTGTTCTTTACTTTAGGAGGGTCAGAGGGCAACTTCCACAAATGTTGGACCGAAGTCCGGAAATCATTGCACCCCCTCTTTAACGATGCTCAGTCAACCTTTCACGACTTGCAACTCTCGTCGAAACTCGCGACACATGCTCGCAGGGACGAAGACATGCAGAGCATAGCGAGCCTGCTGAGCGCGGCTCCATTGGCTGCGCCCGACGTGGGCAACCTGGACGACTTCGAAGAGGACGCCGAGACATCGTTGCAGTTGGCCCGGCTGGCGGCACACTGCTCGGAGCTGCTCCAGGAGGAGGAGGAGGCGGAGCCGGGGGCGGAGGAGGAGGAGAGGAAGAAGGCGACGAAGCGGCAGAGGTCACCCCCCATCGCAGTGGAGGAGGAGGAGGAGGAGATGCCGCCCGAACCGCCCGAAGACCCCGAGAGCAAGTCCCGGCGGACCGCTGACGCGGAGCAGGTGGGTGGGAAGGGTGGCTCGCGTTGGCGGCAAACACTTTACGAGGAGAGTACGTCGTTTTTCGCTCATTTGCTTTAGACGGTGCACCTAGAGTGCCAAATCCTCTCCCGACAGTCTGTAAACACAAAGAGTGCACACACCCTATGCTGTTGCTAGGTGCAAGTTAGGGATGAGCCGGAAGCTCTTTCCGCACCCTCATTATTGCCAGTCAGTGTTCCTCCGCAGTGTGAAAATAGTCCAATACCAAGGAGCGGTCTGGGCTGTGCCATTTTTCTCTTCTACGTGTCTACACCTCGCCAATTTGATGAGATAAAATCAACTCTGACCATCTCAATTATTTGAAATGCATGTGCAAAAGCACACTTATTTGAATTGTTTTGCTAAACAAATTGTGTTGCATCGTTTTACGTTTAAAATACAAATACACTCACCTGGCAACAAAATAATTATATGTACCTGGTCATGCTGACAAAGACCACCAAGCGCAGAATGTGTCCCTCACAAACCACACTCCGTGTGTCATTTGTGCTAGATTTTAATATTTTTTACTTTATTTTTTTTTATTTCTTATTATAATTGTATTTCTTATTTGTTTGTTTGTTTTTTGTTATTTTTATTTACAACCAGTTGTTGTCGCCGGCACTTTTGCATTCAAATAAAAATGTTGTAAGTCCAACTGTCGTTTGTGTAAGATGGGAGGAACGCATTTTCCGGGTTCGGCACACGGAATCCGTCGTGGCTTGTGTCAACAGTTCGAATGACGCGTCAATGCATCCCTTATGTCTGGTTGTCCCCGGTGGCTCTGAAGATGTAAAGGTATAATGAATTCCTGTTATAATCGTGAGGTACTAGTTAAGGGGAGGCTGGTCTTTAACTTTGTGTTTTTTATCTTTCATTTATCGTGCTGAAATTCAGGATACTAATGTATTTATCAGTAGTGATTTCAAATGTGCAATTAGTTTTTAGGTAGCTTTACGAAATCATGAGTTATTAATAATTTTGCCATTTTAATTAGGTTTTCTTTACGGGTCGTTAGCGTAAAATTATTCAGAATCTTTCAGAAATTTTTATAGAATTGCATTAACCAAGACATGTTTTGTGCGGTGATGCTATTTTTGTTGCTTTATATCTCATATAATAATTTTAATTAATTAATCTAAAAAAGATATAACCTCCCATTTTGTGCAACTTCATTTTAAATGTTTTCTACCAATATAACATCATTAGATTAGGCTTAAAATAGCATCACCGCACAAAACATGTCTTGGTGATTGTAACTCTATAAAAAATTGTGATATATTCTGAACAATCTTATGGTAACGGCCCGTAAGGAGGACCTAATTAAAATTAAAAATGTGTTAATAACTCAGGATCTAGTTAAGCTATCTGAAAATTAATTGCATATTTGAAATCACCACTGAGAAATACATCAGTTTACTGAATTTCAGCTTGATAAATGAAAAATAAAAAACAAAAAGTTAAAGACCAGCCTCCCCCCTTAAGGGTAGACTTGGGAATTAGAACCTTTTTTTTTTACTTATCGTCAAATTTTAATGAAACTTATCATGTGTATGTATTTTATTGTGCTGATTCCAAATCTGTCATTAGTTTTGAAATAGCTACATGCAATCAAAAGATATTAAGCTTTTTAGAAATATATTTAGAGCACTTCCTAGGGGGCTTTAGGGTAATTTCACCTCATCAAACACGAACATGAAATACATGGCTATAATGCCGAAGACTTGCTTTAGCCGGTGATGCTAATTGTATTCTTTTTAAAGTACTTTTCAGTGCAAAAAAACATTGATGTCTGAAGACCTTAAAATTTCATATTAATTATTTTGTTATTATTATTGTATATGATATGGCAAACAGCGTTAGACCTAAAAAATATCATCACCGGCTAGATCTAATCAATACAAGCACAATGATACCAAATTTCTGGTTGTCACACGAAAAAAATATTGGAAAAGCCTCCGTAAGGCAGCGTGTGATGTTCGAAAACATGAAACTGAGAAAACTGCACTTGAAGTTTCATCTTACCAAACTTTTACTTATGGTGAATTCCACTCGTAGATCCGGAGCGCTTTCAAAAATCCGCGAGGGAGGCAAAATTCCACTCCGTGGAACCCGCTCCGAATCGACGAGGGGAAGATAAACTTGCACTTTTGGAGCGACCTCCCCCACACCCCTGCCCAGCGCTTCCCGGCTTCCCCCTCCGCCGTTCAAAATGGCCACTGCTCGAACTTGACAAGCCCACCAACGCCTCAACCGACTGATCTTTCCGACGACCAGTGACGATTGTCACTGCTTAGCCGCAGAAATAACACGCGACACAGGCCGGGCGAAATTATGCGTACCACGGCGCCCATGTCACAAATCACGAATACGTCCGCGTTCGGCACCGTTGCATACCTTTCGGCCGCCTCAAAGCGGCGGGGCATGGACAACGATTGCCAGCGGTGGAGGTCAGATTTCTGGTACGACTTTAATAAACACAGAGGTAAGAAACAATCACTTGCGCGGTCGTTGCCTAATCACCAGTCTTGGGTAGTAACGCGTTACTAGTAACGCTTTACTATAACTTCGTTACTTTTTTGGTAACTTGTAGCTGTAACGAGTTACTTCTTAAAAATGTAACTTGTAACTGTAGTTCTATTACTTTTTTCTGAGGTAACGATGAAAGTAACGACGTTACTTTTGTCGTTACTTTCCAGTGTTTTATGAATAATATATCACTGAACGAGGGTGCAATTTAGCCATTCCTTGCACTTTCCAAATAGTCTATTCCGACATTTCGAGTGTCAAGTTGGCCTTGCGCAAAGTTGTGAATACGTTCTTTCTCGCGAGTCACGACCCGAATATAGCCACGTGTAGATTTTATGAAAAAATATCTAGTTATCTTTACGCACGCGCTTGTACTTTGTGACTCAGCACTTACATCTTAGTGTCTTGAAGCACTACTGATGTTGTGGTTTTTCTTTTTTCTCTGCAAACGCATTTTAATCGGGGGAATCAACTGTGAAACAACAATACACGTGGAGGGCACTGCGCATGTCTCGTATTTTGATTAGCGCCACTACTCTGGCATGGAAACTTTCAAACACTAACTTCGAGAGGCAACTGCTGCTAAGTTACAATATAAAGTAAAAAGCATACTTTTTAATTTTATGCAATAAAACGTTGTGAGGAGCGTTTTCTGATTTTTTCTAAATTTTTTTTGTTATAGAAAAGTAACTGAAAAGTAACGTCGTTACTTTTTAAAAGTAACTGTAACGAGTTACTTTTTAGTTGCACTAACTGTAACGGTAACTTCGCTACTTTTTACAAAAAGTAACTAACTGTAACGAATTACTTTTTAAAAGTAACTTACCCATGACTGCTAATCACCTCTTGCTTTATTTCACGGTAAAACGTCAGCGGAATGCTGTGTAAAAAGGTAAACAATCACGGCTGCAGAATGAAAAGGCCTAACCTTGCGTCTGCCTCCGGCTTTTCTGTCGTTCTTCCTCTCACGGTCACAGATGTCAGCGCTTACGATTTACTACGCTCCACAGTCCCGGCTTTGTATCCCTGATCTACGCGAGGTAGAAGCGTTCGAGCCGTCACAATCCCGCGTAAACAACCGACGCACCCACACAGATCCAACTCGACGCCCCGACCGGCCCGCCGAGTCCTCTCCAACCTCGCCGCACATGCACACTGCCGATTTAGGCGGAAATTACGTCGGCCGCTCTGTCAACTTCCGGAGAGATCTGTGAAATCCCACAGAGCAAGTTCGGCGGGGTTTGATGCGCTCCATGGAGCGGGCGCTGCCAGAGATCTACGAGCGGAAGATGACCAGCTCGAGCCTGATCTGTGAGTGGAATATGCGCGCTCCAAATGGAGCGCTTTTGGAGCGCTCGAGATCTGCGAGCGGAATTCATTATTAAATACAGCTACAGCAATCTAAATAGCATCACCATATAAGTTTGTTCTTCATGAACAAGACCATACCAAGTTTGTGGCCACCTTATAAAGATAGCATCAAAAAAATATCCGTAACATCATGCACACTCTACCAAAAAAAACGGAGAAAATTACATTTGTCACTTCATATACCTCTTTAGTGCCTAGGTAAGCAAAATTGTCACCTAAATAGCATCACCATGTAGTCCTGCTTTTTACAAATAAAGTTGCACCACGTTCATGGTCAAAACAGAACAAAAACTTGTTTAGAGCCTCCGTAAGGTCGCACACTGTCCTTCGATGTTACTCGGACCTAGAGTAGACCAGGCCTGTAGTCCGAGTCCCTTGTTGGCTTGTGCCTCCTTGTGAGCTTGGTCTTGACGGCATTCCACTCTCTGTGGTCATCATTTGACCTCTGGAGCCTGCGGCGATCCTTCTCGAGGCTCCGGCGCACCAAGCGGTTTCCTGTGCAGTAGCCAAGCTTCTCAGCCATTCCTTTGTTGCTTTTCGTAACACCCTGGTTGAAACGGCTGATTCCTTCAGCTACTCGCGTCTGGGTTCTGTGCAGCGAGGCATGCTTGCTCATTCGCACATGGTTCCAGGTCATGGCGTGCAGGCTGTCATTAGAGTTTTGCGTCATGCCATCGCTGCACCGCTTGAGGAGGGCCTCGTCGCTCAGCCGTGCGAACACTGGTTTGAGTGCTTCGCAGACGAAATCAGGCAGGCTGTTTTTGTGAGGAGGGGGCTGTTCTTTCTTCGCCATGGCACGGTTGTATCTGCACCACAACTCTGATCCTTCAGGACAGAGGCTGTACTTCGGGGTCTCATCAGTCAACGACATGTGCTGCAGCGTGGCCTCGACCGCTCTCCTCATGCCTGGGGCATCGTTCTTGTGGCTCCTCAGGGCATAGCCATAGTAATTGGTGATCTTTTGGATCTTGTCCTGCGTGAGCCGTCCTTTCCCTCCAAGTGGTTCACCTTGGGCCTTCTTCTTGTCAACCAGTCCATGCAAGGCTGCCCCCATCCGTTTGCGCACGTGGTTGATGAAGTCTTTTTTTCCACCTTCACAAACCCATACACTGCATCCTCTGTCAGGGCGTGGAAGGTCCGGCTGTCTCCATCGGATAGCATGGTCGTGTACCGCAGCTTGTGCTTGTCCAGGGACCTCCAGAACATACATAGGGCAGCTTCCACTTCCATGCGGCCAGACTTGCAGTCAATGTTTTTTTGACACTCGGGAGTGTGCTTGGCTAGCCAGGCTGCATACCATTCTTCGCTGGGTTTCGGTCCAGTTGAGCAGCCCAAGCAAAAGTTGGAGAGCACCATGTGGTCGATGACGAGCCCTGTGTACATCTCGATGACGCAGCCAACAGAGACGTGCGAGTTGTGTCCTCGAGTCAGCCAAGTACCATAAAAAACGACATCAATGTTTCCTGGTGGGCTGTCCATGTCCTTGTACAGTTTCTTGATCGGGGCCACACTTGCAGCCTTACATTCTGTAGCAGTGGCATTGCAGGGTTGTTCCATCATGTTCATGTGGCCTTGGTAGGTCTTATGGTGCAGGCCGCGGTGAGAAATGTTCATTGTAGCAAAGAAGTCAGACACGGCTGTTGCTCCTTTACCAATGGTCTGAATTGCCTTCTTTGCGCGAACGTTGACTTCGAACGGCGTTATCTTGGCATCACCAGTCACCCTGGGAGAAGAAAACTGTTTTTCGCTCAGGTCGCATGTGGAGCCCGCGAGGACAAGTTTAGCACAAAGCCCATACTTCTTCCCCGGGGCCTTGGACACTGTCATGGTTTTCGCGCCACATTCAGGGCAGGGCATGAGCCCCAAGAACGAGTTGATCACGCTCATGTCCACGATCATGAAGTCCGTGCCACTGTCGTCGCCGTCGCTCACCAGGTTGACATCCAGCGGCTTGAACTTCCGTTCTGTTGCACACTGCGATGCAAGACGCTCGTTTACGTTCCCCACATTTGCTGCACGCTCGGCAGACTCCTCCACGGAGTAGTACACTGTGTCAATGCGGTCTTTGCTAGCGTCGGAGACGTGGACCGACGATGTGTTGACGACGGGTGCACCGGAGTGAGAAGCGAAGCTCGCTCCAGCAGAATCCTCCTTTTCAGGTTCAACGGGCGATCCTGGCAGCGTGTCTTCCTCCGACGCCTTCTGACGTGCATTCCAAGGACGCTTTCGTTTCTTGCCATACGCCTGACGCTTAGTTGTCTTCAGAGGAAGATCTCCAGGCATCCCGACAACAAACGAAAAGTCACCGCGCCTACTGCATTTCGTAACACGTTAGGAAATTCCTCACGTGCGCCTTTACAACACGATCTAACAAAGAAAATACTAAATAGCGAAGAATAACACACAATAAATGCACAAACTATTAAAATACTAGTACTAAAGTCTAAAAAAGCGATGGAAAAATGAGTTGAAAGAGCACGAGCTGCGCAACGGAATCGAGGAAGCAGACGACAGAGCGGACGCAGATCGGCGGCCCCTCCACGAAGTGAGGAATTTGGAGAGGAGGAAGGAGCACCGGAAGATCGGAAGGCCAATGGGAGACGCACATCTGGAGGAGCGCGCGCTTTGGCCAATCAGGGGCTCTGAAACGTCCGCCGGAAAACAAACCCGCGAAAACAGCAGTTCCGTTCGAGCGACGCCATTTTGGAATGTCGCAAAATGCAGAGAAAGGAAACAGCTTGAAAACAAAACCAAGATGGCGACCGCCAGACGTATGGTTTACAAATGGCGAGCGCGCGAAATAGGAGCATGTTTTGCAGTTTTGTGGGCATTTCACGTCTACCGTGTCGTTATAAAGTAGATATTTAAATATTTTCCGATTGAATTTAGCGTTCATATGTCATCAAGAGGCCCTTGAAAGTCTAAACCTCCCAAACAAGTGCTTTCTTAAAAAGCAATTTTTTTGCGATTTTTGAGCATTCTAGGACCCGCGTCTTCCCTTAAAGGAGAAAATCTATGGTCACCAAAAGGACGAGAACAGCAGAGCATTATCATTCACGCCTCGTAAGCAACCTGGGGGTCTAAAGTGTTGGACCGGGTCGCCCACACTCCAAATTGTCCGTGGTCATTTCCACCGCAAGGGGCTGAAGGCAATTGGCCCCGTGAGTGGCGCTCCGCTGCCGATAAAAGGCCGTCGCAGCGTATGCGTGTGGGCTCTAGGGATCGCGGCGCGGGCGATAACGGTCAATAAATGACTGCATGTAATTGAACTGGTGCGTTGTGTCATTCTCAGAGACGGGTAGCAGCGAGTAAAATCCTGCAGCCCTGCGCCATGCTTCGACCGCGCTTGCGTGCTCAAGGAGCCCGAGACACTCTTGTCAAAGGCAGGAAGCTCGGGCTGGAGGTGGAACAACCGAAGCTGCTCACCCTCACCCCGTCAGTAATCTCAGAGCGTGGCGGCTTTTGGGTTGCAACGTCTCTCGTAGCCTCTTTATAAATATTATTGTTCATCCACGCAAAGCCGCAAACATCTTTGATACCAGTGCATGTTGTCTCAGGTGCCCAATTTGGCGTTACATCCAATTTAGGAAACTACAACTCGATATTCGAGCGACCACTACTGGCTTTCGTCCAAGGCACAGCCACACTTTCACGATACACCGAGGAGATAACGGCAACTAGCAGGCGCACTTGTGTAAGGGTCCTCACCTTTCTGTCTAGCAAAACACGCTGCTAAGCAAATAAATGGAACTGCAGAAATAAAAATTTTTTTAATATATTTTTATTTACCCGAGTTCAACAGAGTGGCTAATGAAAGAGCATTATTGCTGGGGGATGACGGCGATCACCATGTCACCTTACGGTGCCATCCAGGAGCCCACGGAAGACCTGCTCACCTGGTGCCAGAGGGTGACTGCTGGCTACGGGGGCCTGAAGGTGACCAACCTGACGACCTCTTGGCGGAACGGCATGGCTTTCTGCGCCCTGCTGCACAGCTTCCACCCCCAGCTTGTGGACATGGACTCGCTGTCCCCGCATGACATTGCAGGAAACTGCAAGAAGGTAGGGCACTCCTGCCCTTACCCTGGCATTTTAAACTCTTTTTTTGGGTTAAAAAGTTTGTTAGTGAGAAAGAAAACATTACCTTTAACATGATATGAATAACAGCTGCAAAAATTGGGGACCATGAAAGGAACTCTACCGACAGCTCTTGTCTCGTCGCAGGTATTCCTTTCATGGTCCTTGTTTTTTGTAGCTGTTATTCCTATCATGTCAAACTATTACCAACTCGCCCAGTTCGACACCCTTATCCAGTTTGAAAGAATATTGTCTTTCTTACTCAGAATGTTTTTTACCGAAATAAATGCTACAGGCACCCACAATCTCAAATTTCGATTTGACAACCATTAGGCTTAGGTGGGCGTCCTCTCGAAGAAATTTTGTTTTTCTCTTGTATTTTTTGATCCGGGTGACGTCATGTGCTCGAACTATCACGTTCTGTGCCAACCATTAGCACAGAGAATCAGCTTCTTGCTATGCATAGTTTATGCGGGCTAAAAAACCGGGTTTTATTTTCTCGATCAAACCCAATATTAACGTTAGCATAGGTGGCTGACTCCCTGGGGTGTCCCCCACAGGCGTTTGACGCCGCGTCCCAGCTGGGGGTGCCGCGGCTGCTGGACCCCGCGGACATGGTGCTGCTGACAGTGCCGGACAAACTAGTGGTGGCTACTTACTTGCACCAGCTGCGCAGCCATCTGACGGGCAGGCACGCCATGCAATGCCCTGCTCCGCCACCCGTGGCGCCACCCGCGGCTCCCACGCTGGCCGAGACGGGTCCAAACGACAGGCCGGAGAGCCCCGTCTTGTGAGTATGACCTCGACCTGGCACATGTGATACTTGTGAGCGTAGATATTTGCCCTAAGAGATTGTGAAACACAAGTGTTTCGGTCTCTTTGAATGAGTAAACTATCAAGCACTTGTGCATCGCAGTCCTGTGGAGCACTTGTGTGTCATGTGTTTGTCCCTTTGAGCACTGTTTTTCATGATGTTCAATGGTCGCAAACTAGCCCAACTTACCAGCTTGTGTCGTGGTCATTATGGTACAAACATTCATCAAATGTGACCGTTATGCACTAACAAAATTTTTTTGGTTTATTTTTCATCAAATGCATAATGCATGGAGGTAGAAAAAAAATGGTGCGACTTAACGAGTCCTTGGTTCCTTCATATAAGAGGCAGCAGTGGCGGTATTAATTGGAAGTATGCGAAACTAGCAAACAGTTAGCGAAAAGGAATAATTTAACAATTTGACGATAGTATCACGACAGATTAACAATTTCAGATTTAGTATCAATGCATTAAAAGCTAAACATTTGAAACACAGGCCCAGCATCATTTGGTGCTGTGAAATATAACTGCATTTTCTAGGCAGACGTACGTTTTCAGAGGAGGTACAAAACATTTACTCAAGTGTAAAATTGAGGAAGTTTTAGGAACATGGCTATAGTTAAAGACATCACCAAAAATATTAGAGGACTGGTAGAGAAAACTGTGAAGAGGAAAGGGCACAATGGCAATCATGCTTAGGCTCTGTATCTTAGTTTCTGGGAGATCCAGTTCTTTTAACCATAAATGCCCAATGTGAAGAATTACTCCATTGCCCTGATCTCACATCACCTATTCATATTCACTAGGCTCATGCGAATATTTGAATTTTCATAAAGCAGTTTCGAATAATAAGCTATTCGATATTCGCTTCAAGTTGAACTGCAATATTCATACTTCGGGTGCACTTCTCACCGATCACCTGTGCACTGCAGGGATACCCACGGAGCTCAAGAGTGTTGCTTCCTTACTGTGAGAAGCGCACTCAACGGGGCTAACCCGCCGCAACAATCACAAGATTATTTGTTGTGCATCGTTGTCCTGGCAACATGCGTTTATATTCATGCTTAATGTTTTTTGCCCGATTTGAATTTTAGGAAAGACTATTTGCATATAGTAAGCAGATTTATATATCTGCTCGATTAGGATAGTTGTTAAGATTTGTTGTTTACATGTCACAGTTCGTAAATATAGTTATATCAAAAGTAACTCAGCTTAGAAGTGGACAAGTGGAAGCTTGGGAACAACGTTCGCATGTTCAGCTGAATTTTCATTTAAGCATGGTGCATGGTAGTGAAAGGCTTGGAGAAACTATTCGATATCCTATTTGAAACTATTCAGGCAAGACCAGTGTTTGCTTCAAATTCGCTTCGTACTAAAAGCCCACTATTCGCACATGATTTACATTCACCAGGGTGTCTACCTACCTGCAAAACTTGGAATTGTCAGGGAATTTCAAAGCATCTGAAGAAGTCAGGGAATTGTCAGGGAAATCGTCAAAAAGTTACCTAAGGGAAAATGGGTGATGTGGGCAGCGCTGTGTCATGCAACGAAGCAGGAAGGTGTGGCGTGCAGTGGCATTGATGGCCTTTGCACCGAGTGACATGTGCCCGGGGCCTCACTATGTAGTGTAAGCCACCACTCAATTCACTGGATTAACTTTGAACAGTCCCAACAGCCGCTGCAACCCCATCCTCTGCATTTTCTTCCTTCGTAAGGGTCAGTGAATTTAATCGAAATATTCCGGGAAAACCTGGAAAAGTCTGGGAATTCGAGAGAGGCAATTTTGTAGACACGCTGATTCACGTTCCCAAGCAAGTTTTGCGAGTTTCTCCTAATTTCTTTGTTAATCAGATCGTCTCAATTAGGGTCATGACCCACACAGGACACTTGTATAACACCCTTTGTGCAGCAAATATTGATGTTTTTAACTCAAATAATGTAGATGATTGGGCTGGTTGGCTCATTCTTAAAGCACAACGACAAAGAGTAAAAGAAGGCTGACAAACAACAGCGCCGACTTCCAACTAAACTTCACTAGTACTGACATCGAGTCTAGATACTATCTTTGTCGTAACCAGACAAACCATGGAAAGAAAACTTGTGAGTTACTTTTCCGTGGCTCGTCTGGTTGTGGGTCAGTGCTGTTGTTTGTCAGCCTTCTTTCACTTCATCCTTGTCTTTGCACTCTTTGTTTTTTTAACCCAAAGTTTTTAGCATTTAGGTTGTCTCTGACTAATTTGTAATCTCACTGCTTGTGCATCATTACTGAGGCATCGACTGTTCATGAGCACAGAAACCAACTAATTAACTAACTAATTAAGCTGCCACAGTCAAATTCAATCCAATTCTTGCAGGGAGCGCCCAGCGTCCCCGGCGAAACCGGCCGAAACTCTCGTCAGACCAAAGAGGGCAGACGAACCACCTCTGACCGTTCCAGCAGCGCCCCTGATGACACGCCAGCAACTCATGAACCCGTTCGACTCGGACGAAGAGGACTCGTCCAACACCAAGTCACGTGAGTGTGGCGTCCATCCCAGCTTCACCAAACATTTGTATGGGGAACTTGCGAGCGAGCGTAAAGTAGATTACATGGATTGGACGTCTTGGTTGAGACGAGCGTGACTTGGCACCAAGGTGCTTTTAGCTGGTAGATCTGTTGTGCAGAGATTTTAGGATACGGCGTCGCCGAAACCGGAGGCTTGAAATTGCAAGGTCGGCTTTCGCCCAGGGGTTGGTACAATCGACCTTAAGATGCATCCTTACCGTAAACCAGATTTTTTTTCAAGGCAGTGTTACATGTTGTGGAGAGAGAGTTCAGACTTCTTAGTTCGAAATGCCATATTACCGTATATACTCGATTCTAAGCACCCCCTTTTTTTCACACCCGCGATGTTCAAAGAGGGGGGGGGGGTGCTTAGATTCGGAACATGCCCCGAAAATACGAAATTTGCTCAAGAAATATGAATTTATTATAATCAAAATGAAAGAATAAATGTTCTTAAGGAAATAAATAAATTAAAGACTGGAGAGTAGCCCGCTTGCCGTGAGTTTGCACCATGGTCGACGAGTCGCTCTCGCGGCTAGTCTTTTGAGGATGATGTAGGACGCAAGTTTCCGACCGTCGGCTGTGATGCACAGCGTTACGGTCACCTTTTGCTTCTAATAGCGTTGTACGCACTTTTACTTTTCAGGCGCCTATTTCGTTCATGGTGCACGTCCTTGGCATGTCGATGTACACAGGGGTTTTATTGGCATTGCCGATCTGCCCGAGTCCGTAGCGAGATTCACGACGCAGCTTCATCACATAACGGTGGAAGTTGACAAGCTTGTCCTCGAAGTCCACCAGTAGCTTTCGGCAGATAGTGGTGCGGCGTCTCAAAGAGAAACTGTTCCTCTTCATTATTCGCTCCACCCAGCCTCGGCTTGCGCAGAACGCCACACTCCAAACTGTTCAGCAGCGCCGTGATTTCTGTTGTCTTCCGCGTAAGAAATATGTAACCGTTCTCTTGAGCTTCATCGTGTATGAAATTCTCTTTGCACTCATGATGGATGACTTCCGCAAATTACGTGCACACGGTGAACAGAATACGATTGCGAGGCCAACGCGGATGAATAGGCTTAACAGACTAAAGAACCGACTGCAACAAGCGCAAGGAGACCAAACAGACAAAACATCTTCGATATTTTGTACGAACGCACCCTCTTTCACAACCTGCACGGATGCGAAAGTGAAAAATGGCGGTATGTGCTCCCATCTTTTAACTGACGTTGAAACCAAGCGCTAGCGGCCGTTCGCGACTCCGTTGCTTGGCGATACCGGCGTCTCTGATCTCAAATTTCTTGTTGGGAGGGAGGTGCTTACATTCGCGTGCAAACTTTTTTTCAGATGTTTATGTTTGGGAGGGGGGGGGGTGCTGGGGTGCTTAGAATGGGAGGGTCCTTAGAATCACGAAAATACGGTATTGTGCCACATTGACACGGTGTAGGAAGTTTTGGAAACCTTCCAGGTGCTTGAATTGCATGAACTGGGACGGTTTTTGTAGAGAGTCTAAAGTTAAGGGAGGGAGCAACTCAATTCATGGAGAGTGTTAGCAATTTAATGGCGGGCGCCTCGGAGGTAAATCGGTTGCAAGCAACCGTGCCTCGCGTTGTTGCATGGCAAGGGGGAAAGCAGGTGGAAAGGCGAAGACGCTTGTGGACGATTGAGCGGCAGAGCTGGTGGAACGTTGGATACGCATTGCCTGCAGTGAAAAGTAATTCTGTTGTAGTTTTGACACTGAACGTAAAGCTTGCGCAAATGTTTTCACAAAAGGAGCGTTGTTCAAAAACTTTTTTTTTGTTACCTGTGGAGGGAGGCATTGTTGCCGGCGACGCTAGGAACGCTTTCCACCCGTACCTGCTCGCATGCCGGCAACAAAAAAAGAACCCTTTTCGATTGACGCTTCTCCATCGAGCTTGTGAACTGATAGATCTAAAAGCGTTGATTGGAACTGATTCTATAATGCTTTCAGCACTGTTGGCCATCTAGTTCACAACTTTTTTCGTTTCATAAAAGCTTCGAGCGTAAGCTCTGAAAAAAAGTCTCGTTACAGTTGTCTCTGTACTGAAAGAGAAACTTAACAAGAACAATACACCTTCACATTCTCTGCCCGGGTGCCAGTGAATTCCACCTGTTGGTCGTCTGTCATGGACAGGGCGGGCGAGTGACGGCGCCTTTTTCGCAGGCGGGGAGGCAGTTTCAGAGGCCCGGCCTCGCAGCGAGAGCCGAGACGAGCCTCCGAAGAGGTCGCTTCGGGCCACGCAGTCGGAAGGTCCCGTCACCAGGGTCATCGACCTCTCCCCCACCCGCGAGGGCGGGCTACCCCGGGAGGCAAACTCTCTGCCCGACGGATTCCCAAGTGCCCTTGTAGACCCCAAAAAGGTGGGCAACGAAGGTTTTCTTTTTTTATGTTCTTTTCTTTTCCTAGCTGACGTTATCTGCTGCAACACAGCGTCGTAGGTGAAAAGCCTGCATCTTCGATGCCAGAGCCGGCCGCCAAAAACTGTGAAAGAGAATGATGGGGCATGGCCGAAAGACGATAGAAGGGTGAAGGCGCCCCCGGATATCCGCGGACATGTTGCAAAACTATTCTCAATTCCTTGTTTGCTTTTTGCAAAGAAAAATATTATTTTATTTATTTGGAATACCCCTAAAAGCCTTCCGGGAGGGTATTAAAAGGGGGAAGGGGGGAGGGGGGGGGGGGGATGGGGAGGATTACTTAAGAATACAAAAATGGGGAATAGGGTGCGAAAAAAAAATTTATGCAGCCCATTCCCACTTGGGGCATACCCTTCTTTCCTAGTACCCCTATGCATCCTCATAATCCCACTTAAAAAAAAGTAAGTAGCTGGTAATTTTTGTTTCTACCGCAAAATAAAAAGAGAGATGTGGTTCCCCTTATGACACCTGTGTGGCTCTGTCCTCAAGATGCTTTCCTTGTTGCCGAGCTCTCCTCGTCCCCCTTTTACAGCAACCTGGCTGTCTATTGTTTGGCGCCAAAGGCTCAGGCTTTTTCCCATATGGGAGGTTACGGTAGTGTAAAATGTCAAGCATGCACCCTTGTCACAATGAGTGCCTATTTCCTACTTTTTAAATTTCAGAGAAATAAGCAAAGGACATACCATATTTTCGCGCGTATTACCCCTCATGATAACACAAAAAAATCCAAGGCAAAGTTGGGGTGCGGGTAATACGCGAATTTGGATGCGAGTGTGGCTTCACGGCAGTACGTGCCGAGCCGCATGGTTGGTAGGGACATAAATTCCCCAGAATCCCTTTTAGCCGTTGCTTCCTAGGTACTTCCCCCGTCTCTCCTTAGTTAGTCTTCTTTTTCGGAGTTGCCATCTTTGCACTGTCTGCGCGCCAAAACGTTGCCCTTGCCGCGCAGCCACGAAGGGAGAACCAAGCTATTTGTAAGCGTCAAACGTCAATCTTGCCATCTTGGTCGTCCCGTTTCGTCCGACATGAGCTGTGCTCGGGGGCAGTCCTTTACGGCGGAGCAGAAACTCAAAATAATCAGCGTTGCCGAAGAGATCGGGAATCGTGCGGCAGGTCGAAAGTATGATGTCGACGAATCCTGTATACGCGAGTGGAGAGCAAAGAAGCAGAATCCTCAAAGTGCAAGCTATGACCGCAGCTCCTTCCGCGGTCCCAAGACTGGAGCTTACCCCCAGATCAAAGCCTAGCTGGCGGAGTTCATTGAGGAGGAAAGAGGCCGCGGCCATGCCGTATCAACAAAGATGGCCCAGATCGAAGCTCTGAGGCTGGTAAGAGAAGACGGCATACCGCGCGACCAGTTTCGTGCCAGCCGTGGGTGCTTTCACTGATTCATGAAACGCCAAGGATTTTCCATCCGGAGGCGAGAAGTTGGTGAACTTCCAGCACTACGTGATCGGGCTCCGAAAGCGACACGAGTACGGTACTTGTACTCGCAGATTGGTAACGCGAACCAAACTCCCGTGTACTTTAAAATGCCACTGGACACAACTCTTCAGAAAAAGGGCTCCAAGTCGGTGAGAATTTACGGGCGGCAACACGAAACTGCGCTGCACAGTGATATTGTGCGCGTTAGCAGACGGCACAAAGCTACGGCCGTGCGTGATCTTTAAGTGCAAGATGCTTCCCACTGATTTGCCCTCCAGAATAGTTGTGCGTGCAGAGGACAACTCCTGGATGAACAGTCATCTTGTCGTCGACTGGTTGAAAAACCGTGTGGGAGACCAGGCCGGGCGCGATGTTAGCCCGGAGGTCCATGCTAGTGCTGGACGCGTTCCGGGGCCACAGCACGGAGGAAGTGAAGACCCATCTCGGTGATGACAAGACGGACCTCGTCATGATCCCAGGTGGGATGGCGTTCGTGCTTCAGCCGATGGATGTTTGCTTGAACAAGCCTTTTAAGGCGTATGTGAAGCGCATGTACACGGAGTGGATTGCCGAGGAGCAGTACGACCTCACGCCGACGGGCCAGATCTGCAAACCTGATATAGCAATACTTTGCAACTGGATTATCAAATTATCAATGCGTGGAAGGCGATTCCTGCCAAGATGATTCGCAAGAGCTTCACGAAGTGCTGTATCAGCAATCGCCAGGACGGCATGGATGACGGCACTCTCAGGTACAATGAAGATGCTTTAACTGATAGTTGCAGTGACTGCAGCAATGAGTAATGTTCTAATAAAGGTACTCTTTTTGGTGACTTTGACATTGCTTTCCGTGGGTAATTATGTGGGTAATGCTCGAGGTTTTTTTACAGCGGAGCTGCAAAGGGCTAGGTTCCCCAGGATCATGTCCGGTATGTCAACACAAACCTACCTGGACAGCTACCGCTATCTATAAGCGACGGCGGCAAGCACACGACCAGTCTGGTTGCCGCCATTGCTCTTAGATGGCGGCAAACTTTCCAGCTATCATAGAAGAATAGACGGTTGGGCGCGTTGGTGGAAATTCATCGTAGAAAACAGCGCGCAAAACAGACGACGGCGAAGAAGAAACACCCGTAACGAGCGCAGCGCTCGTCACGTGTGTTTCTTCGTCCTCGTCTGTTTTGCGTGCTGTTTCCTACGCTCTTATCAATTTCGGTTTGGACTCAGGATGGCTCGGCCGCAAGCCCCCTTCGGAGAAAGAAGACTGGCTGCGGAAGGAGCAGCGACGTACGCAGCAGCGCGAATGGGTCCGCAACCACCGCAAAGCCGCTGTCGCCTTGACTTCCACTGCGTCCAGCGTTTCAGATTTCCTTGCCAAAGAAGACCACATCACTCGCCTAGAAGGCCGCCACCGAAAATAAAACCAGCTATGTAAAGGGCGCCGGCGGGCCAACGCTACGGACGACAATCGTGCCACGGAGGTCAAGCGCACGCGCGAGGCTTGGGGACGACTGCACTCCACGCCGGCTGCACAGTTCCCGGATGCGACGGCAAGATTCCGAAGAGAGTTCGTGGAGAACTCGTTTGGCGTCACGTGCAGCGTGTGCTATCGACTCTGGTTCACCAGAGACGTATCCACGATCGGAGGCATGTCGGACGAGAAGAAGCGGGAAACGGGCACGTGCGCGTTACGGCAGTGTATAGAGTACAGCTCCGCTGGTCTTCCCTCTTCACGAGAGTGGAAAGGCTGAATGTTTTTTTTTTTTCTTTTTCTAACAGACGTAAGTTGAGGGTGGGGGTTATATGCAGGAGCGGGTAATACGCGCAAAAATACGGTATCCTGAGCTAACTGAGGTGCTTCCTTATGTCAGCCAGCTTCTTCGAGCATGCTGGTGCAAAGTGATGAAGCTTGAGATGCATGCACCTGTGCGAGGTGGTTAAGCTTGATGCGAGCAAGCTGGTGCAAAGCGGTGAAACCCACCCCAGGATCTGCCTTTTTTTGTAGCGTGAGCAACACTGGCCGAGGTTGAGCAGTTTCGTGTGGCTCCTGGAGAGCCATGCTGCTCATGCGCGAGAAGCTGTGACGTCACACGGCGCACAACTGGCACGCCGGAGCCGCCGCCGCCGCCGCGCGCCCCTCTCCGGTCTGCGCATTCCAGAGGAGTGACGTCATAGCCGCGGCAGACGCACTGGCGCCGGCGGGTGCTCAGCTGTGCGCCTCCGTTGCGCATGAGCCAAGTCTGACGCTGCACCGGAGCTGCTTCATAGCGCCTCTTATTTTGTGCGCATGCGCAGAGGTATCAGTGGGGGTATACATATAGTGGGCCGTTTACCAGTGTGGTATAGCCATGGAGAAGGAAAGCGAAATTTCTGCTCAGCGGCGCAGAAAAGCGGAGAAGCTTAACCGGATCCCGAAGTAGTTGCCTGGCAATTAGCGGTTGAGAAGAGGAAGAACGAACAGAAGAAGGCTAAACGTGCTGCGGAGACACCGGAGCAAAGGGAGGAACGTCTAGCAAAGCGGCGTCGCCAGGAGGCTGGGCGACGTGTCCGACCGCTCACGCTACGTATACCCTGGCATAACCAAGCTAAGCCTCTGCAATTTTTTTTTTTTTTTTGCATTTTTGCTCTTGGAACATAACAACAAGCTCCTTTTCCCAGTTTTTCAAGATTATCTTTAAATTTTGGGTGGGCACTTGCTCGGTATTTTGCAGTATGTCACTTTTGGGTTGATAGGTTTCTCATAAGGCATTTTACGAGTGCCCGTTTAAAATTGCTAGATATTTACGACAAAATTAATCAGAAAAGGTGTTCAGGCAGTGATGCTTGACAATTCCACTGCATGCCATGACCTGAACCGAGAGTTAAAAAATAGAGTACAGGTAAATGTTGTCTTTGTCTTCTGTTATTGTTAAAGTTATTTTAAAAAAAAAAAGTTAATTAGCAGTAGTAGCTGCTTTTGGGTGGACATTGATTTCATAAACCTAATTCTTTCAAAGTAAAAACAGCATTTGCGGGTTTCATGGTTTTGCCTAAATAAATACCAGGATGGCAAACAGTAATTTTACCTGATGCCTGAAGTATTTTTGGTGAAACCACTGTTGGTGCCATAGGAAGAAAACCGAAAAGGGATGCCAAAAGGAAGTAACTGTAATGAAACTTTCAATTTGTTTCTTTCTTATGCAAGAATGAAAAAAAAAAAAAAAAGTTTTTCTGTGTTTTTGGCAATTTTTATTTACTGTATAAGAACAACAAGCAAGTGCTGCATACACTGTATAACAAAAGTGGAACACTGTTGTATAAAATCTCCTATCGAAGTAAGCATGGGTGCACTGTGCTGCAACTATTTCAGTACTGTTGCATGAAACCTTGTACGAAAATCAAGAGCAGATGCACCCACAGTGTGTTGCAACTAGACTATTGCATGAAGTCTTGTAAGAATGCAAAAATAAGTTTGTGTGTGCAGGGATAGCATTGTTGCAACGCTATCACTGCAATACTAATGGCAATGAAATCCCGCGAGAAGACGAAGAGTAGGAACATGCCTAGTGTGTTGAAATAGTACTACAGTACCATTGTATAAGAACAAAGGGTAGGAGCATGCACAATGTCTTGCAACTATGGCAGTATCGATAAAACAAAATACTTACTTCAGCCTCACTTCATTTCTCACACACAAAGTGACATCATCAAAAACTAATTTTTTCTATGCACCAGTCAGTCCTGGAATGGGATAACAGAAAATATAATATTGTAAAAGAGAACTCACAATTTTTTCGCTCCTTTCGTTCCTCGTCCTAACACTCCTTTTATATTATATTTTGTGTATTTTTGATTTAGTACATAAGCATATGTTGTGGTGTTGACTTTTTTTTTCAAGTTCTGTGTTCACCGAAGGCAATGCATGCTTCCTTTTATGTGTTGTGGCGTCATTTACTTGTTTGCCCCTCCCCCACTATAATGCCCTCACGGCTGCTGTGGGACACCTAATATAAATAAATAGCGGAAGCTGCAATTGTGTTGCAACTATTTTAGCACTGTTGCATGAAACCTCGTATGAAGAGAAGTTGGACGCACAGTGTGTTGCAACTATTGCAACACTCTAGTCAACATCTGGCATAAATGCAAAAAGTTTGTATGCACGGTGCGTTACGATAGTGCAGAACTAATGAAATAGCTGCTGTGAAATCCTGCGTGAAAATGACAAGGAGGCACACACGCAGTATGCTGCAATAGTGTCGCAATAGATGCAATACTGTATATTAAAACAAGGAGTACGCATATGCCTAGTGCATTGGAACAGTGTCACAATAGATGGAACTTCATTTTGTGAAAATGAAGAGCACATGCATGCACAATGTGTTGCAGTAGGTGTGACACCGCCGGGGGAGAACAAATACTAGGCACATCCAGCGTGTTGCAATAGTGTGGCAATCGACGCAACACCATAGCGTGAAAACTCCAAGTAGATCTGTGCGCAGAGTCTCGCATTAGCTGCAAGTGCGTTGCAGAGCGTCCATCTTTGTCGCAGCGCCCTGTGAGTCGGCTGGCGGAGCTGCAAGAGCGTGCCCGCAAGCTTCTGGAAGAGGCGCGTAAGCCTGCCGCGGCCTACGACCCCACGAGTCCGGGCAGCCGGGGCGCAAAGGAGAGCCCGCCCAAGGAGACGGAGGAGGAGCGCCGCCACCAGGAGCAACTGAGGGAGCGTGCCAGGCGCATGATCGCCCAGGCGCGGCAGGGGGCGGCTGCGGGACACAGGGTCAGCTCCCACGACTCGCTGAACAACAACAACAACGAGAACAACGCAGGCTGCCGGCGCCTGGCCGCGGACGGCGGGCTGAGGCCTTCCGCAGGTGCGCCCGTCTAATGTTACCCTTGCCAAGCAACCTCTCGTCCCACTCTACAATCACCGACGGCTTAACCCCTCGATGGTCAAGCTTGTTTCCCAAATCATGTTTCTCGGTGGTCGGTTTTTGTTTCCAAAGAAATAGTATAAAGAAAGGGTCGATATGAAATTTTTTTTTTTAATTTTATAGCGGGAGCATGTACAGTGCTTGCAGCCTGTTCAGGTTTAGAAGGATCAGATGGAAACATCGTCGCCTTTGTTCCATTCGGTTTCATTTTGGCGCCTCCGCGACTTTCCGGCGATTCCAGATTCTGAACCGGAGGTATTGTACAGAACCTTTCCGTCAGATGGAAAGCTCTCATCCTCGAATTCAATTCCGAGAACCGTTAAAAGCCTGAATTGGGATAGCCGGCACTGATTGTCACTGCCGCCACAGCAGCCGACAGGCGGAGGGACCATTTCGTGCATATCACGTGCACGGAGCATTTAATTTCGGAACTGTAATTAGCCCCAGGAAAGCGAAACACGATTCTAACACAACGTTTGTAGTTCACCAAAGGCAAATCAAATAGCAATACCTCTCGCAGTGTTCATGGTTTAGGGAAGCACTTTCAGATATGTAATAATTGCTGTGCGTGTATGGCGACGACCGTCGATGGGTTTAGGAACGTAGGGTGTGACTTCACGATTCTCGTGTCGGGATTTATTCTTCGGCATTCTTATCACCTAATGCAGGGGTCTCATTGGCTGTATAGCGATAAGATGTTTGGAACTCTCCACGTCCTGCGTGTCCTAAGCTGTCGGCAACTGTGGGGTAGTTGGTCAGGGCTGGGGTGAGGAAACCACATTGCGCATTCAGCAGAGCCTACGAAGGGGAGCAATCGAGGGCCGCTATTCTATTCCTTAGTCTCTCGCGAATGTTTTCGGGTTTGCTAAGGACTGCGTGACGGTAAGAAAAGTAAACTCAAGCAGCTAGAGTAAACTCAAATAGCGAGATGAAATTAGTTTGTTAACAGTGCTTGAAATGGGACGCACATGCCCGTAATGCGCACCAGCAGTCTTGCATCTTCAGTTAAGCTTCTAAAATGGCTAGACTCCTGGGCACGACTTTGAATCAAAATCATTTTCTCTACATTTACAATATTATTCATATTTTTTTCCAGTTTCATAGAGTGCAGTCTCAGCCGTATTGTAAACTGGCCATTGTGAAGAGTAACTGTAAGCAACTTGGGTTGTGCGGTTACTTATTTTTTTACGAATTTAGCGAATCAGTGACAGTTAATTGTGAAAAATTTATAGCAAATGTCAATCACACGTGAAATCCATAAGCTTGATATTAAAAATCTAACGAAAAAACATTTCGAAAATTTTGCACAATGTTAATGAGCTTACATAGTATGGGCACTCGCAGTCTCATTTTACCTCTGTGCGGCTAAGCTGCCTTCTGATCTCATCCATGTAGACATTTATGGATGCGCCGCTTGTGGTGGGCTCAAGTTAGGGTTGTTTTGGTTCTTTGAAGGTGGAGAGGATGGGACATGTTGCCATGGTCATGTTGCATGTCCTGCATCCCTGTGCGCACATTGGGTTTGGTTAATATTGTGCACATTGCATGGTCTCACGTAGCTGACGCCGACTGGGTCACTGTTGCACCGTCTCGGCGAGGAGTCTGGAATACGGGAAGAGAGGGAATTAGCCTAAGGTCAAGTGACGTCTCGGTGCGAAATCGTCGTGCCAAGAGACATCACAGTGTCAACGTCAAAAGTCCCAGTAACGTTGGGTGTCAAGTTGTGGCATCAAATGATATCGCATCACGGGACCACGTCACGTGACATCAGGTCGCGTGTCGGCGCAGTGTCACGTGGCATCACGCTGCCCAGATTTCTGTATTATCGCGTATTATGCTTACGAGACAGTTAAACGCTAAGGAATTGTCCCGCCTTAAATTTTCTTTTATATGTTTCTGAGATTTTTATCTGGCCAGTGTTCAGTGCGACAGTGAACTGTGGCAAATAACAGGTGGATGTGTTGGCTCCATGAGAGCATGGGTGGTGGTGACTTTGGCAGACTCAAATGCAGCCCCCGGCCTAATTGTGTGTCGTTGATTTATCAATTTTTGTGAGTGTTAGAAAAATGCAGCCTTTTTTTTTCTGTAAAAGTTTGGACGAATACTGGGACATCTTTAAATTATCTTAATTGGGGGGGACAGGGGGAGACAAAAATTATGTTTTGGAAAACAGGGCGTTAAAAGTAAGCTGCCTGCAGAGGCAGTATTATTATTTTATAATTGTCTCAAATGTTTCTGAGACGTTTAGCAGTGACTTATTGTGAACCCACACGTCTCGGGAACGTGCGGAGCAGACAACCTTCCGAAGCCAACGCTACAGCGGGTTGGCGGCTGCATTCAAGTTTCGCTCTAACGGTGAAGGTGGGACTGCACCTTTTTCTTCCGGTTTGAAAGGTTCAGGAGTAGCCTCCCCTCCCGTAGGGTGCCCTCGCATGCTTTCCTGCACGCTGACCTCGCTCTCTGCCCCTAGGTGAGCTGCGCCATTTCAGGTTCCACCAGTTCCAGAGGCGTCCGGTGGGTGAGCAAAACTCCCTCTCCCTGCCTCGTCTGTTTTTGTTTACTCATAATTTTTGCTCTCCTGGCTAAACTCCTCATTTTGCACACGGTGGTGGTAAACTTGCATCTGCATGACGCACCTGCGATGTTGGTGATGTGTTTTTCACTGAGTTCTTCGCCTCCTTTTTTGTGAGTTTTGCCAGGCGGCGTACAGCCCACCGTTGGCGAACCGATTTTCACCGGGGCTTTCACGTGTACACATTGCTGACTGCCGGCTTGAAAGTCGGTGCTACACCTTTTTGTTAGTCTGATTGTGAAAAGATTTGTCTGCCTTCTAGGCACTTTATAATGCTCAGGTACATTTCTTTTTCGGGTACAGAATGTTTGGGTTAAGGCCGTAACAAAATTACACCGAAAGAGGTGGCTTTTATATCTTCCTAACATTTGAAAAGTTACGCTACTCGCAAAATTTTCAGTCCCTATGTTTTGTTCCTTAAATGAAATTTGTGGCAGGTTGGAAAATGCAGAAACTTCTCCCACAATGCCTTTTCACCACTTCCAGCTTCTTTGTAAGAACTTCTGCGCAAAAGGTCATTTGCTTTGCAAACAAATAGGGCTGTTGGGGGCTCTCCAATAGTCGTCTTTGTCTTCGTTGTCCATTGTTTTCTGTGTCAGAGCTGACCTTTGTACTTCTCAAAGTGATGAGGAGGCTTTTCGGCCTACTTTCTATTCTACAATGGTGTCGAAGCCACTGGCATAATAGTGTGACTTTATCTAGCACCTCATTTGTGCACGAGTGAATTGCTAGATAAAGTTGAAAGCTTGACCTGTGGCTTTGACAATGCTGTCTACTGTGCAGGGACCCCGGAACTGGGGGGGGCAACGGGGGCTCGAGCACCCGCTGACATTTTCCAGGGGGTGCTGGGCAATATGATGAGCCCCCGTGCGTTTAGCTCAAAGCGTACTCAACAATGCTGCACACCCCTCCCCACTCCCTTCCGTGTTCCCGTTGTTGCTCAGCTCCGCCAAGCCACGTACTTGGCTAAGGGCAAGCACGTGGCTCTGTTTTTGTTACGGGTGGCTACCGACCGAATCATGGCACGACATTCGCCCACGAAATTCCAGAAAAAGAATGAAGTAAAGCAAAGTGTCAGTAAACCGCGGACAACGCGGCAGCTTAAAAGAAAAAAATGGAGGGAGAAAAAAAAAAAGAAGAAAAAGAGCCGGCGCCTGCGGCCTGCATAGCAGCATAGTCAGGGACTGGGGCTCTCCCATACTCCACTCGCGTGTTGGCCATGCGGGGGAACGTGCAGCGCACTGTTTTTGTCCACCCGGCCAGCCGGCTTCTTCGTTTTGCTTCTATTTTGGGCAATGACTCCCCCCCACCCCCCCCCCAAAAAAAGTACAATTTCCCAGCTCAATGGCTGGTGAGCTTTTCTCCGCATCCGCCCGTTTTGCGGTGAGCTTTTCTCCGGTGAGCTTATCTCCGGTGAGCTTTTCTCCGGTGAGCTTTTTTCCGGGATTCCACACACAGACACTTCACCCTTTACTTCGACCGCTTGCCCCCCCCCCCCCGTAAAATACACTTCCGGGGTCGCTGCTACTATGGATCAGTGCTGTATAGTAATGCATACCTGCCAAGTTTGGAGAAACCAAATCTGGGAGATTTTCTAAGCCTAAAGGAGGGGGTTTTATTTTTTTTGTTAAGAAACCTTGACACTACATTTACATGAAGACAACTTCACTACATTTGTATTGCACTGCTCAGGCTAGCGAGATACAGCTGGGCCTCGCTATCATTGCTTCTGGCTGTTGCAACTGCAAGAACTCCTTGTTTAAGTGAGGAGAAAGGGAGGAGGGGGGGGTTAATTTGTGTTTTTTAAGAGATTTTTTTGTCAACCATACAACCGTAGGAAATGGTCGAAATTCGGGAGTCTCCCCGGGTTATACGGGAGACTTGGCAAGAATGGTAATGGTTTAGTGAAATATTCGGCATATAATTGGTTGTTGGGTGCTACCAATATCGGTATGTGCAGACTCCGGAAAATGGATTCTGCAAGTTGAAACACAGATAATACATTTTAACCACACTGCGTTAGAGAGAATGTCAGTAGCTAGGGTCACCGACTGCTTAAGAAATGCGGGGTACAGCGAATTATGTTCATGCCTCTCCCTTCGTTGTAGGGCATCATTGTTAATGCCGCCATCTCATTGGCTGCAGAGTGACAATAAGAAGCTTGGAACTCGCCGCACCCTACATTTCTTAAGCTCTCAGTGACCGTAGTATGCGAGAGAAGTTCCAAAGTGCTCGCATAAAGTTAGAGCGGCACTGACCGGAGAATCTTTTGTCGTCCGGTAGGTGAGGAGGACGGTGACATCCAGCCAAGCAGGACAAATGAGGGAGAGGTGAGCATCTCTTACGTGTCTCCAATTGGTTTGCCAGACGTTGCGGCTTACCTGGGTTGCGTGTTTCTATTCCGGACTTCTGGGTGCTGGATTGGGAAGGCAGACAGGCTAGTGCAGGTCTAGCGTTCTCAATGCGAGACTTTGGAGGGAAGAGGAACGGGGGCAGTGTCTCTTGTATCTTTAGCTAGTACTATTCGAGACTGCTTTTGTGGCTCTGTTTTTGTCTCGCTTTCCCTCTAGAGTCTTGGTATTAAAATATTTTGGGCAGTCTCGACATCCACGAGCACTCGTTACTAGGTGGGACCAAATCAAAGCTAAGCGCTATAGTGTAGAACACGGGATATAAGAAGAAAGAATGACGGGGACAGGCAAATCAGGGCACAAGGTCTCCTATGTCGGCGACATAGGTGCTGTGTGAGGCCACATCTTTGCTCTCTCGTGTCTTGCCACTTTTCCCTTGCATAATTTATTGGGTTCACAATATCTGATGCGGTTGTAGGGGCATTTGGTTCAGCTACCTACTTGCCAAAACTTATGGATGATGTTGCTTTGGAGATATCCAAATTGGGTTTACTCAATCCAGCCACGTGGGTGACGGTTTTATCGACCCAGCCGCAAAGTTGGTGGGTATATTGTTCCTGACTGCAGGATCGATGGGTTCAGTCAACCTGCCCACAGAGTTGACAGGTTTCATTGATTCATCTACCCGGCCACAGGGTTGAGGTTTTGGTCAACCTAACGACAATGTTGACTGGTTCTCCAACCTGGCTACAGGGTTGATGGGCTTAGTCAACCTGCCCGCAGCATTGATGGGTTTCATCGACCGAGCCACAGGGTTGATGGATTTACTCAACGTGACCACAGGGTTGACGAGTTTAATCAACCCAGCCACACAGCTGAAGGTTCCATCAGCCTAGCCACAGGGTTGATGGGTTCAGTCATCCTGGCAAAAGATTGACAGGTTTCATCAAACCAGCTGCACACTTGATGGCTTCAGTCTACCTGGCCACAAAGTTGACAAGTTCTATCGACCCAGCCACAAGGTTTATGGGTTCAATCTGTCGACAACAACCCCAAGGGCCAGAGCGAACAAGCACATTGGAAAATGGGCCCGTACGACCGGAGGGTTCTGAACCCCAGGCACGGCGCCGCCAGACGTACGTGGAGCTCGAGCTGGAGGCCTTGGAGCGGGAGCGGCAGAGGGTGGACGCCCAGGCGGAGAGGTTCGAGCCCTACCTACGGCGTGTCATGAAGAGCGGTGAGTCACCCGCCGCCCTCCGGTGCACCTTGAGACTCTGCAACCCTGATCAATGCTTCTGTCTGGTGTCAAGGGAAGGCTTGTGCAGTAGGACGTCTCTATTATTAACGTAATAGCGTTTAGGAGCTCGTGTTACAGAAAATCAGGTGTCCGCGGGACCAAAAAATCTCATAATGCAACGCGCGCAGCCACGTGTGACGTCACATGTGATTGTGCAGTGATGACCCTATTGACCCGCTAAATTTTCTAGGCAAATTTAACAGAAATACTTTCTTAACGAATTTAGCGCAAAATTTTCCCGTCAAATTTAGCAGAAAGTTTCCAGCCAGATTTAGCAGAAAATTTTCCGCTAAATTTAGTGGGTCGATAGCGTCAAGACGTCACAGCCACGTGTAACGTAACTCGTCACGTGGCGCTACCGACTAGACCACGCACACATGCTGCACGGCTTGGGAACATGCACGGGTTTGTATAAGAATGCTTTGCAAATGGGGCCCGATAACGCTATCGCATTCCACTCTTAAAGGCGAAGCTTAAGCGTCCCCCAAGTTTTGTTTGTAAATGCTTAACAAATTTAGGGCCAGCTCTAACGCTTTCGTGCCCAAGTCTCGCATAGAGCTTCGATAGAGGTTGCGTCCCTGAGTGTGCAGTCGCCAATAGCACACTCGCGGGCAATCGGCGACTGCTATTGGAATGGCGACTTTTCTCAGTATGCGCTCGATGGTAAAAAGGTACACCTACTACAAAGGCTCTTGCTTGCGGGCTTTCTGTGCCACGAAAGCGGCGCACGACCGACAACGACGGATGTAGCAGCGCAAAGAGGGTGGAACGAGGGACGCGACTGCAAAAAGAGAGCACCAGACCGAGCAGCGACGGGAAGTCATTTGTCATTACGCAGCCGGCAGTTCAAGTGCAGTTCACAGACAACTCGTTTGTTGCTGTGCAATGACTGCAACCGATTGGTTTTGGCCAGACGTGACCAAAAGCATTCTAATTATGGGTGTGCGAATACTCAAATATACGAATTCGTATCGAATAGCAAGTTCCCGAATAATTCGATTCGCGAATTGAATTCCTAGTATTTGGTCACTCGAATATTCGCTGTATTCGGCCAAAGACACGCTGCCGGCGCGGAGCTGACAAGCGAGCCGTTTTTTCTCCCGATGTTAGCGCAGTGATGTTTGACAGATCATGCAAGACACATCTCTTGGTCGTACCGTTTCACAAAAATCTGATGCACAAGTTAGCAAAAAAAAGAAAACGAATGCCACAAACTTTATACCAGGCAGACTTAAAAGGGCACTGACACCCCAAAGGTTGTATTTTTTTTATTGTCTAAATCGATGCAAGTTGTAGTCAGAGACACGCAAAGAAAAAAAATTTTCGGTGTGCGCGCTCCATTCTATTTTTGTCGCTTTTCTTCCCCGCTGCTCACCTCCTTGCTTCTTTTGATTGGTGACGTCAAAAATCAAGAAATTTAGAAGCTTTGTAGGCAACATTTCTACAACATTTAATAACGACAATCTTAAAACATGTTTTTTAACGCAATTGCGAACGCACTACGGCCCCTCTTTTTGAAATACCAAAAATCTGAGTTCGGTGTGATGTCGCTTCCTTGATTTGTATCCTCCCTCGGAAAACTTGGCGGCGCTCGAAGAGGATGATCGGTGAGTAGGGGAAGAAACCGGCTTTTTCCCGGTCCGCCGGCGCTTCGGGTCGCGGTGGCAACGGCGCTTTGCTTTGTAGCGTGGAGCGGAGGTCCGAGAGAAAGTCGACTCTCAGGAGACCGCAAAATTTGACGTCACTGCAATGGCGCAGATCGCGCGGGAACTTCAAATTTGGCATTTGGAAATTGTTTTTACTTCACAAATACTGAATTCCCAAGTTTCGAATTTTGAGGGTAATGCCTCGGCACTGTTTTCAATCGTTTCTTATAATAAATAAAAAATATGATTCTGATGTGGTAAAAGCTGGGAAACTTGGTCGAAGAAAAAAAGACAGGGGAAAAGAATATCTCGAACTCAGCTACTGCGTTCATTTTCTCAAAGCCTTATATACTTACAACCTAATCACCGACCACCGACGTCACAAAGTCCTACCCTTACTGGTCTTCACCTGAACCGTAAATGGTGACCTCGATCCCAAACTAAAAACTTGGGTCCTTGAACAAAACAACCACATTGACCCACTTCCTTTCCAGCCAGAGTCTGAAAGGGCTGTGCTTTATCTAAACGAGAACTGATGTATCCTCCAACTGAACCCCTGCCCGCAAAATGACTCATTGCACCTTCACTTACTACTGTAAATAAAAAAATAAAAAATTGACAAAAACATTACAATTTAAGAAACCTCTTAGAACTACTTCCGAGTTGCATCAAAGCATGGCTGATACAGTTACCAATGGATTTGAAACGACTTGTCTCTCTTATGAGCCTCTTAGTGGTGTTACGCTATCTGTGCACAATGTCTGTTTGCGGCCAAAGTGCCATACGGCACGAATGTCTTACATTCATGCCGAATCACACACTTTAAGAAAAATAAAAGGAGGAAAAAGGTAGCCACGGCACATTTTCCTCCCTTTTACTGACGCGCCTCCAAGCGGACACAAGAAGAGGGAAGGAACGAGATGTTTTTCTCCTCTAGGCAGACGGGAAAAAGGTTCCGCCCTCCACCTCATCTTTTAGTTTCAGTTTTCGAGCATGTCACGCGCGTTGTTTAATAAATGTTGTTGAGTTGATTGAGCTTCATTGGCAACAAAGGTCGCCTGTAATTCCGTCTCCCAGTCCAAACGTGCAGAGCATTTCGGTTGCATTGACGTTTTCACCACTGATTTTATCATACGAGCAAACAAAGTCATTAGATACAGCAAAGTTCTGGAGACGTGCCAGCAGTGCTAATACGTACACTGGGCTTAGATGGCCGCCTCTGGATTGCGGAACGATGTGTCGACGTTGACAACGTTATGGAAACCGTGAAACTGCGTCCAAGACAGGCAGGTTTTGCCGCAGGGTGCCTGGATGTCTCCTGTGTTGAGTTCGGTTCTGCTTTCCAGTGCCGAGTGTCAACCGGCAATCAACGTGGTTCTGTACTTCTGTGTGTCAGCAACATAGCAGCAACACCGCGATGGCAATGTTGCGCGTTGTGAAAAAAAGACTGGAAGTATCGTCGATGTGACCGTGTGTTCACGTATCAGTGGTGCAATAACAAGATGGGATGACGTAAACTATTTGGCAATGATGCCGCTGGTCGGGCCGCGATCCGAGGGGAGGGGTGTCACAGGTTGACATTGCACTTTACATTAAAGAGTTTAAGATCGCTTGACGGACTACGGAGCAATCGATCGACCTGCAGGTAGTCATGTTGAAACGCTGGTCTGAACCGTAGCTCCTATCTTACAGTGGCCAATGTGAATGCCGTCTGTGATGTCCTGTTGTCTTCAACCCGAGAGCAATTGCGATCTGGGGAAAAGACTGAACAGTATTGAAATGTGATAGAAAGTGTGTAGATTTACAGTTTAGCATGTTAGGGTTAAAGAGAAATAATACGTAAAATCTATAAAAAAAAGGGCTATCCTTTGTGTTGTTGTTTAAATATACTACATTTCCTGGAGCAACTGCCGTCCAAGTGGCGCGCTGAGATAGATGAGTGCTAGAAGTTTTCGAGCTCACCACGGCACTTTATACACCAGGGCACTTACACTTAATACCTGCCACAAGTCGTGGCTTTGACTGCATTTAAGTTGATGGAAAAGCGATTTCTTTGCCCGTGAAGCGTCGCTTCCAGCTGAGTGATTCTACAGAGATTAATTCGAGATGACAATTGCAGCCACACGTGAACAGCACAACTAGAAAAACAAATACGACAATAGAAAAACGGGCTACGACGTGGCATGCAGGCTAGTGGGATGGCAAACACATGGCTTGGAACCGCAGTGGAGCGGCTTGTTTTATTGACTTTCAAATAATTACAGCATGAGCGTTTACTTTTTACTAAGAGATTCGTCCCCTGAGCCGTTTAAAATACTCTCAAAGGTATGACATTACTGAAAAAGAAAAATTAATATGCTGGGAATATTATTTATTGCTTACATGGTCACCGATGAAATCCTTACCTTGAAAACAACGAGTATAAAAGGCAGAAACGCAGCGCCCAGAAGTAGTAATTGGGTTAGTGTAGTATTGTATTGATGGTTGTATGTGTATGCATATGTTCAGCTGATGCTTGTAGTATGCGTAAAATGTATCTACATGTGTGTATAATAAAGGTGTCGAAGGGCTTCAGCTTTTTCCCAGAATCCAGCCGACCCTATAATATACACATGCATTTTGACCCGCCCTCCCCTTCTCCGCACCCCAAGTCATGAACATTTCAGCCACCTCAGCTTGCCCCCCCCCCCCCCCCCCCTTCCCGAAAAAAATTTTTAAACACGCCACTGATCTTGTGTCTTATTGTTACCCCAAGAAGCTTAGCAGCTTCTTAGGGTAACAGTAAGACACAGGGGGACTGCACGTACGCGAGGCAAAAGAAAAAAATATAACTAGCGAGCACAGGTAACGATTGGAGCGATTGGTGAATGTTATATTCAACCAGTGTATCAGCGTTGACGACACGTTGTGGTCTCTAATCCAGCATGCTTATCTTGGCGCATCTACGCCAACGAAAAATAGCCAAAATGAGGAACTTTTTTGCCACCAGTAAATACTCATTTCTCTAAATGATTTTTTTTTTTTTTTTTTTTAATTGTGAAGTCTCGCTGACCCCATCAGTTTTGAACTAACAAGAGCCAGGAGTGTCAGCTTTCCTGCCCATAGATCAAAAGTGGCCGCGGAGTGGCAACACATGATGTCACAGAAGCCAGAGTGTTCATGTTGTTGGATGCCGCCATCCTGGCAAGGTGACCGTCAAAATTCGAAGAAAAAAAAAAAAGTGATGCCAATGTTCTTGTTGTTGCGGCGTCTCGACTCCGTGCTGCCGAAACTTCGGTGGACTGTCGAGGTGTA